CAGAGATTTGACTCCAGCAACGTTGCCGCGCTTGCGCTCTGAGCCCGGGCTGGCATTGCCTTTCTCCGCTGCGGACGACTCTTTGGCTGATGCGGCCTCCTTGTTGAGAATCTTGACGGCTTCCTTGGCGGCTTGGGCCTTGTCAGCTTTGCTTATGCGACGATTCTTGTCTCCGGCGGTCGCGGCGTTCTCTTTGCCTTGTTTGCCTGAAGCCTTCTTTTCCGTAGCATCTTCTTTGGCGTCTCCACGAGCGTTCCTGCCCTTGGCATTCGGCTTGTCCTTGTTCGCCTTCTTCTCTCGGAGTGCTTCGATCAGCGGCGTCGTCTTGACCTTGTCCTGCTTCTGCGTGTCGTCTGGCGCAGCGGACTTTGTGATGGGATTCGTTAGGCTTTCTAGAAAGTCCTTGAACTCCTGATCTTGGTCGATGGTGCCCTGTCGATTGTCGTTCCTGCGGCGGCCGCCAGGCATCTTGGAGAAGGGAGCGAATTCGAGCGTGGGAGGACCGACGAGGGCGCTGTCCTGCCAGGACTTTGCGGCGTCGTGGAAGGTGGAGTCGCGGATGCGGTCCCCGAGCATGGGCACGTGTTCCTGCTTGGTAACGTGTATGTATGCTCTGGCTGGCCTCGAGGGTTTGGCAGCACTGCAATCTGTTTAGACGGGGACATGTGAGCGAGTGCAAGAAGCATACTCTTTTGAGATTTTGCCTTTTCTCCAGTTGACCCAGTCCACCTTTCCCGCGCCGGGCTTCCATTCGTCGCCAACCATCGTCTCGAATTCGCTTCGGGTCAAGCCTGGGGAGCAGTCGTCGGCATACGAGCTTCAGGCGCGGCTGTGCTTCGCATTGCGGGCCACGGGATGGCTGGGCACGGGGCATTCTTCTGGAGGACTGCAACGGGGAGGACGCCATTGACGCCTGCTTGAGGAGCCATTTCGACGTGATTGGAGATTGGTGATTGGTGATTGATGATTGGTGATTGGTGTTTGGTGTTTGGTGTCTGGTGCCTGGTGGGTGAGAGCGGAGCGTATGTAAGTGGTATTGACAAGCCTCTGGGGTGGAGTAATTAGCCATCTGGCGAGAGTGCTCACACGTGATTCTTACCGTGTATGGAGCGGCCTGGCGACAGAGACGTGTCCTGCCTTATCGAGGCAGCGCTGGGCACAGGCTGGTAGTGTGGTGCAGTGAGGGAGGCGTGTAGAGGGGCAGGCGGAAGGTTGTAGGGAGGAACATTGGGAACGAGCAAGCTTTTGTGGTTTGTGGTAGAAGATGCTGCTTCCTGCTTACGCGACTGCTACTGAGGCTTTTTGGGAAGGTGCAGATGCAGACTTCTCTCCAAGACAGCTGGACGCGGTGGGCATGGGCGCATCGCGGGCACGGAAAGAATGGTCTTGGACAGCCCTACCGGGGGTTTGTCATTGCAAGCGCCGAGGGACCCCACGGCCGCATGCGAACCTCGCAGTAGAAGCACTCGATGCCAATGACATCGCAGCCGCTCCCGCTCCACCTCTCCACCTCACCATGCATGAGACGTGCTAGACATCCTTCGCCTTGCACCCATGAGCCTGCTCAGCGCCGCGACGTCACGCCTCACCAACCCCACCGTCACACGACCGACCCTCCTTGTATCGCCATTGCTGCACCCTCAGCGGCGAATTCGCACCTGACGCCCCCTCCCACTCCAGTCGCATCGAGCTGCGAAGACGACACATGATGGCACCCAAGGAGAGCGATGTCCCGCAGCCAGGACCAGCCCGTCTGTCCAAGGGTGCGGGGCCCGACGAGTGGCTGGAGCAGGCAAAGACGTGCAAGTACCTGCCCGAGGCTGATATGAAGCGACTGTGTGAGATTGTTAAGGAGTGTCTCATGGAAGAATCCAACATCCAGCCCGTGCGGACTCCAGTCACGGTGTGCGGCGACATCCACGGCCAGTTCTACGACCTCCTCGAGCTCTTCCGTGTCGCTGGAGGCATGCCCAACGACACCCCCGCTGCGCCTATAGCTCCCCCAGTCACATTACCAAGCACAATCAACCCCGCAGACCTCGAGCCTCCGACTGCCATCACAGACCCGCGCGTCAAGCGCAAGATGAAGAGAAGATTCCAGCGCGATCCCAACTACACCGGCCCTGTAAGTCCGCCCGGTGGCGATGGCGAAGACGAGGACGGCGACGAGGAAGAGGAGGAGCGAGGCCGCAGCCGAAGTGTACATGACAGGCGGAGTATGGGCTCGGCCTCAGACGCCGACTCGACGCGTAATACAGTTGTTGGCAATGGCCAGCAGAACTTCATTTTCCTTGGTGACTTTGTAGACCGAGGATACTTCAGCTTGGAGACTTTTACCTTGCTCATGTGCTTAAAGGCAAAGTAAGTCAACTAGCACTCCATCGACTATGGTGGAATTGACTTTCGCAGATTCCCCGACCGCGTCACTCTAGTCCGCGGAAACCACGAGTCTCGACAGATTACTCAGGTCTATGGCTTCTACGAAGAGTGTCAGACAAAGTATGGCAATGCTTCTGTATGGAAGGCATGCTGCCAAGTCTTCGATTTCCTCGCTCTGGCCGCCATTGTCGACGGAAAGGTTCTTTGCGTCCACGGAGGTCTCAGCCCAGAGATCCGCACATTAGACCAGATCCGCGTTGTTGCACGAGCGCAGGAGATTCCGCACGAAGGCGCGTTCTGCGATCTAGTATGGAGTGACCCTGAAGATGTGGATACTTGGGCTGTATCGCCACGAGGCGCTGGATGGCTGTTTGGAGATAAGGTCTCTTCCGAGGTATGCTTCCTCCCAATGCTTGTCATGTTTAATCAATCGATTGACCGCATTCTAGTTCAACCACGTCAATGGTCTGCAACTCATCGCACGTGCCCATCAATTGGTCAATGAAGGTTACAAGTACCATTTCAAAGACAAGGATGTTGTCACTGTCTGGTCAGCGCCCAACTACTGTTACCGTTGCGGAAACGTTGCATCCATTATGAACCTGGGCGAGGACCTGAAGCCAGAGTTCCAGATCTTCTCGGCGGTGCCCGATCATCGACGAGCAGTGCCTGCGGGCAGAGGCGGACGCGGAGAATACTTCCTATAGGAGGGAATCGACCCAGAACGAATTGAACACCAACGAGAGCTGTTGAGTTGGCCCAGGTTGATCAACTCGACATTTCAGCCCACGCATCGCGCTTCGCGGGCAATCGTGTTGTGGCATATGCGGCAGGTCAGGATATGGACAGCCAAAGCAGACGGTCATGGAGAAGCGGTGAGGATCAAGTGTACATGCTGGAAGATGCACTTTTACGAAGACGATGGAACGAATACCCAGGACTGCCCTAGATGCGATGATCACTTTGTACAGTACTCGCTCGTAGATAGCATCACACAAAGGACTTGCTCAGAAACCATGCCTCGCTTATGCGACCGTCGTGTCTTTGGCCCTTCATTCATTTGTACCGTCTAATGTGCCATGCTTCACCATCGCGCCTCAAACGTACTCTCTCTCCACATAACTCTGGATCATGCCCGCATTGTCGGCGTTGTATTCCTTGAGATCTACCTTGCCATCCTTCTCTACCGTGTTCGCCTGCACGAACACCTTTCTCGGCGTCTTCTTCTTCAGCACCGCCGGCCTGACATAGTTCTCATAAAAGGGCTCGACATCTGTCACATCGTCATACAACTTCTTCGCCGCCGCAAAATCCGCCGTCGCCTTGTAGATGTGGAGTTTCTGCAAATAGTCGTCGACAGCCGGACGTCCGAGATCCAAGATGCGAGAGCGCTCGAGGCGGATGGTGAGGTCTGAGAGATCATCTTTTTCCCACTCGAGCTGGCAGAACTCGACACCTGCGTTCAAAAACGTTCGCAGAATGGAGAAGCGGGCTTGCATGTGCGCCTGTCCCCACTTCCTGCTCTTCGGGTCCCAGAACTCAAGGGCTGCAACGCCTGCGCGCGCCATTTGTAGGTATGCAGTGAACAGCACGTCACCAGCCTCGGAGTTCATGTCTACAGTGCCGTCGCCGAAACCAAAGAGCTTCAAGATGGGGAACTCGCAAGATAGCGCCATGGCCACGCACTCGGCGCGGCACTCTTCGTACGATGCAGCGAGAGACCCAAAGACGCTGCCCCACGTTTGACCGGGCTTGTACCATGTGGTTATTGGCTTGCCAGTCAATGGTGAAATGGGCTTGTTGTCGAAGTCGAAGTTGTATTCGCCTGCCGAGGTTTCTTGCAGCAACTTTCCACATCCATGGCCAAGCAGTTCGTGCAGGCCGACTTGGACTTCGAAAGCGGGGTCGCGGTACTTTTGGTATGTTGCCAGATCCGCCTCTTTGATGAAAGGAATCTGCTCGTTGGGTGCTTTGGCACTCAAGATGTTGCCAAGAGAGACGTTCTTGAAGCCAAAGTTTTGCCGTATGTCATCGTAGTTTGGAATGTTGATACCGGCAGGGATCCCACTTCCAGCGAATGTCAAGACCTCGAGCGAGGTAAAGTCTGGGCTAAGGAACTTGTCCTTCTCAAAGGATGCGTCCCATGGAAGCAGTGGGATGTATTGTGGTGCTGTCGAGACGAGCTTGCCGAATGCTTGGGTACGCTCCTTGTTGACCATGGCCACAAAGCCTTCCCACTCGCCGCGAATGCCGTGTGGGTCGCGGTAGGTCTCGATGAAGCCGATGTCTGACTCGACCTGTGGTCCCTTGTCCAGGACCCAAGCTTTTTGACTCCGCTTAAACGCTTGCAAAGAGCCAGTTCTGAAGCTCTTGGAGTATTCCTCCATCATCTCGCGCTCGTTGTCGTTCGCTGCGTATTTCTTCGCCTCTTCGATGTGACGTGCGATGGTGTCCATTTCCTGTGAGTAGTCACCAAAGACAAGCTTCACTTTTTTGCCATCGTCAAGTGTCCATTCGCTGTCCTTTAGGTCTCGGTCTTCTGGCGGTGGAGAGGTTGACGCTGAGGCAATTAGAACAGCAAAGCCATCGCCCGTCTTGCTTATTCTTGTGTTCTCCGGCAGGAGGCCCTTGCTTTCGAGGAAGTCGCTGACGCCGGCAATCTCTTCCTTGGTAATGTTGGGGCTGTCAGGGTAGTAGGTGGAAACGTGGCCGGCGCTGGGGTAACCCAGATGCAACTTTCCTAGATCATCACCAGCGTAGACGGAGTCCTTGAACTTCTCATAGATTTCCAGAGTCTCCTTGGAAACGGTTGCAAGCGCCTTGAATTGGCGAGGCTCGAGGCGTGGCACGAACTTGGAGTCGCCAAAAGACTTGTAGTTGCCGAGGTTACCGAGGAACTGAGCAGCATAGTTGAGGTACGCGTCAGTCTCTTCCTGCGATAGGCCAGCTTCCTTGGCCAGAGCAGTGTAGTCGCCCCTGCAGTGCTTGTGTAATGCGATGATGAAGTCGTATATGTGCTCCGACTCGGCTGAACATTGTCGCAGGACGATGCGGGTGCCCGCAAAACAGGCTCTGGGTATGCTTAGTGGTGTTCTGGGGGAACGATTCAGGTGCCTTACACGGAAATATGGTGAGCATAGAGCTTCTCCTTGTCTGAAAGCGCCTCGAAGTGGGGTTTGATGGCAAGTGGAACGATGGTGGGCGGGCTGTCGGCCAAGTACTGCTTGAGCGTCTCCGAGTCTATGCTGGCAGACATGTTGGACTTGGTGGATGCGTGGCGGGACGTGTGAGTGCGAAACAGCTGTAGCCTCGAACACTCGAGTGCTGGCAGCGGTGACGGCAGCTCAGGGCAGGCGCGTCCGCGTCGGTAGTGCGGGGAACTGCTCGCCACACCCCGCCAGAGCACGCCTGCATGCGAGCGCGTCCCAAGCACCCCGGCACCGATACGTGCGACCTGGAACACCATGGAGAGCTTACCAGCAGTACTGCTTCTGCGCGTTGTTGAACACGTCAATCGAGATGAATCCTGGAAGCGGCCGTCTAAGCACCTTGCCCGCTTGTGTCAGGTGAGCCAGATGCTCCACCGAGTTAGCACGCCTGTGTTATACGCGCATATCAAGCAACCAAGTCACGTCTTCGGCAGCTTGCTGAGGACTTATGGAGAAATCCAGCACTACGACAACACATCACTAAACTGCAAGACATGCACCTGGACGAGAAGGGGAGGGAAAATCCCCTACGACACTACCTCAGGACGCTCCAGTGATGCTAAGCTACTGATCGAGGGTCTAAGTGAAGAGCTTGGAATGGATCCAATAGACTTGTTCACTCGCTACAACCATGGCGAGCATATCTGGTCTGCCATGTGTGCGCTCCTCGCGCCCCGGTTGAAACATGTTGCGATCGTCCTACATCACCAGCTTCTGATTTAACCCGGTTTACTGCTTGAGCATATTGCTCGGCATTATCTTGTTGAACCCAACAGAAGTATGCACGTGTTTCACGAATTACTTTCCCTGCACCTCAAGCCTCGCTCGCAAGTTCAACAGGTTGACGAAACTTATGCTTTCCCGCTAGTCCTGCTTCCGAGACTACAAGCCCTCTGCTCAGATGGTTGGAATGCCCAGCGGAGCCTATCCCTTCCTGATGCCGATCGAGGGCTCGTTGCAGGTCAACCTTGGACCTGGCCTACAAGAGCTTCGCAGATTTCAAAATTAGCTTTGCGCCATATCGACCTTCAAGTGCCCGTATGCGCTATGATACGGGCATGCAAGGAACTAGTCAAGTTCGAAAGCATTCTTTGTGGTCTAAACACTGGGGACTGGTACACCTGTCTTGCAGGTGCACTACAGGAACACCGCAACACTCTTCGTGAGATCTATATAGGAGAGGGAAACAATGAAGACGATGAACTGGGCGAGGCCGCACGATCGGAAGGTCTGCATTCACTAGAACTCATGCCATGCTTGAGTCGGCTACGGATCCCTTGGCGTACTCTTCATGGGCACAGCGCGTCAGCTAGCTTGAGCGAGACACTTCCTCCAAACTTAGAAGAACTAATCATCGAGCTATGCTGCGATCCAAATCAGGAGATAGGCGCAATGTTCATCCGCCTCTACCAACACTGCGTTAATAAGCGCTTTGCCGCCCTTCGAGACATTCATCTACTTTGGCGACTCAACAAGACTCCTTTCGACATTGCTTTCGATGTGACCAAAGTCAGAGACTTGTTCAGTTCAATCCACATACAATTCAATGTTACGGTTTTTTGCAGGGACACTTTGAGTATGTCACGATGGCACAGCGGTCACTGACTGATGGTACTAATGATACTGCAGGACCAGCACCAAACGTCTTGCATCGATACAAGCAAGTGTTCACGGCTTATGTGAAATACGAAAAGAAAAACTATGGTCGCAACGCGCGGAATCTTCCGGCCCATTCTTTGCAGGCTTCGACGCAGTTCAGACTCCCACACGAGCATGAAGAGCTCTTGGGTACACCCGAGTGGTAGTCAAATATGGCCATCACTGAGTATCTGATGAATATCAGCCGATTGTTGCAAAGATCACTGATGACACACGCCAAATCTTACAATACATCAGCTTTCATTAGAATTACTCGTAGATACTCGTTTCTTTGTTCTCCGCGCTATCTCCTTTGATCGGCCGTTAATTCGTATCCTTCTTTGCTCTTCGTCACTGATGTAGCTCTCCTCTTCCGCCAGAAGAACCATGCAATAGCAGCAAGAAGCGCAACGCCCAGAATGACACCGATAGCAATTCCTGCCTTCGCGCCCGCGGACAGACCGTCGTCTTCCTCGCCATCAACACCATAGGAAACAATCTCAGGTGTCCCAAGTTGCTTTACATCATCAATCTTGCACACATTACCGCAAGTCTTCCTTCCTCGCTTCTCCATAACATCTCTCTTGTCCGCCTTTTGAGAACCTGTGTATGGTCCAGAAGTGTTGAATGTCATTTCAATCCACTGTATTTGGAACTCGGCGTGATCTCCAACAGTCATGTTGCCACTCCACTCGCCACCATCACCCCACATGTTGAGCACCAAATAGCTCGGCTTGCGTGGCACACTGTATGTATTCGCGGCAACTTGCTTGTCGTTGAGATACCAGAAGCTGTCCTTGGGCAACCAATCGATACGATGGGTCTGCCACTCGTCCCAGGGCGCAAGGTTTGTCGGTCCAGTAGATGCAGCGGCAATTTCGTTGCCGCTCTTGTCAACAGACGGTTGGTTGGTGTAGCGGGTTTGGTCCTTGGGATCGCGCGTGAGAATCTCAATGTCCGATTCGTTGGAGTCGTCATAGAAAGTGAAGAAGCCTGCTACGGCGCCAGGGTCGCCGACAACACGACCGTACATGCGCATGGAGACGTGCATCAGGTTCTTTTGCTGGTTCTCGATTTCACCGGCGGTTTGGTGGTCATTGTGTCGAGAGGTTCGAAGCGTGAGGAAGGTGCTGTTGTCTTCTTCGCCCATGTAGATGTTTGCGTAGGAATTCGTCAGAGGCACTGGGAAGTCGTCGGTTGCAGGTTTGCTCCAGTTCTGGATACCCCAGTCTGATATCCAATTGTCGCTGTTGAAAATCGAGGGCTGCCATGTTGAAAGCGCCGATGCATTTTGCGTGTCGTTGATCAGCGGTGGTGCAGTATCGAAGCCACCCGCAAGGTTCCGGAAGTCGTAAAACCGGTAGTATTGAAAGTACTGCGGTGTATCTGAGTTATCGCCTGTGGAAACGACGTAGCAGCTGCAGTTGCCATTGTTGTCTTTTGGTGTCTCAGAGTTGCTGGAGACATACGAGTCGGCGGCCAAGGTGGGCGTGAGGAGGGCCGCAAGAGGCAATAGCAGAGCTGGTAAGTATGACATCGTGCCGTCGTCAGGGTTTGTCCTGAACTCTGCTACGATATGCAGGGCAGTAGCGACAGATAGAAGAACCTTGAATGAAAACAATATTCGACAAAGGACAAAGAAGCGAAGGTGACGAAGATTCAGATAAAGAAAGCGAAGGTCTGCAGACCAGGAAACTCGGGGGTCACTAAGCTCAATATACCTACCCCTACCAGCACGCCACGACTCCGCTCGCTCCGCTTACACGGCAATGGCGCATGCAAGCGCGTATCTGTTTCTCGCCCGGAAAGTTCCTCTAGCTTTGCATGCGCTGAGGTTGTTTCAACTCATTTCATGTTTCCTTTAAACAGACTGTCCAGGCTCAGCCACAAATATTCGAGACTTCTTGCAGATCAACCCCCCTGGTTTAGCCGCTTTGAGGTGGGGCATCAAGCCACGAGCCGGATCGCTCGGCGCATCGCCAGAGAGCGCATTCTTCGACATGTTCTTTGATGGCTAGCCAGAATGGTACTCGGCCGAAGACCTTCAAGACCGCAGGCGGAACCAGGCAGAATTTTGGGAAGATGCAGAAACATGGTATACTATTCAGAATCGGAGGCCCGTGAAGCTTTCCAAGGTTGGTTCAATGGAAGGGTTTCGGGAGACGACAGGGGCTCGGTACCATCCACTACAGACACGCGGGCCGAGGCACTAGCGACGCACGGAGACGAAAATAGTTTTTATTGATTCCCTCGACTACACGCCAGTGACACCACAGTGGGCTCTCATGGGGCTGATGACAACAACGTACAACGTTGAGGTTTGTCATGCAGATTAAACCCCTGGAGGTGTTGATGCCCCAAAAGAATATAATCTTGGAATCATGGCTATCATCATATAATCTCGCCCCTTCTCCCAACCGATGACTTCAAATCATCAACCCGATTTATCAATATCAGTAGAAGAACAGTTCGTGGCTCTTTGCTGGTAACAATGAGCAGGTTAAGAGGTGGCGTCGTTGGATTCAACTACAGATCCAATCGTTTTGTCGAGCGACAGCAGAAGCGCAACGCCGGAAAATCCTCCTTCAAGCCCATCAATGGGGTGACCGGCCATGATATCGCTCCAGAAGTCCCCAACAAGGTATCCCTAGTCCTGCTGCGTACGATGCCACGGGATTCCCCACTACAAGTTGCTACTACAGAGGAAAATCACTTTCACCAGCCACGGGGAAGTAATCTGCGTGCTTCTTTGTCATAATTTTGTAGCGCAACTATATGGTCACGCACATTATTTCATTCACTGTCAACAATGAACTTGATTCTTCGGCCTGCAGATCACGCAGTTGAACAGATGCCTGTGATCCACCGGTGTCTGTGGCAGACTTCAGACTTGCGTTGCTACTTATATATATGGGAGCTTGTAAGCACAGCATAAGATGTCAGATAGGGAGCTCTAAGTAGACACCGCTCTCAATCTTTTCATCCTCAATCCGTGTCAATTACCTCTGAGTAAGGGCTGTTCAAGCATCCTGAAAGATATGCCACGCTGAACGCCATTCGCAGTATACATACTCCTGTGCTGCACCTGAACATGGGGGCCGAACGATCAGAGGATATTGCTAGGCGCCCGGTAGCAGCGTGAAGGAAGGGACAAATGATATTACGAAGAGTGATTCATCGACCGAACATGTACGGGAGACATCGACCACAAATTTCCCGCATTAAGAATCAGTGGATAGGAGTGAACGCAGCAATGGCTCTTTCAAGTCTGTAGAACCAAGTGTAATATCGGGATTGTGGGTTCGTGAGCAGCAATAACAAGATAAGACACAGAAATCAAGAGCCAATGCATGCAAGCACTCGAGTAATATTCACGATTTGCATTCGTTTTAACATTTTCCATCCAACGCATGCAAAATGTGCATGTTCGGATACTAAAAAAGGGTATCATAAGGCTTTAAACAAACCCGCCCGAGTTATGCACAGCCCATACTCATCTCTCCGTATCGAGAAGAGGGTAGCGTCCCGTGTCGGTAATTCCAATGCGTCCAGAGTGCCCCTCATTCAACGCCTGCTGTGTGCCGAGTATATGTATAAGGGAGAAAGAGAAAAAGTAATAACTTAAAAGGGTCGTTGATAAAGCGCTCCGCCCCACTGCTACTGCCGGATGATGCCAAAAGAAAAAGAAAACTGACGTGGTGCTCTGATGTCGCGGTCCTGGATGACGAGGGTTAACGCACCACCGTTCTGTTGCTCTGCTTGCTTCCTCCTCTGAAGCTTTTGTCAAAGTCAAGAACGCGATCTGCCTTTTCGTCGTCGATGCTATCGTCGTGCACCGCCCACCTCGACTGAGTGAGAGGTTCGTTCAAATTGAAGTTTCCGCCTTTTGGCCATGTTCCCTTGTGCGTTGTCCTCTCCACCTGTTGAATCCGCACCAAAGTCGTCGTTATAGCCCTCGCCATATCCTTGGAACGCTGCATCTGTGTAGTGTCGTTTCGAACCCTGTCGTTCGGGTCTGGACACGCCTCTGCCTGAGGCAGAGTTCCCTGGTGTAGGCGCGGCGGAAGTATATGACGTCGGCCGATGCGGTGGTCCATCCTGTGGTTTTGGTTTTACTGCGTCATCTGTGCCAATGTATGTCCTGTATCGGGTGGTGTCTGCGGCAGGTAGCGGTCCAGGAGCGATGCCCGCGAATGCGCCATCCAGGAGACTGCCGAATTCAGGGTCCAGCGCAGTCTGGGTCGGGTTGAGCGCCTTCTCTATTTCCTTCCCTTGCACCTTAAGGAGGTTCCACTCTTGTGCTGGATAGCACAATGGTTCCATGAAGACATTCTCCATCTTCTGTGCCTTCGGCTTTCCGGCGATCTGCATTTGTTTGATATGGCCCTCGTATGATTTCCGGAGTTTGTTGATCTTCTCTCCAGTCACCGGATCTGTCCGCGCTACCGATCTGGCCAGCGCTTCCAGGCTGTATAGCCGGAAGAGATTTTGCGAGGGGTGCGGCCTCGACACCTCGCATTTCGAGCGGGCGACCATGAAGAGCTGATCTCCGCTTACACCTTCCGCGGCCTTTAGTCCTCCCTGTTTCGAAAACTCTATTCGCGTTTGCCGGTCGTGGTTTGTCCGAGTGTGGTGTCCAAACCTTGCTGCATCGTCATCGGCACTATCCTCCATCGTCGCATCGCCGTCGCTATCGATGTTCGCAGAAGAAAAGGGCCCTGCGGTGCTCGCCGGTGTCGGAAAAGGATGTGGGTTCGTGGCAGAGGTGGTTGACTGTGAGACACCTTGGGACATGGCCGTGGATGAGGACGGGCTCTTGTCCGAGTGCGCTGCGGCGTTACTCGTAGCAGGGCCTCCATTGGCCTGCGAACTCATCGAGGAATAGGGTGGTGAGGTCGGCGTGCGTGGATGAATGGGCGTCTTTGTATGGCCGCTCGCCTTGGCGACGACGTCAAAGGGCGGAGAAGCCGGTGAGAATCGTCCTGTCGAATCCAGTCGTTGGCGTTTGGCCGTGTGCTCCGACATGAATACTGCACTCTGCGGTGATATCACGTGCAGGCGGAAGCCCGTGGGCGTGCGGCGGGCGTGCAAAGGTGGGTGAAAGTGCTGGTGGTGAGCGCTTGGCGTCTGTTCCGCGCGGATCGACCGCGGCAGAGGAAGTGGGCGGCACTCTAGATGATGCGCATGCGAAAATGGCGGCGGTACTCGCGGGGATGCTGGCGCTGGCGGAGCGGTGCTGGGTGTGGGCGTGACGGGCGGCGTGGGGTGGGAGGTGACGGCTGGTGAGTGCAGGAGATCGCGAATGGACGAAGCCGTTGTTCCAGTTGTCACGTGTACAGTCACATGATGTGCACTTGACACTCCAGGGCTGCGCCAGGCATGTCGGATCGGCTTCTCTGATTAGGACATAGACGTGCACGCCCCAAACGAACGCCACGACAGCGCGGCCACCACCACAAAGCCCGCGACAGCGCAGCCCCATGCCTACGCAGCTTCCCGGTGGCGAGTATGGATAACAGCGCCCGCGCTGGCAATCCCGCCCAGAATGGACCCGCCAATGCAGCGCGGACAGCGAATGCGCCCAAGGTGCAGCAGCCGAAACCGCAAGCCCTTCCATCCCGATCGGGCCCAAGTTCGATCTTGGTTTCGCCGCGACAGAAGGGCAACCCTCTCCTGAACAATGTGCGCTCGGTCGCATGGGAGTACTCGGACATTCCTGCCGACTATGTGGTCGGTGCGACAACGTGTGCATTGTTCTTGTCGCTCAAGTACCACCGCCTGCACCCAGAATACATCTACAATCGCATACGCGACCTCAAGGGCCAGTACAATCTGCGCATCCTGCTCACGATGGTGGACATTGAGAACCACGAGGAGCCGCTGAAGGAACTGTCCAAGACGTCACTGGTCAACAATGTTACCGTGATGCTGTGTTGGAGCGCCCAGGAAGCCGGGCGCTATCTCGAGCTGTTCAAGACTTTCGAGAACGCTGCACCGACGAGTATTCGGGCCCAGCAGTCTTCTACCTACTCGGAGAAGATGGTCGAGTTCATCACAGTGCCACGCAGCATCAACAAAACGGACGCAGTCGGTCTCGTCTCAAATTTCGGCAGTATTCGCACCGCTATAAACGCTGGGCCGGAGGAGATTGGCTTGATTGCAGGCTGGGGAGAGAAGAAGGTTCAGCGCTGGTCCAACGCCGTGAGGGAACCTTTCAGGGTCAAGAAGGCGGCTAGAAGAGTCCTCAATCGCGAAGATACGCGGGCCACTATGTCAAGAGACCTGTCCAGGGCCGACGCTGAACACCATATGCCCATAGAGGAGGATTCCACAAGCGTGGCACGCGAACGAGTGGATCAGGTGGTACCACTCCCATTGGAGATGCAATCGGCTGCACCGGCCAACTCTTCCGTTCCAGACGCAGACAGGAGACCGGATCATCGTCCTGCAGAAGAGATGGACAATCTTCGGCTTGCTGATGATGAGGCTATCATGCCACCAATAAGAAAGGAAGAAGAACTAAGCGATGGTGTCATGGCAGCGCTAAGTAAACTCAGAAAGCAGTAGCTCTCCAGCTTTACATTCACTTGACAGCGCATAGTGAAGTTCGTGAAATGAAGCCAGGATACCTATGATAGGCTCTATCCGCTCCCCGTCAGTTGACCCTGACTTTACCTTTAGCGCCCCAGGTTAGCTCCCTTCCCCACACCTGAGCAAGCACACATCTCGCTCCTACTCCAACGATTACAAAGGGTATCTGTTAAACACCATATACTCTCCACATCGATGCGCTTAGAACTGCTGCCCACAGAGCTCCAGCTCGAGGTATTTAGCCACCTTGACAATTCTGACCTCAAGGCCGCAAGGGCTGTATCAAGGAAACTTCGAGATAACGCTTCTCCCGCGCTCTTTCGTTGCGTGATTGCGTGCGCTCGATATGTTGCAATGGGATCATTGCAGAATATCTCGTTGAACCCTGTGCTCCAAAAATACGTCAAAGCGATCATCTTTGATGGTTCTATCTACAATGCTGCGATTTCCAGTGGAAAGGAATTGTACGAAAACTAGAACAACAGATACGATGGCCTCAGAACCTCGTCATTTTGAAGTCTACAAACAAGGTCCGTGCAACAGTCTATAACCCCGACGCTGTGGAGCAAATACTGAACTCCCGCTAGATGGAAACGGTATCAAGAGTTATACAAGGAACAAGTAGACTTGAGCGCCAGTGGCGTACTTCTGCATACGATTGCTCGAGCCTTGGAGTGGACCACTGACGTGTCTTCGGTGGTCTACTCGCCTCACCCTCGTCTGATCTGTTCCGAGAAAAAGCTCATGAAGGATCTACTTCCGAGAGACTCTACGAGTAGCGAAGGCCAATTCGATGGTCACCCAGCCGGTCTGTCTAGATCTTCCACGCATCCCTTTCGTCAACTGATCGGAGCTATTCATCTCGCCGAGTTCACTGGTATTCGGGAGCTGCGCATCCTTCCTTTCGATGATAGGAAGCCTGGCACCCCATTCACTTTCGATTTCTTCAGCTTTCCTGATGCTTCTGATATTCAGGCTGGTCGGTTTCTGTTCCAGAACCTAACATCATTGGAACTCCATATCAGAATCCTTCTTATTCGCGACAATATGAGAGCGGGGTCATTCGGGACATCCACAAATAAAGAAAGACAGGCGCTTGCTCACCTTAGTCATTTACTGGCAGCCACTAATGAGCTGCGGCATCTCATCTTGCACGTTGGTGGCTGGGATCCTGTGGAAGGTTCTGCGCGTCAGCTGGAGCTAGGGCCTCGCGCACCTGTCTTCAATTGTCTTGGGCTCCGTAAGACTTGGCTGAAGTTGCGATCCCTCAGCCTTGGTGGTCTTCACTCGAGCAGCGACGAATTCCTGGACTTCGCCAGGCGACACAGAGATACGTTACAGTCTCTTCCATTTCAAGAATGTAGTCTGCCTTCTGGAACATGGGCTGAGATCGTTGACGAAGTGGTTCATAACAGCCACACCATCTCCTCGTTTTTCTTGCGCTCAGTCAACGAGACATATATTCCGATTGACAATGGTACTATCCTGAGTCCAGCGGAGCTAGATGAATGGAAATATGAGGGCCATATCGAGGTTTCTACGGATGGCGAGCGCAAGTTTGTAAGTGGGGCGTGTGCATTTTCACTGCCTCGTAGCTGACCAGCATAGGTGGAGATAGAGCCGACGAAGAAGTCAGTATATCTTCGAACGACGTAATCAGCCTCAAGCTACGGGTGCTGGAACCTACAAGAAAATGTTGATGGGGTGTGTCAGAATCAGATGCGTTGACCTACAGCTGCCAGTGCCCCTTACCACACCGCGACCCTCATCCACAACGCAGAGCCGCTCATATCCTAGACTGCTTATGCCATTGGCGCTAAGTCGTCGTAGCATTCCCTTGTATTGTTCTAGCTTTTTCAGCTCGCAGCTTCTGTACAGAATGCACAGACATATCACAGGTTTACGCCTTCCCTATTCATCGTCTCTACATTGGGTAGGTTCTAAAGAGAACTAATTCCGGCTAACATTAGAGGCATACGTATTCAATAGTATGGCCTGCAGAGCTTGTGTTTATCCCTGTCGTAGGGCTGGCGACAAGACCATATTAGCTGGGTACACTGATAGCAGATCCCACTAGCTACAAGAGGTAGTCCGACGTGGCGGGCTGGCTTCTGAACGGTTCGGATGATTGAACGTCTCAAAATTGAGAGATGGTAAGCCTTTTGCCATTGTAACACTTACCGTTGTGCTGGTTCACGCGCGTGGCTGACAGGGTTGCAGACCAACTACAGTACGACATGCGATGCATCTACAAGTCAGAATCCTGGATCTCTTACATGCCTCCAGCACTTGACTCCTCAATTTGTAATGCAATCCGCCGCCATTTCCGCTGGCAAGCTGTTTGGGCGTGATGAATGCTATCAGTCCTGCCGCTGCTAGCGCCATTCACGAACACGTCACGCATCACCGTCTAATCAGGCACTAATGCCCTTTCCCACGCTACCAGCCTCTCCAACGCCCTCTTTTCTTGGCTTCAAAGACCGCGTATCTCTCAATGACTGCCCTCTCGGCGCCTCCCGATAGTTCGTTCCCTCAAGTGGCCGCTCAGCACACGAAGTAGCTTCTTTCGATGGACACCCAAGCTGTACCAACCTAAACCATTCCTGCAGGATACACATGTGTTTCGTGAGTCAGAACTTTACACCTTGACTGAGGCATACTACGTATACCGTTTCCATACACGGACAGCTGCACGCTTTGTGCTGGAGGCATGACGACGCCTCAAGCATGGATTGTCAAGAGGCGAGGGGCAAAATTTAAGATGAAGGTTCGCAGGACTGCGACGCAGTGCATAGTCCTGCGGTGCTTAAGATTCATTGTATCCTCGTTCAAGCACGAGATCTCCTCTCTCTCCTCGTTTCTAGCAACCAGCTCACACTACGCTTTTCGTTGAGTCACTCTTCGTTAGGTACTTTTAACCATTCTACTTATACAGGGGGCAAATCAGCAACTCACAACACTCCATCTGCTGAGGTTGCTACGCCCTCTTCTATTGTGTTGTCCTATTGTGCTGTCCTATTGTACTGGCCTGTTTCACGCTAGGCTACCAAATCTGTACGGTTCCGGCCTGTTTGCGCATTGCGCAGCCTCGCCTCATATTCGCTCCTCGATCGGATCCTACATCATCCTATGAGCTAAAATGGCGTACGAACATTCTGGATCTCATAGTCATGGAAGCGGCTGGGTCCGCAACGGTCAAGTGCAAGACCAGAATGGCTCCCGTCGGATCTCATACTCCCGGGATGAATATGTCAGTTTAGGTGCGGTCAAATCAGGAAAGTCTTAATTGACCACAAGCTAGTCTACACGTGAAGGAAACACAGCATATAGCAACACCAGATCTAACGATCGAAATGATGCAGCCGATGATCACTTGCACGACTACCATTTCGACGGGTATGCCTCAAATTCCGGTACAAACCGAAATATGCACTCCCGCTATCCTCGTCAGCATAGTGATCGCCAGGAATCATATCGCCACCAAGACCTCCATCGAGCATGGCAGTCAGTCAATCCAGAGATTGATCGGGTCATCAACGATGTCGCTGTACGTGAGGCAATCTTGAGACTCGAAGGTCGCACCCACCATCACAACTGCAGCTCCGCAAGGCAACTGCAACCGACATTATCTCAAAACCGTCGTCACCAAACGCATTCCTCTGAGTGGTATGAGAGGAACAGTCGGCCACTTGGACGATCAAATCTCCGCAATCTGGATTTGACCAGAGGCCCGACAAACGCAACGCGCCGATGGAGGGATGAAGACCAACGATCGGGGCCATACAACAATATTGGACAAGTGGGCCGGCAATCTGACTACGAACGAGGTGCACCGCAACAGTATGAACAGGATGAAGAAGAGTACGAGTACGACGACCAAAGCGACACGCTGTACTGACTCGTCTTCAAATGCTCGCCATGCAGGTCAGAAAGGCGACATACACCCACGCTCTTATACTACGCTTCCTCGAATCTTTTCTGTTTACATCACAGGGCGCATCATAGAAGGCTATGCATCCTTTTCTTTCGCTCCAGGCAGCGGAAATCACGTTGGGGGCCACTTTCGGCGCTTATGGTACGTAGTTCAATGTCTTATCTCTCTCCAGTTAGGCTGAATGCCGTGATTGTGGCTGTACTTCAGCCTAGTAATTGATGTTCTCTCGGTACCAAGAGGGTAACATGGGCTTACGGACATCACGATCGCGACTGGCATGATTTTTGGAACAAGCGAATAGGTATTGAAAATAATGGCGAATGAAGTATATTTTCAAATCGACTGCTTCATAGCACCGTCCATTTTTTCCAAGTGTAGCAAAAATCGACGTCACTCTTGGTACTGTCGGCATATTAGGCTGCAGCCTGGCAACAGAGGAGCCTCATCGCACTCGAACTCGCTCCGCTCACATGCGCAATCCTACGCAAGTGCACTGTTAACCTCGGCGATCAATGCTACCTTGTCATTACCTGAATCTAGAGAGTGTACGTACTCACCGGTACGCACGATATTAACCGTGCCGTGGCCGACGCTTACTTTGTTCACCGGTGCCTGAGTGTGCGCGTCCTGGAGGACAACGAAGGACGCCGGGCGTACTGCAGGTGAAGAAGACGTGATGGGCAATTATGGCGAGGAACACAAGGATAGGTCGATTCCAGATCTGGGGCAAGATTGCCCATTCTGTAGTTGCACTAGCGTGCATTGGAGGCATACAAGAAATATAATAGGTAGTTTTCGCAGCTAAGATTTGGACTTGCAGATGTTCCATCCCATGGGCGAGAGAACGAGACACTGTATTATCATGTATCAGTAACATCATACCTACGAAGCAGTGAAAGCTCTCGAGATGTCAGTTGATGTGGCAGAGACACGCGGTCTACTTTGTGAAAGAAAAAGGCACGTTATGCGGCTCCGCGGTGATCCACTGCGCCTGGTCCCGTTGGAGCGACAGGTGCGGGTGTCTGTGCTTTAATGACCTCACGCGCTTTCTGAACGGGCCGACTGCCGTCCTGATCCTTCTCCAAATCAGCGTGTATTTGCTCGATGGCTGGCACGTTGGATCGACCACCTCGCGTGCGTCACAGGGGCGGGGTAGATGAGACCTCGGAGGGAACCCACATACTGGAAAGACAATCTTACCTCCTGTGGACGGCATGACCGCAACAATTCACAAGATGTACGATCAAAGTAAGCTACTGCTGGCGACAGGCCAGCAAGGCTCGAACCGTGTATGATGAGGCCAGCCACAAGAATGCAACACTCGTGTGAAATGACCCGATCAATCCCTTACAGTGGATCAAGAGAGGCCTAACGCCACAGTAATCTTCACCGGTGAGCCAGTCGCTATCACTAACCACTTCTGCTACACAGGCCTAGATCCTGAATCTACCTTGTTCAAGACAAGTGAAGTATGACGCCCGAATTGTTTCTATCTATGGATTTTGCTCGCGTACCAGATCGGCATGTCTGAAAATAGAAGCTTGACTGAGGTGCAATGTTATTTTGGTGCCTCAAGTACGAGCTCTAAGCAAGCGGCGATCTAATGTCAGTATATAACGAGTGCGAATGTCTCCATCACCCGGTTGAAGGGTTGGTGAACTTGCTGCTCATCGAGGTACTGGGTCTCGCGCAGCTAATGTTTATGGGCAGCTCTATCTTTACCAAACTCCGCGACCTGAATACGTAAGCACCGCGTGTTCCTCCAGAACTTGACTGCTCTCGAGCAGCGTCCCTTGGAACATTCTTCCGCCCGCACCATGCTGCAGGCTTTTCTGTACCGCCAGCAGTGCCTTGGCCCAATTGCGCTCGCTTCATTATCTCGGCCGAAGCCATTCGAACATTGTCCGTCGAGCCTCGCTGCGTTTGTGAGCAAGCACGGCTGAGGTTTTGCGGCGCCGCTCAATATCCATACCGGTCAGGGTGGTTGCCTGTGCACTACTCTCGGTTAGACTTTCACGGCTGACAGTCTCAGTTCGGACGTCGCCGAGTATCTGCCTCCAGGGCTAGACAGTAGCCATGATTTTATCTAGCACTACGTCGTACAACATATCAGAGAGTCCTGCCGCTAATGCAGTCGAAGAGACAAGCAACTCTCGGGGAACCAATCAAATACCGTGAGCGATTGCACTTTGCTCCTGAGCTGTGAGCGTTGCGTCAAGCATCGCTTGTTGATCACGTACTCATATTCATTTTGCCTGTTTTCAGGCAAACATGTCGAGGGTTTACTACTGAACGGCGACCAAACGAACTAAGCCAAGGACCGCCCGTGCGCCCATTAGAAGGGCAGAGAAGGGCGGCAACATGACAAGTACAGGAATTATATGCCTCAGGCTGACCGCTCTACGACGAATCTATATTCCTCCAACGCCATCAATCTATTCCTCCAGGAATTGCATTGTGTTGCAGTTATGGCTAACAGACTATAACGCAGCAATTGTGTTAGATAAGATCCTCCTCAGTCTCAGCAATTTCGGACGTGTAGTTGTCTTCCATCCCCCGCGTGGAAAATATGCATCTGCTATCGCGAGTTTGGGAATCTATGTGAGTCCGTAATCCCACTTCAACATTTAATTCCGCGACCTTTCAGACTAACTGGATTAAGAGCTGAGCCAACGCACGCCTGGCCTCGAAGCAATTCATTGAGACACGATCGTTCACTCTTTGAACTAGATTCAATAGAGACGCCCATCGCTAGGAAATCCAAATCGATAAGAATTCTACGACTTGGTCGGTGCTACCTCGACATTGGCTGGTCGCCAACTACAAAAGGGAAGCGAAGTACTCGCAACGAAGTCAACTGGCTATCACAGAAAGGTCCAGGCCGAATTCTCGAGCTACCTACCAATTCAACTGTTGGTAGAGTAGAACTCCCCTGCCACCCCGTTTCACCAGAGCTACCTCTAAACCAAGCTCCTGGAGAATTACCGAATGAAGCTTCCGCGGTGTACGAATTAGAAAGTCCAATATATGAGCCTTTTGAGCCAACAGATGCTTCTATGGACACTCTGGGTAATATCTACATCGACATGAACGGGTATATGCCCGAGAAACGAGACTATGGCTATGAGCATGCCATAAGTCATGCATTGCCTTTAGCTGCACCACATTACACCCTCCCAAAGATTATAACCCAGGACTACTTGGAGACACCGCCAGGTTTCGCTAGCGCGAACAGCTCTCACAGCACATCCCCCATCTCCCCAGTCACGCCGAGTCTAGAAAGTGGTCATGGAGCGAACGCACAGCACCACATCGTTAGCCCTATCGCTACTACCGCGGTTTCGCATCAATCGCATCAATTTCTTTCCGACCATTTCCAAATCGAAGAGATTGGATATGCCCAATACCACAGCGGGCCACACTTTCCCGTCCCGGGGTTATCATTCACATCGCCCACAGCACAGCCTTTTGATCAACACGAACCATCGTCAAAAGACTGTGTCTATAGCAGCTTACTTTTCTCGTCGAACGATGACTTGGCGGCCGAAGATCCTACACAAGACCCACCATCTGACCAAGAGCCGGTTGTCGCCAATTTATTTGAAGTGAGTCAGGATGATACATGGGATACAAGCGAAATCTACAAGACGGATACACAAGAGATCGACCCACCGGCATACTCATTTCGAGATTTTCTTCAACCTTTCAATCTCACGGACACCTGCGCCGTACCTCAGTCCTCAGACCATTCCGAGAAGTCTACTGTGCCAGAACAAGACTACTCCTACCTTGGCGATAGTCTCCAGCAAGATACCCACGGCTTTCATATTTACACCAATGATGAAGTCCGAAACCGTGAGCTGCCATCCACTTCTCGTTCTGCGAAGAGGTGTAACATTTGTGGGAAAGAATTTACCGGCCAGTGAGTTGATGTATGATATGGCCAGATACTCTGACAATTAACAGTTTGTCTAGATACGGCAAGGGAAATTTAGCACGGCATGTTCGAGAGAAGCATTTGGTCCAATCCGTGATTGGCAAGGTCTGCCGTATATGCAAAAACGTCTACAATCGTGCAGATGCAACGCGAAAGCACGAATGGAAGAAGCATCGTCTCCAAGATGCTCGCCCCAATAAACGGCGGAAAGCATGGTAGTGCGAGCTGAAGACGCACGATCGGCTGCACATCTTCTACGATGCAGCGTCAGATAAGAAACCGGCCTTTCTTCTGGTTTAGTAGTAATTGAAGTCGCAGGCGACTTTGCATTTCGTTACCTCCTGGTACAGTTGCTGGATGATCCTGGAGGCTGTTTCCTGAGAGACGCAAGCGTCCCACAATTCTTGTATATATCGTTTTTTTTTGGTAACCTTCATTGCTGGTGGTGTGCCGGGTATGAGCTGGGATCGATCGTGTACACCAGAATACCAAGATCCGTTCGCTAAAAATCGCCCTCGAGAAGAAGACCAGTAGTACCACATGGTTAATCAGGAGAAGAGCCAAGCTAGAACGCCTGTTCAGGGACACAATCGCGGTGGGGACGCCACAAGCATAAGCCGCACGATATGCGTCATTAGAATAGTGCATCCTACTTTTCTTGCACATCTGGGATAACCCGTTGATATTCAGGGTTCTATTTCATATTGCATAATTTCATGTCTTCGTTAATAATCTCAATATGCGCCTCTTATCATCTTCTCTTCGCCAACCTAAACGGATGTGCCTCTGTGTTGAACACAAAATCATCTAGACTGATCAGATCCGCGTCTGTAAAGCATAGATAAAAATATTTCAACGTCTCTGCCATCCAAAAGCTCTCCATATAGTCTTCCTTCTCTGCGCCAAGAACCGTAACGTCCAAAACCGCTGCATTCGCGTACTCGGTGTCTGTCGCTTTGGCCACTGCTTCAAACATATCCCACGCAGTCTCGCGCCACCACGGATCCCCTGTGATGCGCCAAAGGATGAAGACAGATTCAATCGCCTCGGGTCGGAGGATATACCGTGGGTCCTTTGCCGTGGTGAAGCCCTTGGGAAGATGGGATTTGTATTCAGGACGCTTCAATGTTTCTGCTTCGAAGTAGGACTCGTTCCACGCGCATGATTCCAGGCGATCTGAACCTGGACACATGGCCATGTTATACCTCTCAGGCATAATGCCGGTAGGCATTGAATGGTAGGCATATGCACAGCCTCGTGCTAGCTTTACGCCCATCTCGAGGTATTTTTTATTCTCGAATAGTCGTCCACCTAGGGCATAAAGACCTCCAATAAAGCAGGAAAGATGTTCACTCTCAGGATCAAGGCGTGGTCCATCTTCGAGGACGTCGCAATTTCCAGAAATCAGGATGTCATACTCTTCTTCGGGTATCATGGGTCGAAAGAAGAGGTTTTCCATCGCCGTGTCCATGAAGAAGCGTGCCATATCCTCGTACTTTTTCGAACTTGGATCTGCTGATCCAAGCAACGCAAACGCCTTGGGTAGATACTCGTACAGAGAATCTGCATTACCCCCAATGGTAAATTGAAAGCCAGATACAACGTCTTTGGCTGCCATTCCTACATACATCGGCCACATTCCAGGCAACTTTGTCTCATTCTGACCTTGGCGGAAAACATCCATGACCTGCGAGACTGCTGCGTAGTATTTGTCGTCTCCAGTGATCTGGCTCAGTCGGCTGAACTCCAGGGTAATGGTTCCAGGACTCGCGCTCACAACTTGGCCCTCCACGGAAAGCCCCTCCCCGGTCTTCGCCGCCTCGAAATTGATGAAATCGACTGGCATGCCGTTCTCAGTGTTGAAACCAGCGTACAGCAGGTTCCCAACCTCAATCGCCTTTTCTTTCAGAACCTTGTGGCCACTGAGATCGTATGCAGCAATCAGACCGCCTAGATATCGTATACACGTCTCAAACATGTTGACAGCCGGTGCAGTACTCTGGCCAAAATCGATCGTCGCCACCGCCTCTACGCCCTCGTAGAATTCGTCGCGCAGTCCCATCATCCAAAGCGTATCCAAAGTGTCTACCAGCGTCGCCGCCCAGCCAGAAAACTGGTTGACATCCTGCCCACTGATGGGCTTGAGCGCATCCTTCATCCATGCCTGTTTTTTGTAACTAGCCCAGCTCTTTCCAAACACTCTTTTGACTTCTCTCCTCCTCTTGTCTTGGATGGCTGCGGCCTCCTGCGAGTCGGTCTTGAATCGAGCTTGTATGCGTGGACGCTTCGTCACGGGTGCTGGGAGTCTCGGCGTGCGTGGCGGTGGGTATGTGAAATTCACAGAAAGCCAATCGAAGCTGCTTTTGGTCGCTGTGATATTCGATCGATGAGACGGATCGTTCATGTATCGTGCCAATGCGTCTGTATCGCGCTTGGAGAAGCGGCGAGATATAAAGGGTACAGCTTCATCGCGTGGGAGGAAGTAATAAATCCATAGTATGGTAATTGTGCATATCAGAATGTGTCGTGTGCGAATGCGCGGCATCTCAGCTGGTGTGATGTGGTGTTTGAGCGCGCATTGCGGGTGATGGTGTCGTGTTGCGTCGGGAAGCTACCGACCGGTACGAGGAAGGGCAGGCGATGGAAGGGATACATATTGACCCAATTCTTCATGGTCGCTGGTACTGTAGGGATCTTCCGACAAGCATTGTCGGAAGATATTGGAGCGCGGACATGCTGACAGGTGGGAGAATTTCTCCGTATTACTGCACGTCGTCACCCCTGGCCGCATGGTTCTGCTGCATCCATCCGTCCCTCGGCGGGGCTGAACCACCAACACGATAATGGTACCATTATCAAACAACAACTTGCAAACATCGATACACGACCAGACTTTTTTATTTAAAATATGCTTAATGAATTGAGCTCAATTCAATAGATCCTCACTTCTGTACCAGGCCTATCCAGTGTAATGTATTTCCCAAGCATAAATCCAGCGCCCACTCGCTTGCACTTCATCCATGGACCGTCGACTGCCTGATTCTGCGTCGGAATTACAAGTAGAACATAGTACCGTCTATCCTGATCTGATCGCGCAGCTTTTGACCTTGCAACAATAACGCATTGCACCCGCTGACCCTCAGAGCTCTTTTCAGTATCATAGGCAATCTTGACTTCTTCTGGATCGCGGCCCTTGAGATCGAAATCTCGCGCAACAGCTGCAATGGAGACGTCCTCATTGGTATCTGGGTGTTGGTGATTGCCCCGCGTCCAGGGTGGTATGAGCTCTCCGGTCTCCCAAGTTGCGGACTTGAAAGGCGGATCCGTGTAATCGATGCCGCCCCTGTATGCCATCCAAGACCAACTGGGCACGTGAAAGTCTTTCTCGGCTGGGAAAGCGATTGCCACTAATGGCTCGCCGTCTTTGCTTTCCGCTGCGTTCCATTCGCGCCGCCAAAGCAAACTCCGATGAAATAAGCCACTACCAAGCTTGTTTCCGTCGTCAAAGATACCGTATCTGCCCTTTGTGCCGAAAGCTCGTTGGAGACGCTTCTCAAGGCCGGCAATGGCGACCGGCCGATCTTCCCAGCGAGTGAAACCTAAGCGAGAGTATTGCTTGTACAAGCCCTGGAAGTACTCTATCTTCAAAGCACGCGACCTGACGCGCATGGCTTTGTCGGGGAAGCTAGGGTCGCCGAGAAAGTCCGCCATATTACTACAAGTCCTTTTAGCCGTGTATGCTTTCGATGATCACGATTGCAGCTTACTTGTGCATCAAAGTCAGGGTCTCACAACGAACACCATTACCGCATTCGAAGTAAGTCTGGTTCTCTGTGAAGTATATGGTTCGCCGAGCCAAGGCGCGCTCTTGCAGAACCCATCCGCGCTGATTCAGAGATCCCAGGATAACGTCGTCATTGAACTGATCGATGGTCTGGCAAACATAGAAAGGCTTTTCAGGCTGAAACGAGACGTGTTTGCGTCGTGGTCTTGCACCAAGAAAGCCATCTCGTTGATCACCAGCGCGACTAGCAGCGACCACGCAGTACGCACCACTGTATACATCTTCCATTCGCTTGGCTTCATCAGAAAAATCGCCATCTGGACCCTGTATGATACATATCGAATCGATCCATAGATATCTGACGTTCAGCTTACGTGTACAGTCTACTGCATCTTGAAAGGTTTTTGGCAAATCGTCGTAAGGAATAGCTTTCTTGAATCTGGCGATATCGTGGCCAGCGTTGCTTTCGTCGTTGCATAGAGTTACGAAAGCTTCGTATACGTCTGTGTTGCCCCATGGATGCGAGAGTGCGATATAATGCGGATCCTGCACAATCTCGTGTCGCGTCTCTACAAGCCGAAGGACGAGGCCTTGTGAAGTACCAACATCAATGAGTCTTGTAGGAAGTTTGTGTGTGATCTGCATTTGACAGCCTGTGTGGTTATCATCGCAATCTTTGAGCCATGCTTTGGCAAGTTCGAAGAATGCCTTGGAATCTGAGCTCGTCAGATCTGGAAGCTCGGGTCTTCCAATCTGGATGGCAGTAGGCGTGACAAGCTCTAAAATGAGGGTGATGATTAGCGATATAGCGAATCGGCAAGGTAGTTGCTCACCCGGACTTCGTATGAGCGAAAGGATTGGGAATGCGTTGCCTGTTATGGTAATTACGGACTGAGTCCTTTCAAATCTGATCTTCTCGCTGTGAGGACGATCAGTACCAAGGCTTGCGTCGTTAAGCAGTTTACACAAGTCGCAAGTCGCTGCAGACTTTGCTAAAGCGTCAACACCATCCTCAATTGCAAACCCCGATGACCAAAAATTGAGCTTCGCACATCGTCTGCACAATTTGTTGCGTACATCCGCAGGTTCTTGCGCCCCTTCAGCGCCAAGATGCTTGATTACCTTTGTAGCAAAGACATTGTCGACTCCGAAATCCCAAGATTCAAGGGGTGGCAGCGAATAGTCTGCGCTAATAGTCCTACTCATGATTCCTGTCGATAACGGCCCAATCTTGCTGTCCACCAGCCTAGATGGATCAGACCCAGGTTGAGTCGTTGGAACGAGGAATTTTCCGTAACTACTTGGAACCATAGGCAGGCTGACATCAGAACGGTCCTGACCCGTAAACACATAGGCAGAGTCTTTTCCCTTCTTCTGTATTGCGTCCAAAGCCTTGCGAAACTCAGCTGCTGTCGCACGATACTTTGTCCTGCCTCCTACGAAGGCTGGAGCGAATCCACGTGCGCCACCGCCGTCAGCCAGTGCACTTCCTCGAGTAGGAGGCAAGTCGACGACTAGAAGTTTCTCCCGCACAATATACAGAAGATCTTTGAGCGCAGATGCCGATTCTATGTGACACTCTGGGTCCTCCTTCTGTATATGGTCCATCCAGCTGATCACAGTGGGATGAACCACTGACCGTGAACCTGTTTCCGTTCGCTGTAGCTTGTAGTATTGGAACTCGGAAGGAGAGCTTGAACTTTCCGCTTGTTCATAAAACTCAACAAGGGCTTCATTGCCGTACAGCAACCAGATGATGAATTCGAATGTGATGCACCCAATTGACCAAAGGTCGTAAAGCCTTGATCGGCCTTGAGTAGAGTTCATTGTTTCGGGTCCTTCGTATCGACGCGTTCCGTACCTCATGCTGGTTCCGCGTCGTTTCTCGGTGGCGGCTACGTGTCTCTTCGCCAGGCCCATGTCTCCAAGCTTGAGCGTACCGATTACCTCAGAGCTACCGTCTAGGAAGCGCAGTATGTTCTCAGGCTTGAGATCCCCGTGCCGGATGGATTCTTGACGAAGTGGATTTCGATAATCATTCACATCCTCGTCATCGTCCATCTGCGACGTGGCGTCATCTGCGGAATCGACCCTTACTTCAACGATTCGATAGGTTTCGTCGGTGGCGGCAGGACGGCCGCCTTGAAAGTTGTGAAGATGGTCTAAAGCATCAGCGAGACCTCTGAGCTGGCGGATAGCCTCTCGAATGAGCTCTGGTTTGGGGGACTGTTTGGGTATTGTGTTCCAGTAGTCTCGCAGACTATCTTCCGCCCATGGAAACATGAAATAACGGCTTTCACCGCGTCGTATTGCTGCAAGACTTTTCATAATGTGGGTGTGGTCCAGAAGATTGATTGCATCTAGAGCCCGTGCCTCAATATCCCAGGCTTTCTCTGTCTCAAGCGGTCCAGAACTCCTTTGAACTGTGATTTGTTTGATAGCAACCTGAATCCTATGTCAGTTCAATGATACGTAGGAATTTATAAGCATACTTCGAGCGATGCATGTCTTTGCTGGTGATGCTGGTGCACTACAACTTTGAAGACATGGCTAAATGACCCACCTCTCGGCTGCGTCTCTACGACTCTCCTAAAGGGCAGAATGCACTGACTAGGAAGATCATACTCGTAGCAGCTCGAAGTGAATACCGGGGCCTTGCACGTCCACTGGAATTGGAAGAACTCGTCGTGTCGCTGATCCGTCCAAAACTCGGCATTGAAAGCTGCTGATCTAGGTGGTCGGTTACGCCCATCCGAGGCTCTGGGATCGTTTATTGGCAGTGCCTCGTCTTCGAAGTCATTTGTGTAGAAATTCAGCATCGATCCAAGCAGGAAGTTGGAATCCCGAAGATGACACTGCACAGCGATCACAAAGACCTTGCTAGCCACCGCGATAACCCAATCAATGACAGCTTCTAGTTCTTCGAATGTATAACCATTACTATCTGGAGCTCTCCTGAATTCCCGTTCCACACTTGCTTTGGTAACAAGACCTTCAATGGCGGGATTTGAGGAGTGCCCCTTGATGCATGGCTCGGGCAGATACTGACGCTCCTGGGTATCGAAAGTGCTGGTTGCAAATTTACGCGATAAATTATCTGCAAGATATTCCTGGTCGTAAGCCTTTGGCGCTTTGATTGCGATCTTCTTCTTTGGTGGTTTTGTTGGCGTGGAAGGCGCTCCGTGCCCCGCGGCGCTTTCATTGACCTTGGGCAAGATCTGTGGAGCCTCTATGATGGACACCGAATCCTCATGCGATCTCAAGATCATGGGTAACGATACAGAAGTGACTCCCGGTGGCATGTTGTTATCTGAGCTGGACGTGTAGCCTTGCGATCAAGATCGCCTTGTGATTCAGGCATGGGAAAGATCTCTAGCCTTAATAGTTCATCGCGTCTCAGCCTCGTGTGAGGTCACTATATGACTTACAACTCAGGATAAGCGGGAGGAACCTGAATCCCTGTCCGAACTTGGTAGATTGGCCCTGCCCTATAGTTGCAACACGAGGCTGGTACAAACCTGATCCAGCATACGGAATTGACTGCCTCATCTAGCCTTCAGCTGTTCACATCCACTCCGGTGGCGCTCTGAAAACTTGGGGGCTGAAGTTCGGCTGTGTCGAGGCCAGAATTGGGGGCTGAAGCTAGGTGCCACATCATGCGTACTGACGCCAAATGGGGGCTCTTATGCAGCCACAAGCACATGCCCCACCCCCAAAAGGTGTTTTGGTCCACCGGTACACCGGCTGATCCCGCAGTCTGTATGGTTCTGAGCCTCGACGGGTCATCTGTTCGCTATATATCGATATAGAGTCATACACGGCCGCTTGGCTGTCAGAAAATTTCACGGCCCCAGACTGAGATCTGATATGGTTCATTGATCTGTAGGCTGCAAGTCCTTTCTACGTTGTGCGTAGTGTAGACAAAGAAGACACGCCTGGTTATTCGGCCTTAACATCCCTCAAACGCATATTCCTTTCAATAGGACCTTGCGCGTCCTTTGAAAGCTCGACCTCAGTTGCTCGAAGCAATATTTCAGGTAGGACATGTTCGCCGTTGCACCACTGGCTGGATCCCATGGCGTAAGTCTCTGACTCGCAATTTTCGCGCAACTTTCTCAACTCTCTGCATATATCTTTGCAAGAGCGTCTCTTTCTTGAATCCACTATGAGCATGTCATGCATGACCAGATTCAGTAAATTATGAAGGAACTCTGTGCATCGAGGTTTGTGGTGCAATTTTTCAACAAACTACAATGATGTGGTCAGTGGCGATAACGTAAGTCAATGTGGTCAAGCATACCTGAAATACCGAGTCTTTGATCTTGGCTTCCGTCTTTCCGGTCAAAGGGTTGCATATGAGCTCAAAGTAAGTGTCAGTTTCATAATTGCTGTATGCTGGGTCGCGCGACATCCGCTTCTTCGCAAAGCTCTGGACAAGTCCAGCACCACCGATCGTCCATGTCACGAATTCAAGAAACACGCAACCGAGGCACCAGATATCAAAAGATTGCCGTATCGTTCTGTCTGCGGAGTCGCATTCTGGGGGGCGATATGTCATGGTGTTGGCGACATCTCGATCGCCCGTCTTGCTCCAGCGGGAATTCATCTCAGCTGCTCCGAAATCGGCAATTTTTAGATCTCCTCTCAAATTTTTCGATGATGCCCTTGGCCCCTCCTTATCATTTGCAAACCAAAGGATATTCTGAGGATTGATGTCACCGTGTCGACCGTATTTCACCTCGTGGTCCTTCGCAACTTCATTCTCTGACGAGAACGATCGGACTGGCGCATGAAATTCATGTTTATGTGTCTGGTCATCTATGGCGAATGACAAGTCTGATGCGGTTTGATCTGCGCTTTCGACAAACGTCACCTGTACTTTGCCTCTTTTCCCTCCTGCTTGATCTTCGACTTTGTGAACACGCCGCTTCCGGAGCGTTCTGTGCCTGTGTATCCTGAAAAGACCTTCTGTAATGCCAAGGCATTGATCGACGATCCAGATCATATCGGCGTGTTCCAATTCCGGGTGTTTCACGTCCTTGGCCCAGAATTTGCTCAGATCACTTTGCGCGCGATCAAATATAAAATGGTATTTGTTCCGGTGTCGGTAAGTTGCAAGAAGCGATACGATGTGAGGATGTCTGTTAGCCCCACTAAACTTCTTCAGTATCTCCCTTTCTCTTCTGAATGATCGGCGGTCATTGGAGTGCAATTGTTTGACCGCAAAGCCGCGATCCGGGTCCGTCTTGCATCCGAGTTTGTGATGTGCTGTGTGTAATCGAACCATGATGACTCTTCCATACCCACCTTGACTCTCAGCGCTATCGTCCTCTGCTTGATGTGATGTCACAAATGGTAAGATATGTTGATCGTTAAGCGGATAGTGGTTAATCAGACCGTATTTACCATGTGAGAAAAATGGTGCTAGCATATACCACTGGTATCTGTCAAACTGCTCTCTTGACGACGGCGACCACTCTTCGTCGTTGAAACACCGAAGCAGTGGTTGTGGTGGTACTTCATGGTTGGGACTGCGTCGTCTCATGCCAATAATGCTCCCATTGTCTTTCACGGGTATGAGAGGCAGGTCAAGGTCGCTGACCTGTTCGTCAAGAAATGAGACAATGAACTCCGGTCTTTCGGCTAACACCAGTATGACGAAGATCGATCGAAACGACTTTCGCTTCAGTCTCCCCTCTATGAGACAAGGTGTAACTTTGCAGATAGTATTGGCATAGGCCCGGATGTCGTCGTTGGTATAATCCAGCTGGAGACAGTTTGTGAGCTCGGCAAACACGGTAGATGTGTTGATGACATGACCGAGTTGATCCTTGGGGAAGAATCGTTGTGTGGGTAAGGATGCATCGTCGTTACGTGCTATCTCCATTGCGCTGTATATCTGCTTTTGCAATGCGTACCGTTGGGATTTCTTTCCCCGCGCGCTTGAGCTTACGGCTCGCTCAGACTCTGGCTTCACGTCCGAAGACTGTCGCATTTCCAAGTGATCCTGTTCGCCTCCATCTGAAACTACGCTGGTCGCCATTGAGAAATCGGACGGTTGTGCCACAGGTCTTAGCGAGCTCGTGTACAGTCTACTGTAGTCTAGATCGCTATCCTCTGAGGAGATGTCTGAGTCCATTGGCATACTCTGAATCTTTTTAGTAAGATGATCGATCTAGCGGAGCAGAAACATACGTCTGAATCCGAAGCGTTGTTATGTTCTTCGTCCTCGAAAATGGGATTTGTTGACACAAATGAACAGCGCCTTATCAACGGTGTGGCTGCTTCATCACCTTCAGACTCGGTCTCGACTCCACAAGAGGAACTCTCGATACAAGCACCGCTTCCAGTATCACTATACGAGCCGAGGAAGAATGAGTCAGATCGGCCTCGTGTTGACGCTCGGTGCTCCCTTGAACGCTCGACTGGGGAGAGTTGACTGGGTGAGTTCTCGCTGTCGTCAGTAGGCCCATGAAGCCCTAGTCGTGCGTTGAAATCGAGCGCCAGCCCATTACTTTCAAGCGACTGGGTATGATCTAACCCCTGCTCATCTACACGTATCTCTGGTGGCGATGATTGGAGGTGACTTCCGAGACCGGCCAAATCCGTGGCTCCAACTGCAGGACGCGTCGTGGCATGACGATGATTGTCGTTGGGCGAGGCCGAGGCATGCATTCTAGTCATTGCTTGATGATATAGACACGGTGCCTTGAGCTGCCAGACACTTCAGAGACAGCTGTGATGAATAGGCGCTCGTTTTTGCATGCAGAAGGGCACGAGGCTGCCGAGCGGCCTCACCCGTGTCGAGTCGTGCTTTATGGGGGCGCCTAGGGCCATAAGTTCAAGGGCGCATGGCTCGAGGCTAAACACATGAGACATGGCATGCGAACACCAGCGGCTAGTATTGCGGGCTGACATTTGGTGACCGGTGTGCATGGTGGCTTACTGTGTTGCCTTTGGGTGGTGCTGAGAACTTCGCCCCTGTCACCACTTTTGGGCCTGCTAAGCCACAGCGGCGCAGCTGAAGCAGTCACGAACGACACCTGTCTCAGGGCTCTGCCTCTTTATATGCCTTCTTCTTATGGCCGGTCTCCACTGCTCATTGTCTTCACCAGTTTTCTTCTTTTTTGTATTTGTGACAGGTTTTGTAGCCATTCACACAAAGATTCACCATGAGAGCAGACAATAGCCACAAGATGTCCGAAAGATGTGCTCTATGACAGTGACGAAGATCTTGAATACGATCCTCCCACACAATCTATCTCTGGAAGAAATATCGATCCAGCCAAGTTGAAGATTCTACTGAGGACAAAATTCGGTGCTGGATCTTTTGAGATCCAGATAATACAGAACACCTACTGTATCAATGCTCCTCGAAAATTATCAAATGTAAGCCACTTTCAAAGCAAGATCTAGACCATGCTAATAGTTTACAGTGCGAAATAGCGCGATGTCGAAGAAGGGCAATGTCTTGAGCACACCTGTGCGCAAGGCCATGTTAGCCAACAGGCGATGGAGAAGCCCCTGTGCGAAAAGACGCACCAAAAGCTCTGCAGGAGGCGGCCTTTCAAGCATGAGGAAAGACGAGGGAATTCCCCCAGCTTGATTGGTCGTAGCGAGGAGTTCAACGTCTTTGTATGAACTCATATCGCTTAGCAAGTTTGGAACAATCCCACCAAAGTGCTAGTAGCGAAGCCATGATCACGGTAGTTGGAAGAGAAATATCGCCTCAATTTTCGTATACAAGCTATATTCTACTGCCCGCATTCAACAAGTATGAAACTACCGCATGGGCAGTCCTTTGTTATGTCTGTACGAGTGAGGATCATAACCTAGAGCTCCCAATTCTCTTATCGCTCTATTTTCATGCTATCAACACTCATTAATATCATGATCACCAAACCAACAAGACATGTAGACGATATGGTGTGGATTATAAACTAAATATAAAAGATGGGTATAACCAATGCTGGTATCTCAAAACGCGACTGCCGTTACTAGAGCTTCGAATGATGCTCTACTCTATTCCTCTTCAATCCCGAAAGAAAACCTTCATGAGCAACTTCAGAATTCGATTTACTTCTTGAAGCTCTTGCTGCTCGCTCGGCTGTTGGCACGCGGCCTAACAACGAAACTCTCCCGAGTGTTGACACGATCGATGTCGTATGGATTTGCTGTTGAGTAGTCTTCGTTCCTTACTGTTCTCCTGCTTCTTGTGGAGCGACCAGTTTGTACCTTCTTAAGATCCGCACCTTCGGTCTCCTTCTCTGTCTTCATCTCCGCGAACTTAGGCACGCCTTCGCCCTCCTCAATGTGGGCTTCCTCTTCCGCCTCTTCCTCGACGGCCAGAGTTGCGGTGCGAGAGCTGTCAGCTGACTCCTCACCCTCCTCTTGACTCTGTGCCTTTGCTGCTGCCTGGTTGCGGATGCGTGTCATAAAGGCTTCAGATTGTGCGGCGTACTTGCACTTCTTGCGGATAGTAGCTCCATACTTGTAGAACAGGAAGGGCAGGGGAATACAAGCAACAGCTAGGAAAGCAGGGATGGATGAGGCCCAGTGAATACCGAGACTGTCGTACATCTGCTTCGTGAAGAGAGGGAAGGCGGCTCCGAAAACAGATCGGATGATACCGTTACCAGCGAGGACAGACGCGGCGAAGATGGTGTACGAATCGATCAGATAATTCATGATGGAAAGGAAGATCAGAACCATGCCGAAACCGAAAGGAATGGAAGCAACGACACTCGCAGCCCAGGGAAGAGATGGCGAGTTGGTCCAGGCGAACCAGAAGAGTCCGATGGGAAGCGCGATACCGCCAACAATACACATGGGCAGTCTTGCCTCAGGTGTAGCGTAACCAACGCCTGAAGCTTTGACCTTTTTCATGTACTCTTTGTTGTCGTAGAGAATGACGTAGGTGATGGCAAGGAAGATTCCAATGGCTACAGCGACGAACGGCAGACCACTAATTCCTTCGTTCCAGCCACGACCCTGGCGGTAGACGATGGGGAATGCACCGAAAAGCATGTAGAGGATACCGTAGATGATAGCGTGGTAGAGCGACAGGAGGAGGACAATCGGCTCGCAGAAAAGCAGGATCCATGGGCGCTTGAGGCCAGTTGAGAAGGCCTCTCCAAGGGTAGTCTTTCCCTGCTCAATGTCGGTCCTGGAGCGGTACACCTTTCCTTTCAGCTTTGAGAGCCTCTCGGCACGCCTGCGGAGAAGGACGGGAGGGTATGTCTCAGGCACCAGAAGACCAGCAATGATGAGCATTACACCGGACCAGATAGCCATGAGTCCGTGTACCCATCTCCATCCTTCCGTCATACCCAGGAATCCACCGATGATAGGTCCAAGAACAGGTCCCATAAAAGGCGCAGCCGAAAAGATGGACATGGCTAAACCACGCTCATTTGCGTTGAAGACGTCGGCAATGACTCCTCCGGCATTTGTGAGCGGACTAGATCCAAAAGCGGCGGCAAAGAACCGCAATATGAGCAGACCATAGATGTTTGGTCCTCCAGCAGCTCCGGCATTGAAAGCGACAAATGCAGTATATGTACCGACGAAGACCAGTTGACGACCATAAATCTCACTAAAGGGTGCCCATCTGTTTGTTCACGTCAGTAATAATTCATCTTGTTCACACAATACTGTACTCACAATAATGGGCCTAGCGCAAAACCGAGGACGAAGAGAGAGACACCAAGAGTGACGATTTCTTGGGAGACCTTAAACTCCATCATGATCTGCTGAATGCCTCCAGAAAATGCAGATGAACAGAACGATACGACCAAGACCGAGTTTGCCACGGCAATAGCTATAATCCATTTCTTCGTCTTCGCCCATGTCTAGGGACTGTGAGTATTGGTCAAGATAAAAGTGAGAATTGGATGTACACACCATTGGGTTTCTAGGGTCGTTCTCTATCCATTCCACGACGTAAGGATCATCTTCTGTGCCTTCGCCTTCATAATCGTACTCTTCGATCTCCTTTGTGGTGACGCCTTGGTCGAAGATCATTTTCCAATGCGATATGCCCTCGCGGCCCGACTCTATGTCCTGGCTTGAGCGCCCTGCCTCGCCATCTTTCTCCATGGCGCTGTGTTTCGTCGTATCGAAGCGTGTGTAGAGGTGAGGTCGATCGATGGAAGCGGCGTCAGGGCGTGAAGTAGTAGCAGCCCGGATATTAAAAGACTACTTATTATAACCGGCAAAGAGAAAGGCAAGAACACAAGACGACGATCTTAAAAACGGCGAGGTACTCACGCCACCTATAAAGAGCGTGCACAAACAAGAATAGCCACTGCGACTCAGTCCGAGGACCCAACAGCTCGGATGGACCCCCCTAGGGCGAGATTCCCAGTAGAGAATCGGAATCCACGAAGCGATGACACCATGATTTCGCGATGCCAAAATGCCGTAAAGTCCTCGGCCGACGCTCGCGGCTTTGCCGTTTCCGGACAATGGTTTCACTGCATTTGTGGACCTGCGTGCTCTGACCCAATAACAGACGGACTCAGTGCATCATTTGGGAGACAAGTGCTTCGGCCCAGCGCAGATCGCTGCCTGTGCGTCATAGGGCTTGTCTCGTCGCTAGCTGCATTTGGACGAACCGAGATGCCGAGGCCTCTACAGGAAGAGTTTGCTATGGAGATAAGATCCTGACGGACGGTCGGGGGCAGATGGAGGAACAACAGTCCGTTTCGAATTCTCATGTTGAGTACGCGTTACAATGCAAAGCTGATAAATCGCTGCATAGATCCATGCAGACTTTGACACACTTTTCGCATACTGATATATTGGCGGACGAAACTCATCAAGGAGATGTACAATTGTCTATACTGTACTGGACTCCCCATTAACCTATTAACCAAGCAGTTTCCGCTACTTTGTCTTGGAGACTTTGAGGTTTACACTCCCAGCAACGTCTGACGTTACCTACGCGCGTGACTGCAATTCAATATCAGACTGTGACTCACATCGTACATACAATCAACTTCTGCCCTTCTCGCACACCTACATACACCGTTAGGCACCCCGAATTCCGACTCCGCCTTTTCATCGGAGACAAAACCATGTTCCGAGTCCGATCTCAACGCACTATCTCGCCACCGTGACCATATACACCTGGGCGTGCAAGACAGGCCCGAATAGCAGAATCCCTACACCCCCTACAAATGGACAAATTTCCACACAAAATCTCTGCACTCGCACCAGCAATCTCTAAACATTCAATGCAACGCCCAAACGCGTGGTATGTAGCTCTAAATTTAAGCCCCCGGCACCACCGCAAGCCATCCAGGCAACGGGGCTCCCGAGCAGGAAAAGTGGGCCCCGGACTTGCTGCGATTCATGTACATGTTCTAGACGGAGAATCTTGAGCCGCAATTTTATGAGAAGCCAGAAGTATGCATAGCGACAGAACGTGCCGAGGTTCTGAAAGGCATGGAAAGGCAACGTGAGGTGTTCAATTCATGTTCTCATTTCATTCATTCTTTGTTTACAAATGCAAGTGCCATACGATGGATGCTTTTTATCAACGCCGTTGCGCCTGAAGGAAATTCGTTTCTTCCACTCCCCTTATACTTCGTTACTGGGATAGGTCACCTTCTCCGTCGGCAAGAACTCCTCCTTGATGGCCCTCATGTTCACAAAGCGCGCCAGCAGGTTCGCACTTCCAGCCTTGTCGTTTGTACCACTCGCTCGCGATCCACCAAAAGGCTGTTGTCCAACAACCGCGCCGGTGCATTTGCAGTTGATGTAAAAGTTACCAGCTGCGTTCCTCAACTTCTCTTCCGCGAACTTGATGGTCTCGCGATCCTTCGCGAACACAGCACCAGTCAACGCATATTCGGAGGTGTCGTCGATTTGCTTGATAATGTTGGCGAAGGCATTGGGCGCGGCGTCATCGTAGACGTAAGCTACGAGCACTGGGCCAAAGAGTTCGCGAGACAGCAAGGGGTGGTTGGGGTTTGTGGTCTTGTAGACGGTGGGGTGGATAAAGTATCCCTTGCTGCTGTCGTACTTGCCGCCGACGAGAAGTTCGAGTTCGCTGTCGTTCTTGGCTTCGTCAATGACACCCGAGAGCTTCTTGAAACTGGCTTCGTGGATCACAGGACCGATGAAGTTGGAGAAATCAGATGGCTCGCCGATCTTGAGGGCCTCGGTCTCTTGGATCAACTTCTCCTTGAATTCTGGCCATGCAGACTCGGGCACGTAGAGGCGCGAACATGCGCTGCATTTCTGGCCTTGGTATTCGAAAGCCCCGCGAACGGTCTGGATGGCTGCATTGGCAATGTCTGCATCTTTGTGGATCAAATGGAAGTTTTTTCCACCAGTCTCGCCTACGATCCTCGGGTAGCTTTGATACTTGCCCTCTGCGACTCCGCCTGCAATCTTTCCATACAGTGACCGGAATACTGCGGTGCTGCCGGTGTAATGCAGGGCGGCGAATTGTCGGTGTGCTAGAACGGACTTGGTAACTTCCTCTGCATCACCTGGGACCCACTGGATTACGTTCGGTGGTAAGCCGGCCTCGATGAGGATCTGGTACAGTAGCCAGTTTGACGCAATGGCTGCGGGGGAAGGCTTCCAGACTACGACATTGCCCAGAAGGGCTGGTGCTGCGGGCAGGTTGCCGCCAATGGCTGTGAAGTTGAAGGGCGATACAGCGTACACGAAGCCCTCAAGCGGTCGGTATTCCACACGGCTAATTCTGTTAGCTTGTTATGCTTCAATTCGAGCAAAAGCACACGTACTTCCACACTCCTGGAGAGTTGTGTGTTGGCTGGACTCCATATGTTTCTTGTGCGTACTTGACGTTGAATCTTAGGAAGTCACACAGCTCAGCTGCAGAGTCGATCTCTGCTTGCCATGCATTCTTGCCCTGGCCGACCATGGTCGCTGCCATGATGTCGTAGCGGTACTTGGTCGAAATCAAGTCTGCTGCTTTCAAGAAGACTGCGGCACGTTCCGCAAAAGGTAGAGACTCCCATGCTGGCTTTGCCTCGAGTGCCGAATCAATCGCCTTCTTGACGTCCGCGGGGCTGGCGTTGGAGTACTTAGCAACCACATCGGCGTGCGAAGAGGGGTTGTGCTGTGTGAGTATCGAAGAGTTGTTGATCTTGGAAGTCAGTTCATGTGTATTTTGGTTTTTTTTGGATGTTCTTACATGTTCTCCAGCAACAACCAGAGGTACCTGGACAGTGCCTTTCTTCTTCAGAGCTGCCACCGCGTCCTGAAGCTTTTTGCGGTCCACAGAACCTTTACTGTAATGTTGCTAAACATCTTCGTCAGCATAGAAATGTTTATCACGATGAATTAGATACTTGCGTTGGGTTCATTGTTGACCTCTGGAATCTTGAAGGTCGCCAGCGTCCCCGCATATCTCCTCGATGCCAATTGCGCACTAGCACAAGCTGCGGGCAAAGCGCCAATAGACCTAGAGGCCGAACTCATTTTCAAAGAGACCATTGTGATAATTGCTCAACTTATTGCAAATTGTTCGAACAGTAGAGATCGATTCAGCGTTTTGTACATGGACTGTGAAGGTGTGGAATGACGAAGCTCCGATGCTAGCCGCACCGTGTGGGGTAATGCAGGTCAGGAACCACCACTGTGGTCTCTTTTCTCGGCGTGCTCCAACTGCACCGACAATCTCTGGGGAACATTGTCCGATATCGCATGACTTTTGCACGGTCAGATGCGGATGAGGGAGATGAAAAGTCTTCCAGACGTGGTGCCGCGGAGCTCAGGTGCGTAACTCCATCTCATGGCGTTTACATGCGGCAAGATAGGTACAGTACTCCAACCATTTAGCTTTCAGGATACACGAGGCAGTTGATTATTCTTATCTGCTGTAAAACTCAAAGAAAGAAGGTGCGGGGCGGTCCAGAATCATCGTGGAGCGGGATTGATCCACAACAATTGTGCGATTGTGTCGTTCACTGAGAAGTCACATGCAATACACAGTCGAAGTATGCTACAGTAAACAGTTTTGATTTGGTATCGTCAGACAAGCCTTTATATAAAGAGTTCATCAAAGAAAGACTGCCTTTTTCACCCAGTACAGAAACAAGACCGAACTCCAAATTCGCCGTACCATGATGCGCTGAGAGTAACGTTCCTACATCTCCATTGCTTCGGCCGGCTCGTTGGCTGCGGGCTCATCACCCCAGAGGCCCTCCAGTTTGAACTCGGTAGCCCACTCCTTCACAATTTCCTTCTGGTCACCAACAAGACCACCTTTAGTTGCTGGCGCAGTCTTCGTTGTCGATGGTTCGGCGGCTGGTGTGTATTTGGGCGGACTTGTCCATCCCTGGATGCGTCCATCTCTCCAGTCGCAGAGAACCGTCTGTGCAGCGCTGTGGAGATTGGGAATACCGCCACGACCAAGACGTCCTCGTTTCCTTGCAACTTGAACCAAGAAGTCGGTCGTGCGGTCGGTTCCGTTAGTGAGGAGAGCAGGCAGATCGTAGACCTGCATGAGCTTCGCAAACAGATCCTCGGACGACGATAATCTCTTCAAGAGTAGAGTGACTGCAGGCACAGGATCGTCAATTTCCTTGGGTGGGACGGCGTTGAGTAGGATGAGGCGCGCTTGTTGTGATACTTTGCTCTCCTTGGACCCCTCTTGAGTGTTGGGGAACACGATACCAGGCGAGTCGAGGAGTTTCAGCTTGTTGTCTAGCTTGACCTCACGGAGACTGGTGGTGACACCGGCCTCTGCGCCCACAGGAGCTGCAGGTCCTTTTCCTCCCATTCTCGCGCCCAAGGCGTTGATAACGGACGATTTGCCAACATTGGGATACCCGATAATGCCAACTTTGATGGATCGCTTCAATTGCCGTGACTCAGCGAAGGACTTGAGAGCCTTGAAAAGCGTCTCAGATGTGCTCTTCACGGTGAGGTCTTTGTGCTCGAACGTCTTCGCATTCGCTGCGGATTTCGATGCGCGTAGGGGAATCGTGGGAAACGAGCGACGCAAGTGTACAAGCCACGCGCGGAGGACTGGCGGAGGCACTAAATCGATCTTGTTGAGAATGAAGATCATGCGCTTGCTTCCGCCGTCTGCTGACATGACCATTTGTTCGACCTCTTTCGATCGCGTGCTTGTGGGGTCTCGAGCATCGAGGACGTATAGCACAACATCGGCCGCATCCACTACTTGCTTGTACACCTTGTCGAACTGCTTTCTTGAGGAATCCTTGCGCACCTTAACGCCACCCTCTTCCTCGTCGGAGACCTCCGAGTCATCGTCATCGTCCATTGCGTCGTTGTCGTCTCCATTCTGCTTATCGAAGGCGGCGGCGCGGGCTTTAGCGGAGGCGAGCAGAGCGGCCATGGGATTGGAGCTATCCTGCTCACTATTAGTAATGGTATGATAGTGTGGAATGCCCACAACATACCACATCCATGGTGTCGTCGTCCTCGCTGTCATCGTCGTCAAGGAGCTCGTTGTCTTCGGCATCGAATTCTTCAAAGTCATCCTCCGCACCTTCCGCAACAGCGCCTCCATTCTTCTTCAGCTCTCGAGCCAGCTCACGACGACGAGCGTTCTCCTCCTCTTTGCGCCGGCGTGACTCCTCGACTTCTGCGAGAATTTTGTCCTTGTACGGAAATAGGTTGGGAATACCTGGGTCCTTCTTCGTCTTCGATCGCCATTCTGGGTTCTAATTAAATGTGAGAGGGCGCCCAGCATATTTGCGCATCGTACACACCTTCTTCGCAGCCTTCTTCGCTTTGCGCTGCTTTTCCGCCGACTTCTTCTCGATCTTATTCCTTAACCGCACGGGTACGCGCTTTGACTTCGGCTCTATAACTGGGGTCAGTATGAGTAACCCTCATATCGGATGTGTTAACATACTTCCGATCTTCATTGTGGCTCGTGGTTGGTGGTTGTACTTGTCTAGACGATTGCGCCTCGAAATTTTGTTAGGAAGTCGAACTTTTGGCGAACGACAGGGATCTTGCGGGCGGTGAGCGGCAGAATCCCGGCCCCCACCGTGCCCCTCATTGGCTGCCGTCGCGCTCTTCTACGTACCAGCACAAGGTACATGCTGTCGGACAACGGACATCTATTGGCGGCTCAGATTTCTGCAGTCGACCATCAAATATTTACTTGCAGCCCCAACTGTCCACCATGGCTTTCTATTCTTCAAACATATAACGAAGTGGGGCACAACCACGTGTACTATGACCGGGTAGACTGCCCAAAACATGTTAGTGCAATCGCGCTCTTTCTCCATATCTTCCATATATTTCTCTCCCACGATCACACAGTTGCTAAGACGTGTCCGTTCAAAGTCACTATCTTTCATATACGATATCAAGAGGCCACTCGTTCTCTACGTCAGCAACAACTATGTCCGAAGGGTCATTCTCCGCGGCAACGCAGACCATCCAGAGTCATGGCTTGGTAAGTTTACGGGTGAGAAGTCATGATCGCCAGTGCTTGTTGATTGACCGCTTATAGCTTTTTGACATGGAGTATGGATTCATGTATTGACTGACCACATCCTGTATGCTAAACATCGTAGTGGTACAATTATAGATTCCACCGATGCGATCGTCAAGCACTGGCAGAAGTGAGAGCAGGGCAACACACATTTATCAGCACCAGACTTACACGAGCAGGATAGGGCGAGAGATTGGCGTTGACCCGGAAGTTGTCCTTGCTACGTCGCACGGCCGCCGTTCAATCGATGTCCTCCAAATATACGAGCCGAAGCTCGCTAATTGGGAATGTGCGTACAACCGCCATGGAAATGCCGTCACTCGGCCAACTAAACAACTCAGACATAAGTCATGCCGAAGGCCTTATCCCGAAGGAGTTTGGCCAAGATGCTGTGGAGATTCCCGGTTCACGAACTCTACTGGAGAAGCTCGAAGAACAAGCTATCCCCTGGTGTATCGTAACATCCGGAACCCGACCACTTGTCACTGGCTGGCTTGATGTTATGAGGTAAGTATAGCTGCAAAGAACACTTTCAATGCCGATTTGCTAACTTGTTGCAGTAAGTTGAACCTCTTCATAGTCTGAGCGATCTGAGCAGCCAGCGAGGTAGTTCAGAAGTATCGCCATTGGCGCACCACTTCCAAGAATTGTTCTGATGTGACACTCGCTAATTATGGCTTCTTCTTAACTAGAGCTGGCCCACCCGAAGAAGCTGGTCACAGCTGAAGACGTCGAGAGCGGAAAGCCGGATCCCGCATGCTACCAACTAGGGGCGAAACTACTTGGTCTGCAACAACTCAGTCCGTCCATCGTGGTGTTCGAGGACGCGCCTGCTGGAGTGCGATCTGGTAAAGCTGCTGGATATACCGTTGTGGCACTTTTCACAACCCACAAGCTAGAACAACTCATCGAAGCTGGCGCAGACTACATTGTCCAAGACATGCGGAGTGTGACCATCAGTTCGTGGGATAAGACGACAGGGGTCGCACAACTCAGCATTGCCAACGCCTTGGTGTAGGCGAATAGAACTACGCAGAATACGAAGTGTACTCCATCCTAGAATAAATCTGGTGAGATGCCGATTGACACGTGCGAGCTTACTCTGAAATGTTCAATGACCCTGTTCTGGTACGGCTATGCAGGCCGCAACGCTCCAGTCAGACGTCGAGATAAGCAATGCATCTGACAGCGGTCCCAGGTCGGTGCCTGATGCTGCGGCGAGGCATCATTTGTTTGGACCTGGAATGTTTCTTCGGAATATGCGGGCGCAACTTAGCCACGGCCCTTGCAGCACTTTTGGCCCGCGCTGCTTCAAGAGGTTCGACGAGTTTGGACAAACGCTAGCTCGGTGTGTTGCATTGCATGGAGAGTGCCAGGTTTGGCGGTCTGAGCCACGCTGAATTTCTTCTCTCAAGCGGCCACAGAAGTTCATGCGAAGACGTCGACACGAAGACAAGTGTGGAGACTGATCTCAAATGGGAGCAGCGCCGCGGTGGTGCGACAGTGCAGGGGGAACAGGTGCAACCTCCGCGGCCACGCGCAAAGGGTTTGGTGGAGACGTGAGAGGGCACGGGAGCCCCCTTGCTGCTGAGTATCTCTAAGCGACCCACCTCTGTTCTCTCGGGTGCGCTCACCCAGCAGCAGAGTCTCCAAGCCCCGGCTTTACTTTGGACGGCGCATCAGGTCTAATCCACGACTCTGGCGCTCGACGGTCTGTGACCTAATCGAGGTGCTTGAGTCGTACCGCCGCCGAGCTGGGCCGATGCAAGGTACGCTCCAGAAAGTGTCAACATGTCCGCGCCGCTATCCGCAAGATGGCAGAGAGCGCGAGGTGCCCCTTTGCGCATGCAGCTGTGAGTGGTGTGGAGTTGGGCTTGTCACACAGGTGCTCATCAGGGCCGGGAAGCGGTTACTGACGACATTTCTGCTCGGCGATTGGCGAAAGTGTAGAAAGCACGCCAACAGGCAGGTAGCGGAAGTGTGCTCCAGGATGGCAGAGACGGCGTTGCTAGAGCGGACTTGACAGCGGCGCTTCGCGATAGAGTCGGATGAAAAGGGGTGGTAGAGCCGGCGCCCACGAAGACGACGGCGCTTTGGCTCGCATTCCGCTGGACGCCCCAGCAGTCCGGCTGCTAAGGTCGACTGCATGTGTCGGGGAGGTGTCAAAAGTGGCGACGTTCGTCTCCTCCACAGCAGCCTCGTTCGATGTGCCCCGAGCGCAGGGCCCGAGCTACGCATCGCATCACTGTCCATGCACATCCCGCAGCAGATGATGATGAATGATGTTCACTGTCATTGCCGTTCAGGTTGATGGGGGATCCCAACTCAGGCCAAGCTCTCCCGCGACACCGCGAAGCGGATCAGCCGCCGGCCGCTGTTCGCTTCAGCGGCGGGCCAATGGGCGCATGTGCGCAGAGAGCCCCTGTGCTTGAAGCCCACAAAGCGCGTCGGACGTTGAGGTCGTCGAGTTGGAGCGACTCCAAGCGTGTGCGTGACTGCATCATCCACTTGCAGATGGCGAGCAGATAGGCTCGAGGTGGAAAGGTGCTGCCGCGAATCAGGCCCAGCACGCATCGAGCAGCTGGCGGTGCTGATTAGAGACGGCGAGTGTAACAGGGAGCAAAGCAGCGAAGTTATTTTTGTGCAGTTGCAGATGGGGGGGATGGGATGGGGGAGTGGCTGAGCAGCGCGGGACTGACCAGGGCCCTGCTGGGTGCTGGGTGCTGGGTGCTGGGCTGCTTAGGCTGGTTTATGCGCCGTCTTTCCTCACAACCGCTCACGCTCGACGCTCGACACTCGCTCCTGCTGCCGTTGCGCGGTATACTTTCGTTATTGTGCTCTTCACACCCGTCACTCGCTACCGACTTTACTTGGTCTAATACTTGCATCCATACATAGCATTACTACGTGTAATCTCCAGTGCTGCCTCCATTGCTGCCGCTCGCGAGCCCCGTGCACGCCGCTCATCGCCCGAACCTAGACGCACACCCGAGCACCTGCTGCGATCTCGACTGATCTTCCAGCAGCCCGCACCCACGCCTTCGCGCAGAGCTACGACCGTTGCGCCGCTGCAGTCGTCCCAAGTCGCGTGAGAACCCTCTGTCGCTGTCCAGCTTCGCGGCGTGTCAACCATGGACCCGTCCGGCGAGCCGCAGGAAGCAGGCGGGGCCTCGCATCCGAATGGAGCGCCTCAGAAGGCCCCCCAATGCGACGTGAAGCCGCGCCTCACCAAGGAGCAGCACGACGTGCTCGAGCAGCACTTCCAGCAGCAGCACAAGCCCAGCACCCTCGTCAAGAAGGACTTTGCCACCAGACTGGGCGTGCCCCTAGACAAGATTAATGTTCGTGACCACCAGTGCCCGCCAGCCGGCAGCCGCATGGAGCAAGTAGCAAGTAGCAGTCTGCTAACGTGACTCCAGAACTGGTTCCAAAACCGCAGGGCCAAGGTCAAGCAGGACCGCAAGAAGATTGCGAACCAGATGAACATGGCGCTCAATGCACCCTACAATGGCTTGTACGGGGGCATGCCCGCCAGGAACCCGCAGTACCCGCAGCACCCAGATCAACTCCAGCTGCATATGGCCATGAACCAGGAGTACCACCCCATGAACGCCGACATCAGCCCTGCCATGCTCCCTGTGCAGGGCGCGGAGAGCACCTCCACCCTCGACCTCACATCCCAGATCTCGATGCAGCAGCCGTACGACATGCAAGCCATGCGCCCGATCCCAGAGGCCAACCAGTCCAACGCATATGCGCCCAACGTCGTCATGAATTCCTTCATGGCCGCAGCCAACGGGAGCTATATGCACAACCCCGACATGTCGGTCAACACGCAACAAGTAGACTATCCATATGACACGACCAACTTCGCCAACAGCCTCTCCTTCGATCTCCCTACAGATATTTCCAACGAGAATGCAGGGCCGAACTCGATGTTCTCTGCCTACGGCGGCCTGGGCGGCTTGCCATATGTTTCAGACATGAATTCGAACAACTCAATGCCCGCCGAAGCACATCAAAGTAGCGCGTCCCTGTCGACACACTCCTCGCCATTCTCTGGAGCTCCGAACAATCCGACACCACAATCCTCCAACGGACCAACTCCGCCAGTCGCTTCGCTAGTGTCTGCCTACACAGGATGGACGGAAGATCCAAGTTCAGGGCCGCAGGACCACGTTGAAGAGCCCGAAGACCAGTTCACAGCGCCTTATAACATGAGTGGAGGATCCTTATCAGAGCACACCCTGCCTTTCTGGTCTCAGCCGGGCACGAACACAAACTACGGCCATGGGTTCTATCAACAATCCAATGTATCTTCACAAGCAGTGCTTTCTTCACCTGATAACGACATGTCCCGAAAGGCCAGTACAGGGCCCTTGGACTTCGACCCCCCGCCTATGTTCCAGGACGATTCGTACACACGAAGAAACTCTTCTACGAGCAATCTCGCAGGCAATTTTGAAGCTATTCAAATTCGCAATGGTACTCCGGACGAATTCAAGCAACCAGGACAGCCAACATCTATCGCTCAAAGACGAAAAGGCCGGCCAGTCACGCTCAACCCAGGTGCAATGCGAAGCGCGTCTTATTCTGCGCCTATGCCTTCGCCCGGTGGCAGTAGTGGTGATCACACTCTGCGGCGAATCCGTTCGAGTGGCATTCCTAATGTAGGAGGGCGTGTTCAGAAATCTCAGCCAGGCTCAGCTCAACGCTCACCCATGGTGTCCAACTTTTCTGAAGCTGCTGCTTCACCAAAGTTTGCACGCGCATTTTCCTCGTCAAGCACTGCCACGCTGGGCAATGGTACAGGCAGTCTGGCACCACCAACACCGCTCACGCCTCAAGACATGGGCCTATATTGGCAGAACAATACGGTTATCCGGCCTCATTCTGTCATGCCAGAACACAACAGTCCAGAGAGCATGAATGCCAACTATTCTGCGGAATCACAGTCGGCGGGGGCTTTTGCTAAGAGTGTCTCACCTCCCAACGCGTCGTTGGAGTTGCAGCAAATGACGCAACAGTACTCTAGCGACGGATACCGCGATTCGCCTCCACAGTCAGCACCGGCTACGCAGCAGAACTTTCCTCGATCCATGTACATGCAACAGCCACACATACGACCAGGTTTCCATTCGACAACGGATCTCACCATTGCGCAACCCAAGCCTTCACACTTTCGACGACCGTCGCTGCCAGATGGGGCGCAGCCTCCCGTAGACGACAACAGCTACTTTCAGAACGGCAACTTCGACTACAATAATTACACAGGCGTATCATTGACCAACATCGCTCACAACGTCCCGTTCGCACCACGTCCAAGCCAAGCGCCCGAATTCCTCGTTCACGAATTTATACCACCGCACGGCGGCTCTGCCCAAGGCCACATGTACCGCCAATCGAACGATTCGCATTCCAAGAACTACATATTTGCCAATCAAGGACCAAGAGACTTCAAGTCATGACACGAAAAAGTACATTCACCAGTTGTACGCGCTTTAGTGCCTTGTCCATAGACGCTTGCATAAATTCTACATGTCACTATATTCCTATGGCGATGTCTTCTACATCCCTTCACGACCCATATTTACGAATTATACCTATCACCTCAGGATTTCAGGCGTCACCTTCCTTTCTTGCCAAGCACAGTACTTGGCTTTTACTCCGAACCTTAATTCTTAATACGACTCGAGCACGGCGCAGGACTGGCGAAAACAAATGAGCAGCGAGCAAGAGCGGCGTTCCCCGGGTCCCTTTGTTTCTTCTGTTTTGGATATACCGATTACGAAACGTTTGCAACGGGCGTTTGGGGTTATATTGTGCTGATGCAGGGGCCCTTTTTGTGTTAATGACTTTGTGTTTTTTTGCTGTACATGGAACGATATAAGGACGGATAGTGGAGATTCCACCCAGCTTGGCAGAATGCGGTAGACGATCAAATGTAACAGTCGCTGCTACGATGCGTGCCCGACTTTTCCAGAATTTACTTCTTTCGGAGCCATGATGTGTGCCTGAAAGTCTGATGATGCAGGTACGAGTCGATCCTCCACTGCTTGCATAGGGCGAGTTGAATTGGGCGGGGAAGCCCAGGCGGGTGGCGAATGCTGCTCCAGCTGGGCATTAATCCTTCGGCAAGTTCCAGCATCAACTTCACACCGTTGAAGCATCTATCGCCGTAGCACTTTCCCTTACTCACACCCCTGACAACCCGTTACATCTGCCATTGCTCTCTGCTTCACCAAATGCAACGTCCGAGGCTGGTCTTGCCCACGGCCCTCTTCGCCCAGTCCCGCGCCGTTGGCCATGTCGAACGCGCGGGCCGATTGGAGTTGCTTTTTCTGTAACTCGCGGCCCCTGAAATTGCAGCCTGATAACGCTTGAGATCTCGGAGGTAGATACGTCAAGAATGTCAGTATCGTACGATCGCGATCTGCCGAGCACCGATTGGCTTGGAGGGCGTTGATATATATTGTTGTGGATCGTGGACCTGAGGTGCTGAGTCGGAGTGGAGAGAGAAGGGTCTACAAGGGTCTACAAGGGTCTACAAATCGGTATGTGGAATTATCGAGCATATATTTACTGGGTACGAGGATTGGACACCTGTGGAGAACATGGTGAGTGAAAGGACTTCGTAACGAGGTCGACGGTGATTCTGGTTGCGTGCACCTTATCAGACACAGTGGAGTTCGGACGTCTTCGCGTCAAGTATATGAAGACGGCACGGCACGTTCTGAGTGCGGCTCGGTGCATTTTGAACCAGGCACACGGACAATCAGGACACGCAACTCAGTAATAATATGTCGAATTTATGTCTAATCTTGAAGGAGGTTTGCGCATCGAGTCGAGCGGCTTCATTCGCACAATTTCCGGTTTTGCTAATCTGAAGGGTCTGAGATTTCCACCAGCTACGCTTTGTCTTCCTTGACCAGGCGAAATGAGTGCTTGGTGTGTGTTGATAGTCCATCGACTTGCTGGTCGCACCGAATCGATTGGGGGATTTGCCACTTGCTCAGACGTGCCCAATGCTAACCAGTGAATGACCAGAGCGTCCCAGGCGACTATGCATTGGGTGTCAGTGTCGTGCACAATTAAGGAGAGCAGGAGACTTACCCTCAACCACGCATAGCGCCAAACACATCGTTCCCAGCTCTTCGCCGTCTATGAGGACGAATTGTATCATGTTGGCCATCATAGGGATCTCGATCAACAAGCTTCCAATGATGCTTCTCCACACTAACGAACGGATGTTGCGCTGAGCTGCCGTATGGCTGGGGACCATGGGTGAGAAAGGAATGTGCGCGCTGACCCGTCTAAGCGCGTCCGGTACCGTCGAGAACTGATGCGTTCTTACAGCCGGTCGAAGAAGGTAGAAGAAGACGCCAGTGAGGCACACGTCGACGACGATGTTCACAACGAGCACGGGAATCGACGCCTTTTGCTTCAATGACCAAACAGTAGCAACGAACACTCTTCGGTCCCATATCAATGGACGGGACTGACACAGCTGTTGATGACGACTGGGACGAACATGAAGACGACCATGGCAAGACATGTGAGGTAGATTTTGTCATGCTTTCTCCGTACGAACGGTGCTCGTACAATGTGGATGCGTTCCACGAGGAACAGAAATACGGTGGCCTTGGTAAATGTATAGAAAGTAAGGCACACCCACGTCCCAACGAGACAGAGATTGTATGTTGTGAGGCCCTGACCTGCTACAAGCACTGTGGCTGCGAGTATGAACGCCAATACTAGTGTGTATATGACCAACACTAGTAGTGATATGAAGTTCCGTTGTACAGAAATGTTATGCTTTAGCTTGCTGAAGTGCGAGCCTGAAGTACGCGTCAGCTGCTGTCGATCAGAAAAACATGATAGACTCACCTAGTAAAAAGGACAGAATGCCCATCAAGGAAAGTGACATAGCCATAAAGACCATACGGTATGATGCGGGAACCGCCGTTTGAATGCGGACGCCTTCATCTCGAATAAGACGAGCGTCTCTCGACGGCAGCACAGCTGACGCCTGAACAATACCACTAAACATTAGGGAGATACAAGTTCTCACGATCATTGTGATGAGGCTTCATCGTCTGCGAATCGAGCAACCAACGAGTCGGAGAAATGATTCGAGCTTAGAGAGAATAGACATAGTAGCACAAGGGCTATCCGATGGTTTTGATGAGCACTCTGACTGCCGTGTCTCCTATGTGCAGCCAAAAAGTAAATCTGCATCGAGAGATTTGTCTTCGTTCCGAACTTTACTAAATTATGAGGCGCAAATAATGTTTAGCGCGTGGTCGCATCAACACGGATATCCTCCCGGCGAATCGGAGATCTACAAATGTAACTTTCGACTCTGTTATTTGCGGCTAGTGTCTTACTCCGCGGAACCATAGCGAGTTCGGATGTGCTCGTGGTACGATTTTGCTGCTAGGATGGCTCAGGAAGAAAGTTTGGGGTTTTGGTGGGATTAAAAGGGTTCGTAGGTAGCCACATTTGTCAATTGAATAATATTGACGAGAAAGCCACGATACCCATATAGTATTAAAACGCAGTGACGTATTTGCCAAAAGACCAGATATCGTTACTTCAATATTTGAGTAGACTCTAATTGAAATCGAAAGGAAGCCACAACGCGGATATCCTCCTGACCGAGTGCGTCTGAAAACACACGAGCCGGTGGATTTTCTAGGACACAATATCGGGCTAAATTGTGATCTAAACCTCGTCAAAGTCTCTAGCAAGATCGGGCAATGGGGAAAGATCTGGACGCCAACCCTAATAGTGCAAGCACTCCTGGAGTGATCGCGTCATCGATGCGTAAGTTTGAGGAGCCTGGATGGGAATGTCTTTTTTACGTTGAGTCCCGCGTGGTGCATAGCAAGGGATGTGCTGGTCGGCATTTGGAGCCGAAGCTGACATAACTCCGCGTCGATCCGTTGAAGATATGCTCGGGCGGTAGACGACGCAATGTATCAAATCGAAAACGCTGCGTAGCCAGAAGGTATGAGGGTGCGTTGGCCTATCACCCAATTTATAATCCATGTTCCATGATGCTTTCCTCAGGCGTCCCTCATGTCGCTTGGACCGAGTGACAATCTGTCGAGAGCGATCTTTGTCGCAAGCTCATCCACCATGTACTTGATATTCAGATACTGTGAGCTGGTAGATCCGAAGGTTGCAAGCGCATTGCGCAAAGACGATTGAAGCTATGAGTTTGTCAGGCCTTGAGCTTTAAAAAGACCCGCATGATCAGCGTAAGACACAATGCACTTACAGACAGCAGAAGATCTTCTTGTTGAGTGGGCATGGTTTCGGATCCTGTTGGCTCGTCTTAGTTGCTGTTAGAGATTGACTGCGAAAAGTTTAGACAGCCGCTCAGTACTAAGACTACCGGGCGTGATTGCTTAGCGTTTAGTTGGGTTTCTCGGGATGACCTGCTCGATGGATGTGTTTGATATGAATTGCGGTTCAGAGCGGGGCAGTCTAGCGGGGCAGTCTGTAGGCAAGACCTGGCTCGGCTCCCACGCTGCAGCACAAATTGACTGCTGTTCTGCTACTTCAAGGGCATGCAAAAAAGGCAAAAAGAAACGCTTGATGATGATGAGGGTGGGATTCGAACCCACGCGGTTTCCCACTGCGGAACAATTTGTTATGGTATCGGTATACCTAAACACAGCGCCTTCTACACTTGAAATTAGCTACAGGATGGTAGCAACGAAGAGGTAAGTACGTACAACCACTCGGCCACCTCACCGATTATTAAGCAAACTGCAAATAATATAGCTTAAATGGTATGTTGCAAAATTATCTATGACTAGGCTGTCTTGTCTTGGCTGTAAAACTTTTTCTCGATGCCAACTTGACCCCGCAGATGCGTTGTGTATGCACTTGAATCAACTAACCAATAGTCGTAGCCGTGCTGATTACAGCGCACGAGTCAGGTAGCGCCTAGAGCTAGGCATGGTATGCTATTCAATCATTCAAACATCAGCAGATAAGTTACTTCACCCAGTCTCTTCTCTACGGAATGAACGAAATGCTTTTACCTAGTCTCTCGTATGTACATGTCTCGATAAAGAGAATCACCCCACTACTTATAGTCTGAATCAACAAGCTCGACTCTGGTCTCAGTGCACGCTACTTCGAATATCAAAACAATGGAGTATAGTGGGCCAGATGCGATGTACATGCGGCTATGCAATGAATTATGCACTACGTGTAGCAATTTAGCAAGTGCTGTATATTACAGGTAGTTTGAACTCTATTCATACGAGACGCTTGCTCTCACGTTGCAGAAAAAGCGAGGCTTAGCAGCTTCGAAAATTCCATGTACAGGGTTGTATTCCTCGCCTTTGTGTATACAGCTCCATTTAGGCCTGCCACAGGAAAAGTTGATAGAGTCTCTAGAGGTATTTGCAGCTTTTTCTAGTTGTTTTCTCTTCGGCTTAGACTATTGTCGCAGTCTAGCTGCATTAGCTATATTTTGCTTCTTCTGCAACTTGAGAGGCGTATGAATTGAACAAAAGAGGCATTCTGATTGATGGACGGAATCAAATCACTTGATCTGTGAATTGCTTGCCATCATTCGATAATTCTCCTCCATCTCCTTGGACTCCTCATAAACAGCCATAAACTCAGCGAGATATTGCCCCATTTGCCTTTCCTGCATTGCTCCCCTGCCCCAACCGAGATACAGCTGGTCAGCATGGAGAGATCCATTTCTGGCAAGTTGGCAAATCGACTTTGGTTTGACAAGCAGCAGACGCCGGATACACCTGTGCCCCATCCATCCCTCGCGGCGATTGGCTAGCGTTTCCGGTACTTTAAAACCCTGTTGAATAATTTGCCGGACAGCAGCGAGCTTCGGAGGGACGGGTGAGCCCTAGCTGTGCATATAGGCCCTGGGGTCTTTATTCTCCTCAAGTATTGCTTCCCAGTTTTGCTACAAAAGGGACTTCATATGATGGAAGGACGACGGTTTCAATCGGTGATGACTTCATGTCATCATGGATATCACAGAATAGTATCGCCGGAAAGCTCCAAATAGAAAAGGTAGTTGCCGGATATTTTGCGGGTCGTTCTGCGAGTAGTTCTAGTCGATCCTCTGCTTGTCGAGCAAGCTCTGCAGAACACGCTAGTCGTACCTGACATAGGAGTGGTGTGATTCGGATAGCAAACATTAATCTCGACTTATCGATAGCAGTGTTGGCAGTCAGTGTCGCGATGACTAGGTCGTGACCAGTATCGTTGTACATGTCCCACGCGTCCTTGATCATCGAACTTATGGCCTGGACTTCTCCCACGAAGCACTAGATCGCAAAGAAGAGGTGTTAGCAGTTCGTACATGCTTCTAAGCTTTCCCTTTGAGACGACGGGTAACCTTGCGAGGTTGTTGACCAACTGTGCTCAGCTCGTGCCCACACTTAATTAACTCCTCCGCGAGCCAACCGACTATGAATCTGGTGTCCTCTTTTTACTGCTTATATGAATCGCTTAGAGCGTTGGCCGTCTTGTATTTTAATGATGCTCAGTCGTGACGAGATATTGTCGATAGGAAGGCTATGAAGCTCAGTAAGTAAACCAAGACTTGGCCCTGAAATGATTGCCAATGGATTCCCAATTGAATCTGACTTGGGTCTGAATCGATTTGACTGCGTTCTTACACACGGGATGAACATGTTTATAACATGTTTCTAACACGATCAGGTAATGATCAAAACACGGTTAGAATGCGTTCTCGTAGGCTGTAGGACAACTGTAGTGCGACTGTGGAAGAGTTAGATGTTGCATTGAGACAACTAAAAATTCTCGTGATGTCGTGATGCAGAAGTCATGGTGTCGAGTTTTGTCCGAGAGAGCTGCGCAACCGCGATGACATGTTCACGCCCGACCAGTTTACACTAGAAAGCTTCACGTCCGCTTAAGATGGTGGCATTCGCGCAGTGGACTGTACTCGGTCTCATCGACTCTCCACCTGCCAAGTCACTGTGTCTCTGCCTTCGAATTGCATGACCGTCCAGCTCTTCCGCCCACCAAAACCTTGCGCGCTCATCGAAAACCACGCCTCCTCTTCTTTGCCCTGCTCTGCTCCCTCCATATCGACATCTGCATCTTGCGTCCCGTTGGTCTTGCTCCTGCCCTTACTTCTAAACGCATCCCTCCGAGCGGCAATAAACACGTCCCGCATGAAAGCAGGCGGCATGAATCCCTTCCACCTTACACACACCATATCCCGCGTTTCCAGGCCAACCCCAAAGTCCGGGACCTCGTACCGCGATAGATGCGGGTTGATATCGTCACTTGCTTTCACCCGTGGCGAGTTCAAGCTGAGCATGTTGATGTACTCCAACAAGCTCATTGCTTCGTCTTCGTCGTATAGTTTATCCAACTCTCCTTTGACCAGCTTCGGACACAGCGAATCGCCCAGTTTCGTGATGCTCGGCTCAATTTTATGTACCCAAGGCGCATGCTTCGATAAAACCTCTCTACCTTCCGCCAGTGACTCTCCCGAGGTCGGGTTGTGATTCCACCACAACCACGTCAAGCTCTTATTCAGCACGTTCTTCGCCGCCCATTCCAGCCGCCCAAAGCCCGCCTTGCCATGCTTCATGCTGGGCAGTCTGAGGTCGTATTCCACCACCCATCGCGCCTTTTGATGTTTCTTGCCGCCGTCTTCAATCGGCGTGCCTTGTAAGCCGCATCTTTCATATGTAGCGCGATCAAGTTCCATCTTCAATTTGCCGTCGCGTAACTCAAATCTGTTGTCCACCAGCTCCCTGCCTTCGGACAGCATAGTCACGTTCCCAAGCTTGATGTACGTTTCGAGGAACTCAGGCTCGAGGATGTCGGTGAGTTTCAAGTGCGCGCGAGCATATGTTGCCGTAGCGAGAGTATCTTGTACGAGCAAGTATAGTTCGGCAGGGAGTATGAGATCGACGGTGTGGCTGTACGGCTGGGCGTTGAAAGTCGTGAAGGGAAACTTCTTGGTCGAGACATTGTGCGGATCGATGTAGGATGGAAGGACGCTGTGGGTGAAGTAGACTTTGGGAATGGGCGTGTCGTCGGTGTGGTGGATGTCGAGCATCGCGTTGGAGGCGGTCAGATTTGTTTTGCTGCAGAAGTTTGTCTAGAACAGGTGGGGAATGAAGCTCGAGAAGCTTGGGTGCGGCGCGGAACGCAGCGTGCCCAGGTGGGGCGGGATGGCGCGTGGAAACGCGACTTTTTTGACAGCCCTGTGGCGCGGGGCGCGCGTTTGCATGTGAACATGACGCTTGCCACGAAAACGATGGAAGCATTATTCTAGTATGGCTTGTGCAGACATCTAAAGCATATACAGTGTATTTCAATTACAGAGAAATCTATTCATGCGTTTCAAATGAAATAGGCCAAATAGCAGCTCATCTCAGGTCAACAGTATCATGAACCACAAGCCCAACATGACACATAGCAACCCAATCCATGAACTCATCGTGACTTCCGTACAATATAATCAACAGAAACACCTCGTGCAATGCCTTTCCAACGCCTCCAATATATACGCCAATGTGCCACTTTGAGTATCCTCATGACTGTGAGCTCTTTACGACGCTGTCGAATGCTCCATGCTTGATCTCGTTCTTGATTGGTTGCGATTCGGGGCCCCGGGCCTTGACGCTATATACATGGTCGATTTCGTTGATTGTCGAAACTTCGTTCTCATGACCCTCGGGTATCATCTTATGTTTGAGGGTCCAGCCTGCGCGGCGGGCGAGTTCGGCGACGATGACATCGCAGTCTCCGAGGAGATTGATGTCGAAATTTATGTGGTGTATGGGCTGTGACACGTTAGTTTATTGTGTAGAAATGGTGCTTGAGTGTGCCTTACATCTCTCGAAATATAGATCTGCGGCACGTCGCGGGGCAGGAAGTTGGGAATTTCTGACACGGGAGCGACCTTCATGCTCGTGCCCATGACAATGACCAGATCTACCTTGTCTTTGTCGACGTCTTTCAGCCGGTCGAAGAAGTTGTTTGGGAGCGCTTCGCCGAAGAAGGTGATGTCTGGCTTCATGATACCGGGCTGGGGGATATCGTATGCGCCGTCCGACTCGGAGTCCTCGTCACTTGATTTCTTCTTCCTAGGACCACTGCCATTCGACGTCCGTTTGCGCTTCAGGGCTTGGCTTCTGTGCAGCTATCTGCTCAAGACACCGCTTACACTCGGCCGGCTTTTGCGCGCGCACCGAGTCGAAGATGTCTTCACCTGGCACGTTGTGTTTGCATTTCCCGACAAGTTGCAGTCGCCCAAGAGCCGTGGCACTGGATCAACTTGTCCTTCAGTATGCCCGCGTTCGCTTCCACATTGTCGATGTTCTGCGTGTAATTGGTGAGCAGCTTCTCTTTGTCTTGCAGTAGCCGTATGAACTCGTGCGTCGGTGTCCACTTCTCGAGGTCTGGGATGATGTCACCAGCAAGCGCATAGAAGGTCCGCGGGTCTTCGTCGAAGTTGTGAATGTCAAAGACCTGTTCGGGTTCCTCGTAGCCCATTTGCAGCAGCCGCGAGTAGAAACCCGTGTTCTTTGAGCGAAAGTCGGGGATGCCGAGACTCGTTGAGATGCCCGCGCCGGTAATGATCATGATGTTCTTGCGCTCGCGCAGCAGCTTGGCAGCGTCGTCAATTGTCTTGTACTGCTCCAGTCGCGGGCGCTTGTTCAGTTCGCGGTTGATGGCCAGCCCGAGCAGCTGATAGAAGTTGTCGTCGGAGGCGTCTTCCATGAACTTTGGGATCTTGACCCCGAACGCCGTGCACAGCTTGCGGGCCGTCATCTTCTCGTTGGTGATGTTTTCCAAAACAAATTGGCTTGCGCCGACCTCGTGCAGTCGCTGACGCAGCGCCCTTGCCTCTTCTGCAGTGCACGTCTCGGCGGCTGTAGTTCCATGTCAATTGCCATATGTGGCGGCGCATAGTCAAATACGCACCATTTCCAGAGTACTCAAAAGCATCCACCTCGTCGAGGATCTCCTCATACAGGGACGCCGTGTCCCAGACCGCGCCATCGTCGTCGTCGTCTTTGTCAGCAGCAGGCGCATCTTCGTCCTTGGCGTCCAGATGGGCTGTCGCGGACACGCCTTCTGTAGCAGTCCTTTCCGCGCCCATGACAGGCAAAGGGGCGGCGTCGTGGACAGCGACGGGCCCTGAATAGGCGTGGGCAGCCATGTTGTCGTCGCCGCAGTCGCTCAAGATTACTGGTCGAGGTTCAGGGACAGCAATGTGGTCCTACTGTCGCTCTAGAGCCGTTCATCCCTAAACAGGCTAGTGGACCGCTAGACTCGCATCAACGCGCACCCGCATTAATGGGCCGATCCCTGTCACTTGCAAAGTCGGTGCCAGCGACTACTCGAATTCTGAAATCGCCGGAATCCTGTAGGCTGTACCGCACCCGACCCCCGTTTTACACCGGTGTACTTGTGCTCCTCGGAACACTTGGCTTGACGCGCACGAGATGTATACAGGCTCTCATATACCTCCACTCCTCTAGGAATCGGGCATCGCCCACACCTCTTCCAGGGTCAGCACTCGGAGTATGTCGGTCGATCACATCCTCGCGTGGCCCTCGCCAATCTCATGACGAGCCCCATCACGAATGGATGCAGGATCGTGGAAATGCGAATGCGATATGCTGGGTCCCGAGCGTAGCTAGCCGTTAGAGACGCACCTATCTCGAACAAGAGCGAATCATCATCGTTGCCATGAGGGTTTCGGCATACCGACGTAGGCCATCGTGCCGCGACTGGTCGCTTTTTCCTCTCTGCAGCGTGCTTTGCAAGGTATAAGGGACTGCTACTGCCAGACCGCAGTGGGCATCCCTTGGTCTGATATTTCGGTTTTGTCTTATAAATGTCTGCTCAATATCGTGCGGGCTGCGCTCTGGAGCCAGCCCGCTCCTCACCGTCTTTTGGATTTCACAATTTGCATAGACCTGTGCAGCCAGCAGCAGATCTCGTCGTGTTCCGCATGGATCGAACAGATGCCCGGATGCTCGCACCTTGTGACACCACCAGCCAAAGAGGCCCCGCCTCGCAGAGCAGTTTCGAGACTTTGCCTGTCGAGGTCGTCAACCACATCCTCTCGTACCTTGTTTCTCCTCGATCTCGGCTACCAGGACTCACAGAGACTCAGAGCTCACTCGAATTCAATGCCTTGGCAAGGTTGACCTTGAAGAAGAGCGAGGATTTGACCGCCCCCGCCGACAGCGACCGATGGGCCACCAACCTCTTCGAGAACCACACGAATCAACATCCGTTTCATACGCTCTCACTCACGTCGAAACGATGCAACGAGCTGGTGGAAAGTTACTGCGGTCATCTGGTCAGGGCCTGCAACATGTTCAACCTTCCTTTTGCACAGTTCGACAAGTACGGGCCGCAGTCAGTGTGGCCTGACATGAGCGGTATCGTGTACCGGAGGCTGTGGCTTCAGCACGCGCCCAGACACTGTATTTATTGTCATGCTGTTATGGATATATATCCTTTCACGACACTGAAGCGACTTTTGACGAATTGCAAAGCCTGTTTCTACGCCCAGACTCTAGTACGTTGTATCGTGATCGCCCCCAGTACAGGCACTGACCAACGCAGTCTCTCGATGAGATTGAAAGACAGTACCACTTATCACGTGCCACTGTCCTCGCCTCGCCATTCATCAGAGGAACCCAGCACTCGTTCTGGTTCCTGCGCGTCGATGTAGAGGCGGTGGCGTTGCAGCTCTACGGGACCCGAGCCTTCCACGAGGCTCATCAAGAGCAATTTGGCAGGCCATGCTCCATTTGTGCTATCACAAAATTCACGCCTTCTCAGCGGGGCACAAGGCACAAGTCGACCCAGAAGAGCGAACGTCGCATCGTGAACCAAAGGAAGAAGACCCGACGTACACTACGCATTCCTCGTACTCCACTCGACAACGACGCCTATTGAAAATTCGCGTTCTCCCTTCTTCTCTTCTTTGGCGTTGGTCCTCGCTTTTCATGCTGGCAAAATTTATCTTCTCCTTGTGTTTGTCCAGTGCGTATGTAAATGCCCCTTGCTTGGACAGTTCTTTCTTACCACATCTTGCTCTTTTGTCCCTATTCTGTTTAAAGATTCAGCGGCCCCTTCCAACATGTGTTCTCAGCACAATGGATTTACTTAATTGCTGAGTTATAGAAGGGGCAAAACTTTTCGGTCTGTCAAAATACCCCGACTACCAACATTACGTAGTTATGAACCCATCACGATATATGAGCAGTATAGCCTAAGCTTTGCAACACTCAGTAGCTTGACTGAAAGAATCAATGTTCGCTTTTCTGCGATGCAACACCTTCTGTGAAAACATGTCGTGGATGAAGGTAAAACCCATGATGATTGCCTTCATTCGGAAGACCCGAAAAAAGATAGAACCGAACAGCAGTTACGTGAAGTGAAGAGCTGCACTTCGTCATTCAACGACACCAACTGAGTGCCAGCACAGAGCTTTCACCCGTGAACAGCTTTTGGGTCACATGACATCGTGTCCAACTTACAGCCGCGCTGCGACCGCCTTGGATTCTGCCAACTAGCTTCCACGGATAGCTCCACGCTCAGTTCACCTACCAACATCTCCACTCTACACACCACCATGGCAGAGTACTGGAAGTCGACAGTAAGTTATGCATCCACGTTCCTGGCGATCTCAAATGCTAATACAAACAAAGCCTAAATACTGGTGCAAATTCTGCGAAACCTATGTGAAGGACACGAAATTCGAGCGCGGGCAGCACGAAGCCACAGGGCGCCATCAGGGCAACATTCAACGAAGTCTGCGTGGCCTACATCGCGCACAAGAAAATGAACAGCGCGAGAAATCACGGGCGCAAGCCGAGGTCGCAAGACTGAATGGCCTTGTGCCTTCGGAATCCAAAGGCCCTCCCTCTGTCGCAACAGGCTCAGGTGGCCCACCTCCGACATACGAGAAACGAACCGAGAAGAAAGCGACTCTAGAAGACAGGAAGAAGCAATGGGAGCAACTAGCAGCGATGGGCATCACACTACCCGACCAGGCGAGGGGCGATTTGGCGATTGCCGGCGAGTGGAAGACTGTGTCTACGGAGGTCGTGGGCGAGGTGAACGAAGATGGCGAATTCACGAAGGTGGCTCTCAACAAGGGCGTGCGCAAGCGCAAGCTTGATGAAGAGGAGGAGGAGCAGAAAGAGGCGGGAGAGATCATCACGAAGCGCAAAGGCTGGGGCCACACATACAAAAGCTTCCCAGGCAGCAATGGTGGCGAAGACGATGTAGAGAGTCTTTTGGCAAAGAAGAAGCCTCAGGTTGATGCAGCGGAATCTACCGCGGGAGGATCTACTCTGAAGAAGGAAGAAACTCAGGCGGATGATGTTGGTGTTGCGCTGCAGGACATTCCGACGGCAGAAGAAGCGGAAGCGAGTATCAAGAAGGAAGAAGATGCACCAACTGCACCAGCTATTGTTTTCAAGAAACGAAAGAAGGCTGCGAAATGAGCGCAAGCCTTCACGCACCGGAAGAACGAACAAAGGCGTTATATTCCGCGGCGATGTCACAAGGTATCCGCGGCTGGCTCGACGAGACCGCGACAGCATTCAGGCGTCATCACCACCATGATGACATATCTTTCCTAGCCTACACTCGCTGTGCATGTTTGGATGTGTTAGTATTCCATTCACATCTGCAGCGGCGACACGTCATGTGCAGTCTTGCCAGCAACACTCGATCAGCTGATAAAGCGCGGTTGCCTTCAGCTCAGGCAGCACCGCATTTGAGCTGTCGTTCCATGACTCTGGCTATCACCCTACCAATATGAAAAGGGAAGGGAAAGAGAAGGAGAAAGATGTGAGGAGCACTTGGAAACAATGTGGGAGCTGGTGAATTCAATCACGAACATTGATCTACATCTGTCCACGCTTGTGGACAAAACCTAGGAGCATTACAGTAGCCTCGTAGTCAGATTAGAAGTCGAATAAATCGAATGCGAGACCAACATTATATTCCATGCTACGTCAATTTGAGGCCTCAACTTCGAAGCCCACTTATTTGATCGGCGCATGCAACTAAACCTTAAACCCCACCCCTGTCCAAACGTTCGCCAAGCGGCTCATCGCGTCGCCAGCGCTAGACAACTGTCGCGACTCTCAGTGTATTGTACAAGCCATCTACCGTATTACGACCGCTACTTCCGCCGATTCTTGTTGCATTTGCATGGTCGCGTAGTAGCATGCTTCATTTGCCCACCAACCATACGCGACCATGCACCTTATCAAACCGCAGTGGTTGACGCACCCAGGTCAGTTCACCCTCGCGCACAGCGTCGCATTTGCGACTGGTACATGACGAACAACGCATACTGACATGGCATCTTTCCCTAGGCGACCTCAAGGACTTTGAAGTCTACAGCTGTCACGTCTCACCCGATGGATCGCGTCTTGTCACGGCAGCAGGAGGTACGTTCACCCATCATTGCAGAGCTCATGCGCGATGCGCCGTCTTGAATCCCGTGACTGACAACCACCTTGCAGATGGATATGTGCGCATATGGTCTATCGACGCCATTCTTAACTCCCACGACCCCGAATACAAGAAGCCGAAGCAGCTAGCCGCTGTTAGCCACCACTCGGGCACCATCCACGCAGTCCGCTTCTCTTCCAACGGCAAATACCTGGCATCTGGCGCAGACGACAAGATAGTGTGTGTTTACGCACTCGATCCTAATGCGCCGACACATGCAGCGTTTGGTGGGTACATCAGGTGCAGAGTGATGGGACAACCGCTGACAGAAGGGTACAGGGACGAACGAAGCTCCACCCGTGGAGAATTGGCGCGTCATTCGCCGTCTGATAGGTCACGACAACGATGTGCAGGATCTCGGTTGGTCAGCAGATTCGTCGATCCTAGTTTCGGTGGGCTTGGACTCGAAAGTGGTGGTCTGGTCGGGACACTCGTTCGAAAAGCTGAAGACGCTATCGAACCACCAAAGTCACGTCAAGGGAATTACCTTCGATCCGGCGAACAAATACTTCGCAACTGCAAGCGACGACCGCACTATCAAAGTCTACCGATTCAACTCCCCGCCACCAAATGCTACGCAACAAGACCAGGTCAACAACTTCGTCCTCGAGCACACAATCACCACCCCTTTCCTCACCTCGCCCCTCACCACATACTTTCGCCGCTGCTCCTGGTCGCCCGACGGTGCACATATTGCGGCAGCGAACGCCACCAACGGCCCGGTCAGCTCGGTCGCCATCCTGGATCGCGGTACCTGGGATGGCCAACCAAGCCAGACCAGTTTGATCGGCCATGAAGGACCGGTCGAAGTCACGGCCTTTTCGCCTCGACTCTTTTACCAGCAACAGCCTCGGGTCGAGCACGATGGAAATATCCACCAGCCCACGGTCACAGTCGTTGCCTGCGCCGGACAAGACAAGTGCCTGAGCATTTGGAACACGGTCCTTGCTAGGCCGTTCATGATGACTCAAGAACTAGCAGCTAAGTCTATTACGGACATGGCATGGGCACCCGATGGCGAGAAGTTATTTGCAACGAGCCTGGATGGAGGCATATTGACTATGGTCTTCGAGCCGGGAGAGTTGGGTTTCCCCGCGTCATTGGCGGAGAACGAGAAAACTTTGTCCAAGTTTGGTGCTGGCCGAAGAGTTGGTATCATCGAGGGCACTGACGCTCTTTTGCTAGAAGAGAGCAGCAAAAGTGGAGAGCTCAAGGGTGTCCAAGGTAGGATGGGTGCACTCATGGGCGATGGTGGTGCAGTCCAGCCTCCCATCACAAATGGCGCCAATGGCATTGTCCCCTCAACGACTCTCACCAATGGCTCAAGTTCGACCGCACCTGCAGCAGCACCAGCTCCCGCACCAGCTCCCGCGCCAGCTCCCGCGCCAGCTCCCGCGCCAGCCGAGCCACCTGTAGATCAGAGAGTTGAGAAGCTGAAGCAAAGGGTTACGGTCACCAAAGAAGGCAAGAAGCGCATAGCACCTATGCTCGTCTCGTCATCATCTGGTGTTGGCACATCATCACTGCCTCAGACGCAACTCATCTCCGCGAAAACAACATCTGGAGCGAGGAGCGACAACCCACACAACATACTGGATCTTTCAAAGCCATACGATGGTTTCCCAAAAGGTGGACTCGCATCAATGCTGATTGGCAACAAGAGGAAGTTTGCTGAAATTGAGGGTGACGAGGACCGACAGGTCGAGCGAAGGTTAGCTGCTTCGGTGCGGCCTGGCGGAGCTGCTGTGGTATTGAACAGCGAAAGTGGTCTCATCCCTCCAGCGGCTGCAGCCTCGAAGAGCAACGATGTAGCCGAGCCATCCAAGGTTTTGCGGCCGGCGATTATCAGCCCCTCCTTGAGTGTGAGCCAGGTACGGTTGGCTGTGCCAAAGGTACGCAGCGTCATCACTCGAACCGCGGACGGAAGCGAGCCACAGCGCAATGGCGTAGACGCCAATACAGGTAAAGCGGAGATACCGGATACTGTCATGCTCGAGGCGCGTAATGCAACCGGACATTCACGAACCGGACGGGCACAAGATCACGACCCCGCAAAAATTAGTTGTACAAGCAAAGGACAGCCTCTATGGCAAGACTTTCTACCAAAATCAGTGTTACTGGTCACTGGCAACACAAACTTTTTTGCAGCGGCATGCGAAGATGGATCGATCTATGCTTGGTCGCCAGCAGGTCGACGGACACTGAACGCTATGGTTCTGGACGCACAACCTGTCATCATGGACTGCAGAGGCTGGTGGCTAATGTGCATATCCGCAGTCGGGATGTGCCACATCTGGAACCTCAAGACGATGTCAGCACCACACCCACCGATATCTTTGGCACCTATACTCGACATCGCCGCGCATACTCAAGGACCCCATCTTACAAGATCGCCTGGCATCGTCTTTGCTCGACTCAACTCTGCAGGCTGTATTGTGGTTGCAATGTCAAATGGTGAGGGTTACGTGTACAATTCCAGCATGTACATCTGGCAGAGGATCTCGGAACCTTGGTGGTCCGTTGGCAGCCAATACTGGAACACCACAGATTCATCAGTCAGCAACATCAGATCTAGTCAGGACAAGGCAGCACCGAAAGAGAAGGATGATCAAGTTTCGATCGAGAACATATCGGCAGGCATTATACCAGCACTCGAGCGCAACACCACGAACCAGTTTCTTTTGCAGGGCCGCGCATTCTACTTGCAAAGACTTATCAAGGCACTCATTTCTGCCGAAGGTTATGAGACCTTTGAGAGCTCTGTTAGTGTGGCGCATCTCGAGAATCGTGTCGCTGCTGCGAAGACACTCGGCGCGAGGGAAGAGTTCAAGATATACCTTAGCATGTATGTCAAGCGCTTGGGAGCTGAAGGTTTGAAGGGTAAGATAGAGGAGCTGCTACGAAGCCTGACAGGCGACCTCATCGTTGAGGAAGATGAGGAAAGTGGAGAGCAACAAGAGGAAATTATCTGTGGTTGGAAAAGAGAAGAACTGCTCAAGGAGGCCGTCCTGATCCTCGGTAAGCACAACGTACTCAACCCACGACCTTCGAATAACGCACTAACATGATCTCCAGGTAAACATCGCGACCTTCAGCGCATCACCGTCCCATATGCACGCCTACTCGGCATCGTCACCGAGGACCAGCGCCAGGACGAACAGGCTATGATCACTGACATGTAGAATACCCATCTTTTTCAAACATTTGTATCAAAAAGCATTATTCAGCGTCAAGTGTCGGATACTACTGGGCGCATAGCGGTTGGGTCGGGTACATTCTGGGTCTTGAGCATGAAATGGATATAGCATGTAATTGTAGCGATGGTGTGTCTTTATCGGCTATCTAGAGCCATGGTTCAAGGCATGATGTCCGTTTGACGGCGCTTTGATACATGGTGTCACTTCGAATAAAGTGTTAGAAGTTTGCAAGGAGATCCTGAGATGTGTAAGCACGTGACTTGGTACCGCGCTATCCGGCGCTAAGGGAGCAAGTGTAGCTGATCTTCATTTACCAAAGCAACAGCCAACACGCTCACTTCTCTAAGACGTTTTTGCGTTGCAGTTACTACTATACCTAGGTATGTACATTATCTTCTTACTCGGCCTCATAAAGCCTTACCAGCACACAACTGCAAACACACATCCTAACATTATGACTGGTCCAGCGCGCGTTTCGCCGCGTTACAGATTTAGCGCCCGCGCCACAGCCAACAGTAGGACAAATCAACAAGTGGCTAGCAAGTTTCCTTGGACCCTTTGTCGATCCACCCCCTTGTTTCGCAGCGACGTTGGTCGCCAAAATGCCTTAATTTAGAAGTGAGGGATGAGACCTTGCGCTGATGATGACATAGGGAGGCTGTGCGCGAGAGTTGGCCTTGCTTTCGTACAACTCACTCACTCACTCACTGTCCTAGACTGATCTCCAAACCATACGCAACGGGACGGAACGCTGTTGCATGTGCGACTTTTCCTTTCAAGATACGATACTCAGTTATCCGACGCGACAACTCAGCAACCATGGTTTTCAACTGCACCGAAGTGCCTGCGTCGACGCAGACCGACGCGGGCGTCGCAGGCGCAGGCACACTTCTTTCTTTCATTATCACAAACTTCATCTCTTTCCTACTATCTGGCACCATCATTCTACTCGGCCTGCGAAAGTCGACATCCGCGCCAATTGCCCGCAAACTCCTCCAGTCCTTCTCCGATCAACAGATCCTCACTGGCATCGGCATCCAGAGCGTCGGCCTAGCCAAGATGAAGACAATGGTCCCATACCACTTCTTCATCATCTGGCTCCTCTCACTACTATCCACGGCAACGAACCTCGTAACCCTCCTGGCCCTGGTTAACGACTTCAAGCGAGATTGGGTGCTCCGGTGGATCCGGCAGATCCTCATGGCCATCAACATGTTCCTCGGCATCCTCTCGGGTATTTTCATCCTGCAGACTGTGTTGAAGAATCTGGAGCCCAGGCTGCCTATTGCGTGTGTCTGGGAGGTCGAAGGTCGCGGCAAGTCGAGCAATGCTGCGACGTCCGTTGCTGGCACTATCGCTGTTATCGCGGGCCAGGTCATTGTCTTCATCTTATCGACTCTGTACTTGCATGCACGCCAGTATCCCAAGTGGATGAAGGCCGTGCAAGTCGTCTGCCTGATCGCCCTGCTCGCCATGGGTACCGGCGCCACCGTACGCGTCGTCATGGAGTCTCAAGCATTCGGATCGCCGCCTGAATCTGTGAATCTTGTGGGCCCTAGTGAAGGCAAATGGAGCTTTGGACAGCTCGTGCCTTTGTTGTTGTTGGCCCTGCCTATTATCAGCACGGTGGAAATCATGCGTGGCGAGACGCGGACGCCACCAAGCCGCGTTGATGAAGACAGCCAGCCACTTTTCGCTGGCGGTAATGATATGGAGTTTCAGTTCCAGCCGAATCCGATGCTGGGGAGCAACAGCAATTTGTTTAGGAAATAGAGGGCATGAGGAGATGGGGTGTGGCGCTGAACGCATTAAGGGAGGAAAACTGTGATACCAATTGAATGCATTTTCTTTCTTACGACTATTTGTGTGCCTGTCGCTGAAGCAGCGACCGTTTGTATCAAGATTTGAGTTGTCTGGGAGCAAGACAGATTTCAACATGCATCTGGTCGGATCTCTGCCTATGCAAAAGACCAAATTGCCATGATCATTTTGATCCGATCCTATATGGATATATGCCGACCCATCAACTGCCAGCATTCCACCTAATCATCCTTCTCGAGCCACGGCTTGCACGCATCATACAACTTCGGCAGCGCGGGATCATAGGCCAAGAACCGTTGGAACACATCCTCATCCAAACGCTTGATCATATGCATCATCCCCACGAAGATGAAATCCGCATACGACACTGCAACATGTTAGCATGCATCATTCAGACACATAGGACACAAACTCACCGGTCTCCCCAAGAAAATATGGCCCACCACTCTCCTCTAACCACCCCACAGCCTCCAAAACCGGTACCCTCGCCTCCTCCCACTTCTCTCCCGTCGCCATCGTCTCCTCAACCTCCACCAAACTCATCCCAAACCGCTCTTTCCGCGTCTCATTGAAGTACACCGCCGACCGTTCATTCAGCACCCTTTTTGGCACCTTCGGTATAACAAAGCCTGTCAACGGCTTCATTATATTAGCAATCTGGTCGCGCACTTTCAGCACAATCGGGTCATCCAGACGCAGCGACGGGCTGGGATGGATCTCTTCGAGTTTGTGCGCAATCGGCCACGAGTCCATCATGTGCGTGCCATCAGGCATTGTTATCGTGGGAATGGCGTAGTCGGTCTTGTAGTCCGGGGCGGAGCGGTCGTTGGGCGGGATTCCGAGGGAGGAGAGTTGGGGGGCGAGGTCTGGGTATTCGATCCAGGAGGTAGTGTAGGGGATTTGCTTGAAGTTGAGGATCATGCGGGCTGGGTGTGTCAATGTTAGTGGGAATTTGGGGTGTGGGATCGGGGGTGTGGGTAACTTTTCCATGGGTTGAGGGACCAGGCGGTGCCTTGTTTGCTTGGGAGGTCGTAGAAGATGATTTGAGAAGACATTATGGAACGCGGATGGAGTTGTTAATTGTGTACGAGAGCTGGTTGCTTGTGGGAAAGTTGCATGGGGATTGTGTAATTGTGAGTAGCTGATTCAATATGAAGCTGTTCTTCCAAAGTTGATATATACGGGCATCACGCCCTAGCAAACGACACTTCCGCGCCCGAGAGCTTTCAGGTGCGATTGGTAGGTGCATTTGTCATCAGCTCTGTGAATTCCAGAGACCTAGCGCCATGTTACAGCCATCAAGAAATGTCAGAGTCGCACAGATCGCTAAGTTCAAAACTTGCATCAGCTGTTGATTGCAAATGGTGATGTTGAAAAAGCGGCCGCGGACATGGCCCAGGTGCGCGTGCGCAATCCCCCTTCCCGTCTCCCGCTTACGCCTTCTTCGCCCTCCCGACAAACCTCAAGGTGAAGAGCTTATCTACACAGCATGCTCAGTCCGACCGCAGTCATCGCACAAACTAGCTGGGTGGGTCGACATGTCCGCATGCACTGCCCCTCTTTGGACCACCTTGAGTTCCTGTCAACTAGCACATGCTGCAAGATCCCGCTTCAGCCCCCATATTGGTTCCCCGACCTAGCCTCAGCTGGTCTAGACAGCTCACACATTTACTGAATTCTCATAGTCAGAGTCGTTCCAGCGAATAGGCCATCGCTCAACAATGGCAGTTACTAAAATAGTCTCGCTCGTCGATTGGCAGAGGAGGTTGGTCTTGGAAGATCAGCCTTACCGGAGTGTATAAGGCGTCCCATCATGCACATTGTGAAATGTTGGAGAGTACGGGTGAGGGTGTACAAATGTTTGCTGCGAGATCACAGCATTCTGCTGGGCATACAGTCCTTGTCTTGCTCGAAGCACGAATTTGTTTGCGCGTTCTGACACAGATATCAGACTAATCCTCATCCATTTGCACGAAGTTTCGATGCTGGTGCAGACACACCTTGCATTTCAGCCCCCAATTCGGCGCCGCGCGGGCCAGCAGACAAGGCTGAAAACTAATCTTTAAGAGAACGATATCTCACGTTGTGGTTCTGTCAACGCTTCTTCAATATCTTCTGCCCACTATGAGCACTTCCTGAGCTCTACATTTCCTGCCGAGCGCGATAAGGCAGCGACACGACTCTAGCTTCTCTCTAGTATAAACGACACATCATCCAGGCAGCAGAAGCCGTTTCTCACGAACCGCGCCTTGGAGAAAACACATTGGAGCATTACCGGATCTCGAGAAGCATGGAACCAATACGGAAGGTCAGTGGTCAATCTGACACCCAACCTTTAAGCTCGCCTATATCGCCTTTCGAAGATGTGGAAACAGCCTACGATAGCGGCGACCTAGGGATGCAATATAACGATGCCTCGAACTACTCACCCCTCGCGACGCCAGATTCTGTTATAGAAGCAAGGAGAGGTAGCTACACATATCTCAACACACCCACCTCAACCTTTGAAACGGATCAGAACTCGGATAAGGAGTCGTTGGTGGGCGACCAATTCCAAAGTCACAGGGGTCACCACGTCAAGCGCTTCGACCACAACGAATCCCGCATGAAGCTTCTCCGGATAGGTGGATCAAAGCTCCTAATCACGATGCTATTCAGCGCGTTGATGTGTGTCTGTCTGAGATCATGGGAGGGCTTCAGGCACCAACATACCGTTTTGTCGAAGATTGATGTGCGAATATTCAACGCCATAATGATCGGTCTTTCCCTCTGTCTGGGCCTGAACCTCTTGTCTTCTCTCAAACACTACGCGAACACATTTCGGTGGTCGTTCCTGGCCAGGAGATACGTCAGCCTGGAGACATTCGATCTCATTCTACATGCGAGCTCGCTCGTCAAAGTCACCAAACTCATGATCATCTCAATGCCGGGCATCCGCAGGCAAAAACACCTACATAAATTACCTTGGTTCAAAGATGCTAGGAATGACGGCACGAAGTGGATGTGGCTTGTATGCGCTCTTTGGCTCTCCATCAACATTGGATCTCAGGTTTTGGTTGCCTTACTATCGCTGTTTTGGCCTGTGGAGAACTCGCTCACTCCACTCATGTCGCCTGGCAATGTGACCGTAGCAGACTTGACGACATGGTACGTTGGTCCCAAGGCGAAAACGAACGCTACTGCCATGGAGACCGCCTGGCAATTTGGGATGGAAGCACAGGTCTATTTTGAGTATCCCATAAACGAGACTATGACAGACCTCTCTTCATTGCCAGGAACGCCATTATACCACAATGGCACCTCATGGGAGTATCGCTTTTTCAATCGGAACCCCCAACAACAGTATACCAGCTATATCCTTAGCGAACGCAAGATTCACGCATCTACAACTTGCGAACAGCTTCAGGTCGATGGAAACGTCCGAACAGATGAGGATGGGATCCTCTTCATCAAAGGCAAGGCAGATGGACAGGACTGGACAATGTACAATATTCCGGAGCAGGCCGCAGGATCCATAACGTGGATGGCCTCGGTTGATGCACACTGCGGTTCGCGATGCACCAACTTTACTATCCTACAGAACAAGGACAAAGCAAACATCCCCGGGTCATCATTATTCATGTGCAACAGCACCCTGTCACACGTAACTCCAGCACATGGCAAATACGACATCAGCGGCCTAACCCACGACGACGAAAAGTCCGTCTATGGGAGCGACGCATTCGCCCGAATCGCTGCGGGCGCTATCGGCTGGACAGGAATCGCTTGGAACGACTGGAAAACTCTCCAATCACGCACATATACACAAGGCTCGGAATGGTCGCCCACAACTGTCGTAACAACCGATGACGTCGCGAGGATGCTCTCGCGCTTCACCATCGGCGCCGTAGCTGCCTTCGACGACCACGGGATCCGCTACAACGTTCGCAATCAACAAACCGTCCCCACGCAAGGCCAGCAACTAGACGTCGACTGGTTCTGGATCAGCGTCATACTCAGTAGTATCTGCGGCATACAGCTCATCGCCTTGATTCTGATGGTCGCTTTCGCAAACCGCGCGATTGTGCGCGACGAGAGCTTCTTCAGCATGGCTATGCTGCTGAGCCCCGTAGTTTCGAAAATCGGACCGAGCGGGATGAATTTGAGTGGTGCAGAGATCAAGGAGCATAGAAAGTTGATGTGGAAGAAGATCCGGTATGATTATAGGGAGGGCAAGGATGGGGGGCCGAATCAGGTGGATATTTTCTTCGAAGGGAAGGATCAGAGAGAGGGGAGGAAGAGTTGGGCGCCGGGGTCGTATTCTTGAGTGGCGTCCGATCATGTCGCAGAAGAAGTAAGAGACGGCAACTTCGCAATCCCGCACTTCTGGAACATCGGAAAGGACAGGTTTAATGAGTGGAGCGTTACCCGATTGATAGGATTTCATTTCTTTGAGCTTAGCGATCTTTATGATGGATAATGTTTAGATATGGCGGCAAATTACATACGGTTTACAGAGCGTCTCCAACACTTACAAGTGCCCTCCTCTGACTGTCAGCGGCACTTCGGTTCGCCGTAGTATATACACCCAGTGCGAAATTTTCGGCTTATACGTCACCGTACCTGTGGCATTTACAACCTTCTCTTGCTTCTCCTCACTCTCTATCTCTTCCTTACTGACCAGTTTCCAAAGCATCCCGGTATCCGGAAATCCAGACACGTGGGGTCTTGACGAATACAAGCCATCAACAAATGGAAAGCGATCACTGGAATAGGACAGTGCAACCCAGCGTGCTCCAGGCTTAGTCGCATATGCTAGGTGCACGGCCAAAATGTGCAATGGATGCACTGGTTCGGGTGTCTCGTGTAAACTTAGGTCCAGTGGAGTGTCGGACGGGATGTCGATGGGATAGGGAAGGGGTAATCTAACGTCGTCTATACAGGCTATGCAATCTGATGTTGACTTGTCTACTATTACGGAATAGGCTTGAGGCTTGAAGACTGCCAGGACGGATTTGTGATCGAGTAGATCCACAGCATCCCAGCGCATAGATGTGCCAGCACCACCATTAATGCTCTGGCTGTCCTCGAAGCGATCGTTCCGGTCAAGTTCCTTTTCACGTCTTCGTCCTAGATCAATGGCAACGTGCGAGTAGTCGACGTTGTGGATTTGATGCGGCGATTTGGTGACGGTGCGGAGATGGTAGGAGAGCATGGAGGTGCCGCAGCCAATGTGAAGAAGTTTTGGCTCGTCTTCAGTACTACTGCTCAATGCATCCTTGAGAAACGGGTCTATTACATGTGGTGCTCCTAGCCACTCGAATGGTTCGACCTCGGATGTGAAGCGCTTATTCCAGTATTCTTGCGACCCGTACGATGGTGGCATGTCGACCTGAGATCCGGAGGTTAGGTCCATGTTTCTGGCTGGTTCTGTGATTAGCACTATTACCTGCTTATCTGGCTCTGATGATGATCAAATTACGTCGAAAATTCCTCGATTCTATGATTCTATGTCTCTGTGTAGTTGTGACAAAAAAGCACGCGGTGAAAACGCGACTGCACGTGCCGGCCCGATCTTCCTCCGATCTTCTTCAAGATCTTCGTTTCCAACCATCGGACTCCCGCATTTGCGCCGCACCACCGTCGTCGAATTTCAGCACCATGGCGTCTGTCCAGTCTCTCCAATCGATACCACGCTTTCTATTGCCCCGCGGCACATCCCTCCTGCGACCGCAAACACGCTTCCTGCTCCAAAACCCCGCCCTCATCCGCCATGCATCCACTCCCGCCAAAGGCCTCTCAGCCGAATTCCTGAAAAGAAGACAAGCACAGCAACAAAAAGCACCACCAGTAATACCCCAGCCCGACAAATACCGCGCACCCTCCCACAGCGCACGCAAACCGAATCGAAATCTCGAGAACAAAATCTATGGCGCACCACCATCAGAAGAAGACAAGAAACGCATGGCGACGAAAAAGTACCCCAACATGATGTCACCAGAAGGCACCTTCTCACACTGGTTTCTTCATAAAAAATCAATCCATCTTTACATAACACTGGTACTTGCATCATCCGCACCTTCCCATACCCCGTCCTAACAACCCCCACAGGGCATTCTCGTTTCCCTAGCAATAGCAGCGTTCTACATGGACTTCATGTCCAAAACAGTCTACGCAGAACTCGTGCCCACGCGCAAGGACTTCCTGCGCCACCCGTACGACTCGATCAATCGCTTCCTCGAGGTCTACAAAATGCACATGGAACAGTTGTCGCAGGTGTACACGGAGCAGCGACTGCGAAAGGTCGAGGAAGTCGAGAAGAGGAAGCAGTACCGGTTGGAGAGACAGCGGGAGGCGGAGGAGAGGGGCGAGGAGTATGTGGAGGATCCGAGGTATTATGTTGGTGAGGATGGAATTCGGCGGAGGAGGGTTAAGAAGTGGTTTGGGATTTGGGAGTGAGAGGGGGTTGGTAGGAAGAGGAGACTCGCTGGGCGTGAGGAGATGTGGAGATGTGCTGTATATTATGGGGTTGAAGATGCAGTGGTGCGTGGTGGTGGAAGAAATATGATATCCACTCTGGCATTGATGCATTGCGCATGGTTTGATATTTGTACGAATACTCAAATACATCCTTCACGGTCCGTCCGACGTTTATCGTTTCCCGTGAACGCTTCTTTCAACAGCAGCTTCAAAGGCTACTCATTATTTGTTAGACGTTTGAGCCTGGTCAGTCATTGCAGTACAGCCAATTATTTTCGACATACTAAGTACAGCGGATTTGACATATAGCTGTCTCATTGATTATATCAATCTCATTCACGGCTACCAGAGTCAGGTGTAGTAGTCTTGTCAATAGTACCTACATCCTGCCTTCTCATCTCAATCGCCTCTAGCACACTTACCACCAGCGACACGATGGCGCACCAAACCAGTTCAGCCATATCTGAATAGTTTTGCATGTTTCAATTTGAGGTTTTCTCGCTTTCTCGATACTGCTTGGTTGAACCAAACCAGTTGCTGTGCTCGAGTTATGGACCAGCTAGTTGATTTTGGACGGGATTGAGGTTTATACCCCGCTACCGGCACATAACCATTTGTGCGGATTTGCAATCTTGACATCGTTTGAGGCCATAGATTGGTTTAAGAAGTGCCTCAAACAAGGACCAAAATTTTCTCAACCTGATTATGCGCACCTCAGGACGTCGTCAACAGCTTCGTGTAGCAGGTCTGTCCTCATTCCGATGTATGGAGGGGGTTTCTTGTTTCACTTGTGCCCAAGCAGCACACTTTTGCTACTGCCCGGATTTCCTGGCTCTTTGTACACAGAAGAAGGGAAGGCTGCTAGAACGAATGGTTGACGCTTCCAATTGACGGCGCGAAATATGAGCACAGCGGCTCAGCCAAGTGCCATAGTGTTATGATAGATCTCGAACAATAGATTTCCGCGGGCATATGGTGTTGTGAGGCATTTTGTGTGTAGAAATAGCTCTGTGGTGTGGACGATGTGTTGTAGGGGACCAGTTTCGGTACCAAGTTTTAACTTTTGACTGAGAACCATGGTATCAAGCATCGCGAAAATTTCCATGAACCAGAATACTCACTGAATACCCCCTATAAATCCTTCTCTCACTCTCTCTCCTGAGCTATCCACTAATTCCCTTGAAACACTCTCACCGGAGTGGGAATATTCAAGTATCGCATATCCTCTGCACTCACCAATATGGACAATCAATCTGCGGAATGCTCAGCAGCAGTCATGAGCTGTTCAGCTCCAGCCGCCGCCTTCGTGCCGAAGAGAGTCAGATGGGCAACAGAGCCCAACTATCACCACTCCCACAATGAGGCCTCACCTGCAGCCACTTCTACTCCTATAGACATTCCCTACCCCGACCAAACATACAACATGCCGAAAGGTTCGCGGATGGCGCCTCGCAAGCCAACAGCCATCGAGCACAGATATGAAGAAGATCGCATCCACCACAAGCTCGACAATGTCACAGACTACTGCAAGCGCGGCTACTATGGCTGGGAGTTCGTGCATGACAAGCGGATTGAGAGAAGCAACGAAGGGATCGGAAAGATTATTTCAGGTGAACGGCCGAATAGGAAGACGTGGTATATTCCTGCGGTGGTGAGGAAAGATGTGGACTTTGAGGATATACAGGAAAGTACTGGCGAATGGGAAGATGAGAGATATGAAGTTACGAGGAATGGAAAGCGGAAAGCATATGCGGAGAATGGGTTCAGTGACGGCTACCGCAAACATGTGGCTGGGAGGAAGTTGAAGATCAAGGCGGAGGCTTTTGAGAGGAGAAACGCCCTTCGGAGGTTGGAGTTTGGTTGATCTTCCACGCAGGTTTAGGGCGTTATGGCGTTTGGTATGATACCCGCCGGTCTGATCTCATGAAAGCCGCAAGATAGTTGTCCGGAACATGGTGGGCATGTCGAATTGATTCAGCCCTACCCGTTGGCGGGCCCTGCCGATCTGTAGCAGCACGTCATTCGCGCTAAACATTTTCTATGTTGAGAAGACGCGGGTTTGCAATGCGCGATCGGCCGGTCGCCCGTTTGCTGGATACGCACGCATATAGATAGCTTGTAATGAATCTTTGACTGGTTTCACAATTTAATCCCACCCTTTCACTTCACTCCCATATACCCAAGTTTTCCATCCACGACCCTTCAATATGGCAACGTGAGCCCCGCCATACCCCACCAAGCACACAAACATCACTAACATTGAGCCCCAGCAACATCACATGGCACCCGTCTCTGTCCCGCGCTGAGCGCAACGGTTTCCGCAAGCAAAAAGGCTTCACCATCTGGTTCACCGGCCTCTCCGCCTCCGGCAAATCCACAATCGCAACTGCGCTCGAGCAGCACCTGCTTCACCTGGGCTACGCCGCCTACCGCCTCGACGGCGACAATGTGCGCTTCGGCCTGAACAAAGACCTGGGCTTCACCGAGAAGGACAGGAACGAGAACATCCGGCGAATAGCAGAGGTACGTCAGAGTCTCCACACATGACGCAAGTCTGGAGGCTTGATCACGCAATTGCGCCCAGCATCCGCCAGCCCAATAACTAACTTGCACATCAGGTCGCCAAACTCTTCGCCGACAGCTCCACAATCGCAATCACATCCTTCATCTCCCCGTACAAAGCCGACCGCGCGACAGCTCGCGATCTGCACGCTGTGACGACCGGCTCCGACGAGCCTCTTGCGTTCGTTGAGGTCTTCGTTGATATCCCGCTTGAAGTCGCGGAGGCGCGCGACCCCAAGGGCTTGTACAAGAAGGCGCGCGAGGGCAAGATTCCAGAGTTCACTGGCATCAGTGCGCCGTATGAGGCACCTGAGAAGGCGGAAATTCACATCAGGAGCGACTTGAAGAGTGTGGAGGAGAGCGTCAAGGAGATTACTGAGTACTTGCAGGGTAAGGGATTGTTGGAGTTGAAGTAGATTGATCACACATTTTATATTAGGATACCGATCGGTTTGGGATTATGAAAAAGCATTCGATGATTATGCTCTTGTACGGCAAGTCACAGTGCTGAAGAGATCGTGGACATGCTTTCCAAAGATTCAGAATGTACGAACAAAAGAAGCTTAAGCCATACCACATGAACAATGAATTTTTTTGTACTGCAACATATGGCCTATTTGTCTCCTGAAATCTGTGTGATTGTCTCCCCCAGGCTCATTCGTGCCAAGACCTTGAACAAGTAAGTTTGGTATGACGCAGTGAGAAGTGATCCATATTTCTTCTTAATTATTGAAACACCACATATATCCCGTCAATCTTCAAGCAAATGAAAGTTCTATGCAAATATCATAATGGCTGGACACGTCAATACATGGGATGTTGAGGATAGTTGCATGTGCGGGCGCCGGACAACCACTGCAGCACTTCATCATACTAGAGCCGACCATTAGCGAAATTAAATGTTTAAAGGCGCAAGCTGAGCACCAAAAAGAAATGTTCGCGTTCTTGGGGTGTTCTGACCAGTGGTTTGGGTCCACTATTGCACTCCTGCGGGTCAACCACCTATGCCCTTCACACTCCCAAAACAGCAAAAAAAGATCCTGGAGTATCTGATAATGCCAGACGAATGCTGATGAGAGTGGGACTCGAACCCACGCCACTTTCGTGACCAGGAATATATGTTAAGATTAACCTTAACCTGGCGCCATAACCAACTGATGCATATTAGAAAGGGAGCTGGTGTGGGGAGATGATAATACGAACCTCGGCCATCTCACCATTGAGGATTTGATGAGGACATAGACAATTACACTGAATATATTCTGAGCAAATCTGGTGATGCTGGTGGGGTCGAAGGTGCCTGGGTCGGCAAGATTTTCACTACGGCTAATTTGGCTGTTTGCGGAACACCAATGACTAGCGCTGACACGGTCGAAGAGCACGAGATGCACATCAATCATTCGGACATCTAGAAGATTGGAGCGGGCAAACGCGTGTAGATACCATGGCTCTGGACCAACAATCAGATTTGCTCGGGCCTCTATATATGAAATGTAGATGACATATCCTGTGAGCACAACGAGAAATGCCCTTGCCCTGCATGTATTCAATGAGACTTTGCCATGAGTGACCGCACATTTCAAGGTTCTTCTTTTAAGAGCACTGCTTGCACCACAGATGGAACTAGGTTCACTGCACAACATTTGTGTGCTTTGGACATCATTTGCCCACATCAGAGCCCATATATAGGGAACACATGTAGAGCCATCATTTGATGATCCAACGAACATGTGCGCACCATGAAATTTTCAGATGATCTGTACCAGAAGTTCCATGATGCAATGCGATTCGTGGTCAAAAATCGGTCCGCCTCCACCTATCTTATCTGATACGGTGATTTGTAGCAACAATCATCACATTGTCAATTTGCAATGTGCATATCCATAGTTGGCTGGTGTGAAAGCAGTTCCAAGGTCGGAGCGTTGAAACACCTCAGCTGAAAAGCGCGCTAGCCGAACTAAGTCTCGCTGCTTGGCGAGAATTAGCTGCATTGCGACCGCGAAAGTCAGTCGCATTGACGCCAGGGACGCGCAACAGCTTAACCGGAATTGAATGCGCGACTTTGCTCAGTGAAAGCGGCATCCAGCACCAATCGCTGTCGTGACACTGACAAGACCTGCACCCTGCGCCGTGGTGACACCCTTACCTGGACCATTGCGACGCGTCCGATCATCGCGAGCTCTTCGAGCTACCACCTTCCATCAAACAACCGTCGCAAACCTCAACGAACATGTTTACCGCCACGGGGAAGACGGCGCCGCCGCAGGCATTCATGTCCAGCTATGCGCCGCGCCTGCGAAACCACGGAAACTCCCTTATCTCGCCAATTGTGCCAGCCTCCAATACTCTCCCACCGCCGCGCGTGACGAAGCGCGGAACCGCCGTGCAGAGTTACGCAGAAGATGCGTACGATGACGACGACTTCGAAGACAGCGACCGCCCGCGCCGCGCAACGGGTCTGCGGAGCGTCCAGCGTGGAAACGAGGCAGCAAGTGGAGATCAAACAGCACAGATTGCAGCACTGGGAGAAGAGCTCGTCGCGCCAGTAGAGCTTCAGGGCATCTGGCGGGATTGGATGGGCAGACCGAAGCGGACCATGTGAGTTCTTGCACGTTGAGGAAGGAAGTGTCGAGAGCTAATCATGTCAGAACCGAGAAGCAAGTCCAGACGCAAGCAGTGCTGCCAGTCACATTGATCCCCATCCGAATAGACATGGACATTCAATCCTTCCGACCCGATGCGCCGCTACCCACACCCTCCAATGCTCGGGAGTTCGGCATCAACGAGCACTTGCCTGCGTACAAACAACCAGACATTACACCCGCCTACAGACTCAAGGACTCGTTCCTCTGGAATCTGCATGAGGCTCTGACCACACCAGATCAATTCGCAAAGCAGTTTGTAGATGAGCTGGATCTGCCCAACGATCGCAAACCAGCCATCATTATGAATATTGCAAGTCAGATTCGTCAACAGCTGGAGGAATACGCTGGAGTCGCGTTACATCCTCTTTTCCACTCCACGGCGGCGCCTGCTCTTCAGGGCACAACACAGACGAGCAAAACAGTACCATCACAACAAAACGGCGCTTCAACACCTCTGCCACCGCAAACAAATGGCACCTCGACGCCTGTTACGAATGGCGTATCGCGAACGAACGGCACGCAAACACCTGCGGCTATACCGAACGGAATTACTGCGACTGCGACTGCGCTACCATCCGAAGAGCTCCACAATCCCGATGATACATACCGCTGCATTGTAACCCTGAACATCAACCTGCTGAATCGACTCTATACCGACAAGTTTGAGTGGTCGTTGCTCCATCCACCCGGCTTCGCGGAGATGTTTGCGAAGACGACATGCGCCGACATTGGATTGACTGGCGAGTGGGTCGCAGCTATGACACACGCCATCTATGAAGCAGTTCTGCGACTAAAGAAAGAAGCATGCGGAGAAATGGCGCGGCTGGTCGGTGATGGCGAGATCGACAACGATGCTGTCGAGCCTGCTATCGGTGCGGGCTGGAGATACGATCAGGAGCACTTATGCGACGAGTGGGAGCCGAAGATGGAGATGCTGTCCAAGGAAGAGATCGAGCGACGAGAAGGCGACCGCGAGAGGCAAATCCGAAGGTTGAGGAGAGAAACCGCACGATTCTCTTCAACATCAAACATGAACGGCCCGCAAAACGAATTCTTCAACAACGTCGAGCAGCAAGAAAACATGGGACGTGGTGAGAGGAGTAAAAAGAAGCGAAGATTCAGGAGTTTGAGCCCTGTCGGTCGCGACACTCCCGGAGCTGGATCAGGCTATGGAGGGCAAGAAGGTGGACTCCAAGAAGGGTAAGAATCTCTTCGATACGTATGAGGACTCACACTAATGTGCCATAGCGAACGACAAACATGGCGATGCGGACACTGCTACGTATGGGGCACAGCTGTATGGGCAGTTCGCGATGGTCCACGCGGCCCACGCTCCCTTTGCAACAACTGTGGATACCTGTACGAGCGCGACAAGAAACTGCCACCGTGGTCGGAGAACCTCTTCTTTCACGAGCGGCCATGTCACGATGTTCAAGTCTACCGACCACAGAGGTGATCCCGATGAGCTAAAGCCATTGTTTTTGTTCTCTCTTCGACAGCATCGTAATTGACTGTGCAAAAGAAGCTAATCGGGGACTTATCCAGTGTTCTGGAAGCTTTGTAGCATTTTAATAGCGTGGCGTTATGATTGTTATTGTACGCAAGGGGTGGGAGGTGTACAACATGTTGCGTACTGTGGGAGGCCTCATCGAATAACGCGCAAACAACCAAGCTCGGGAGCGACTACATCCCTGGCTGACTCAACAGCACGAGGAAGCCTAGAGCCACAGGTCTGGTCCTGCTTCACGCCGCTTCGATGCATGTTGTCAAACATTCAGCAACTACATTGGATGACGGAAGACTTGAGAGCCATCAGTTTGCAAGGGAGGCCAAGGTCTGGAGAAGGTAATATCTACAGCACATCATTTGCACGATAAGTAGTGGTGAATATGAACCTTGAAACCAACATTCCTAGCATTCTTTGTCTGGTGATGATCTTATCCTATATCTGTTGCAGCACTTTCTTTGATATATCTGGAAAGGCCGATTACAGGCAATCAAGGGGGACAACATCAGAGTCATCGTTGTGGGAATCAGAGCGGTCGTGGTATACCGAATGTAGGCAACAGAGTCTCAGGCAGCAGGAAATCAGCAATGCAATATCATGCCGATTACAGTATCTTATTGTGATCCATAAATAACACATCACATGACAGCACATGACCCAGACCTCGATGCCACTCGCGCCATTCAGACCCATCCCAATCTTTCTTTTTTGCCTATTGTTTCCCCCAGTCTTTTCCTATTGTCCACCACAACAGGCCAAACCCCATGCATGCACACGACGCCAACCACCTGTGCCGAATATGCATGCCTAGAAAATCTCGGCACTTGCTATTGTAGCCCAGTTTTCAACACCCCTCGCATTCGCAGTGCTTGATGTTGATAGGTCAAGCCTGTTGCACGGTGGCGCAAAGCGGACTAGCGCCGTCTTATTGTACAATAGCAATGTTGTGTGGCACGGCATGGGAGGCGCGGTTCTTTTGGCCGAGCTTACTATTGTGGATAAAATTGGGGAGTGTGTTCAATAGGAAGGATGTGGGTGAGTAATGGGAGGGGTGGTATATATAGGGCTGGGTGGATGAGGGTATCTTTCGTACGTGATCATACGCACATGGACTTGGATACTGATCGCGAATTCTGTAGTACATACTTCGCATAGATTCAAGAGACCTGTAAGTTTGTCTTCTGCCTTTGCAATCTGATGATCCGCACCTGACCAGCCGCTGGGATAGTGTAGAGACGTGGGTACGCGAGCGGGCGAAACAACACCTCCCAGACAAAATCACATCACCGAGCAACTCCATCTCCGATTGCAAACCCAGACATCCACTGGTATATTACATCAGCCCACATCTCGGACTTGGTGTCTTGTGGAGTTTACGAAATCCCCGGGAAAACCCTCATCCTTAGTGATCCCACACTCACACCGCGATCACGCCACCCACACATCACGATACCAACAACTCGGTTGAATATATCCAGCAGAGGATACTAATGGACGCCCACCACGACGATACCGCACGCTTGCAAGCTGTTTTGCAAGCACTTTCGAGAACACCTTCCGAGACGGAATATATGCCCGCACCACCACCACCACCACCACCATCATATCAGAGCATCGCTAGTGATCCGATTATGCCACTACCTACCATGCACAACCCGTACGACGCAGAAGACGAGCACGACGAAGACGACACTCCTGAAATCACGATTAATGCTGCGACGCAAGTCCGCGGACACGGCAACATCATCTCCATCGCGCAAATGGATAGTCTGCGCATCGCCAACCTCATCGCCACAATACTCAGAGGGGACTCCCCAAGCCCATCACCATCATCCTCGCCAGAAGCTACAACCTTACCTTTACTCGCAAGCATGACCAAGCCTTCAAGACCATATCCCAGGATCAACGTCACAGTCAACTGCGGCGCGACGGTCATTGGGGATAGGAATATCGTGGGCCCGGGGCTGGGGGATGTCGCGAGGCAGATGCAGGTTGCGCATAGGAATCAGGTCGCGCAGCAGGCGGCGAAGACGGCGGAGATGCAGTCTATGGCGCAGAGGCATGGGTTGTTTGCAGCGCAGACAGTTACGCCGCCGATGAGTCGGAGTGGGAGTGCGCATAGTGATGGGGCCGGGGTGAAGAGGAAGGCTGATGAGGAGGCGGAAGAAAGCATGAAGAGGCGATGTTGATGTGGGAGTGGGATGTGTTTGAACATATTGGTATTTTTCATTCTCGTCTTGCGTGTTCCATGGCGACGATCTTCTTTCGTCTGAGCGTTTGGGAGACTTCGGTGCAGTGGGGTTTGGTGGGATCACGAATGTACGACGGTAACGAATTATGTTGTATACAATACCTTCTCGTTGAGCCACTAGTATGCTCTTGTTGTGCACACGATGTTGCTGGCGCGGTTTTGTGCTCGAGACTATTGATAGGTACCCTGGCGCCGAGACTCGAGATGTTTGTCGCAAAAGGGGTTACCCAGCCCTGGCTGTCATTCCGGGGCGACTTCGTGTGACGGCAAAAGTTCTCAGGCCATCTCACCGTATACGAGGAGACATGGTGGTGCAGACGCCAGATCACGGTTGTGGTATTTAGATTGATTGGCACCGGTAGATGAGAGCGTCACGCTTGGTTAGCAGGTCAATGTCGGTTGCAGGTGAACCATGTGGTACTTTCGCGTACTGGGGTGGGTATGCGTATCGCAAAATGGGGTGAGGGTTCGATAGTCCCGTACCGTAACGGGTCGGAGGTACCGGTGTTATCCCTGAGTCCGAACTGAACGAGCTTCCGCAAGGTGGCCTTTACCAGGCCGCCACCGTGCGCCGAGCATCCAAGGTGCGCGGAAGTCATTCGGGCGAGAAGGTGGCCGCCGCCATTGCACCACACGAGAAGCGACTAACTGCTTGAGCTGACAACGGCCAAGGTGAACTAAAGCTGGTGACTAAATCGTGGAGTTAGATTCTATAGCTTTGCTTCATCCGTTGCGTCTATGGGTGACGAGGCTCTGACCCTTGCGAGGTATCACCCTCGCAAGGGTGCTAGTGCTAGCGGCATACCGACTCCACTCCACCTGTACCTTCCCTTCCGCAACTTCGCCTGATCACTATCACCAATCTCTCATTCTCTCTACTCATCCACTCATCCACTCATCCTCTCCACTCCAACTTCTCATCTATTACCCCCACCCTAAACAAATCCCAGTCTCATTGCTAGTCGCATTCGACGCGATTGAGCATTCGCATCCCAACGGACGGTAGCTTCTCGGAGCGGCTCTCTGCATACACCTGGCCACTTTCTTGACGCTGACAGGGAGATCGCCGCGAGGATCCCGCGAATAGCATCAATCGTCTTCCGCCAGAGGACAGACGTCGCAAGGGCAGGCTTTGTTACCAATTACTGGTGGCATTACTCCTTGCGTCACTCGAGCTCTCCTTCACCAAGCTCCCTAGCCCGGGCAGCTACAGTCGGGATTCCGAGTCTTATCCACACTTCCCGCGACCCGACTCCCCACACAACATCGATACGCGCTCAGTCCTAACGTGGACACGTTGCGCTCCTCATCACCGGAGGCGAATACATAATAACCACCACAACTTGAGGAGTTCCTTCTCAACACTACACAACCATGGAGACTTGGGCAAGCTGGGCTCTATTCCTGGCCATTGTAGGCGCGGGCTACGTGTACTATAGCCAGAGCCAGAGTGCCGTCACCAGGGGCCGCTCCACCGCGACACGCCCTACCACAGCCTCGGACACGGCGCAGTGGCTCGAGAACGAGGTGAAGACCAAGGCAGCAAAGGCTACCAAAGCCGCCAAGGCCAAGGCACCACGCAAGTCGGTCAAGTCGACTGTTCAGGAGGCCGGAAATAAGGTCGAGTCTTACCTGTCCAACGCCTCTTCTACCGCCGGCGCAGATGCGGACGACGACTCCTCGCCCGTCGCCTCGCCAGTTGGCAACGCCTCCACCAAGGCCCCAAGTGGTCGCGATGTTTCCGATATGCTCGGCTCCCAGGCCGCAGCCCCGTCTGTTCTCAGCATCAAGCCCGGCGAGAAGCCAGCTCGCGCTGCTAAGCCGAAGGCCGCGAAGGCAGAGGCCCCACAAGAGTCCAAGAAGGCTCGTCAGAACAGGAAGAAGGTAGAGGAGGCCAAGGCCGCTCGTGCGGAAGAGGAGAAAGAGCGTAAGGCTCTCCTAGAGAAGCAGCTTCGTACCGCGCGTGAGGCCCGCGGCGAGCCTGCAAAGAACGGCCTCAAAGCTGCCAATGCCCCTGATTCGAACGCATGGACTACTGTCGGTGCAGGCAGAGGCGCCGTTCAGCCTCCGGCTTCAGCTCCTACCGGACAACTCCTCGATACCTTCGACGCTGCTTCGACCGCGAGCTCTAGCGAGGCCCCTACTAACGGCACCGCCGCAACTCCAGACTCCATGTCCAACAGCGGCTACAACAACAGCGCTCTCTCTGAGGAGGAGCAAGTCAAGATTGCCATGGATGACACAACGGCTTGGGAGACCGTTCCTAAGGGCAAGAAGCAGAAGAAGAAGTCTGCTGTCGAGGAAGAGGGCTCTGTGGCTCCGCAGGTCGCTCAGCCTGTCAAGCCTGTCCACATCGACAAGTTCGTCCGTCCTACCGTCTCGGAGAACAAGAAGCCCAGCTCCCGCTACCAGATTCTCCAGGAGGAGTTTGTGGCTGGCCCTGACAACGCTGACGACTGGCCTGTTGTATAAGCAGCTCGTAGTTTGCTCAAAGGGGCACTCACGATATTTCATCATGGGGATGTACTTTTATGCATGTGGGATAAAGGCAGAATGTAACAGCATGAGCACTTGCAGTAAATCTGCCGGATAGCTACGACCCGATGTGGAGGCGATTTGGTTTTCACTTTCATTACTTGACATTACCAAAAGGCATGGGCGTTCTGGGTTGCATCTCAGCGACCAGCTATCCTTCTGTTTCTACATCTGTACTTTTGTGTTAGTTTTCTTTTGAATCAACATGCATCAACAATTTTTGAGAATCGGAATTCGTTGCTAGTCGACGCGCAATCAACATTAGAAGCAATTCCTGTGCACGATCAGAGTTTCTTTGTGATGTGGCCGGTTCCATGTGTGGGATCTGTGTGGGATCTGTGTCGTGATTTAAAGGATCAGATGTCATCAGCGCCACAGCCGTTGGATGAGTTCCAAAAATACAACATGACACTTGAGCGCCGAACCTGGTAATTCGCCGAACAGGTCATTCATTGTATGTACTCGGCACGCGGCGGGATCGGGGTTTGTGCACAGTGCGGCTGTAGCATTCCCGGTGGGAGCATCAAAGGTAAAATCTGGCATCAATAGTGACGGACCGAGGCAGTGATTGCCCGTTGTCCAGTACCATTCTAGAGCAATTTGTACGATATATGAAATTCCGTCATACATCTGTCTTGTAGACATGAAACTTGTTAGAAAATGAATAGCTCCCTCGGTAAATAGACAAGTCGCTGTGCGGCCTTGGTGAGATCCATGGATGTGAAGTCTCACTACGGGTAAGCTAGCGCGGTAGTGCGCTAACATGTCTTGGCAATGGCCAGGTGGTCTTCACACGAGGGAAGAGGTGCCAGACCAAAACCCCAGCTCCGCCCACTCCACGCCGCTCATTCAGCGCCCCGACTTTCTCCCTCTCCTTCACTTTCAACTGCAGCCATGGCGCAAATCCGTGGCACAGCCGGCTACCATCTTGGCAACCAGAGCCCTTTCGGCAATGCTGGGCGAACCGACAACAGCACGAACGACCCGAGTCCGCTGGACCAGTTGAGGGCGCAGACGAGCAAGATTGAGGACATGCTGGACACCTTGTCCGACCCCATCAAGCCGTGAGTCGGTCCCGAAAGTTCCACGACCACTGCGGTCTCCTGGTGCCACCAAAACGCCCAGTGAAGTCGAAGCTAATCGAGGCCTCGAATAGATACCTACCAGCCATTGGCCGCTTCTTGATTGTCGTTACTTTCCTCGAGGATGCGCTGCGCATAATAACCCAATGGCGCGATCAGCTCACATATCTTCACGACTACCGACACAGTATGCAACTCGGAACACCCCCTCAAAGCCGAATAAATGCTGACACGTGCCTTTTACAGTCTGGAACGGCGTCACACACCTCTTCCTCATCGTCAACGTCATCGTCATGACCGGCGCCTCAATCATGGTAATCGCGCGGAAACACTCGGAATACGCTGTAGCTGGTCTTATGGGCGTCGTGGTTTTGCAGGGTATTGGATACGGCTTGGTCTTCGACCTGAACTTCTTTTTGCGCAACCTGTCGGTCATGGGAGGACTGCTTATGGTCCTTTCTGACTCCTGGGTTCGCAAGAAGTTCGCCCCCGCTGGCCTCCCCACCCTTGACGAGAAGGACAAGAAGATGTACTTCCAGCTTGCGGGCCGTGTCCTTCTCATCTTCCTTTTCGTCGGCTTTGTTTTCCGTGGTGAATGGGGTTTCTGGAGAATTGTTGCCAGTCTTCTCGGACTCGTCGCTTGTATCATGGTTGTTGTTGGATTCAAGGCCAAGTTCTCGGCGATCATGTTGGTGCTTATTCTTAGCATCTTCAACCTCTACGTCAACAACTTCTGGAAGCTCCACCCACACCACCCGCACAAGGACTTTGCGAAGTACGACTTCTTCCAGATCCTTTCCATTGTGTAAGTTCCCCAAATTCACTTCATAAGATGGAGCTAACAATGCATCAGCGGTGGTCTCCTTTTGCTGGTCAACATGGGTCCAGGTCAGTTCTCCGTCGACGAGAAGAAGAAGGTCTACTAGACGATATCTACATTCCGCGACTCGCATATCGATATGAATCCTGGGTGCAAGCGTCCAGTGCATTTGATAACACGTACCTATCATGAGCGACGCAGGACGGCATCTATTCGAGCCAGGCGGCAGTACGTTGAGGAGAAACTAGGGACAGGGATAAAAGCGAAGATGCCCCAGCATGGCGTCTGGCAGGCATGCTATGTGTAGACTACGAATATCCGGCGTTCATATAAGGTGCAATTAGACAGAATTGCCCCACATTGGAAATTTCTATTAAACTTATCTTGCCGATTGCATATACGCAACTTGATACCGATTGTGGACACATGTACTGTGAACGGTTATTGGGTAGACGACGTCAGTGTGGATTTTCGGCCCATCTCCGCAAAAAGGCACAGCTAATACCTGCCATCCATGGTTAAGTGGGATGGAAAGTAGGCTAGTTATCTAAGCATGCCCGCAAGTAACCATCCACCTGCAGCTTGCTTCGACCAATCTTTGTACAAACACTTTTTCTCTCTGTACTCAACATCTAAACCAAAAACATAATGGGGCCGAGCAAGATTATCATCGACACCGATCCCGTAAGTGCTTCAAAATATGGCGGGGTAGATGATGGTGTCTGACACGAACAGGGCATTGACGATGTACTCGCCATGCTGCTTGCCTTTTCGGCAAAGCCAGAAGAGTTGGATATTTTGATGCTGTCGCTTACTTTTGGCAATGTTGAAGTTCAAAAGTATGTCTCTCATTCTGCTACTTTTGCATCTTCCCCGACCCCCCACCTTTCCACTCTCTGTCTTGACAGCGATGTAGCCAGCTACTTTAAGGAGTTCTGAACTGACCATAGATTTACTATAGCTGTCTGAGGAATGTAGTCACGCTATTTCATCATATCGAGAAGGAGCGGGCATGGAGGAAAGCGAATGGGAGAGCGCCGGGGTTTGAGACATTGGATGTGAGGAAACCTATCGGTACGTACTATGAGTAAGGAAATGTAATGGAGTGCCGGCTGATCAGATACTGTCTAGTCGCTGTTGGTGCTGAAGAGCCCTTGGCGGAACATATGATGGTAGCAGACTTCTTCCGTGAGTGCATTTATCTGAACATCTAAGAGTGGCCGCTCACTTTATTTAGATGGCGTCGATGGGCTCGGAGGCATCCATGGAACTGTGAACATACACGTATCCTTTTTTTAAGCATACACTGACTGTGTAAATAGCACCCTCATCTCTCCCCAGAAGAGACATGGAAGTCTCTCTTCTTGCCAACACCAGAGAACCTATCAGCCGAAGAAGCCGCTGCTTTGGAAGCTGTCAAAGAAAAGCACAAGCTTTTCGTACCATCCCTGAAGCCTGCACATGAAGTTATGCTGCAGATCTTGGCAGAGAATGAACCAGATACTGTCACCATCGTTGCTGTCGGGCCACTCACGAACCTTGCTATCGCTGCTGCAAAGGACCCCGAGACCTTCTTGAGGGTCAAAGAAGTCGTCGTCATGGGCGGTGCGGTCGAAGCACCTGGAAACGTAAGCCATTCTTCTCTTCCCTCGTATGCCCACAGCTCATGCTGCTGGTCTAGCCACCGCCACTTGACCGCATATACTCCCTTGAAACCCAAGCCCTTCCCGTCCCCAACTTCAACCTTATCAAGCAACCCGACACACCGTTACGCAGATCACTAAACCTCCGCAACCAGATGACACCCGGTGCCGAATTCAACACCTACGCCGACAGTGTAGCAAGCGCGCGTATCTTCGCCCTCACATGCCCGAACCCACGCATGACCATGCCCCCCGTCCTTTCCGGCCACACGAAACAACAACTTTCCCCCATACCCGAGAAACTCAGCAAACAGCTCAAAATCAAACTCTTCCCGCTCGGTAACAACCTTCCTTACTCCCTTCTTGACCCCTATACTTATCAGTGCATTAGATATTACAGAGCACCACCTCCTCCCCGCCACCCTCTTCAAGTCCCACACTACCAGCCCGCCCGTCGCTGGCTCCCCACTAGCAGAATGGGCCACGCTCTTCCTCAACGCCACATTCGAGAAGAACCTCTCGCTCAACCCGCAGCAAGATCGTAGCAATATGGGTCTGCAGCTTCACGACCCGCTGACAGTGTGGTACGCGAGTTGCGCGGCGCACGAAGGGTGGGAGTTCAAGACGGAGGATTTGAGGGTTGAGACTAGTGGGCAGTGGACGAGGGGATGTAAGTTTTTTTTTCTCCCTTGGTGTGAAGATGATGGTGCTGGATGTGAACTAATGATGATATGAATAGGTATTGTGGCGGATCGTAGGGGGCGTCCGATTACGGAGGGTCAAGGGGATTTGGAGGAAGATGCGCTGGGGGATGCGGGTGGTTGGCGCGATTCCAGGAAGGGGAATCGTGTGGCATGGTGTACGAAGAGTCCGGGGACGGAGGTGTTTGCGGCACATTTGCTGGAGAGGGTTTTTGGGAAGGTTTGAGAACGGCGTGATGTGCTAGAGTACACATTTTGGTGAATATAGAAGGTCTGGCCAATCAGGAGATGTAGACGATACCTCCACTCAAAGACGTATTTCAGGGAATATTACAGACGTGATCTGAACCAGTATCGAATCCTGAAGTCAACACCACAGTAACAAGATGCAATGTAAAGTATCTGTGCACAGACAACGAGGTATTGACCAGGGCAAATGATTTGTCAGTTAGCTTACCCTTTGACAGAGCATGCTGTCATACTAGAAAAGTAATTAGCTCTAGTGAATTAGTGGTTATCATAGCTGTAGACGACCGTCGCATTGAATGCGTCAATTGTGGCTTCCTAGCATCATTGCGAGTCTTGCAATCCATGTTGCTGCTTAACTACCACCTCTCAGTATGCAGAATCATGAGTTGTGCATACGAAGTCGTATTTGGTTTAACCGTGCTTGATCAAGGTCTAGGGGTAGCAAGGATCGGCGCCACTCCCATCAGCCTGCAGCCACTCAGTCAAGGTCTAAGGGAAGCAAGGATCGGCGCCACTTCCATCGGCCTGCATACGCCATGACAGTATGCCATTCGCTGGCCGGGTGCAACTGTCCTCACGAAACGCACTCTTATAGTCTCGAAGTCTCGAAGTCAAGCCTTTTCGATCATTCGTTTTGCGTGTCCCGCAAGTCAACAATGGCATTCCTTTGGTTCCTCAGACGCTGCAAGATACCAGACAGTTCACGGACAACCCGTACATGTGACGACCACATCCCTCGAAGCCGTACATTTTGCAAGCGACACTCCTGTGCCTATGTTCTGTGCACTGAGAGAAACGAAAGGCTCTATGAGATATTGCTACACACGTCCGTATTGTCAAAGAATTAGCAAGTGGCTCCGTTGACAACGATTCAGATGCTTGTCACAAAATCGACTGTAGCCTTATGGTCACCACTCATGACATAGAGTTGACAAAGTACTGCGCCATTCACAAATGCGTATTTTGTAGTGCCCCGGCCTCGCACAATCGAGGTTTCTGCAACAAACATGAGTGCGTTGTGCAGACCTGTACTGAAGGTCGAGCTACGCGAGCCTCCGTCTACTGCGAGGATCATGAGTGCGCAGTCATGAACTGTCATGCCGAGGCACGCTTTTCAGGAGGTACCTGTCGTGTCAACCAACATGGCTTGCATGATTTCCGAGTGGCAGAGATGCAAGGATGAGGTGAAGGTCGAACGGAGTAGGAGCTGACGTGTTGTTTTGTTCACTCAAAAGTTTTTGCACACTTCTTTGGTCACCGACGGACGAGAGGGATATATATGTGGTAAAGCTCTATTTCGTTGGCGATTGTGCTTTTTTTCTCTTTATTCGTCTCTAGATTCAGCGAGGGCGCACCGGGTGTTTCTATCCAACTCTTCCTTTTCAATGATCGGTCTTGGCTCCTGCTGTTTGGAAGGATAAGATGTCGCTGTATATATGACGTACACGTATAAAATACTCAGGCAGAGGGAGTTACCAACGAGTATTTCCATTCCAAAGTTTGCCTATCGCCATCGTCCTTGCGGCCTAGATGCATAGCCTCGTAGCAACGCTGCCCCGATAAGGAAAGCGACAGCAGCACCAAAGATATAACCCGCGACTGGTGGAGTGGCGACTGGTGGCTCCGTCTGCTGCTTGTTGTAGCTCCTGGCTTTTTCTGTATATTTAGTCCGTCTTTGTTCAGGCGAATCTTCCTCCTCTTTCGCCTCGACCTTGGCGCTTTCTTTACCACGACCAAGATACTCGCGTATCAACGGATCTTCGCACTCGCTAAGATCCAGCCATTCTCTTTGGGCTCCGCCTTGGTCGAGCGGTATGGCGATATTAAGACCACCGAATTCGCCTTCTTGGCCAGACTTCCTGCCCTTCTTCACGGTGGCGTCATCCGGAAGCCATGTGTCGAGAATTTGCAGTGGTAGACTTCGGAACACCAAACACATCCACATTTCGAGTACGTTCAGGAGGAGATCCGGACAGTCCATGCCGGGTAGAGTGTGATTGCCCATATTCGGCGATGGGACTTGGGCGATGAGGCCAATGGAGTTGTATATGCTGTGTTGCATAGCGTGGTAATGGAGACTGGGGTTGTCTCTTCGATACCGGAAGTTCAGGTGTTGCCCCACACGTGACCGTATCGATCCCGCTTGGCCAACGTAAATGCGTACTCTCCGGTCGAGTCCCAGGACGCCATCCAGATAAAGACCTCTTCCTTCGTACTTCAAATCACCACCGACAGCTTTCAATGCGTCGAGACTCCATCGGCCGTTGAGAAAGCCCCATACTTGTGGTCTAATGCTCCGAAAGCAAAAGTCCTCGAGGCGAGGGTGTCGCTCTACCCATTTTCCATACTTTGCGTAGTATTTTGAATCTTCGTCTTTCAGCCTCTCCAGGAGATGGGCAAGAATCTTCTTTGCCTCTAATTGCGCTACTGAGAGGTCGGCGGGTAGGTCGTACATTCTGGTTTGTGTATTTGTGTAAGGATGAGGCTTGTGCGAAGGTGGTCGAGATGGACCAGGTGGCTCGATGGCGGCCGACATCTTCAACGACTGTATATATGTCCTGACGGGCTTGTCTTGGTGTAATGCGAGAGATTAGGCAACGTTCAGTATTAGTTAGCGCCGAGGCAACACTCAGGCCAAACGCGTCGAGGTTGTGATTAATTGGTTATGTGTAATTTGAACGCGAGTTTGCTGCCTAAATACAGCGAAAGATAATGTCTCGAAGCTTAGAATCAGTAACCAGATTGAAGCAAATGTTGACGTAAGAAAGTGTGGTTGAACATGGAGGAAGCTTTGGGTAAGCGCTCGCTCGCTTCGCTTGACAAGGCTAGCGTGGCGACGCGAAAATGTCACGTCTTCCTGCAGTGACTATGCAGGAAACTATCGTATTCGTGCGTGATGTCTTGCAGTGGGATATGGGTCAAATACCTCCTACCGAAGACTTCTACAAGGTCCTAGACCCCAGGGTGCTCTCCCTGGTGAGAAACCAACTGACTGCGCGCCATTGGGCCACTGACCGGATGGCGATACACCATTCCGCGTAACAATGTAGCATTGGTCCGAAGATTTGTACCAACACAGGCTGGCGTGTTTTGGCAGGATGTGCAGCACTGCTGTTGTTTGGATGTACCGAGGCCTGAGGGATGTCGCTGGAAGCCTGGAGCGCATGCTGGAGGACGCGATATCGCCGACGACGCAGCTTTCTAGTTGCACTTGCCAAACTCAGGCTGGCATTTGACACCACAGTACACCGATCCTGACCCACAGTATCCATACCTGGGAGGGTGTCAGGACTTGTACTTTCTTCGCCATGACCTTGACTTACTGAGAACAGCAGTTTCCCCACTGCGACCAAAAGCAATGAAAACCTCCCCCCGCGCCATGAGCATCACCGCATCGGCCGTTGGGTGATGCCTTGCCGGAGGAAGACGAGGGAGGTGACGGAGGTGAAGCAGTGTCTCCTTTGCAGTCACCAAACTTTGATTGACAGCGATTTGAGCAGTGGTGTATAGTAGAGCCGCACCATCCATACCTGATTCCGCAGTTAGTTGTGCAAGGTACGTACCTGTGGAGAAGAGAGATACCCACTGAGAGCAGCAGTCGCCAAACCCACTTCCCTTGCACGTCAGGCCGTCGTAGCCACCGCATTTGCCATCCTTGCTGGTGCCGCTGGCTGCGATACTTGTGGCGAAGATAGAGAGAACCGAGAAAGAAGTGAGGCGCATGATGCACATGTATGAATCAACGATATGACTATGAGACTGGTATAGCAGCAGCGTGCTAGCGCTAGATAGTCATACGAGTGGCTATAGGAATTATATAACAGTCTGTCGTCCAGTGAACAAAGATTTCGTAGTCGTCGCGCAAGGCGGAAGTGAGCTCTAGACTCCGTTCAGCTGCCACAGTGCCAATGTTAGTAGTGGCAGAGCTACAGAACTTTACATGAACAATTTGTGTGGTTGACGAATGGCACCGAAGCGATAGCGTCTTTAAGGCTGATCTAGTGCATCAGTCTAGGCAGATAGAGACAAACGTGGAAAACTTCAGCTAAAGAAAGTGCAAGCCACATTGCACCGATGCTCGGGTCTGCAAACCAAGACTTGGAGTGTCGATGAAAGGGAAGCGAGGTGTAGTCCGTTGTCTTTGGTCATAGAGCTGGCGTCCCGTGTCTGCCTCGGCTGCGCAGTGCAGTGTTATGGAATGCTGACAGGGCTGTTTGCGAACCGATCTGCATGGAAATTGCCAAATCCTACCGTATTGACCGGTGTAGTGGATCATGGCTATGATCAGTCAAAAGTGAAATGGCTTCGTGCGGTCCTAGACGAAGGCGGAAGAGAAGGTCAAGTGGTCCGAAGTACTGTCATCATCCTGGGTGCTAGTATGCCTGAAAGATCCAACATGACATAATTGGAGGGTAAGATTGTAGTCTACTTCTCTCAATCATGCGACAAATGTGCCAGATGTTGATGGCTGGGTCACTGTCAAGTTACGCTCATGTGAATAGCGCTAAGGATCTAATCTTATCTCATCAGCACCCCTGCCACTTGAGGCCAGAACAGCAACATCGCGACCAAGTCCGAGCTCTAAACACATCTGGCTACAACGTCAAGCTCTCTTACCCGACACAGCACACTTATAGGTCACAAATCACACGTATACTATAAGCACTGCTTCCATAAGCCCACAGCAAATATGGCAAGTGTAGCCCGCCATGCGTTGTGCGCCTTCCCGATGTTCGTCCGCTAACTCGTGGCTGCCCATTCCAGGCAAACGTATTACAGAATGCGAACCACGATGACATGATTGTACGTCTACATATCCTCGAGAAATCCCGCGCATACACCGCATATATCCATCTCAATCAACCGCCTCCACGACGCGCACCACAGGCGCAATGGCCGACAACGGACAAAACGTGGACCTGCTATCGATCGAAGCTAACGAGGTCCAGCATGATGCCGTGCTCGACTACTATGGCAGACGGCTAGCGACGTGCTCTTCAGACAAGACGATCAAGATCTTTGAGGTTGAGGGCGACAAACATACACTGGTCGAGACCCTGCGAGGGTACGTCACCACGACACACTATACCAGGACGCTGTTGACAGCTGGACAGACACGAAGGCCCAGTATGGTGCGTCGCATGGGCGCATCCCAAGTACGGCAACATCCTCGCATCCTCCTCATATGACGGCAAGGTCATCATCTGGCGCGAGCAGTCGTCCACCTGGCAGAAGATCTACGAAGTCGCCCTACACACCGCCTCGGTCAACATCGTCGCCTGGGCGCCCCATGAGGTGGGCTGCCTTCTCGCATGCGCTTCTTCCGACGGCAATGTTTCGGTGCTTGAATTCAAGGACAATGCGTGGTCACACGTCATCTTCCAGGCCTGCGGTAGCGGCGTGAACAGCGTCTCGTGGGCTCCAGCTGTCGCGCCCGGACAGGTTGTAAGCGCAAGCGGAAACCAGGCCGGTGCTGCAAGGCGGTTTGTCACGGGCGGAAGCGATTGCCAGGTCAAGCTGTGGGACTTCAGTGCCGAGACTGGCAGCTGGCAGAGCACACAGATCTTGACAGGACACACAGATTGGGTGCGCGATGTTGCGTGGTCGCCGACTGTTCTCTCCAAGTCGTACATCGCATCTGCATCGCAAGACAAGACTGTGCGTATCTGGACATCTTCGGACCTTCGTATGTATACATTGGATGATGTCGAGATCCCCTGCTAATAATGTCTAGGCGACTGGAAGTCAACTGTTCTCAACGTCGATGCTGTCGCCTGGCGCGTGAGCTGGAGTTTGAGCGGTAACGTGCTGGCCGTCAGCACTGGCGACAACCGTGTCAGCCTATGGAAGGAGAGGCTGAGCGGCGGATGGGAATGTGTCAAGACGATTGAGGAGTAGACGAAAAGATAAAGGACCAGCTTCATGCCCAATTGATCGAACTGACATGAATGAATCAAGAGTAGAACAAAAGATCCAGAGAATACATTTTCAAACTTTTCATTGTCTTCTTCTCGATTTTGTAGTGTCTTGTATCTTTATAGTTCTCCTGGACGTCCAATTTCTTCGCTGCGTTTTACTCTTCAATTCTCCGCCACAAGCCATTTTGTCTGTCGCATGATTCCTACTCTTCTCAAGCTCTTATACTTCGTCGTGACGACCATCGCTGCACTGCATTTCTTTCTGCACGAGATCCACCCTTCTCTCGTCTAATGGAATAGTGAACTGGATTGATTGATGATCCAGTAGCAAAATAACACCAGATCACGATTGTGTCGCCAATATCGCGTCACAGTGCATAATTGGCTAGTGTGAAGGACAAACGCGCCGCCAAGACCTGCGATTTCTACGGCTCTGGGTCGCACTCACCTCGCAATTCATTCCATCCATTCTACCACAATCCTTCGACTAGCGATGGATCGAAACATGGAAAGTGAAGCGCCCACCGAGGATAGGCTGTTGCCGGGGCTTCTACGACTGCCGAACGAACTCTTGATCAAGACGGTCTTCTCCCTCAGCAATCTCGATCTACGACGGCTCGCCCGAGTCAACAAGAAGATATCCTTCTTCTTCGGCAGCTACCTCACACGTTTTCGATACAATGCCGGTATCCTAAAGCTACCCGACGAGCTCCTTCTTGAAGTAGCTCAGCATCTGAGTACACAGACAGACCGCAGTCATTTCGCCCAAGCTAGTCTAAGATTATATCCTATCGTCATGAATTACGTGGCCCATTACGACTTGCGATACAATGCCAGCAGTCTCTTGATGTTCGCCGCCAGGTGGAACCTCATGGACATGGCACGGAAGATCTTGAATCTTAGAGGAGACATCAACACCCACAGTGTCTCTCATCATTATTTTAAAGGCCTTCGTGCGCGGCCACTCCCGAATTCGGCATACTTTGGACACAAGCAAGTGGTTTGCCTTCTTCTGGAGTCTGGAGCTGTTGAACTTATCGACACAATTCGCCTCGCTCTCGAACTTGCCATCACAAACGGACATGAGCAAATAGCCATTCAATTTTCGCAAGCGCTGCCAGCGGACGCCATGATTTTTAAGGGTGAAGATTTACTGTTTCAATTGGCCTGCGAGGCCAAAATGATCAACTTGGTCAGATTCCTGCTTGAACGTGGATATCAGAGACGTACAGCTGCCGAAACTACACGAGGCTACAGCACACATCTACATCGTCTCATCGCGAAGGATTCTGTCGGAAGCGGCTATATCAAGCGAGGGCAGCACGATGAGGTGTATCAAATTGCTACTATGCTTCTCCAGCACAAGGCGGACCCAGATGCACGCAGAGAAGCGTACCGCGGCGTGTTTGTAAGCACTCGGCGACTCGCGTGTAGACATCCTGATCCTTGAGTGAGGGATATGCTGTCTAGAACTGAAGCTGTGTTCGCACCAAGATACAAAGCATCGCATTTCCGATCTGGCACTCTTGCTCAAAATCATCCGCGAGAAGCTTCTATGGCAGCCCTCCGTTTCCATTGATTGGTCTCGAACCGCCACATTGTGGGACGGTCTGAATTCACTGACGGCAGACGCCAACGATATGGAGGATTCGGTGGCCTTTTGATGTGGGATGATATCGGAACATACAAGCTGAGGACAACAAGGTGCACATGCCAGCCAGTCTGGTCGCTGACTGAGCAAAGTGAATGCTAGTATTCCGCACAGAACCAAATACTACTCCCTTGTAGTGACGCATTGTCTTCCGCTTACCTGACCCTTTTCTAATATCATGCTCCGTTTCCCTCTACTCTCAAATAAAGCATGGTCCCTGGTGATCGCGATAGCGCGACGAACAATCTACATATGATGGAAAGGACAACGGAATGTTTTCTAGACGATTTATTTCACTTTTGCTGAACCAACAATGCTCAATTCACGGAAGTCGCGTGTCCAAGCTCATTCTCGCGCCCTATTGCACCCTAAAGGTAGGCACAGTGAAACCGACTTACATTGCAAAGGCGCTAGCCTCCCTCCCTATGGCCTGTATCTTATCGTCCACTGGCGTTCGCGCTTCTACTCGGCTCCCACTTCGTCCGCTTCGCGTTACCTAAACTCAACCAGACCGCTGTCAAAAACATGACGAGTATGAACATTGCCCCTTCATACAAGCTGCTCCAGCTGCCACATGAGCTTTTACACGAGGTAGCTTTCCGACTGGCTATCACTGAGCTTCGTATCTTCAGCCAAGTCAATTATCAGCTGCACGACTTCGTTATTGACTTTCTCGCTCGATACCGACACAACACTGCCATATCGCGACTTCCAGCCAACATTCTCCACAATATCATCTATCAGCAACTGGATGACTACCAGGACGCCCGTCGCTATTTCGCGCAAACGAGCCAGAAGCTTTACTCCACCGTAATGAACTTAATTATCCGATATGATATTGAGCAAGATCGGAGCAGCATGCTGAACCACGCGTCCTCGAACAACCATGGACATATTGCTCGGAAGGTAATTCGGCTTGGTGGCGATATAAACACTGAATGCGAGGAACCTGAAATCTTTCGACGTATTCTTTCAAGTACCAGCGGAGGACTGACATGCTATAGTCCGCTCATGCGGGCAGCTACCAACGACCATGTGGAGATGCTGCATTTGCTCCTGGCAGCTGGTGTTGCCGGGATCAAATGGGGCCTCATCACAGCCATTTTGACGGGCCAGGAACGCAGCATACTCTTACTTTCATACCGGACCACACTCGAAGACATGCACGAAGTTCTTCAGTTAACACGTGGGACCAAGAATATCAGCTCCTATCGGTACTTGTTAGCTCACGCACCTGAGAATGAGCAAGTTAGGTATATTCGTAGCGCGGCGCTACGCGACATCCTCGCCACCTACGCCTCCAAGGACGATTATGTAAAGAAGAAATTAGACGAAGACACCTATCAATTTGCGGCTATACTACTAGAATACGGAGCAGATCCTGATCACTGTCACAATACAGAACTGTTGAATCAGCACTGTACGTCACGGTATTATGCAGCCAAGAATACGGATCCACGCATTCGGAATTTGCTTCTTACGGCAAAGTTTTCAACTCAGAAACGACCTGATCGAACGAGCCCGAGCACGAAGCAGTCGAAAGCGCTCATGGAGGAGGACGAGAAAGAGGACGATGAAACAGAGCCGGAAGTACCAACATCACAACATCCGAACCACGACTTTCTGGGCTAAGAAGCCAGCAGGCATCATGTTAGCTCGGAGGTAAAGAAACATCCTTGATGCATCTGAAGGGAGATACGGCTAGAAGATACGCATGGGCGCAGAGTGATGCTCAGCACGCGGCATGGAGCAAAGCAATGTATGGACAGACATTTACACAATACACAGTCTACAAGCTACACAAGTTTCTAATACGATCCTCATTTGAACTCTCTTTAAACTTCAGACCTGCACAAACACCAACAGAATCAAACTATGCATCAAACGATTGCTCGTCACAGTGGTTTACCAATCTTCGATGTAGTCGAGGCCAAAGAATCTTGAGGGAAAAACCGCTTTAAGACTGCTTAACCACTTCTCTTCTTTTTCACCTGCTTGAGAGACCTTATGGTTAGACTGCGCAACCTAGACATGTTCAGAACAGGTTCCCACAGGATGTACTCGAGCGACATGGTAGGTATGATCGAGTTGAAAATACACAGGCAGAGCTAACAGCGGCGAAAGTCGTGCATGCTCTGTACCTATACGACATAAGCTAATAGTCTTTAGGGGCATACTCATTATAAGCTTAGGGGAGCCTAAATGTATACGCAGCTCTAAGATATGCGACATGATTCTATTAGAAATCTTTGAATAAATACAGGCTACCTCTTCGCCTCTTCTTTTGCCAATGCCTGGTGGCGGCATAGCTAGCAGTCTGCTCTCAACCATGCCACAGCATGTATACCCAGATAGGTTCCAACCCTGGTTGTACGCTAGCATACACTGACCAGCCGTTCAAGAATGAAAGATGAAAGCTCGCACGCCAGAGTTCGTCGTAGACCTTCGGCAGCTGGGTCCAATGCCTACACGTGCTCAGTGAACACTCAAGGTCCGTGCGTTTTCCTTTGGGATCGCTTCTAGCGGGTCATGTTAGTGCTCCCTCCCTATGTATACGCTCTGCCTCCGCTGTAATAAGACATGAACTCTTCTCAACCGCTGGAAGATCTCTCAACTCGAATACTTCTCCATGACTTGAGACCCTTCTCACCCGGAGCTCAGCTTGTCAACTCATCTGATCCTACCGCACCACGGCGTTGGATTCAATTCCAACAGCCTGCTTACTCGAGCTACCGAATGAGCTCCTGGTTCAAATCACTTCATCCCTACCTACCACCGACCTTCGATTCCTCAGTCAAGCCAATCGATGTTTGTACTCCTTCGTGAAGAACTACTTGAGCAGATATCGATACAACAAGGGATTCACTCGACTACCGGACAACGTCTTGCTCATCGTCATTGAGCACTTATCGTCTGATTTCTACGAGCTCACAAGGTTTGCGAGGACGAGTCAGCGGTTCTTTCCTCTTGCCATGAATTATTTGATTCGCAAAAGTGTGCAAGGCAACGGCGATCTCCTAGGATATACTGCGGCCCGAGGCATGAAAATCATGGTGCGCAGGATGATAACCATTGGCGCTGACGTTAATATGCGACTGGATCCAAATTTGTTTGTTGGTATAAGATGGCGTCTGGGATGAAAGAGATCTCAATGTGAAGGAAATCAGGCGACTGGAGTTACCTTATTACTGGGGAAGATAGAGGATTGAAGCACTGGGGTATCATGTACAAAGAGGATGCGACATTGGAGCACAGGAGGTGCGTACTGCGATATGCGCAGACATGGGTGATATGTCGAGGATGAGATAAGAAAATACAAAGCACATTACCGATAGGCCATGTCCAACTGTACCATACCTGTGATGTCTCGATAGCATCGATAAATTAAAACTCATTGCGGCCCAAAGAAATGAAGTGCCTCGTTCGTGAGAACGTGCTAATAATCGTGATACTTGTTGAACTCGATCTTTCCAATCATTTAAGTGTGAACATTCCCCGAGAAGAACAACATTCAACCAGTTGCGATGAAGCAGCACCATCAGGTATTGGTGTTCCTCCCGGCTGACATGTATCAGATCAATCTACGGTAGTCGACCACTCATCGCTTCCCAAGATGTCGCCGGAGCTTGATAGGATCTCAGCCCCATCACCACCCGTGTCTCGTCGTTGGATTAAGCTCTAGGCAGCAGTGACTTCGATGTCGAAGCACAGTCCTTCGTCGATAGATCACGTACCGCAAGTGGAACAAGGTCCGCGCCACCGATCCCGTGGTCGATCAGATAGTCAGACATGTCACGGCGAGTAGGCATCTCGATATGTGATTCGACAGCCCTGAAGAAAAAGTCCTTCAGTACGATATGTCCATCCCGTTATTTACGAAAAGCAAGTTGCACATGACGAATCTCCAGCCGCAGTAGGTACTCTTGAGCTTCGGAGATAAGGAGTCAAGTGAGACGCGTAAGAAATCAACGGAACAAAGCGCGGACGAAAATAATCGCGAACAACCCCATCAAACAGTTGCCTGAACAAAAGTGTGCCGTGGAGCGGACATGTCGTCGAAATTGGGCTCCCACCGCGCGCAGTCGTCATGCCTGATCCATGGTCGAGATTCATGCGAACACCAACACATGAGGAAGCTATGACGCGGATGAGGCTCCAACTGCATGAAAAACGGGTCGACAATGCTGTTCGAATGCTGGGAGCTGCTTGTTTCGCAAATCATTCGCTAAACAAGCGAGTTCAAGACAGCTATATTGTGACTCATATGAAGGCGTTGGAAAAGCAAGTGCTGGCAACATGCGAGCCTGGTGCTATCGCGATCTAGAAGTGCGATGTGGTCCTGCATGAATGGTAGTGGCAGCTGACGCGATCATTTTGCCATCTTCTACGCGCCCATTTCCTGGTTGTCGCGGGTACCCAGTCAAGCTTGATTTTGATTCGCACGACGAGAATGCGTTTTCGAGCAAATCGCTATCCAGGAAAGATTACAAAAGTTGTGTGATAGCGAAATATTACGGAAAATGTGAGTTCGCAATAACCGGGGTTTTGCCATCAACCATATACCTACCAAGTTTCGGAGATGGTGATTCGCGAAACAGAAATGTCGCCAGCTCCGATGAGGGACCATTGAGTTCGGATATTGCGCGTTCCTTGTGCCTATTTGTCCTTTGTGCGGAGGCGGTGCTCGCCACACATGGATGCTCGGCGTTTCATCAGGACATGGCCAAAGGCAATTTGTACAGATTGCATGTGACTCGAAGTGACTCGTTGTCTGTCGCATGCACCGCCACACGTAACAAGCTGAAAATTGCGCTATCCAGTGTAAGTCTCGGAGTAATCGAACAATTCGGTGAGCAGTGCATATTTTGGGAGCTGCATGATGCAGCTACCCAGCTTGCATGTGTCTTCAGCAGCGCTCAGCCTGCAGTCGTGGCAGAACTAACGTGTCGACCCGGCGAATCCACAAAGGTGCAGCGCTGGACCCGCTGCGTCCGCACGATAGGGCTGGCAATACCGCGTGAGCTGATGCGTCATCGTTCGCCTGGGGGACTGTCGCTTTTTGACTTTCGAAATTTGACCGTTTTTGTCGCACGGAAGTGAATTCAGAGGCCAAGCCGTATATGCTTTCTTGTGACACTTTGCGCTTATTAGTTTTCTGCAGAGACGTTGATCCAGTGCACATCGGCTGGGAGGCTGTTTCATAGACGCCGCCATGGATTCGCGCGCGCGGATCAGGCGAGCATGAGGAGTCATAGATATGCGGTGCGCAGAGGTATACGCATGGTGAGTTGTCTTTGATAGCGGAGTGGGTTATAGCGAAATCTTGGTGTCAAAAATGTATTGTGCGGCTTCGGTAGACCGTACTCCGCTCAGCCACCAGGATAAGGGCCGAAGCAGGTCCAATAGGGGTTGGGCACCAGTCTCAAAATTCAAAATAATGTTGTGTGCCGAGAGATTACAAGGACAGTGTTGATGGGCAAGGGAAGGCATTATGCGATCTGAGCGGACGCCATCATGCAGACCACGGAACACCTGCAGCGCTCTCGGCCAGTCAGATGTACCGCGGAACCTGGTCGCGGCGGAGCCTTGCTGTTTTTGGTAGGATTGATGTGAAGTCGAAGATCGGATCCTTGCATAGCGAACATTTGGTTTGTTATTGTCGTTCCCCGTCGAATCAAGTTGGTGCCGCGTGAGCGGGATGCAGCCGTAGTGGACCTACGGTACAGTACGATATGCCTTGGAAGAAGAGCGGTAGAGAGGAGAAGTAGCGGTAAGTAGATCAAGTATAGCACACCACTCAAGCATCAAGCAGCAACTTGGGCATCCTGTGAGACGATGAAAATTTTTCACTGCTGGGAAATTAGGCTTCGTACTGCTGGGTGATGGGCGAAGCAGAGGGTTCAAGAGAGGCCCGAGCGAAACTGTGCGGCTCAATGTTGATAGCAGGGGCCATGTAGGCGAGCCGGCACGACGTTGAATGGTGGATTCCCGCTGTTTCGGATGGAAGTACTCGAGGTCAGCCGTGTGCCGCGTCGACGGTCTCTGTGTAGCGCTTGTGCTAGGCTCAAGATAGTACTCTTTGGGAAGGAAGTCAGTCCGAGCTGAGCAGAGATGAGTCGCTGTGATGTTGGTTGGTAAAGAGGGTTTTGGTGTTCTGTCGGCAACCGACACGGACGCCGCAGCCCTCCATGTGGGAATATTGCCTGTGCTCGCAGCGGTGGTTGTCTTATGGCACCGGCGTACGGTGGGTCGCCTTTCTGCAGGTCGCTGTCGCTGCAGCAGCGAATTGGAAGCTGTGCCCAAGCATGCCCCGGCGGTCGAACGGGAGGGTTGAGCGACCGAAGAGTGTCTACAGGGTGTCTACAGGGTGTCTGCTGTGAAGCGTGGAGGAGCAAACAAGGCCACGCTGCAATCAGTGAGCGCTGCGTCGACGAGCGGCGATACGACTCATACAGATACAGTACGAGTGTGGCACAGCCGTGCAAAGGGGACGTTGCGCAATGAGTATGGCTGGCGAGTGTATCTTCGGTACGGGTATATAGCGGGCCAATATTACCTTCCGTAAATATGGCGACTATGCAACCAGTCACGGGCAGCCCGCTCCTTCCGCTCCCATCGTGCCTGGCAAGAGCAACTGCCTCGTCAGGCAGCAACAGGCAGGCGCGACGCAGCAGAGCCCCAATTGCAGACACGCAGACACGGGAGGGCACAGAGAGTCATCGAAATGTATGCAGAGCGGCAAGGCTGGGAGGGCGAGAGGGTCGGGAGGGCGTCCCAAAATACCAGAATACCAGAATACTCGTCCCATGCTGGTAATATCAGGGAGGTGCATGTCAATCTGACCCGTGAACGAGGAATGCGCTAAAGGGCCGGTCGGGCTCAGGCTACAGTGGCTTGGCCAGGAGCAGCTCGCTAGCGCAAGTCTTGGTCGCGCACGTCCGCGCACGGCAAGAGGGCTCCTCTCAAAAGCTGGCGCAGCCCGCCCGATGCCTTTTGCGGCACACTCGTCCCAACTTCACCATTACCAAGCGTCCAGACGTCACGTCTACCATATCGACCCAGGATCCGTTCAGTCTGGATCCTTCTGGCATCAACTAGTATCCGAGAGACTCCAACACCAAATGTGCAGCAGACAGACCCGGACCTTCCTCCTCTCTCCCTCCGCTGCCACACTACCACTCTCCCACGCCCGAACCCTCCGCGCGCGACGAACCCTCGGTTTGCACAGTCGACGGTGAGCAGGCACCGGCCTGGGCTCCTTCCTCCTCTCGAGTCGCCTCCCCCCGACCCACCCACACCACACCCCGACGACGAACACAAACACAGCGACCATGTACGCACCCCAATTCTCGCAACCACCGCCCCCGGGCTACGGAATGCCTGGCGACTTCCACCACCGCACCACGCCGCCCATGTCCCCCGGCCCCGGCGCAAACTACTACTCCCCGCGACACGCGCCCCAGTTCGCCTCGCCCTCTCCACGCACCAGCCCCAAGGTCCAGGGCTATGGCCACTCACGCCGCGCATCGCACGCTGTGCCACCGCAGTACTCGCACTCTGCTTCGCGCGGCGTCTACGACAGTGGAATTCCCACGTCCCGCGCATACGCGACGCCGCGAGCCACTCCAGGCCCAACACCCGAATATGTAAGTGGTTTCGATTACAACTACGTGCGTCCTAGTAGGGCGAGCCGGCATCGCCGCGACTCAGACGCGCAACCTCTCAAGCGCTCCCATCGCGAGAGGAAGCGTCGGCCGTCGCAGTCGGCACCGTACGTCTACACCAAGGTCGTCTACGACGCGAATGGCTATGGGTACGAATGCGACTACGTGTACGACCACTCGTATGACGAGTCTCCGCCGCCGCCGTACGAACAGTACGCTCGACACGCCAAGTATGGGGATGCTGATCGATATTACTATGATCAGGTCCCAATTTATGATGAGCCAAAGACTGCCAGCCGTCCACGACGCGCCTCAGGTACCGGCCGCACGCAGCCCGCGACACCCAAGAAGCCTGCCGCAACCAAGCCCACGAACAAGGCCACCGAAGAGGACGCACGCCGCGCCGGCATTCCTGCCGGCTACTCGTACAAGAACTGGGACCCCAGCGAGGAACCCATCATGCTCCTCGGATCCGTCTTCGATGCCAACTCCCTCGGCAAGTGGATCTACGACTGGACCGTCTTCTACAACGGTCCCGCCACCCCCCTCGCCGAGATGGCCGGCGAACTATGGCTCCTCCTCATCCAACTAGCAGGCAAGGTCAAGAGGGCTGAGGAGACGATGCCCAAGATCCGCAAGAAGGAGAGCCACGAGATGGTTGAAGACTTCCTCGAGAGCGGCGAGCGTCTGTGGATCCGCTTCGCTAAGCTCCTCAAGGTCTGCGAAGACTACATGTGGAAGGCCGCTAAGAAAGAGAATGGCGAGAAGAAGCCCGTTTCCATGGGCAAGAACAGCGGCCGCGAGTTCGTCGACTCCATCTTCGGCCGCGACCGTGAGCTTGACAAGACCGAGAAGCTCATGACCGGCATGCGTCTCTGGAGCATGCGCTTTGACGCCAACTGTGACGACATCCTCAGTCACCCCACTGCTTAAGACATTTCCTTCTGTCATCATCTTTCCCTGGACGCTTTGGCGCTGGCGTTTGTCTGGGAGTTCATTTCCTCTACCGTCACTGTTTCCGTGCGCAGCTTGATCTTACGCGAGATACCCATTTCTTGCTCTTTGTAATTGTTAATACTGCTGCATTCTTCGCTCTAGACGCTCATCACTGTAACAACACTACTGGGTCGCGCGGGAAGGAAGCATTGGTCTGGTCACGGAAAAGTCTGCGTTCACCAATACCCCATTTCACTTTCGACTTTGGTCGCTTTTCACGTCATGTTTTTATGCGCATGGTGTTCAGGCTGGGCTGGGCTCAACAGCCTTCATGGATTCTCATTTTCTTGTCATCTTGGGATTACTGCTACGACTTACGGTGTCTTAGATTTGGGCGCTCTCTACAGGAGATCTCATCGGGACGACCTCGCGGTCAAAATCTAGTATACCCTATTGCGCTTCATTGTTTTCATCACCACTTAGCAATACTATCGGCTTTTGCCACTTTACAAAACTCGCGCGTATATCTGCAACCATCAACGTCTTGTTCCTAATCATGATGCCTGGTAGCCGCGCCGCCCCTGCATGTGTGCGCATGGCTCCGAGACACATGCGAACACCATCCCACCTCAGATCAGTCTCAAACGTAAACATCCAACCTCTCTTTACCGCGAACCTAACATAGCACCACACCACCTTCTTTTCTTTTCATGCGCATGGCCTGTGACTCGAGCGTTCGTCAACTCGTCACAGTGGCTGGATTTACCTCGACCGACCAGTAGGCGCTTGCCTATCACACCTGCCACCACTATTGGACGATTCACAGGCTTACGGCCCAACCAAGTTGGTCTCAGCCTTACGCGCTTTCCTTCTGTGGTGCATGCATGGAAGCCTGTGCCGCACCAAAAGGCTGCTGATCATGTTTGCTCGCGGCTTGTGATTGTTTTGCTTTTCCCTCCCAGCCCGCTACGGCCGCCGGGAAGGACGCGGCGCACCCAATAGAAGAGGGCCGATAGGCCTCGTAGCCGTTACGGCCCTAACGCTTGTTCGTTCGAAGGGGGTGAAAGGGGATTGCATCACCCACGTGCGCGATAGCAGAGATGAGTTTGGGTTGTGCGATGCGTATATGTGGCTATTTCCGTGTGTGGGTGTGGTAAGATGTGCAGCAGCGCACCCGCACTCTTGGGTCATTTCGCATGTCGCCGTTTCCATCTTCAGCCGGCCCGTGGCGCACGGCAGCGATATTGTCTCTCATTTTAACATGCCCGCCAGCGACATATTTCTCGAGGTTGCTAACTTCGGAGCATCAATGCGGCGCAGGCAAAATATGCGGCTCTTCTGCCTGGGTTCCCGCTGTCAGTTTCACTTGAGCCTCCCTTTGGCCGCGGGCCCGCCAGGGCCTGGTTGATCCGTCTTAAGGGGCGTTTTATCGCTCCCTCGCCAAAGCGTTCTCTGAGCAGGTCATCCCAGGTGATATGCGGTACTGGCAAGGGTGTTCCTGGGAGATCCAGGCAGCAGTGTTTGATCTTGCAGCACCTGGATAGGCTTCGGACGGTGTCTCAAGATCGGCAGGTACACGACTCGCGGGATGCGCGGCGGTTACACCTTCTGAACTATGCGGTCGCACTGAGTTCCGCTGGCAAGGGACGCGCTATCGTGCGCCGTGGTATTTGGTGTTGCCAGACACCCGATCATGGTGGGTGGGACGAGCTGAGTGAGAAGTCGTCCTCCATATGCCCTCTATTGGCCGAGAACTGTCATGTTTGCCAGCCGGCGGAGTGCCATCTGTTCCCCGGCTGAATTGTCACACCCACACCCAACCTCTCCCCTTAGCCAGAAACCAAGTACCGACAAACTTGCCAATCGACACAACATCCACAAATAAGAACACGGTTTCACCAATAAACCCGATCGCCAGCAAGACGCAGATGACCCAGCGAACCATTTCCACATGCGGGACCTGCCCCGAGGGAAGCACAGGGTAACATTCCATTCTCCATCAGGAAGTGACAGCTACCCACTGGGGCGAGTACATTCGCCCTCTCCATCTCCAGCATAAATTAATTATGCAAACTGGGCGTTCGGAATCTGGGGAGCGTGCGTCCTTCGTTTTCCCAGAGAAACGGACACATTCCAATGCACAAGCAAGCTCGAGCAAGTCCCGCGCGTTCATGCATGCATCTCGAACCCCGCGCAGCAGTCTCGTTTCGAAACAGAGTCTCGAACAACGCTTGGTGCGTGCGACGCTCGTGACATGACGTGACGACGAACAACTGCAACCCCACTTAACTCGCATGGCTAACGCACTCCACCTCCACTCACGGTACCCCGCATGTTATCTTCTTCCCGCTCCAGCCGTTCCCCACAAGCCTTTTACATCATCGCTTGTATCCATCGACCGCGAAAACATGATAGCTAGAAAGTAACCTCTAGTCACACGAAAAGCCCAGAAACTCCCAGTCTCGGCGGGTCCCGAAGAATGCAAGTATGTGAACGAGCATGCCACGTCGAGGCCGGGAATGCGATTGACCAATGACCCGGCCGAGCCTTATGGGCCGCAGGAACGGCCGCTGCTGGTCAGCTGTGCTATCTTGCGTTTCGGGCTCCGGGCGTGCAGGTAGGTATGCAGCTTGTTATTGGTGTGAGATGCGAGAAAAGGGCAAACGAGCTTGGACCTCGTGGTGATGGGGTGGTGGTGCACCGGATGGATGTAGGGTAGGCTTGCAGGTTGGGAGTGAATGTTTATGCGGAGTGACTGGAAGGGCGTTTCTTTCTGTTTGTTGAAGAGTGGGAAGGGTGTATTAGATGATAGGTAATCAGTTGCTGGTACGTGTTTGACCTCCTTGAGGCTGCAATACGCGACTGAGGTGCATCTCTGTCTAATGAGTTGAAAGTGAGAGGCACTGGATTTTGAAACAAATCACATATCCCTATCGAATCGCTTGTTCAATATGCCTACATCTGTCATCAGATCTACTGCAAATGATCCAGTTACAACTCTCAGCTCCAACTTACAAACGACACGACTACATCACCGCATGATTTCATATCTCTACTCATGGATTCTCATACTCGTCAAAGTCCACAAATTTTCAACGCTCCGGAGCTTCCATGGCATCGAATGTCAGCTCGACTTCTCTCTCTCTCTTCCATCTCGTCGCACCATTCTGTTAGCACCCGTCCTCGAGGATTAGTTCCAGTCATATCGCAGCTCAATCATTCGGAGACGCTCATGACTCCTCTTCTGCAAATAAGATCGGACATTGAGCTTGGAGGCACAAATTCTGAGTCGAGATCTGTGGAGTACTAAGTAGAAGAAGCAAACGCATCCGACATCCAGCGCAACGATTGTGTCACTTGAAATACTTGGCCTACGTTCGATCTTGACATCAAGTTGACCCTGGTACCTTAGACTAGGCTGCGTCTCTGATTCAATGCTAAATTCGCCAGTGCTATGAACACTGTTCTCGAGCATCTTAACCTCAACAAATTCGAGGGATAGATCTTGGGCACGGTACAGACGGCCCCTGGGGGTCGAAGAGCAATATTCTCGACTCCATTTCCACAGCACCACAAAGAGAAGTAATCCTAGCCTGCCTGACTTGACTTGTTAGGTATCATCGAATCTATCAGTCTATTCTCATGACCGCTGTATCACAATTGCCGCCTATTCAATGCGAATTGCAAAGTCCAGCAGTTCATGTATGCAACATCACTTACAACACAACCGCCTCCCCCCTTCATCTCTCATCCCAACATCCCTCGCATCTTCAGCCCCCAGATATTCCCTCACTTCACTCCCATGCTCACCACGCCGCAATACTCAACAAACCTCATCTCATCTCAGCTTACACATCTTACCCACACCCAGATACCACTGTATTACCCCGACCAATCCCACCTCGCACGTCGTGCAACCACACCACACATCCTCATGCAGCTAGCCCCAATACACATGCCCTTAAGCTGCAGCCTTGCCATACCCGAAAACACGCTACTGCACCCGTATATAGCAGCATCCTGCATGAGTTCGCATGCGCAGTGCATGCGACGGATTGTACAAATTCCGCTGCTTATCTTGGAAGCGCTATCGATAGTAACGCTGTGTACAGGCGCAGTGTGCGAGAGATGGAGGGGTAGATTGGGCACAGGCGCTTATGCAGGTGACGGCGCAACGTCTGGAGCACGTGGGTGAGGAGCAATGCTGGAGAGATCGCTTCGGGGAGATCAAGTCAGGTGCGTTTGCAGCTGGGAGGTTCAACGTGTCGGGGCGCTCCGATGCCCGATGGCCAGGTGTGTTTTCGTGGCATGATGGCCTGGAAGCTCATGCAGTACTATCGCGAAAACTGACATCGTACATGGATGTTGCTATATGTTGTGTTATTAAGTTGCTGTGACTTCAGCCTGGTGGTTAGATTGAGTGAAGCGCAAGGTAGTCCAGCGTACGCTAGTGCTGGAGGACTTACTTCAAGAGCACTCATCGTTTGCACACACACACAACGTGTCGATGTTGCGCAAGATCTGCTAACGTCTGTTTACGGATGAATACGACTCTGGTCCTTATGGTCGTTTTCGGCGGCTAGGGGCTTTTCACGGCATGCCCACTGTTGAGGCAGCCATGCAACAGCAGAATTAATCGAGTACAGTTCAGATGATTTGATACTTGCTAGCGACTACACGCGCAGGACGGTATGGTACTCAAAGCTGGCCTGCAAAGACACGCGTCTTCGATCGAGACCTCGGTGAGGCCATTTGCTCCGCGAAACTAGCTGAAGGCGGCTTCAGTCAAATTGTTTTGATCGGAAAGCGGATAGACTTCAATATCGTTGAATGGAATTACATCAAAGCGAGAAGTTGAGGGTCCAAGCATAAACTCGTAGCTAAAGTTGCTACTAGAATTCACAATATCGGAAAAGTAGTCAGTCGTATAAAATGTACCAGCTCGTCCACTCCAACAGACCACAGCACAGCATCTACTACAACTTGCGACTCCTCACCAAGCCCTTCTTGATACCCGTCAATTCACCTCCGTAGTTCGCGCCACCCGCCTGCTTCTTCGCACTATCAAACACGGGCATCATGCTCTTCAACTTCTTCTGCTTTTCCTTGTACTTCTCCTTCTTCTTGACACGCGGATTGCGCACGCTCTTCTTGCGATGCGGCGTAAGTCCCTTGTTCTTCGCAATCTGGTAACTAATCATCCTCCTGCCGTCGTCGCCGATGACTTCTTCTTCGATGACGGTCGCGTTTTGCTTCGCGGCTTCGGCGTAGGCGGCTGCGCGCTCGGACTTGGTGGCCTTTTTGGCGTTGGAGCGCGCGGCGATCATGTCGTAGTAGCCGTCTTCGTCTTCGTAGTCTTCGTTTCGCGGTGGTGGGCTTTCGTCGCCAGAGTCGTCGCCTGCTTCGCCGAGAGCGACGCCTGGGCCATTGTCTTTGTGCTGACCGCGCTTTTCGGCTTCGGCTTGAAGGCGGGCTTGTCGGTCCTTTAGGCGCTCGCGGTGAGGTATATCGGCGTCGCCGCCCTGATCTTTGCCGGCTGCGTCGCGCTTGCTGGCCTTTTGTGTAATCTGCGAAGTGTAGAAGCGTAGAGACTTTTTCTTTTTCGCTTTCTCGGCAAGCTCGTGAGCAGTGAGTGATGTCTCCTCGCCAAAGTCCGAGTCTTCTGCATTGAGCAAGTTGAGTTTCTCTTCTGTCGACTTCTTCTTCTTGGTCGCCTTCTTGAGCGCGGCCTTGTCGGTGAGTGTCGAAAGCGAGGCAAGCTCCTGTTCTGTTTTCGCAAGTTTGGCTGCCCGACGAGCCCCCGCTTCTGCTTGTGCGATCTCTGCAGCGCGCTGTGCTTTGCTCTTCTTTGGCTTCTTCGTTTGCGAGTTAATCACAGCTTCGATCTCATCCGCAAGAGGACTGGCTTCACCGATTACTGACAGATCGTCGTCATTGGCGACGTCTACCAATGGATCGGCGGCTGGCAAGCTCTCGATTTTGGACCACATTTGCCGGCACTTGAGGAGACTCTCCATGACCGGGTGGTCGTGCAGCTCAACAGGGTCCAGGGCGATGACAGGCGAGCCATCATCCTTAGCTGTAGAGCCTAGTACTGCAAAGTACATGGCCATAGATGCAAGATATGCGGCACAAGCGCGGTACTTCGTGACTGCTATTGGCGTAGGGAGCATTTCCTCGTCTGATTTCTTCGTCTTTGCTGCTCGCGACTTGAGCAGTCGTTGCGCGGCGTTTGCAGCGGCAGCCAGTTCATCGTGGAGCGGTTGCAATCGCAGGTATTCTCTTGAGATGTGCTCGAACTCGGGGTATCTTGTCTTCATGATCTTCAATCTCTCCTCTTCCGACATGCTGTCTGTAATCTGAAGCTGTGGTAGCACTTCCGTAACCACAGCGCCGGACTCTGGATCCTTCGCGTCATCCTGGCCTAACCACTCGTCTTCGTCGAAGCCGAAATCTGCCTCAGTCATTGCTTGAAGCTGCTTTTTCTGTATTCTCCGCGCTTCTGCCTCTTCGTCTAGAGCGTCCTGCTCTGTCTCTATAGCGTCTGCATTGTAGTAGTCCTTCTTTGACGTGCCCCAAGCTTCGTCTTCGTCATCTTCGTTGTCCTCGTTCGCCTGGCGCTGGTCGGGATCGAGATCGTCGGATTGGGCGTCTTCTTCATCTTCGAAGTCGTCCTCGTCATCGTCGTCGTTTAGGTCGAGGACCTCTTCGTCGGAAGGTTGCAGAAACTTGTCTAAGTCCTACGGTCAGTCCATGACCTTGTTTTCCGCAATTTGCGCATTCTCACCTTCTTCCTGCCATTTCCTCAATTTCTTCGCAGCAGGACCTTCGTCCAGCAAAACCTTGTCGCGATTGATAAGGAATTCGTCCTCCGAGTCTGCAACATCTTCCCAGGTGTTTATCGCAAGCTTAGAATCTTCCTCTTTAGGCGCCTTGGGTGCACCATATGCGCCGCTGCCTGCCTTTCTCTTTTTGGCCATTTTCACGGTTGTCGCAAGTCGTGGCGTCGCGATGTCCGTATGCCCTAAACTTTTTCTCGTCTCTCGAAATCTTGGCCATTGCGCTAGCTCCCAGCCTAACCTCAAGTGGAAACCGCCGCGGGTAACTTTCACCGTGAAGCTGTGCGGCGTAGTGCTTATATTCACGTAACTAGTAATACGCCTTGCAGATGCCCTTTTGTCAAGCTTGAGGTCTTGAGATCCGATCCCATGTCTCAATTGCTTTTCGCAGCCACGATACCCCTTCTGATACTCGTTGCTATCCTCAGCGCAGACATCATGGGATTCGCGTTCTGGAAGAGCAATAAGTTCCCAGTCGAGGGAAAGGTATGCATGTCATTTATACTTACACTGCTACAGGAGCTAACTAACTGACCAGACTGTCCTTCTCACTGGTGCCTCACAGGGCATGGGCAAGGAAATCGCACGCCTTCTCTCCGCCCGCGGCGCAAACCTCATACTCGTCGCTCGCACAGTCAAGAACCTTGAAGCTTCCGTCGAACACGCACGCGCCCACGCGAAGAACCCTTCCACCCAGCGATTCACCTATATCGCCGCAGACGTGTCTTCCGAAGCTGAGAACACACGCATCCTCGAAGAAGCATCAGCATGGAACAACGGCCGCATGCCTGAGATAGTATGGACAGTCGCTGGCTCGTCAATTCCAGGCCTGTACATAGAAACCAGCACAGAAACGCTCCGTCGCCAAATGGAGCTCAACTACTTCGCCGCCGCATACCTCGCACATAAAACACTCCAAGCTTGGTTATACCCCTCAACACCCTACTCTGCACAAGAGAAAGCTTCGGGACCAGAGCCGACCCGCCAATTCATCTTCACATCTTCCGCCACCGCGTTTGTAGGCCTAGCAGGCTACTCCCCCATATGCACCCTGCAAAGCCGCCCTGCGCTCCCTCGCCGACGGTCTACGCTCAGAAGTCCAAATCTACAACGCCGCCCGGCGCTCCAAGACAAACACCGGGATTCAAACCGCCCCCTTCGACGTCAGCATCCATGCCATATTCCCCGGCACCATTCTCTCCCCGGGCTTCGAGAACGAAGAGAAATCCAAAACACCCCGTGACGCGGGAGCTCGAATCCTCAGACCCCAAGCAGACCGAATTTGCAAGCAGCCACAGCAGCTGTGCAGGGACTGGAAGCGGGCAATTTTTATGACAACGACGAATTGGCTGATTGCGTTACTCAGGTTTGGATCGCTGGGCAGTAGTCAGAGGAATAATGTCGTGATAGACACACTGGGCGCGTGGATCACGGCGATTATCTGGTTGTTCATGGTGCCGGATTTGAATAGCAAGGTTTGGGGGTGGGGCAAGAAGAATGGCATGCCGGCGTTTAGAAAGGATGCGCAGTAGATGACATGTATCAATTCAACTCTTGGTGGTACGATTAATATTTCTGAGTCACGGTCCTGAAATTGTGCTATCCTATTTTGACTCCATCCTATCTACGCCCCCGGCAAGTTCTCCTTGAACACCTCGAACCTCTGCTCCAGCCTTTCCTCTATTGCGCTTACAATCTCGCTGCACAGCTCCGTGGAGACGCGAACACGCTCATCCTTGGCCGTATTCTGATCCACTACCATTGTCAGAGCGCCTATAAACTTGCCCTTCCATGTGACAAGTGGATCTCCCTTCTCTCGCAAAAGACCCATAGCGAAGCTGCCGTCGAAATGGTCGCGTCAATGTATTCAGAATCGAAGTCGACCTGGCAGGGAACCAACCCAGTCTGCTAAAGGATCAAACTCGAACAGATCGCAATCAGGTTCCATATTGCGAATCCTGTATGCAGGTACTTGTTTCGCTGCAACCTTCGGAACACCCATCTCATCTGGCTGATATTCCTTGACGAAACAATGCCGCGGATAACAATGTTGACCCCCACAATACTCCTCATTGTCGTAGAAGTGGCTCCCAACCACGATGGATCGCAACTGCGCACATGCGCCATGCGCTCACTCCATGAATTCAAAGACTCTCCGAGCGAAATCTTCCATCTCGATGCTGGTTTGTGCATGTTCCTTTTTCGGTTCGTCACCGTACCCGTACCGTGTCACCTGATTAACGCGGAAATGAATGAGGCGGAGTCCTCGAATGCTCGCCAGAGCCTTAAGCCTCTGTTCAAGTTCGCAATCCACAACCCAGTACGTTGGATCAACCTGCTCGTCAGACACTTCAATGCCAAGGAAGTAAAGGTTGTGGCAAACTTGACAAAGCTCTTTGAACTCTTCCTCGCCAATTCTGGTAACGGTGGCAGTAGGTATGAGATGAGGTATGAAATAAGGTGTGAAATACTGTGCTATCCCGAGCGCGCGAAGAGCTTCACCATGCTTCCTGAGACCTATCATGAAGCTGTCAAAGTCGTTGAGATTTGTGATGATTTGCAGACTCGTAAGCGATTTACATGAACTAAGCAACGATATTGCATTACCGTCTGCTTGGACATCGATTTTGAGGTGTGTGAGGTTGAGCTGGTCGTCTGAAAACACGTCGTCTAGGTAGTCTGTGAGGGTATCCTCATCGCCGTCCGAGAAGATAGACAGGCGCTGCAGCTTCTCAAAGGGTATAAATTGGTGGTGGTATTTTGCATATCCCATAGAAAATTCCATGTTAGATATTGCAAATTCCTTCAGCTTCGGGAACGCGAATGGCTTAGCTCTAGCAGCTGCTGATAGGGCTCTTGCGAAATTGTCTGGAATTGGTTCGTCTTGAAACTCCTCGGAACTGATACAAGCTCCGACATGGAGTCGTTCTAGGCTTGGATTCGATGCCAGGAATGCCTCAACGAGCTGTTCCATATATGTTGAAGAATCTATTGGGTGTGATGCCTTGAGGTAGATGTCAAGCGCAAGAAGGCCGTGGAAAATCGGTAGTGCTTCCCCGCATGGACGTGGGTTTGCAGGGTTTCGATTCCAGTCATTATCCAAAGTGAATTTCATCCTCTTCAGGCACTTCTGTCTCTTATTGAGAGTCTGTAACATTGCCAGCGAGATTGAGTTTTCCGAGATGAACCTCGGTGAATAAGCTAGCGTCACAACAGGTCATTGAGGTATCATTGTCTTACTCGAATGTGTGGAGACAATTCTCCGGAAATGTTTCCAGTGCCTGCAAGAAAAGTCTGGTGACCTCATCATAGTATTCACAGTGCTCTTCCTCATTTAGATCTTCTGCCAGTAGCTGCGTTGGCTCTAGTCGGGGCTCCGGAGGCGGTGCAGTGCCCTCTAGAATCAAAGAGCGCGTATATCGAAGGCGAGCGCTTGTACCTGCAGAGATACATTGAAGAGATCGCTTCAGTTTGGGTAGTTGGAAGACCGAAGCGGTTAGACGGACCTCACGATAGAGCAGGGGCAAGGCAAGCTCGTAGTAGCCCTTCGACACCTCGCATATCGCTTTGAGATCAGTTCTCACTGTAAAGTAGTCAAAGATGACCAACAAGACATCGCTCGGTAAAAGGTCCATGGTGTGTGGAAGATGTCGCGTCGTCGGTCGTCGTCAGTCACGCGTTGGCGCTTTCAACGTCCAGCAACAAGTGGGGTGGCAGAGCGCACGGTTCAACTGGTCGCGTTCTCCAACTTGATTCATGACCGTGGCCGCCTTCCACCAATGTCTTCTCACTAAGATATCGTGAATGGAAATCAACAACTCCGTCAAGTAAGTGTAGGATGTCAAGAGAGTTCTGGGTGTCCCTTTCCCCTCCTGTACGTTGACCCCACAGCATTCACAGAATCGTACTTCGAGCCACTGGAGTCCAGGTTTGGCCCTGTTGGATTACATCATATTGTGCACCAGCTCGACAGATATCAAAGGCAATGGCGTTCAGGATACGCGTCTTGGCCAAGGCTGTGATGATCAAATCGTCATTTCGTTGGCAAATACACGATACTTGGATGTCGGCGAGTGAGTGATGCAAGCGAAAAATGCTGAAGACTCTCCAAACAGGTCGGGCTTGAGATATGTTTCATATGGTTGGAAAACCTATATGCGTCCACCTCGAATTCAAGACAATGTTTAGGCCTGCTTATGGCGACGTCTAAGCACAAATCGGAGCGCGGAGACTTTCGGAGACTTTCATTGCAGCCCTCTCCAACACTGCTGTTTTGCGTATATCATACGGCGACATTTGCACTCAAATAGACTGTACCGCAATATCTTTGCGGCACAGTGGACATGTGTCGCATCTTTAAGGAACCGTAGTAAAGTGTCCAAGACCCAATATAAGTACCGCTGGGAACCCGCGATGTCGACAACTCAAGCTCCATCACATTACATATTACATCAAGGATAACGTCTAATTTTCACGACATCATGGTTTCCCAACCCCAAATTGTCGACGCAATCATCATTGGAGCAGGACCAGCAGGTCTCAACGCCGCCCTCACATTCGCCCGCACTCGCTCTACAGCGCTCGTATTCGATTCGCGTGAGTACCGCAACGAAGGCATCAAGCACATGCACACTGTCGCATCTCGAGACCACCAAGACCCATACGCTTTCCGCGCAACTGCACGGGAGCAGATCGAGTCGCGCTACGAGACTGTCTGGTTCCAACAATCTACTATCACCCATGCAGCCAAAAAGCTCGTTGGTGAAGAGCAGTACGACGGCTTTGAAGTCAAAGACAGCAATGGCAACAGTTACGAAGGCCGGAAACTAATTCTTGCGACTGGGTCGAAGGACGTGATGCCTGACATTGAGGGCTACAAGGAGAATTGGCCTGCCCATATATACCAGTGTCTAGCATGCGATGGCTATGAACAGCGTGATACACCAATCGGAATCCTGTCCTTCGACAGCCCGATGTATGCGCACATGGTTCAAATGGCAACGAGCTTTGACAAACGCATAACCGTCTTCAGCAATGGCCCGATATCTCAGGAAGAGCCGATTCAAAAGGCTCTCAAGGCTTCAAAAGCTTTCGGCGCAAAGCTCGACGAGCGCAAGATTGTTCGGCTAATCAACAATGGGCCATCGCATACAGACGGCGTCACTATCGAATTTGAGTCAGGCGAACCAGTCACACTCGGCTTTATCGGTCATAGACCGGTCACTGTAAATCGCGCTCAACATCTCATCGAGCAATTGGGTCTCGAAACTGTGGATGTAGCCATGGGCGGACATGTCACGATTACTAACCCGATGTTCAACGAAACATCCGTGCGTGGAGTGTTTGCCGCTGGCGATACAATGGTCGCGATGAAGCAGGTCGCAATCGCAATGGCAGAGGGACTCAAAGCTGCCGCGGGCGCGGGCTTGCAATTGGGCCAGGAGAGGAGTGAGCAAGTGGTCAAGGATTATGAAGCTAGCGAGGCGGAGAAGGTCAAGGGGAATGCGTTTACATCTTCAGGCTAGGATGATGTGATTGGTAGAGTGGGTTTGTCTCGTCACCGAATTGATCTTACCCTCCTTTCTGCGTAGAGGGACCAGTACGCGTTTGTATCTAATCTCTCGAAGCCATAACCTCATCTTGACGATCCAGCTCTCTTACCTTCGTGCATCCCCACATCCAAACTTCTCAGCTTCACAATCAAGCCTCCCACACAATGCCGACCGTCAAATCCCTCGGCGCAGCCCTCAATACCTTCTCTGTCAACAAAACCTCCAACCAACCCACAGTCTCAGACCCAGCCCACATGGATACCGAGCTCTTCAAGGAAGTCGACAGCTCCGGCCCTACACTTGCCTTCACCCCCTTCACAACCAACGTCACCGTCAAGCACAGCAGCGCCTTCAATTCCGAGCGCGACAGCGGCATGAGCAAATTCCAACAGATCCAGTTCGTCGAGGCGCTGAAGAAGATGATCATTGGTTTCTTTTCTACTTCCCGTCGTGCTATGTGTGTGTGCTAATGAAGGAATTCTAGACGAAGCGGCACTGACCTATCCCGCTTCCAAGGACTTGATCGTCAGCATTTCCCGCAAGAACAAAGCTGGTCATATGTTTTGCAGTGCGGCAGTACACACTGCGACGTTGCTGGCTCGCCACATTGGGAGTCAGACGTGGATTGTGCTGGGTCGGGGCGATGAGTGCGAGTATTTCCCTGATGCGGTCGAGAGTCTATGGGAGATGATGTTGGTGGCGGCGGGGAAGGTGGCTGGTATGTTGATGGGTTTTGTTTGACGAGCAAGTACTGACACTTGCTGCAGAAGGCTGTCAGGTTGGTAACAAGATACCGAGGAGGAGCAGTGTTGACCAGGATAGCTCCATTGGTGTCGCGGTGGCTTCCGAAAGGTGAAGGACAGCGTGGCTCGGCAGTCAGAGAAGGTTGATTTGATCTCACAGCCATGAGACTTTGACTGCGATATTTGACTTTAGATATCCATAACATCTTGCTACTCTAATGGAAACATTAATTGACCGAGAACATACTACAAGCGATGATATATCCAACATCAAATACAACTTTTGCTCATCTTTGCAACACCCATGAACCTTACTCATGCTTCTTATGTATTCTCGGTAAGCACAACCACAATCCAAGAATCACTCCCAAAAGGGCGAGAATAATTGGCTGCAGGACCTGCACTCCCTTCGACTGTGCAATCGCACCGACTGCAAACGGGAAGATGGCAGCCCCAGACCCACCAAACGCTGCTGCAAACCCAATGGCGCTGACGTGCAGATCGCGTGGCAGCAGTTTGGTAGCAGCAACGATGGCGGCGGGGAATAGTGGGCCGAGGAAGAAACCCTGCAGGGCAACGGCTACAGCTGAGACGTAGAATTGAGGCACGAGCCAGAAGATGAGCTCTAGAGCCATTGTGAGGGGGAGATAGATCTGTTGCGATTGGGTTAGCATCATGTACCTTATCTTCTCCAAGACAACTTAAAGGGTTCAGAGAGACTTACAGCAATAGCCAATTTCTCTCCCAGCCTCGGAGTCACGAAGCCCAGCACAACTCGACCCACTGTAACACCCATCCAGAATCCGGTGGCCGTCATACCGCTGGCGAATTGACCGCCGTCACGCACTTCAAGCATGAACTTGACAATCCAGCCACCAAGCGCGACTTCGATACCTACGTAGCCGAGTAGGAAGATTGCACACAGCCCAAGTGACTCGCGCATACGGGAGACGAACAAGTGCTTCCTTCATGCGGTTGTCTTTCCCGCCGCCGGTACGTGGGTTCTCAGCGCGGAAGACAGCGCCTGTGCATTGCCAGAAGGCGGTGGTGGACGTGACGAGTTCGATGGCTGCCATTGCAATCTAACAGGTGTGAGATTTCGTCAAGAATGGGACTGAACATTCACTTACCATGACGTAATAAAAGTAATACCAAGGTAGCTTCGATCCCTTGGTAATCATTGTCGTAGCAATCAGTGGCGCGAGAACAGCCCCCACACCATAGAGAGCATGCAAGAAGCCCAAAACCTCATTCGGATTCGCCATATTTCCCATCCAGGCGTTCCAAGCTGCATCAGCGAGGCCATTGCCAAAGCCAGCCAGCATGAAGATAATCACCAGCACCGGATAAGGGGGGTGTACCGCAATCACGATGTACGCAATGAGATGGCACGTCGGTGCAATCTGACAAATACATTAACCACAATCCCGCGAGATCAGATTGAAATAGTACTCACCATTGCAACCCCCCTCTGCCCAAACCTCAAATGAATCATATTATTCAACAAAGCAGAAGAAGCATACCCCACCAACGGCGACAAGAACACCAACGAAATCACCCACAAACGTGAGATTGTAGTATTCCTGTAGATAAGGAATCAAAGCACCGTATGCAGCATCGTTACTGCCCATGACGACGAAGCTCCAAAACGCAGCCATCGTCTTGAACAGGTTGGAGCGCGGGTGGTTCCATCGCTCGAGTTTGGCGGTAGGATGCGTGGTTGGCGAGGGTAGATCTGTGGGACTGTCGTTGTATTCTTGGATGCCTTTGCTGTCTGAGAGACGGAGGCCGGGGACTTTGGCATCTTGGGGTTTGGTGGGATGAGAGGAGATGGGGTGGAGTTCGATGGGGGGTTCAATGACGCAGGTTGAGGAGCCGGAGGTGGCCATGGTGGGCGAGAATTAGGAAGGGAGATGCTAATGTTCGACACCTGGGTATGAAGCAAACAAAGCCTGATATCCTTATACCTTCTCTTATCAAAGCTCGAAGTCAAAGGTATGACGAAATCGTATGTCTACTCGTTCGAGAAAGGGAAGTTACAACCACAACACCCGACCCTGCCTTTATACTTCCAAGAAAACTCGACTCGCAAGCGGTCTGCCTTCAAGTCGCATAAGTCGCATGCAGACCAAAAGTGCGAGATGCAGCCCTTTACGAGGTCACTTGGCGATATGATCGTGGAGATCCCCAGCTCCGCATTCTCCCCGACCAATCACGCTTCCCGCCACCGAACGGCGCGGAAAACTGGCGCGGTTGATCTTCGGTCAAGGGTGGACTGGGCGGGCCGCCCTTCCTCTTGGCTTTGCCGGTCCGACATGGCACATATGGAAGTGCTTGCGAGGTTGTACAGGATGGCGGGGAAGGAATTAATGATGATAATCGACGAGCAAAATGCCGTGTTTTGGAGACCTTGTGGCACTGAACATCACTCAATCGCCTCATACAACTCCCGTCTCGCTCCCACCCACTTGTCGCTAGGGCCGTTGGAGTTAGCCCCACACTAGCCCCCAAACATCGACAAACTGCGAACTCTGCTGAAACGCTTGCGGTTTGCGACAGTCACATTGTAGTTGCGTGCTCACTGTTTACGAAGCGTTTGAGAAGGCAAAAAATCGCACCATGTTGAAAATGTCATATTCAATTCATGCTATACCTATTAACTGCCTTCGGCTGGTCTGATTCCGGAATCTCCCAATCTTGCTGGCCCATTTCCATGCTTCGGGGGTATCTGATGGCCCATACTCTCGCTCGCTCGCTCGCTCTGGTGACAAAAACAACAATAAGGAAAAAATGAGTTACTTGAGATCAATGCTTGTATTTTGAACGACTGTAGAAGAAGGCAAAGTTGTTTTGTCCATGCACGTACCGCCTCGCTTCGTGCTCGCTGCCGTCTCTCGTTGCTGGTCATGCTCTATGTCTTGTTTTGAGAGAAATTAAGAAAGACATGCGTGGTGATGGCCTCGGATTTTTTGCGGTCATGAAGCGTCTATGAGGGCTGAATGACGGAGGGACCGGCAAGGACCTCGGCGTCGGCAATGGACTTTGACTTGGTGATCATCATGTAGACCTCACCTGCAAGGTTCTGGGGAACCATGCAGTTGCCGTTGCTGATAGCAGAGAATTGAGCGCCACCACTAGAGAGTGTTAGTGACCACGTTCGTTTATAAGCAAAGAGGTTGAGACTTACGGAGCAACGAAGGCACAGAAGGATGCGCCTGCTGGCTGGGCAGGAGTCGGTAAGCTTGAGGTTCTGGCCAACGGTTGCCTTCTCAGGGTTCTGGAGAGAGATCGCAGGGAAAGGCTGGATGTTAAGGTTGGATCCCTCTGGGCAGGACTTGATGAACTGGGCAGCCAGAGTGAAGACGGCACGGGGCTGAAGAGGTACGTCGAAAGCAGCAGGGACGGGCTCAGCACCTGAAGCGACACGGATGAAGGCCTGGTGACGAGCCTCAACGGTAACGATCGAAGCGGCGGCAGCAAGGACATCGGAAGAGTTGACGAGGGGTGCAGCTCCGAGGTATGCAGAGACACCGACAGCCTCAAGGACACGGGCGGTCTTGACCATGGCATCCGCGCTCGCAAGAGCAGCGTCGAAGTTGTACGTGCATGCCTCGACTGGCTTGGAGCCAGTTGCGGCGATGGCAGAGATGAGGGTTGACACGTGAGTGGCCTCGGTCTGGCCGACACCCATGAGAGACTTGACTTGAGTCTCGCTGAGACCCAATGCCATGAAGTCGGCCATGGAGAACTTTGCGAAACCCTGCTTGTAGTATTCGGACTCAAGATGCTCAGCGGTCAGAGCACTAGATGGGTTAGGACATGCTGGCAAACAATATTGTTTTGGAGCTACTCACAAGTTGAGAATGTCCACATCGGTCAGGCCTCCTCCTGGTGCTGCTGCAGCAGCCGCTGGGGCCGCACCAGTTGACATGGCCATGGCAGCCGAAGCAGAGGCTGAGCGAACAGCCATCTGTGCGGGAGCGGCAGCCGCGAAAGGCGCCAGGGCGACAAGGCCCTTGAGGATTGTTGAATAGCTAGGCATTTTGAAGATTAGGTTGTTGTGATTTTGTAATTGTCGTAGTGATTGACCGCCAGCAAAGACTCGCTTTGAATTCGATTAATTAAATGGTTTCTAGGGTCCAACCAGGGACTGAGTGTAGAAGTGAACCGTAAGGAATGTGGATGAAAGTATTAGGTACAGTGAAGGAAGCTATCGGGCTGATGATGAAAACTTCGATGTAAACGAAAGTGGGCAGCCAATGGTCCTTATACAGCCACCGCGACTCCTGGCACCGCACATGAGACGCCATATTAGATTCGGAGTACGGATGCAGAGCTCGAGGCAGTATGGGCGGATTGACTGATTCCGCCCACGCACGGGTAAGACTTACCCAATCCGTAACCAGTCAAGCTTTGCGGTATGCCCCATGGCCCCATTGATCAACCAGGAACTGCTTGGGCGCTGTGCAGCAACCGCTACGAGAGGCCTGCTCTTAGCGGTGGGGCTGGGCTTGGGTGCGCGTGTTGTTGCAGGTCTGGGTACCTGCGACGCGAGATCGCAACCATGAAACCGTGCGGGTGCCAGCACCACATACATTGCTGCACGGAGTCAGTAGAGCCGCTATTGAATGAACAGGGTTCTAGGCGATATAGCATGGCTTACACGGCGGTTATCGTCTGTTCCGGTACGAAGCGTGGCGTGGTTCACGAACAGCTGCTTGAAGCAGTCCACATCGCTGGTGCGGTGCGTCTCCGTCAGCAAAGAGCTGTTGAAACGTTTCAACACCAAGACTTTATAAATCTTGGTCCAGAGACCTCATCGCCTTGGTACAATCCAGTCAAGTCTACGAGAGATCGCATTGTGGTGCTGTGCCGGGTGTCCGTTGTCGATAGTGGCGAGCCCTGGAAGCTGAGAGTGACCAAGCGAAGATGGCTGAGGCATCTGTGGACCTAAAACACTTCCACCCCGCCAAGTCACGGTCAGGACCACTGATATTTCGGCTGCGAGCCTGAGGCTGGTAGAAACATATGCAGGCACAGATGCCTTGGCGAATGAGGACAAGGGCCTGATCTGTGGAAGATGTAGATCCGTTCGCAGAAGTGCGACTGTGCATCAACGTGCGCTACACATGCCGGCCGGAAGCCAGTCCTCGAACCAGGCGGATAAACACTGGCGGCATCTCGAAGACATCTACGCACGTTTTACCTCTTCGCGGCCAATGGCATTTCTGTCGCATCTCTCGGATCGGTGATTTACTACGAGCCGGTGGTCATCCCAAGGCTGTAAACGAAATTTGTGGTGCGTCGTGAATGCAAGAGTCAGGTCGGGGCTAAGAGCTTGAATTACAACAATATCAACTATCGGTCCGCGCTTTCGCCCATCGACTACACATTATTAGTGTACTACTGATGTCCTCTTGAGATCTTCCCTGTTGCTGATGTGCGCACAAACAATACACAAGCCTCTTTGTCCATCTGACCACATGGCCCTAATATATATCCACGCTATGCAATCTCGTTTTTACACAAATCGTCCAAGCACAAGCTACTAGGCCCTGCCATCGTCTACAAGACCAACTATACACCATCATCGAAGCCGTGTGCAGGTATCTCGTCCGCACACTTAAAGAGCATACGGGTTGAGCGATCGGATGGTCAAGCATCTACAGAATATGTTAGTAGGTTGTAAACCGTAGGAGCATGTTGACTTACGGAGGGCTCTTGGTCAGATCCGTCTTAAGGATGACTGGCACACGTGTCATCTCACGCACATCCTGGATATAGTCGCCATTCTGCTCACGCAGGGTAAACCAGTTAAGGTACTTCTCCTTGTTGGAAAGCTTGGCCTCGGGAGCCTCGCTAACGCTCTTGGTGAGCTTCGAGTCAGAGTTGACGCGGTGGGGACCTTGGCCGGGAAGCTCGCGCCTAGTCGGCGAAGGCGGCATGCTCTGGGTTGGTCGGTCTGGGTTCAGAGAGACGCCTGCCATTGTCGAGTTCAAGTCGTTCGAGTCATCGTCATCCTCGTCATCGTCGAACAGAGCATCAACGTCAGTGGTGGAGATGGTACCAGTGTCCATCTGCCTGCGCTGTGCTTCCTCCTGCTCCTTCGCGCGCTGCTTGGCCGCCTCAGCGTCACGCGCCGCTGCCGCCGCATTCGCAGCTCGGACCGAACCGTGCTTCGGCCTCTCATCCTCAGGTACGTATGCAGAGGACGGGACACCCTTCTCCCAGTATAGTTCGAGCACGCGAGTGTTCTTGTCGAACTCGGCCTTCTTGAGAGGAAGCTGGTCGCAGTGGACGCGCTTCTCGAAGCCCCACTCTGGAATGAGAACATCGAAAGCGGACTCGTAGACGCAAAGGACGATACCCTCACTAATGAGCTCGCCTCCCTGCTCCTTGGCGACCTTGTCCATCTTGCGACAAGCCTCAATATGCACGCTCTGCTCCTGAGCAGCATGAGCAGAGTCCTTCTTGGTGTTGCACATCTCGGCAGTCTTCGCAAGAGCCTCAATATCCTCGGTGAACTCGACTGCGCCGTCGGACAAAGCAACCTCGAGTTGGCGATGCACAATGATGTCGGCATAGCGGCGCGAGGGGTTGGTGAAGTGGGTGTAAAGAGGCAAGTTTAAGGCGTAGTGGGGGTACTGGTCCTCTGGAAGCTTACCAGCAACAAAGTACTTCGCACGGGGCATCGACTTGATCACCAGAGTCTCCATACCCTTTCGGATGTCGTCGTCTTCGACCTGGAACAGGCTGTTCTGCAGCGATCCACTGCTCTCGGTATCGATCTGGTAGCCAATGGCGCCCATACGGTCGGCGATGGTGGTCAAGCGACGAGGGTTTGGGAATTGCTGACGACGCAAAAGTGCCTTTTCAGGAAGAGCCGCTGCGAGCTTCTTGGCGACGAAAGCGTTAGCAATGTGACTCAGCTCCTCGATACATTCGTGAGCGGGAGAAGAGTCGAATATGTTCTGCTCGACTGGGACGTTCTCATCGTCGAGTTGGTACATAAGGCGAAGGGAAGGAGCGTCTTCAGTACGGCCACCGAAGCGGGCCTGGCGAAGCTTCTGTGCAATGTGATGAAGCGTCTTGATGTCCTTAGCACGGGCCGCGTTGACCTGGGCCTCTCCTCCGTTGATAACGGAATCGACCTCGTCATACGTCAGCTTTCCAGAGCTCTTGATCACAGCCTTGCCGACCCAGGTCTCATCCTCGGAAATGCGGCCGGTCTTGGGGTCAACCTTGAAGACAACACTGACGGTGTAACGATCCTCTCCAGGGTTTAGACAGCAGATGTCGTTGGACAACCTAGGAGGAAGCATGTTCACAGTGCGGTTCATGAGGTAAACAGCAGTGCCGCGCTTCTTGGCCTCACGGTCGACAAGCGAGTTGGCCTTGATGAAGTGCGCAACATCAGCAACGTGGATGCCGATTTCAACGCGGCCATCATCAAGGTCCTTGAAGTGGATAGCATCGTCAAGCTCTTTGCTGCCATTGGGGTCAATGGTGAAGGTCTCTTCGCTTCGGAAGTCCCGGCGATTCTCCAGCGCAGTCTCGCCATCATTGGCGACGGACCAGTCCTCGAAACCGACGTTCTTGATGACGGCATCCGAGAAGTCGTCCGGACCAAAGTTGTTGTCGCGTAGGAGAGCATCGGTTTCCACCTTAAGTTCACCCATGACTCCAAGCTGTTCAACAAGGGTACCAAAAGGATGCAGCGAAGTGATGGGCCATCGCTTGATGCATGCCACAAAGATACGGTCGGCATAATCCTGGTGCTTCTCAACGAAGTCCCTTGGTGCCTGCTCGGTTGGAATAGCGATCAAAGGCACACGCTTATCGGTTGGCTTGAACCAGACAATCTTTGGCTTGTCCTGACGTTCTGGCTGCGGACGGCCAGAGTTTCCTTCGCGGGCCTGTCGCTCAGCCTCCTGCTTCTCCTTAGTGGCCGCGCTACTGGGACGCAAGAGTCCGAGGGATCCCGAGAACATCTGTCCGGCAACACGTTCAATGACGGCAACGATGTGGCCGGCGTACAGCGGCTTCTGCTCGTCATTGATCTCTTCCTCTTCCATGAGAAGCAGGCTCTGTCCCTCGACTTCGACATCGTCGTTCTTCTTCTGCGTAGGGCGCTGGCGAAGACTGCCACGTCGACGGATGCCACCCTCGTTGGAGGACTCGGGTTGGGTGGTGGCATCGTTCACAGCGATACTACCGCCGCGAGGATCGGCGTTGTCCTTCCTCTTTTTCTTCTCTTCCTTCTCACGTTTCTGACCCCACACCTCGTCCACGTCGAGCAGCTCAACGGCGACCAAATCGCCCTCGAGAGCTCGGTTCCTGTCTTTGCTACCACAAATGAAGATGTCAGCATCCAAGTCAGTGGTGGTAACGTAAGCATCGCTACGGTTCTTCTTGTTCACACGGAGCACACCGGCAACGAGCTGGCCATCGCCAAGGAGAGCAGGCAGAGTCGCCTGAGGAAGGTAAGGAGTGAAGAGCGTCTTGCGCTGCTGCTGGTTCCCTTGCTGCATTCCCATCTGGGGCTGAGCATGCTGGCTGTTTCCAAGACCTCCCATGCCGCCACCCATCTGAGCAGCCTGGAGCGCCTGCAGGTGTGCAATCTGCATCGGGTTGAGACCCTGAGCGCCGAACATCTGTTGCTGGAGCAGGAGCTGCGCCTGCTGGTTCTGCATCATCTGATTCTGGCCGCCGTACTGGAAGTTGCCAAGAGAGCCAACAGACTGGTTCACAGACCCGCGAGTGCGGTGACCAGGTTGGAAAGGAGGGGCATTGGCGGTTTGGTTCATGTTAAAGTTGCCCATGTTCTGGGACTGGGTTTCCTGGCTAGGCTGTTGTTGGGTGTTGTTTTGGGGTTGCCTCCAGTTGCCCTCGAAGTTGCGAGACGCTGCGCGGCCATGTCCTTGGCTACCACGGCGCTGGAAGTCGGTCTGGCCAGACTGGTTGGTGTTGTTGTTATTGTTGTTATTGTTGTTGGCGTTGTTATTGGTGTTGTTAGTTGTAGGAGGGGCAGTGGTGCTCGCCTCGCTGCTAGCAGCGGGGAAGGAGAAAGCAGGGCCACCTCGGCCAGCGCTTCCACCGCCACGGCCAACAGCCATACTCTGGCTGCGACCATGGCCACCACGGCCGCCTCGCAAGCCTCCATCGTTGGAGGCGCTGTTACCGCTGGGGCTCGCATCCCGATTAGAGCTTCCGCTGGCTCCGGGAAGAGGGAACTGGAAGCCAGAAGTCTTTCTCTTCTGTTCAGCCAGTTCGGCCGCCTTCTTGGCATCTGCAAGAGCTAGCGAGTGTCGTCGAGTGTGTCCAGAGCCGGCGCCGCCGCCACCTCGGCCACGAGGGTTGACATTCTCTCTGCCCTGAGTGCCTTGCTGTGCGCTGAACTCACCGAAGCCAGACGTGCCGGAGGAAGGCGCAGCGGGAGCACCACCCAAGCCGACATTGGGAAGGGCGGACTGGTTGCGACGGTGCGCACCAGGCTGAGCAGGAGCGTTCATAGGGACGGCGAGATGCGGTTGAGCCATTTGCTGTGGGAACTGGAAGTTGTTGGATGCAGCATTAGGCATCTGGCCCTGCATCTGGAAGTTGCCGAGATGCTGCTGCGGCTGAATCATGCCCATGTTGACATATTGTTGGTGTGTGGCAGCGATTTGCTGCTGTTGCTGTTGTAAGACCTCGATTTGTTGTGCGATGGCGAGTTGTTCCACTATTGGAGCTGCGTCAGCATGTGCTCTCACATGATGAGATGAAGATACGTACTCATCAGCGGAGTCAGCTCAGACGGGCTGCGACGATGCGCAATGTGCAGGCGACGACCTGCAGGGCCCATAGGACCCTGCTGGCCTGGTTGCTGCTGGTCCATTGTGAAGTGTGTTGCAGGGTGCGGCTGTTCTGCAATGGCTGTACGCGGAGGCGACGGTCGAAACTGTCAGACGAATCGTGATGTTGTCAAAAAGTGTTGACGCAATCTAGCGTGCGTTAGCAGTGCATTCCAATTGCTGGTGAGAAATGAAGGGGAGGGGAAAGGTGAAGCGTGAAGGCCCGGGGCGGGGACATGGTGGTTGGCGCAGCTCTGGACGGCGCGGGGAACAGATATGCACTTACGCTGCTATCGAGACAATGGGCACAGAGGAAGGCAATGTTCTCAGAAATGGATGCTGAGGAACGGGATGCTCTGCAAGTGATTGGCAGAAGCGCTGTTTGTGGTAATGGTCGATGTCTGGTCGACGGGAGTCCGAGTCTGGAGGGGATAAGGATTGGGGCTGCAGGGGCGGGCGTCGAGCAGTTCAAGGAGTGCAGTTCCCTGTTGGGCTGTAGTTGTTGCAAGAGCAGCAAAAAGCGGGCGGAGAGAGCGCGATGAAGGGGCAGCGATCGAACGCAGAGGGAAGGAGGGGAGGGTATGGGGAGGAGCGGTCGGTGAAGTCAGAGTGCGTAGATGCGTAGGTAGTGCGTAGACGGGTGGTGAGGCCCAAGCTTGTGCTAAGGATCCGCTCGTGCAAGCTTCCAGTCTGCAAACGAGACGGTACGTCACCTGCACCAACTGCCCAGCAGCAACAATATTGGATGAACGGGGAGGGGAGCTAGCGCGTGCGGGACTCAGGCAGTTGCGGGTATGCTAACTGCTATAAATGCTGCCAGAAACATAGGAGCAGCAGTGCTGGGCGGGCTTGCGTCTCAGTGGACGGAGGTGAAGCACCACGTTTTGCTCTTCACGTTTCATGCAACTCGCTTCCTCACGAACGCCGAGGGATGCACACGAGGGCGGACACTACAGGATCGCGCCAGACCTGGCCCTGGTGCTGCCGTGCTCGAGCAGGGTTGTGCTGATTGCGAAGTGTCCATGCTAGCCCGCGTTGGGCTGCTAACCTGGTCCTATTGCTGTGAACACAATGGCTCAAAGAAAGTTCAGATACGGCATTCCGTAAGCATCGGACGGAAAGAGACGCCGCTCACCAGCAAGACCTGTCCGCTGCTTGCACTGATGCCCCGTGGCGTCTTCAGCAGTAGCTAGGTTCCAAGTGGAGTCGCCGTTACAGCTCGTCAAGTCTACGACGACTAGTCCAACCCTTCGGTAGCCTGTGGCAGAAACCAGGCGTGACAAAACTTTATTGGAATTCTGCGCCGCAGCCTGAGTTTATCCACCAGGACACGAGGCAGCTATTTCTAGCAGAGCAAAGTCTCAGGACGATGGATCGAGGTCTTGAGGCTTGGCAGCATACGCCCCTGCACTGCAGCTACCTGCAGCTACCCCATGGAACATCACTTAATGATCGGGATCTTCTCAAATATGAGCCCCGGAAGTCTCAAGTCGCGTCCTTCCAGACTCGCGAGCTACTCAAGTAGAATTCATCGACATCTGTCTCCGCTAAATCGCATCAGCTCCACCATGCTTACGTCTGGGGGCTTCTGGGCGCGTCTCTCTGCATGTGAGACGACGTTGTACCGGATATACGTGTGTAGATCCATTACAATCGAAGCCGGCTCCCTTGCATCGCATGCGCGTACAATGATGTTGCCCACCAGCCCATGCACGTGACTGTAGGCGCGAAAGGCGTCGTGGGTGCGAGTGCCAGTGATGCGGCGTGGCACAGCAGATCGCGAAAGTGAATTGACTTTGGCCAGGGTATGCGTTCTCACGTGATGATAGCGCTGGCGGCCGTGCCCTCGGAATCTTTAGCGGCTTTGACGCGATCACCTCCAGCCATGCCAATTCCACACCTCCACCGCCTGTACTGAATCCTCACTTTTGGCGACTAACATGCCCGCCAGATCGGGCACGTCGTCCTCCAGCATGAACACGGCAGCTTCCTTTACTTCCAGCTTTCTGGATGGCGGTTCTCCATCACGCCAATCGCCCAGCAGAAAGTCGTCCCATAAGCCTCAGAGGTCCATTGTTCGCGATCCATACGACAGCCCCGGACGGCAGCTCGCCATTGAATTCAACCTGCGCCTCAGCATTTCAGATCGCGACTTCAATGAGCGTCTGGACCAAGCAGCCGCCGAGCGCGCCCGGCTCCATGAAGAGCAACTCGCGAGAGCTGCCGAAGAGCACAAAAGAGTCCTCCAGAGCGCTGAGCTGGAGGTGCAGAGAATCACCCTAGAAGAAGAGCGCGCACAAGCTCGGAGACTAGAAGCGCAACACCAGGAAATCGAACGACTCAAGCGCGAAAAGGCACAGCAAGAAGCCGAGGCTCAGCGAAGGGCGCTGGAGGTCAAACAGCGCGAGGCCGAGGCAGCGCGACAGGCTCAAGAACACCAAAGACAGCTTGAGGCAGCAGAGGCTCGGATCAAGGCTCAGCAGGAGCAGGACGCTGCCGCCGAGAGGCAGAAGAAGGAGAAGGAAGAGGCGGATCGCAAGGCAAAGGAGGCACAAGACGCGGCAGCAAGGGCGCAAGCACAGCAGACGCCCCAGATCCAAGCACCACAGCCCACCCAGGTCGCTGCTCCCATCGCTGCACCTGCACCAACTGCTATAACAACAACACCCTCCTCAAGCTCGCGAGCGACCGCAGCCAACGTCAACCAGATCCATGCCAAATATCTGGAGCTTCATTCCCGCATGAAGCAATTCCGGGTCGCCTTCGCAAACGAGCATAAGCAGAAGAACAACCCGCTCAAAGAGAAGGTGGGCGACACTCGACGCAACATCCGCCTGAGACTCGGCCAGATCAACACCGACCGGAAGGCCAGCGTGGCTGCTATCAAGAGGCTGCGCGAGGACTCGTTCAACATTGCACTGAGCACCCCAGGACCCATGATTGACATCCGCCCTTTCATCATATCGCACGAGATACCGCCGCTTGCGAACGAAGACGAGGCAAAATACCCAGCCTTCCTCCTCTACATGTGGATATGTTTCGAGAAGTCTGTTTTGAAGCAGTTTGACAAGGAGGCTGCAGGCTCGGACGGTCGTACCATCCAAGAGATCGGTCTTATCGCTGCAAGTCTCCTTGCCGACCAGCGATACATGTGGAAAGGTATTCCTCTCACCGACATCGTCCTCGCGAAGCTACACCGCGTCTGCCCAATCCTCTTCGGCGTGCATGGCAGGATGGATACTGCCGAAGGCCGCATTCGTCTCGGATGGATCAAGAGCTCCGACTCCGAGGGTGAGTACAGTCAACGTATGCGTGGCTTCGGCGCCGGTTTTGCTGCTCTATCTCTGCGCTCGTTCAACGCTAAAGCGCCTGCCGTGCCAATGTCCGATTACTGGCGCGCGATTGCGTCAATTTGTAACACGCCCAGTGAAGATCTTTGGCCCGGACACTTTTCCCTCATCCATGGATTGACCAAGGATTATTACAAGAAGTTCCTCACTTTCTACGGCGCTCCAGCGCGAGCTGTCCTACGTCGCGCGACCATTGATCTCCCTGCGCGTGCACCGCCACGGTGCAAGGATGCGGCGGGTACAGTAGCCGTGTTGCCCCTGGGCTGGGAGAAGGACGGCATTAACCTAAATTAAGAGAAGGAAGCGTGTGGGTAATAGATCAAGAAAGTCGGGGTCAATGACCAAGGAAAAACTTCACACGGTTTGCCTCGTGTCGTCAGCATTTAGAATCACATCTGGGTTGCATGAATCGGCGTTTCTCTCTCTTCTTAACATCAACATGAAATGGATGACATGGGTCACATATAACGCACAATGGAACAAAACTTTTACACAAGGACTGTAATCGAATTTGTCCGGGATCGTACATGGCCTCGCTATCTTATTCGTCTCGGTCATTCAAATTATCTCATAGACTACATTGCACCCGAGCCTACAGCGTTGTTCTCAAAGCATCTTTCCGATGTCCGTGTCTACGATGAACACGTAGACTAAAAGGTACCCTGTGTGCTAGTCCTTAACGTGATCGGATCCGTCATACCTCATGCTGGAGTCATAGCTTCTTACCGGGTCGGCAAGAGGGGGCAGGGGAGGGAAGAGCGGTTAGCGCTTACGAGACTTGTTTGGGTTATGCTTGTGCTCAGGCTTGGGCTTGTCTTCGACCTTCTCCTTCTTCTCCTTTGGGGGATCTACACGATAGCCCGTGACCGACTTGAGCAACTCATCACGAATCATCTTGGGAGTCCACGTATCATCAACAGGGAGCAGGATCCAAGCTACACTACCAGGAGCAAGCTTCTGCACCGACCGCTTCGGATTACCAAAGTTGACCTGGACCTGAAGGTTGAAGCGGATACCAGCCTCCTTGTTGTCATCGTCCGAGGTGTAGTTCTGCATGTCTAGACGATAGCCAGTGTCAGAGAAGACATTGGCACCTGGAGAGCCAAAGGTACCGGTCAGCTTGCTGTCAGGAATGGACTCGATGAACTCCTTGATATGGTTTTCTGGTGAACCGCGAGGCATCTTGGATGTTGTTAGAACGTCTGAAACTTCTTCGAACGTCGGGATATTAGGTAGTTGAGGACCTGTGGAGAGTTGTGAGTGGGTGCGTGGATGAGGATGAGAAGAAAGCATGGGAAGAGGTAATAAATAACAAGGAGGCGTGGAGAAGCGTGAATTCTCGAAGAGACAATGCTCATGAGCACTGTGAGAGAGGTGGGTGATCTCAAGGCTGAAGGCAGTTCGCAGTGAAGGTCAACCGAGCTTGCAGTGGGTGAAGTATTCCCATCACTGTGCTGATGAGCCGTTTGTTGTCACAATGTACCCGTCAGGCTATTTTGTCGCATTGCACTTTTTTTTTTATGAAGGATAAACTATGGGCCTCTGTTATTGCACAACGTTTGTCGAGGCGCCAGCACAACACTCTTTGATTACGGGCTTCCACTCACATAAAGACTTCCCCACCTGAAAGAAACTTCTCTACACCCACGACTCGATTTTACAAACATCGCAACTTCTACATCAACAACACTATCACCAGACATGTTCACTCCACCCACCAACACATTCCCTCAGCCTGGCCTTGAGTGGAGCTACGAAGACGAACTCTTCGGCCCTGAGCCAACCTGGACTGTAGAGCCCGATGTTGAGGTCATTCGTAAGATTTTTCAGCGCGAATTCAACATTCCTGAAGATTCGCAGTGCGACGTTGAGTTCCTTGCCGAGGGCTCCCTCAACAAGGTCTACAAAGTGCAATGCAGCAATAGCAACGCTTACATCATGCGTGTCACTCTCCCGGTCCACCCACGCTTCAAGACTCAGTGTGAAGTGGCAACAATCGACTTCGTCAGCCAACACACCGACCTTCCGATTGCCAAGGTGCTCAAGCACGATGCGAGCTTTGACAATGAACTCGGCTTCGAATGGATGATTCAGGAATTTGTACCTGGCGAGTCCATGGAGAAGGCCTGGCAGAAGACTAGCATAGAGCAGAAGGAGGTTTTGGTACGCAAGATCGTCGCCTATCTGGCCCGCCTGTTCGAGCAGCGTTTCGATCGCATTGGCGGCTTGTACCAGACGGATCCTTCCAAACTGCCTCCGCTTCTGGAATGGAACCCTGCAATGATGCCACTGCTCGTTGCCCCTGCCGCCGACCCCTTTTACGATCTCGGCGAAGTCGTCTCGCTGTCACTCTTCATCAGCGACCATCTTTCACACACCAGCTCGCGCGGCCCATACACTTCCAGCCGCTCATGGCTCACCACACGCATCCAGCTGTACATCGAAGATGCGCTCAAAGTCCTAACCGACATCACTCTCGACGCAGACGACTACGACCGCAAAGCGGCTTCCGCCGTCATGAACATGGGCATGCGCCTGCTGATGCTTCTCCCTAAGGTCTTCCCGTCCGAGGACGAAGATTCCTTCATCATCCACAACTCCGACCTCGACATCCAGAACATCCTCGTCGACACCGATGGGCATCTCACCGGCGTCATTGACTGGGAGAACATCCATACCTCCCCGCTCTGGTACGCGTGCCAGCTTCCCAAGTTCCTCTGCGGACAGACACTACATGACGCCCCTGTTCAGGCGGACTTTATGATCCAGGGCGATGGCGACGAGAATGAGTTGGTTCTCGACGACATGTACTGGTATCGTCTGCGCCAGCATGATCAGACGAAGCTGCGCAAGGTCTTCTTCGAGGAGATGGAGCGGGTTTGTCCTGAGTGGGTTCGTGTCTTTGAGGGGAGCACGAAACAGGCGGATTTCGAGCTGGCTGTCAATAACATTGATAATGAGCTTTGCTGCAGTATTATTCTTACTTGGATCGAGGGCATGATGGAGGATGAGGAGCCGACTAGCCTGCGAGACATCTTTAGGCGCTAGGTGGGTATTTTCGGGTCTTTTGGTCTTCTGAGCTCTTGATGTAGGCGTTGACGTAGCGGTTCCGTGCGCACATATGAATGTATACGGACTAGATGATTATCAATACAAATACTTTCTTGAAAACCTGTGTACTAATACCTAGGTATCTTGCGTGCATCCATGGGTCACGCAAACCTCGCTGTGCCGCAAAGTTTAAAAGGTACTTCGGATTTAAAAATCTATACTTCTACGCATGCCTTGTTATTTTGCTGAATTACACGAGAGTCGTGTTCTATAAGCCTTTTCATAGATATAGCGCCTTCTCTATACGAAAATTACGTAGTCATTATCCTGTACGCGCTTATCTAGGAAGAGTCTTTCTAAAGCACTAGAAATGCTATCGCTATTAGATTATCTGAAATAAAGCCCCGTTATCTGTTGTATTTATAGACAACCTTATATAAGCCTTTTCAGCCTTGCTAAAGGCTGAAAAGTCGTTGCAAGCTCTGAGATTAATGCAGCGTTTAGATTCAGCGTGATCGTCACCTTGCTCAGTACTTTGCTAGGAAGCGCCTTCGGTGTATAGCTAGTGTAATACAGTCCGCGAGGCTGTACCTTAACGTAATTTTCAAGATGTCAACAGTTATGCCAAGCCTGTGGTTCCAACAGACTGTGGCTAATTTTGTCAGGCAAAATTTAGCTCACGTGATATTTCAGCATTTGGTTATCCGGTTATGACACAAGGGTTCCGGTCTACAGCATATTGGCTGTTGCGAGATCATGCGTTGTCAGTTTTGCCCAGCCAGCCTCACGTCACGGCGCAGGCAGGCTGCGCCCCTGCCCTATATGTTAGGGACGCAGCCTGCCCCAACAACGAGAAGACCAGTCTTCCTTACATCTGACTGAGAAAACCATCACCTCCAACTTGCAAGAATACTAGTAGCTACGATCTCCACGCCTTACATGAGTGTGCCATTGTGCGCCGTCGATTTCCTCAGCCTGCTTCGAGGCCCCGAAACCCCCTTCTACCGTTCGCGCAGACAAATACATACAAGACCCGATGCGACTGCTGTACACCGCAAGCGACGGGAAGCTTCTGTGGACGAAGGACATTATACGCAGCGAGGAAATTCCTCCCTATGCGATCCTCTCGCACACTTGGGGGGAGCAGGAGGTGGTATTTGATGATCTGAAGAGCCTTGATAGTGTAAAGGACGTTGATGCACAGAAAGAAATCTAGTTGAGAACAAGATCCGCTTCTGCGCACAACAGGCAGAGCGTGACGGTCTAGAACATTTCTGGGTTGACACCTGCTGCATCGACAAATCAAACAGCCAAGAACTTCAAGAAGCAATTAACTCTATGTTCAGCTGGTATCAGAACGCAAAAAAGTGTTACGTTTACCTTTCAGACGTCGAGTACAACACTCCTGATGCGGAAAGTGAATCAAGCCCGAGATGGAAGCCGGCCTTCAGGAAGAGCAAGTGGTTCAATAGAGGTTGGACACTCCAGGAACTGCTTGCGCCTGCATCGGTTGTATTCTATTCGAAAGAGGGAGACCTGCTAGGGGACAAACAGTCTCTAAAAGACACTATCCATGAGATCACCGGAATACCTATCGAAGCTCTGCAAGGGAGTCCATTAACCGACTTTAGCGTGGCCGAACGCTTTTCATGGACAGAGTATCGTGAGACAACACGCGAAGAAGACGCCGCATACTGTCTGCTAGGCATCTTTGGCATCTGTATGACACTACGATATACGGAAGGCAAAGATAGGGCAATTACACGACTGCGGCAAAAGGTACAAAGGCCTATAAAAGACATCGAAGAGAGGTTTAGCAAGATCTGCAGCTGGCTTTCGGCGCCTGACCCATCTACGAACTACCACAAAGCGCACAAGCAGCGGCAGGCTGAGACTGGGCTCTGGCTGCTGGAAAGCGCAAAGTTCACTAAATGGAAGGAGAGTGCAGCATCGCGACTGTGGCTGTACGGGATTCCAGGCTGTGGAAAGACTATCCTGAGCTCTACTATCATCCAGCATCTGATACATCATTGCGATGATGACGTTCGTGTAGTGACAGCATACTTCTACTTCGACTTCAATGATGCACAAAAGCAGGATGCAGAGCTAATGCTGCGCTCGTTGCTCTGCCAGCTCCTGCAGCGTTCTTTGACGATACCCAAGGGCGTTGACGCGTTGTTTTCGTCCTGCGAGAATGGGCAACGGCAACCGTCATTGGATGCACTTTTAGAGGTAACGCGGCAGGCGATGCAAGAGTTCGCGTACGTCTACGTCGTTGTCGATGCTCTCGACGAATGCACGCAGCGCTCTGAGCTGATGGACATGCTCGAAACGGTGGCTGGATGGCGGCTTGACAACCTGCATCTGCTTATGACCAGCCGAAAAGAGCGGGATATTGAGACATCCTTAGAGAGTTACGTCGGTGAAGAGGCCACTGTCTGTCTTCAGACAGATGTAGTTGATCAGGACATACAACGATACGTTCGACAAAGGCTGCGTGTTAACAAGGGCTTGGCAAAATGGAACAAAGACGCTGCTATTAGACAAGAGATTGAGACTGCAATGATGCGCGGAGCTTGCGGGATGTACGTGGTTCTTCCCAGTTCTTTACAAAGTTAAAGCTGACAATAGGGCAGGTTTCGGTGGGCTGCATGCCAGCTGGACACACTTGAAAAGTGTTGCAATCGAGCGATGCTGCGCAAGTCTCTTGCCACTTTGCCGCGAACGTTAGACCAGACATACGACCGCATTCTCTTCACGATAAGCGAGGAATATTCTGAGTATGCGATGCGCATCCTCCAATGGCTGACGTTTTCTGCGCGGCCGCTGTCCGTCGAGGAGATGGCTGAAGTCGTCGCTATCGACGTGGCACGCGACCCAGCGTTCGACCGTGACGAGGTGCTAGAAGACCCGCTAGAAGTGCTGAACATTTGCTCGAGTCTAGTCACTATTACAAGGAGTGAAGCGGATGGAACATCAAGGCCTGCTCAACAGATCATCGCTCTAGCACACTACTCAGTCCAGGAGTACCTTGTGTCGGACAGGATCAAGCAAGGATCAGCAAAGCAGTACAGTATGCAAGAGGCCGAATGTCACAATGCGATAACGAAAGGCTCTTTGAAGATACGATAATGCAGCTCCAGCAACCATTATCCGAAGAAGCCTTACAGATGTCGGCGCTGGCACGGTATGCGGCAGAATTCTGGAGCAACCATTTTCGGAAGATGGGAGAGAAGGTGGAAGGACTGTGTCAGCTAGCGATGGATCTATATGTCAGTTAAAACCCCCGCGTATCTTACCTGGGTTCAGCTATATAATCCGGACTATCCTTGGATGAAGCTTAATTTGGAAAAAGGTCTGGACAGCATAGCCGCGCCGCTTTACTATGCAGCGCTTTTAGACCTGAATACGATTACGAGAATGTTACTGGACCAAGGCGCTGAGGTTAACAAACAAGGCGGACGCTACGGCAACGCACTCCACGCAGCTTCCTTGAGAGGCCACAAGCGTATAGTCCAGATACTGATTAAAGCAGGCGCTGAGGTTGATGCACAGAATGGAGACTACGGTAACGCACTGCAGGGCAGCTTCATCTGAAGGCCACGAGCTAATAGTCAAGATGCTGCTCGACAACAAGGCCAATATCAACGCGCAAGGTGGCAAATATAGCAATGCGCTCCAGGCAGCTGCAGCTGCAGGTCACCAAGCAATAGTACAGCTGCTTCTTGATAACGGTGCGGATGTCAACAGACAGGGTGGTCTCTATGGCAACGCTCTAAATGCGGCTGCAGCTGAGTGTCATGCAACCATCGTCAAGCTCTTACTCGAGAATGCTGCCGAGATCTCGCGACACGATGACCAAGGGAAGAGTGTTCTGCATCATGCTACGAACAGCGCGTATTGCACTCACACTCTCGTCGAGTTTCTGCTCTCACAAGGTGCTCCGGCAAACACGATCGACATGGAGAACATGACTCCACTACATTACAGCGTCAAGCTCGGCCACGAACGCATAGCAGGATTGCTTCTTGACAACGGGGTGTCCATTGATGCCGGTGTTCATCGAAAGACATGTTCTCGGAACACCGTCAAGACCGACCCCTCTTGCCGGATGTCGATTCCAGAGTCCAAGCCCGATATCTCCTGTATTTCAGCTGGTCTAACGCCTTTACACTTCGCTGCCTTGGCTGGCAATTCGGTCATGACCAAGTTCCTGCTGAAGCGTGGCGCTGATCCGAACGCTCTGTCCGAATACAACGAGTCCCCGATGCATCTCACGTTACGTAAGACCCTGCACGGACCAAAGTATGCCGACGATTGGACCAACCAGGACTGGAGGGTAGAAAATTTGTTAGATTTCCTGGACTTTGAAGACGAGACCGATGCAATTCATGCGGACATAAGAACGCATCGTGAAGGCGTGCTCGATGCAATGTTCGCAGATGTTAGAACCAGTTTGACGATCAGAGACCATCACCATGACCACCCTTTGCACTGCGTCGAGTATGGGAAATTTGGAAGTGTGGAGATGGTCGAGAAACTAGTGTCTAGAGGAGCAAATCCGTTCGAAAGGAACATGAAGCAGCAGAGCGCACTGCATCTTGCTAGTCAAGCTGGCAACCACGACGCGGTCGCTGTTCTACTTTCCCTTGGAGTTGAACTTGCCTTGACGGACTCTGAGGGACTCCATGCTCTTCACCACGCCGCACGGAGTGGAAACCATCAAACAATCAATATCCTTCTAGAAACAGCTATGGCAACAAGACCAAGCTTACTGGTGTCGAAGGACACTTTGGGTAGAAACTCGCTCCACCACCTGTTGTCTACGACCTCTAGGGTTCAGCATGAGACATTACAGTTGATGCTCGACAAGGGGATAGATGGTTCAGAGTTGGATGCATCTGGCAACTCACCGTTGGCAAGCTACTTCAAAGGACATTGGTTGGGACCTAATGTGAACATCTGCCAACAATTGCTTTTGGTCAAAGGAAGCTCTTTGTTTGTTGACAGAAAAGGACAAAACCTTGGACACTTATGCGCTTCGACTTTGAGATGCAGCGTTCGAGTTTTCGAAACCCTGAGGGAACACGGTGTTGATCTGACACAAAAAGACTTACAAAGCAGGACACTATTGCACTGTGCTGCGTTAAGAGGATCCATTACCGAAGAATCCCTGCATTACCTTCTCCATGTTATCGGGGTTGAGATTAATGCAGAGGACGCGCTCTGGAAAAACAGCGTTACAGCATGCAACAGAGATGGCATCGAAAGACCGCAACCCACGAATATTCGATCCTAGACGTTGGGACAGAAGCGAGAAGCTTTTGTCGAAATCAGATGTCAGTCAAGTACCTTCAAGAGCTATAGAGGGCTAGATATAGCTATTTTTGTTGTGTTTTCCATCCATGTTATAGACGTTCTCCGGCAAGACGTCTGACCTACAGTGTTCCTCTTTGGTCACATCGAACCCAATGTACCACCCTTTCACATATACTATTACCATGGCGCTCCTGCGGCATATCTGAGTGCCCGTTCTCAAATCAGTGGCTAAAGGCTAGCTGGCTGAAGAAGGAAGTCTTGATTCGAAGGACTGGCGCGTATCTTGTACAGCTATTCGGAAAGCAATTTAGTAGTATGGGGAACATCTTCGCCACATACAATCTTCAACAACTGCCTACCGCACAAATTCCTAACACCACACTTCTCGGCTCAGAATTTCGCTGCAGCGATACTGGAACCTGTCTGAGTGAGATAGTCTCTGTGCCATTCTTCAGCGACAAACTCCTCCAAGCCAACGTTGAACGCGGGCCCTTCAAGAACAGCTGTGCCTAGCTTGCCGCTCAGCTTCAACTATACATGAAGGGCGCCGACGATCCAATCCAATACGAGGGTTCAGAAAGCGACTCGGATGACGAGCTCGATGAGTTGACTACTCCCGAGGCCGTTCAATCGCGTGCAAATCGCTTGATCGCCCTTCTTCCTAAAGTCTTCTCTAAAGAAGTTGCTGAGGAGTTTGTTCTGCATCACGGTGATTTGAACGAAACCAACATCATGGTCGACCACCTCAACCACGAGATCACAGGTGTCATCGACTGGAAATCTGATCAAACTGTGCCTCTTTGGCAAGCATGCCAGAGATTCCTAAGTTCTTGGACACCATTTTCGTGCGCAACAACGTCCCTGTGCCCGAAACGTACTCCAAAGACGAAGCAAGGCGATGGTACATTCATCACCGATGACTCGTACTTTGCGCATCGCCATGAATACGAGAAGGCGTAGCTGAGGCGCTTCTTTTTGGAAGAAATGGCACGTGTTTGTCCAGGACTTCATGCATGGCCGCAACCTTGCAGACGCTTGGAAGACCATGAGCTGACTAAAGAAAGAGGTTCTTGTACGCAACATCGTCAGCTACTTTGTGCAGCTGTTCAATAAGCTCCACTGAAACTGAGGGCTTCTGTCAGGGCCGATTTATCTCTTTGCCTTTCTTTTGGGGCAAGCACCTCTCCTGCGACGTCACTCGTGGCCCTTTCACCAATAGCCGAGATTGGTTAGCGGCATAGCTGCAACTTCACCTCATCGATCTAGACGAAGAGCCAAACCCAGACGCAGACTCGGACTCGGGCTCGGACTCTGATTTTAAGGACCTTTAAAATACTGATGAGGCTGTCAAGCATCGCGCAGCTCACCTCATAGCCGTACTAGCTAAGCTGTTTCCTGAAGACGAGGCGGAAGAGTTTGTGCTGCGTTATCATCACCTGACCCAAGGTAACATCCTCCTCGACTCGGATGATAATATTTCTGGGATCATCGACTGGAACTGTATCCACACTGTCCCACTCTACCTGGCCTGTCAAAAGCCCGAGTTCCTCGACGCCCCCATGGACCGATCGGTCTGGCCCGATCCCGCAAACTACGCTCGCGATACACTCGACGACGGTACAGTGGAGATCAACGAGATGTACTACCGCCACCTAGAAGAGTACCAGAACCAGCGTCTTCGGTAGTTCTTCCTGCAGGAGATGGGCCGCCAGTGTCCCGAGTGGATCACCTGGCACAAGCTCGGTAAGCTCAAATCTGGATTGGAGGACTGTGTAGCTTCTTTCGGCACTACATTCGGCTCACGGGATATTGACGAGTGGCTGGACAATATGAAGAAGAAAGGTAGGAGGCGTAGCTTACAGGAGATTCGTCGAGTGTGTCAGCATTGTCTCAATGCTCCACAGACGTACAGAAGCCCACTGGACAGCAATGCCGAGTGAGTTTCTGACGAAGGCTCAGACAGGGACAGTGAGTCTGCTTGGGAAACTACTTCTGACTCCTCATTTGGATCTACGACTGTGCCTGTTTTTTCTAGATCACTAGTTTAAGGTACCTGTGGTGCCAGTAGGCGAGCAGCTTGCAATGTAGCTATGTAATTTTCTCTAGATATCGCCGTTTCAAAATAACAACGCGTAAATGTACCAATCATTCGTTCATGTGATATCATGCTTTGATTGTCCGAGCACTTCACCCGTGACCAATGTATACCAAGAATAATCAACAACTCAGCAATGACTCCAGCACCATATTTCCAATCTCCCTGCCGATAAAACCACCACACTTCTATTATGCCTGTGCACGAAAAAGTCCAATTCCAAAACCACCGCCAACGCCACCACGTGGGAAGCGGTGAAGTACAATGCGGCTCGGTGCAATCACTCCTTTCACTCGACGTCCCTATTCCCCGGTAACTTTTGATCCGTAAGATGCGGCTCGGCGTCTCTCGGTTAGATGTGCGATCTCCCCATGAGTCAAGATGGCGTCGGCATCGACTCCGCGATCCCGCAATGGCGCACCCATGGAGGGATCTGCAGATCCGTCTGATCGTCCGCTGGATTGCGCGCAGGACTACCGTGTCGTGGAAATAGGGTGCGGGAGATGTGTGGTGTAGATCTCTTATGATATGCCGAAGTGAGTGAAGAACTAGATTTTCCGTAGGAGATTCAGTTGCGTTTGCGATGTACATGGGAACACCAACACGGTCTCCACACGCCTGCCGCCGTTAAACTCTGAGCGGCCCACACGGGTCCAAGATGGAGTCGAGCCGCGGCTCCTCGGACTCGGAACATGTCCGAGGCGTGGTTGGCTAGTGGAGATACCCATATCAACGGCATGCTACTTGCAGAAAAGCCGCTTCGAGAACGCCATTACACCCCGAGAATAGCAAGAAAGGACGCTTCGACAACGCCATTGAAAGAATTAGCCCCACAACATGCACTCATGCCGACACGAACCTCCTCCAACGCCATTGATGGACCTAGTCTCCAAGGCTGTTGAACGCTTCGTCGAAATGGAAGCCCCACAATGTGCACTCATGCCAACTTGGACCTCGAAGAAAACTGCAGCTTACGCCCATTTCATGTACTCTATACTGTGAGTAAGCCTTACGACGGTTGTAAGCGCACCTAAATTACCTCCTTGCACTGCCAAACGGACGATCCAGTTCACCCGTCCGGCTAGAATCGACAATCTCACCGGATCTAAAGTCCACATGCATGGCAATCCATCAAACCCGCATGCCCAGCCCCATCCCCTAGAACAAAGACATCATGCAGGATTCCTAAGCCTACTCTCAACACGGCAGGTACGTCTCTTGTTGACATGTTCGAGCAACCACATTTCCAACCAGTCCCATCGCCCGGGGACCTGGAGCCATGACTCCGTACGACCAACATCTACCAGCCCAACGCAACGCGGCTCTTGACCTCGTGGCAATTCCACTCCACATGGCCCGGCGGCTGCGCAGGTGTACTACGATGTCCCGTCTGCAAGTGGCGTAGACGCGATTTTACCCGGCTCGAATCAAGATGCTGAACAACAGCCACAGATTGGTGTGTTACCAGCGGGCCGGTACCGACGGGCGTTTTAGCATCTGCTTGCTTTACTGGATTGGGGAGTTGGTGCCTGTCTGCTTTACTGGATAGGGGATTGGTGCCTATGTGGCGATGAGAGGACCCTGGTCAAAGACTGGGTAGACTATGTCGCGTGGAGCCATGTGGGAAGAGACTAGAATGCGTCGCGTGGAAGCCATGGAACGTGGGTCAGGGTAGTATGTTTGATAGATTAATGTCAGTGCCGGGCGTATGTGCACTACTACTAGGGGATCTAAAGCGAGGATAGACGACTTCTCAGTATCTATATAAGTTGCTGAAGCCTGGAGTGCCTTTGTTTACTCCAGTCCAGATTCATATCATACATCCAATATGGGTCGGTTTTCATTATTTGCACCTTTGCTTTTGGCCGCCAATGGCGTGCTGGCTGCGCCGCCGCCGCCGCCGTGGATGGGTGAGGTGAAGAAGGTCGATGGTGTAAATTACCAGTGCAAGTGTTATAGCGACAATGCTTGCTGGCCGACGAACAAGGATTGGGATAGGCTCAACAAGACGAGCAATGGTGCGCTGCAGGTTGCGATTCCTCCGGGTGCCGTGTGCCACAAGGAGTTTGGCAACATGACGAGCGTGTACGATGCGGCAAAGTGTGCGGATACGCAGGCGAATTGGTCCAGCGAGCAATGGCTGTACGTATCTGATTGAGTGTAGTAAGACGTTAGGCTGACCATTTGAACCAGGACCGATCACCCCATCGCAGCCCTCTGGCCGTACGGCACGAACAGCACTTGTTTACCGACATCCGACCCTTCTGAGCCATGCACTCGCGGCTTCTACGGAAACTACGTGATCGTGGCGAAGACTAAGGATCAGATCAAAGCTGGCGTCGACTTTGCACGGGAGAGAAACCTGCGTCTTATTATCCGAAACACTGGCCACGATTTCATGGGCCGTTCCACTGGATTCGGATCGTTGATTATCAACACCCACAGCTTTAAGGACGTTAAGTTCGTGAAGAAATACAGCGGACCTGGCGATTGGAGCGGCAGTGCTGCGGTTGTTGGAGCTGGTGTTCAGGGACGTGAGTTGTACCGCCAGGCTTTTGCACAAACGCCAAAGGTTGTCATAGTTGGTGGCGAGTGTCCTGTAAGTTCGGCCATTATAAGACGTGTATGCATCTCTAACACACATAGACTGTTGGCTGGGCCGGTGGCTACGTTCAGGGAGGAGGCCATGGTCCTCTGTCCGGCATTTACGGCATGGGCGCGGATAACGTCCTCTCTTTTGACGCCATCACCGCCGACGGCAAGTACGTGACTGCCAACGCAAAAGATAACACGGATCTTTTCTGGGCGCTGAGGGGCGGCGGTCCCAGCACGTTCGCTGTCGTCACCTCGATCACTGTCAAGACGTTCCCTGAAGTCCCAACGGCTGGAACCATCCTCAACATCAACTCGACCCACACCAACGATACAGCGCTCTTCACAAAGGCTTTCGGGATTTTCCACAACCTCGCAAACCACTATGCTGATAATGGCATGTTCGTGTACTTCGAACTCGGCCCTGGTCCTGGACGCCTTCACGTTGCACCGTTCGTCGGACCCAACATGGACGAGGCGAAACTCAAGACTGTCTTGCAACCACTGTATGACCAGTTAGACGCTGCCCAGGTGCCATATGACACCCATACCAAGTCGTTCCCCACATTCTTCGAGTTCTACATCGACATGTTCGAGGATGAACCGCCAAACCAGCAGTCCATCGTTGGAGGACGTCTCTTCACCCAGCAAGACATCACAGACCACGGAGACGGAATCGCCGATGCGCTCGTCAAGGCCACTCTGCCCGAGCCTACACAACTTGGGTTCAATGTCGGTCACATTGTCAACCCCGGCCACGCGTATGCCAAGGTCGACAACGCCATCCACCCCAAGTGGCGCAACGCCAGCTCTTTCGTCATCACCAACATGATCATGACCGGCACCGAGCCCTGGGCCGTCAAGAAGGAGCGCGAGAACTACAACACGAATGTGCTTGGCAAGACGTTGAGGGACGTGTCGCCGAACGGTGCGAGCTACGTCAACGAGGGTGATTTGTACGAGCCAAACTGGCAGGAGGCGTACTGGGGATCAAATTATGCGCGTCTTTTGAAGCTTCGCCAGAAGTTTGATCCCAATGGCGTTTTCTATACGCAGACTACACCGGGCACGGAGAGCTGGAGTGTAATTGACTACGGTACCAAGCTGTGCAAGAAGTCGTAGATTGGACTGTTCTCTTTAGCTTTCAAACAATAGTAATTCATGTGTTCGTATTCATGTTTATTGATGTTTCTCGCGGTATCCGTGCTTTCAATAGCGCCTTACAGCATGCTCGGCCTATGAGGTCGTGGCATAATTTATATGCAGCAGCGGTAGACAGCGAATAAGTTGCACAGCGTCGGGTAACATGCTGGTTTGTGTTTCACAGATTGACGTGGGAAGTGTGGAGAAGCGCAGAGGCGGCAGCGGGAACGATGACGAAACGCTCCCGTTCCCCGCTAGTAGACGATTAGTCCGTTAGGTCAGGGACGCGGCGATTTCACGGTGCCTTCACAAGCCAAACTGATATCCTCCGCACCAGGCCTCATCCCAAACAATCCCTCGGCCGACACTCCGGCACTCCCTATCGCCTACAGCATCCGAATCGCCTGCTGCGAATTGCGCGACCGCATCCACACAGCCCAATCCAGATATCTCACGTTCCTTTCGGCATTCCGGCACGCCGCGCACAAGGCACCTACGAAAGCAGCCAAAACGTCACTTTCCCCGGCTCGTCCGGACTACATCGCGAGCGCTGATGCTCCCCGCATGCTGAACAACCTCCCCAACCATACTTGATGTCGATTGAATGCCTCCCGTGCTGAACCCCTTCTTACGGGCCTTCTTCCGTAGTGCACTCCCCAGCCAGTGCCAGCCGGCTCAACACCACGTATGCGCTCGAGATAGCTATGGAGATAGACGCAGACACTGACTATATGCGTGCAGGTCCTTCTCGTGCCCACAACCGAAGTCCTCCTCACCTCCCGCGACAAGGAAACGAACACACTATACGCTGATTTAAGCGGCTCTGAGGACTTCCTAGCCAGTCATGTCCTGCGAGTCCCGGGTGGCGTGGGCCCGAACAACCATGTCAAGGACGCAGGGAGCTTCAGAGAGACCAGAGGAAAGGCGAAGCAGTTCACAACAGCGAATGGGCGGACGGTAATCGTCAAAGACGCCTTCATATACAGTAACAAAGGTGTGCAGACGTGTGCAGCCTTTACATGGGACGACAGGACTTACAAGATACAGGTTTCAAGACACTGAACCAGGCACAGCTCTTGGCCGACACCATCTTCTACCCCGACACGTTCGACGCGCAGCCATGGCTTGTATACTACATCTCCAAGCCGCTCATCGGGACGTGGGAGGCGAGTCCCATCATACCGGCGACGCTAGAGGCCAAGAAGGAAGTGGTTGCGATACAAGTGGCGGGATCGAGCTCTGCTGCAGGACTCAACTCGGGCATGCCGCGCAAGAAGGAAGTCAAGTCCTTTAGCGACCTCCTGAACCACTTCCCCATGATCGCAAGACAGATGCAGCCAGGTTTGGAAAGGCTGTTCAAGGAATTTGGTAGAGAGCTTGAGAAGCCCTTACCCTCAACGCCATCGCGGAGCTCGCGACGATCATCTGTGAGCTCGAGGTCAATACGGTCGCGGAGAAGCGGGTCAGTATCTTCAGCGGAGACTGCACCCCTATCGATGCACAGCAGCATGTCAGGCCCGAACGGCTTCGTGTCGCAGATCGAGATTGGTGACGAGGAGGTGCAGATGCGCAACTCGCTAGAGACAGCAGTGACCGCTGCAATTGATCTATTCCAGATGGTGGATAAGCAGCAGCTTTCTCTGCTGGGCGCGACGACCGATCTTACAGGACCCATCGTGGAGCGCATGATCGAGCGGTACATCGCCGAACAAGTACACCACCGAACACTGTTCCCCCGAATATGCGAGATACGACGACTCGAAGACATCGAACTGGAGCGGCGCACACGGCAAATGGTGGACATCGATATATCGCAGGTCGGTATAGACATTGGCAATGGGCGCAAGGGTAAACAAGAGCTGGCTGTACGGCTCTCCAAGGCAGTGGACATGTTCAAGAAAATGGGCGTTGCTGGAAGTCCACAAGAAATGTTGGAGATATTACTGGGCGTCCAGAAGCACATGACGATGCCCGACTCCGAATCGACGACGAATGACCCACAGCCGAAGACAGGCAGCAACGGCGAGCAGATTTCAGAGAAGCAGGACCCCCTTCTCACGATCAACGCCGATACGCTAGTGTCTTTACTTCTAATAGTCGTTATTCGAGCCCCAGTACGGCACTTGCAAGCGCGGCTGTCGTATATGCGGCATTTCATCTTCATCGATGATGTGGAAAGCGGAGAGCTAGGATATGCGCTCAGCACTTTTGAGGCTGTTCTGTCCTATCTGTCGCAAGACGCGGGCGGTCTGCGAAAAGCAAGTCGTCGGAATAGAGCCCTCTGGCAAGCGACGAAATCGGGCGATCTTGCGACGATGCAAAGTATCCTCGAGCCTGATCGATCGTTCCACGAAAACATGTACTCCAGCTCGGAGGACGAAGACGTTCAGGAAAACCATCGTCCAGTGCGATTTGCGGCGAGCTTCTCGGATTTATCTGCACTTGAAGGGACTACAATGAACGGCGACTACGAGTCAAATAGGAGACAGCAGAATAGACCGGGGAACAAACGGCAAAATGAGGACGGTCCACTCGCACACATATTTCCCTTTCAAAGAGCCGAGACACCCCCATTGCCAGAGAGGCCGAAGATGAAGAAACGAGTTTCCATGGACACACGAAGCATGTCTAGTGGATCAATGCGATCGTTCAGGTCTCGCACGACTCTCGATTCGCACATAAGTGGCATTGAGGGCGACACGTCAATAGAGAAGCTTACAATGACCCAAGGGACCGATGGCGAATCCGTCCTGATGATGGCCGTTGAAGCTAAACAGGACAAAGCTTTACAGTATCTGCTAAGCCTGAACGAATACTATTCTCCTCGCTGGGTTCTCGATGATCATAATAACGAGGGCACTACATTGCTCAGTGCAGCAGTACAATTGGCACATGCGAAGACGACGGACACGATCCTCGCCTACGTACTGGAACATAGCGCCAGTCCAGAGGAGTTGAGGGCCCATCTCGCAAAACAGGACGCCAAAGGACGATGTGTGGCACATTATCTCTTCCATCAACCACGACTTCTCGACCGTATAGGTCACCTCCTGCCCTGGCGGCTCAAGGATAAGAATGGTCAGACACCGATCTTCGCCTTATGCAGATCCTATGACCACGACCAGTATCACGATATGGTGGACAAGGCAATATTAGCTGCGACACATGCACAGGAGGATGGACAGCCGCTACATCTCGACGAACACGTCGACAACAAAGGCAACAGCCTACTTCACATCATTACGGACCCACAGATTGCGGTCAAGCTACTCTATCGCTGCGATTCGGACGCAAACGCAACAAATGACAGGCACTTCACGCCGCTGATGGTGGCGAGCAAGTATGGCCGAACAGACATGGTTCGGGTACTGTACCAGGACCCTCGAGTAGATCTGTCCTTTAGAGATGCGCGCGGCCTCACAGCTGTGGAGCTTGCTAAAGATGATGAAGTCCGCAACAGGATCGATGATCTTGTGCTGCTCTCTAATGAACCCGGGCCTGATGGACGCACAACTACCGTAGTCAGGTCGTTCTTTGTCGAAGATGGATCAGTACGGCTTGTGCTGAAGTCCGGAGCACCTAATGGCAATGGGACAATCACTGTGACGACCTGTCGGAGGTCATCGCACGACTTCGAGAATCTAGCCAAGTGGCTTGCGCAAGAGCATCCAGCTTCATGGCTCCCGGCCATCGCCAACCTACCCTCGCCATATCTAATACCTTCAAGACCATCCCGATCGGTCTTGCGCGATATCCAGCTCAGACTTGACGCATTCCTCAAAATCCTTCTCCGCCATCCAACCTTTTCCACTCATGAAATGGTATGGGAGTTCTTCCTCGTCCCCGACATCGACACCGCCATGCTCTCCGAACGCTCAGCCCGCAAAGCCGAGCTCCGCGTCGAACGACTGCGTGAAGAATACGCACCCATCTACGACGTCCGCGAGGTCGAACTCTGTCGTGCCAGCACATGCGTGAAAACATCCGCGCCCTCCACCACGCCTCGAAATCCGTCCTCCGCCGCACGAATAAAATCCGCTCCGCATCGCTCGATCTTCACGATGCCGCCAAGATTGCCAACACCGCCATCCACTCTCTGCAATTTCCTCTCCCCGAACCACATCTCCGCGCGTACGAACGCTACATCAAATGCCTCTCGCACAGCGAAGCCAGCCCCACCGCAGGCTTCTACTACTCCATGCACGCCATCTCCAGCACCATCACATCTATCCTCGCCTCGCTCTCCCGCCCCTCCACACTCATCACCTCCATGTCCGCCACGCAAAAAGCCATCGACCGCCACAACCTCTCCGTACGCAGATCAGATCGCTGGCCCCTCGGCCTCCTTGACGATGCGCGCTCCCGCGTCCAGCGCGACGCCCAGGATAAAATGGACAAGAGCAAACTCGAGCTCGCGGACCTTGGCCGCGAACTGCGGTATACGCAGCAAGTTGTTGCCAGCGAACTTGCGAGCTGGCAGGAGAATCGCGTGGAGATGGGGCGTAAGGCGCTGAAAGATCTAGCGAGGAGGATGGTCGTGGTGGAGAAGGCGAGGCTGGAGAGCATGCGGCGCGCGGTCAGAGGGTTGGGGATTGTCAAGTCAAACGACAGCGTCGCGGGCAATGGCGTCACTGGCCCGGAGATCCAGGATGTGCGCGTCGAGCATGCGAATCCGATCCCGAGGGATGAAGAGCTGGGCGGCGAGGTTGTGCTGGGGAATGGAGAGGCGGTGGCCGATGAGTCGGTGCCCGGGGATGAAGTTGAGCAGGAATTGATGCATGCGCGAGAGGAGGAGGAGGGGGAGGGAGGGTTTGGAGGAAGAGCAAGCTCCGCCCAGCGAGGGAGATGCTGGTGCAAATGCTAGTGCAGCGATGGGGGTAGAGACGCCGTCTGGGAGTCGTAGTGACGACGCGTAGTCGTAATTCTAATCTTCTCTTGTGTATACCATTGTTACTACCAGCTGTCTAGGACAATCTGAGTCCGTGAAGAATATGTGAGCAAGATACTATGTTAAGGTATAGATGCTGCATTTTGAGGAGCCCCGTGTAGATCACAAGCGGAAGCTCATAGAGCATGACTGAAACAAGGTGTCAGAACAAGTTGATATTGTAATGTTGCGATTTATATTGTTGACCTACCTCTTCATATATAGCGGAAGGGAATGATGAAAAAAAAAGAGGTGTGGCGCTTTGGGTAGTGGTTGCTTCGGGGTCGTTGTCGCTTTGGGCATGTCATGGTCAAATCAAATGTAACTTTTCTATGCTATGTGGTACAGCCCTCGTCTGGCCTGGGCAGTTGAATACCCCGAACATACCTTGTAACGCCAGCCGCCGTGCCGCGAAATCGCAAATGTTGAAAGAGGGAACGCGCACCCCGGCGCCACTTCTCCACTCCGCAGTCGTCTCGTCCTGTCCTTCGTCTGTCGTCTGTGTCATTCTGTACTTGCGTGATCGATCCGTCTCGTCGGCGCAAGTATCGTCGTTTCGTATCGTCTCATCTCATCCTCGCCCACATCTACGGGATCTTAGATCCCCTTCTTCCCGCCCTTCCTCTCCCTCTCTCTCTTGGCATAAATCTCCCCCGTAAACGGATCCTCCCACCTCCTCGCAACCCCATACGCTACCGCCACCACACCCGTCAGCAACACCCCCGCCGGCTTCCCGAACCACAGCGCGGTGGCCAAAAAGCTCAGCGTGCTGCCGTGATACATCGGCGCCTCGCTGACATTGAACGGGAACGTCGTCACTGGCGCGTCCATCAGGATGCCGAAGTAGTCACCGAGGTACGTGCCCGTGACGCCGAGCGCGTACATGGAGGTCAGCACGAGCGTGTTGCCGGTGAGGAAGAGCGGGATGGGCAGAGTATTTGACGAGGGGGGAGAGGAGCGCGGGGGTTGGGTTGGTTGGGCCGGCGAGGGGCTTCCATTGTAGCTGGTTTAGGGGTTAGAGTGGGTGGTAGAGGGGGGTAGGTGGGGGTTGGTACAGGTAGTCGCGGAAGATGCCTAGGGAGAAGATGGTTACTGCGAGGGCGTAGCAGCCGAGGCGGGGGTTGCCGCCAAAGAGCTTGGTTATGACTTTGTTGTGGTATTCTGGGAGGGTGTTAGATGAGGTGATGTGGGCGGTTTGCTGGTAGGTATCGTACCTTGTTGCGCAGCAATACTACAGACCACGATCAGCCATGTCTACACATGTTACCATGCAAATACTCACTTCCAGAAAGTAGGATTAAACAGTATGCTCGCCGCGGACACTGCCAAGCTCGATTAGCTACCTCCAAGTCCGAAGTTCTTCTCGGAACTCACCCCACAAGCTGCGCTGATTGAAGTCAATGTAAGTACTCATTTTGGGCAACCAAAACCACGTTGTCTGCTAGAGTAAAAGACGAGAGGTGTAAAGAACTGGAGAGTTCGCGCCGCAATGTGGGGGAACGTTGCCAGCTTGCTTAACATGTGGATGTCGGCAGTTAGCGAGACGTCATAGCTTCGGAATCCTCCAACCGCGGCAAGCGGCTATTAACGCAACGTGCACGAAACAAACATCAATATTGGGCATTCGATTGCCAGTGAGAATATCATTATCTCGGTGTGAGAGAGCTAGAGCGTGTGTTACACTGTCCCTTTACCAAAGTCATGATCATGTATACCAATCCATTTCGTTCCGTTGCGCCTTCCTAGTACTGTACAAGGAAACCGTGCTATCCAACCATCTCCTCTCTACAATGCGTTACTCCGACAAGTGAAGGGTCCGCCAAATGAAGCCTGTTTGTAGCCATCAATGATGGACTGTACAGTGGCGTATGTTCCTGCAGTCAAGAACAACAAGCCAATGAGGCAAAGAACAATGTTGAAGAAGAACCCGGCATAACCACGAATGCCGCGGGTCTTCCAGAATCCCTCGCCATATTGAGCCCTCCTCAGACGCATGTACGCAACACCCCAGAAGATGAATCCGAAGAACGAGTCGAAGAGCGAGCTCATGAGCGACAACAGGTCGGAGAAGAAGGGGATGACTTCGGCGATAATGAAGGCGAAAACCCAGAGAACAGCGAGAATTGAAATCCAGCTGATCCAGCCAAGCCATGTGTGGCTACCGAGGTGCTCGGTGCCAGCGAAGATGCGGAAGAAGACGAAGCGTGCCGAAACGGAAGCGTACAGGACTCCGAGGAAGATGATCGTAGGAACCATGAAAGTGAATGCGACCTTCTTGTACACCTCGTTCGACAGGGAACCAAAGGCAGGCGCAGTCATATACTGGTTACCTGTGTAACCATACACAACACCACCGACCAGGCTGAATATAATGATCTCGGAGATGGTAACGGCCCAGAGCGCCTTCGGGAAGTCCTTGGGATTCTTCATCTCTGCAATGAAACTAGGCAAGGTAATCTGTCCAATGAAGGTGTAGCTGATGTTCATGAAGGCGTTCATGCCAGCGACGAAGGTGGTTCCTGCGGCGGGGATGAGGAGGACTTTGGGCTCGCCCAATGATGGGTATCCCGCAGGCTTTCCTTCGACACCAGAAAATGCGGCTGCCAGGATGACGGAAATGAAAGTGAACAGGGCGGAGAATGTGGCAATCTTAGCGAGTCCTCCAAACGTACGCGGGATTGAACAAGCAAAGGAGATGACGGCAGTGATGGCCGCGAATCCAATGGTGCAGACGCCGTGGCCAGTGATAGTGTTCCACCACTTGGCGCCGACGAGGCAGTGCAGACCCATGATAAAGGTGTTGTTCAGGATGAACATGACTGCGGTCGCGTAAAAGGCCCACTTCTTGTTCCAAAAGATCATTTGACCAAGATCGCAGACATCGCGAACCTCGGGATGGCGCATACAGAATTCCCTGCACTATGTTAGATTATGATCGCGTCCGACAATTATCGATATTACACACCAAGTGATGAGAGAAGTGTAGAGCACCAGGGAGGCAATGACGACGGTGAGGATCAGACCTGGCACCAGGCCGAGAATGGAGTACGACCATGGGAAGGACATGATGGCCAAGCAGATGTACTCGGAGAACAGCAGAGCGGCCGTTTTCTGCCACGAGCAAGTACGATACTTGATGGCATTTCCAGCCTCGAGTTCCATCTGCTTGCCGACGGTGATGCTCGCATCGCTTGAGTCGTCTATGTCGCGACGGCTAGGAGACTCGATCCTGCCGAGTTCCGGATCTTTTTTCTCATTGTTGCTGCTGTTGCTGTCGCTACGAGCATCAGCGCCCTTGTTGCCGAAAATACCTATCGCCATTTTACACAGCGGATGCACTTCTTATAAGGAGTGTAAGAGAGACGACGGCGGGAGGATGTTTCCAGGAGCATTAACCACTTGACGTTGATCAATGACCCAAAGGGGAAGATGGGGTGAGGACAGCTGAAACTGCCTGTGGAAAGATGGTTGAAGAGTTCGCAAGATCGGTTAAGTTGCGACCAGCCGGAGCATGGAAATGTTAAATAGGCAGTGGAGGCAAGCTTAGCGATAGAGGGCGCGGGTGGAGAAGCGGACTGCTACAGTAGGGTTCGCTAGAGGCGCAACCTGACGTTGAGCTAGGCGCTAGTGAGAATCCTGCGGGGTGAAGGACTGCATGTCGGTCAAGGGCAGGCAACGGGTGGAGAACAACCGCACTGGCTCTTCCCTGGCGGTCGCGCCTCCCGAGTCGACAACGGCCTATCACCATAACTTTGAGGCGCGCTCCCACGGGTTTGCGCCCGCGCTATGACCGCTGCATTCTCTTTCACCGCGGCCGCACATCCGCAGGGCGTTCGAGTTTTCCCAGTCTCGCTCGGCTGACGCACACAATTGCCATCATCCCCTGGGTCAGACTATCTCCCGGTGACGAAGTGGGCACTGTTGAAATCCGCTTATCGGACCCAACTGCGGCGCATAACCAGCCCGTCTACTCGGGATCCATGTGGCAGAGGGCCTGAGTAACATATGTCCGCACGTGGAGTCTTAGCATTCCAGCGCCGACGCGGTCCCACCGCTAGAGTATACGCAAACAGCCCTGGAGCCGTCGAAATCGGCCATCGATAGAGATCAAACACATATATCTTTCTTCCTTCCACACTCTTCCCAGCCTGCAAAAAGTGCCTGCAAAGTGCCCACCACCGACGTGCGATCGGCCACCGCGCCATGACGTCGCCCCAAGATATTAGGCGCAGTAAGCATCCCGCCAAGGCGACCCAGAAGCGGACAAGCTCAGCGTGCCAACCAAGGAACTGCGCAATCTCGACGTTGAAGCACGACATGCAAGCCTTGCCAACGTTACTGCCTTTTTGCTTGTCCCGACCAAGTGCCCCAGATCGCTGCAGCCGGGTCCCACCACCACGAACGTTTGCCCACCAACGGCCGCGGTGGCTCCGACATGCGTTCTGGCTGGCTTCATGATGTGAGGATGCAGCGTAGATCTGTTGGATGCAAGGTACTCGGAGTGGAGTCTGCCGGGTTTTGGTGATGGTGAGAACCACACGGCGTTCTGCACGGCTGATCCCAGTACATGCTGTTGGTTCAATGTATGGCGAGGGAGAAACCTCAGGCTGCGTTACGCGTCACGCGCTGTGTTGTTGTAACGGTGTTGCAACCTGGGCTTGCAGATAGCTCGCATGTGCAACATTAACCGGGCGGTCGGCTGCGAGATGAATTGTCTGCCGCATTGCGTGATGCATGTGGATGTCTCGATTCGACTTACTTTCAGCCTTCATGAAATGTACAAATATCATCGTCTATTGATGATTGAGTCGAATAACCCTGATCTACGTCTTCCAAACGCCCGCTAAATTCACATATATGCCATGACAAGCACTCAAATCAAGCTGTCACTTCCGTTCCACGGAGTCTGCTGCTGTGGCTGTTGCTTCTGTTGCTGCTGTCCCTGTGTCTGTGCCCGCAACGCCGACATGCTGTTCATATTCAATCCACTCCCACTACTAGTTGTCCGGCTGCCCATACCTGCACTCGGTGGCGGTGCTATGCTAAACGAATTGCTGTTCGCAGGCTTAGGGGGCGGAATGCTAAAGGATGAGTACAGATTGCTCTGGCTCGGTTGAGACGACGGCGGTGCTATCGAGAAGTTGGAGAGGCTGCTTGTCATGTTTGAGGTAGAGGATGATGCACCCCACGGATTCGACGATAACGTGCTTGAACTGGACGCCTTACTCCAGTCGATGCCGCCACTCGTATTTTGGCTACTGTACGACGGCGTGGTGGTAGGAGCAATCGCACTGTTCATGCTCATTGTCGGTCGTGCCTGTTGTGATGGTGCAGCAAACGAGGGACTGCCAATGCCTGGGTTGCTGGGTGCCATCGCTGGGAACGATGTGTTCAGACCACCGAATGTGCTGTCCGGACTTACAGCTCGAGTCTGTGCTTTTGGCGCGTTCAAGGACATGTTGTTTTGCGGGGGCGGGGATACAGGTGGTGTAGACCACGAAAACGTCGCCGCTGGAGACGCATTGTTGGACGACCGCGAACGGTTTGCGGATGCGTGAGATGGAAGAATAGTAGAAGACGACGCAGACGCAGATCCGTTGCCCCATGGGTCGCCACCAAGCATATCTGTACCACCAGAAGAGCCCTGTGGGCCACCACGTACAAGCGCTGCAAAGTCAGCTTCGCCGCCTCCATCAGCGGTATCGAGACCATTTGTCGTGCTTGGGCCTCCAAAGCTCATGAACTCGTTGCGCGTGGTCACAGTGGCATTGTTAGCGCCCAGCTCCTGGAGTTTACGTGTTTGTTCATTCTCAACACGCGCTGACATCGATTTGATCAGTGTCATGTAAGCCTGGAACTGCGGGAGGTTTAACAGCGGGCCTAAGCTGAATTGCCAGATTATAGGAAGGACATCCATAGCAAGAAAGTCGCTGTCGACCTGGTGGCTGATAGCTTTGAAGACATCAAGAGCAGCCATCTGGACAAAGGGTTAGTGATATGCGGCGACACGAAGTTATCTTACTGGACACATACCATGACAGCCGGTTCCTTAGTCTTGATGCCTCGAAGTAACGGTGTGACCTTTTCCTGGATCGTGTATTTGTCCAATATCGACACATTCGAACTCTTCGCTTTGGGTGCTTCTACCATGCCAGTCAACCCATCTCCCTGGTAGTCGCTCTGTTCGTCTATGCCGCCACCACAAAGACTTCTCAGAGCCTCCAACCCCCGTATCTTGATGCCCATGCTGCTGGTTTTTGCGAAAATAGTGGCAATGACTGGGAAAAGTTCGTTCTTGATCGTCGAGAAATCGAGTTTTGGAAGGACCACGGGCAATGTACGCAATGCAGCGTCGACTAGGGAATGCGTTGGTGACTCAAGCGCATAGTTGATTATCGGTAGAATGTCGTCCTTGAATTCTTTTCCGCTACTGTTCTCTGCAGCAATTTGCATGTTTTCGAGCAACACCATCAGGCCTGCCTCCTTCAAGCTGTCGCGTTCTTGTGCTGCTCCCTTAGCGCTTGGTGCCGCGTTCGACAAAAACGTTTCACGAAGTTTAGGTATGACCTTTTCGGTAAATGCACGTTTACCCGTTGGTAACATGGTAACGATTTTGAAGACATTTTGAAGAATCAGAGTGAGCAGTTCGCGGTCCTTCATCTCTTCAAGCAACGCAGGAAGTATCTTCTTCTCCATCACAGACTTTGGGAACTGGCTGAGAATGCGTGGTAACCCACGCAGGAACTGTGACTTCTCGTTGGGGGTTTTCGCGGGCAGCGAATCTAAGAAACGAATCGTAGAGACTAGTATATTGTCGAAATATTGCGCTTGCTGGAACTCTCGTGCATCCAGTCGTTGCGCCGGACGTCTTGTGATTAAGCGATCGAGGACGCCATTGGCAACGTCCCTGGGGAGTGGCTGTGATGACATGAAGTTATTTGCCTTGCTTGGCACCGATGAAGATGACGCGAATGCCCTCTTATACGAAGATGTGCTTCCGTTGAAATCCAGCGGACTTTTGTGAGGCGAGTTGTACAATGCGATAATCAGCATTCCCAGGCTGTGTAACTGGTGAGTCGCGTGTGGGGTATGGGGTGTGGGTTGGAGCTTACGAGAACATGTCTGCTGCCGGTGTGACATTGCCATCCATGACAAAGTCAGGCGAGGTATAATCAATGTTCAGTTGTACGTGTCGCGGCAATCGCGCATCATGGTTGAGCGCTTCTGAAAGAGATATCGGGACTACGGACGTGGGCTTCGTGGAGTTTTCGGGAGGTGTTGAGAAACCGAGACCTGAGATCTTCCAGTCAGACTATGACGATGGTCAGCGACGAACAGCATGTGCGAGTGATATCGTTCTGCGTACTTTCGCATTGATGAAGATAGCTTCTGGCGTTATATTGGCGTGGACCAGGCCAGCACTCTCGTGCAAGAACTCCAAGCCTTTTGCGATTTGCAGTAGTCCTTTTTGAATCTCGAGCTCGTCAATCTCGAGTTCCCGCCTTCGTTTCTGCCCGTCTGCCTCTTCTATGACATAGCGACTCCGGCGGCCACCAACGCCACCAGCCTTCTCTTGCTCATCCTTTTCCTGTAGCAGTCCGGCAAGGGATGCAGTGACAGGCTCCGTTGCGAATTGAAGCCCACCGCCGCGAGTCTCCTCCACGGGCTCTACAAGCTCTAGCACGCTGGGGTGTCGCAAGCGGGCCAGAGAGCTTCCTTCCTTCTTGAGCCTCTCGACAACCTCCTCGTGTGCTCGCTTGAGGCCGGAGGCAGCAGACCGCCCGCCGAAGCCAGCTCCGGCCGGGGGCTCTAGCGACTTCTTGTCAAAGACGAAGACGGACGCCGCTTTGCCTGTTGATTTCTTCTTCGCATCGTATATTTTCCATGGCCCAGAGAACGAGGTGGGCTGTGGACTGATGGTGTAGTTACTCGAGATGTTGGATGTGAACGACTTCAGCGCATTGGAGAACATGGTGGTCCTGTCGCCCGCACGGCGAATCCTTCGCAGTCTAGCAAGCGCGTCATGGAACGGGAGGTGAGTTGTAGAGGTCTCGTGTTGTGGACAGATGTCTCGATCTCGCGAGCTGGAACTGCGCCTAGTTATTTAGCGCATTGCTGGTGATGTGGCCAAAGTTCAGCGATGGTATGCGACTGGAGTTACTGCATATGTCGATGAGGAGCACGTCGAAAGTCGTTTGTCGGGGCGCCAATCGTAGTAAAGGCCCCACGCGAGCTGTGAAGCAAGCCAGGGTCTCTTAGCCCGATGCTTCAGAAGTTCACGTTGGGCTGTGCATGACATAAGCCTTCACACGCATGCACCTCCCCATTTCGCAGCCTAGTAAGGGAGGGCAGTATGAGATGAGCATTGACGACGTGAATAGCCATCAGTATCCGGTTGAGCTGACAAGATGCTGTCCAAGACACGAGCGCGCCCTACGGAGGTCTTTGCGGCGGTGCGGTCCATTCCCGATGACTGTATATACACAGAGCTAAGGGTCAGCTTCGGCCGTTCTCCAAATAATAGTTCGCGTGCACCATATCCACCATCGCTCCAGTGCTTCTTCCTCACAACACCACCCATTGTTCCTCGATAGATATCCCGACACAATGCTACAACAGCGGTCAATGCGAATGCTTTCTTCGCTATCGCATTGCGCTCCCCGTCGAGCTGCTGCACCTATCAGCGCATCGCTGCGATGTCGGAGGGCATACAGCATCCACGCTGATGCCTCAGTTGGCACCACGATACAGGACATTGATCCTACGAAGCTTACTATCACGAAGACAAGTACACCGAAGGACCTGTTGCCTCCGGAAGAGCTAGTCTTTGGCCGCAACTTTTCGGGTGAGAGCTTCAATGCGTTCGAGTACAATTTCACCGCTGACTGTAAGTAAGATCATATGCTCTCGCTCGAATGGACAGCTTCTCAAGGATGGCTGGCCCCGCGCATTACACCCTACCAGAATCTCAGCCTCGATCCTGCGACATGTGTGTTCCATTATGCGTTTGAGTGCTTCGAAGGCATGAAGGCGTATAAAGACAAGGACGGCAACATTAGGTTATTCCGACCAGACAGGAATATGGCCAGGCTGAACAAATCGTCGACACGGATTGCACTGCCCTCGTTCGACGCAGATGCCATGATCGACCTCATTGGCCAATTTGTCAAGACTGACAAGCGCTTCATCCCCGAGTGAGTGTGTTTTGGGGCTTGGGATAATCACCACTGATGCATCTCAGCGCACGCGGATACTCGCTCTACCTTCGCCCGACCATGATCGGTACTCAGCGCACATTGGGAGTTGGTCCTCCCGCTTCGGCACTCCTCTACGTGATCGCGTCGCCTGTTGGCCCATACTATCCCACCGGTTTCAAGGCAGTTTCGCTAGAGGCTACCGACTACGCTGTGCGCGCCTGGCCAGGAGGCGTCGGAGACAAGAAGCTTGGAGCAAACTACGCGCCCTGCATTGTACCGCAGATGCAGGCAGCCAGTCGAGGGTTCCACCAGAACCTGTGGCTGTTTGGCGAGGAGGAGTATGTGACAGAGGTTGGCACTATGAATCTGTTTGCCGCTATCAAGAACAAGGAGACGGGTCAGCCTGAGCTGCTTACCGCACCGCTTGATGGCACCATTCTTGAAGGTGTCACACGCGACTCAATACTAGGGCCTCGCACGCGAGCGACTGGTGCCAAAGGGTTGGAACGTGGAAGAACGCAAGTTTACCATGAAGGAGATATCGGATGCCGCCGATGAGGGCCGTATGATGGAAATCTTTGGCGCAGGTACTGCTGCCATCGTCAGCCCTGTGCGCAAGATCAGCTGGAAGGGACGTCTCGTCGACTGCGGACTCGAGGACCATGTCGAAGCTGGTCCCATTGCGCTGCAGATGAAGGACTGGATGGAAGCTATCCAGTATGGCGACGAGGACCATCCATGGAGGTAAGCTTTGACGCGCCCACCTGACTTGACAGCTGCTGACTCATAACAGTTACAAGGTGGTGTAGATGGAGGATGCGGAATAGACGTCGATTACAGATGTGTCACGCACACTGGCGTGCATGGTTGTGGCGTTCGTCCAGATTGCGTAGGGATGGCAAGGAGCCAAACATGTATCGTGCAAGAAACGAAACAAGTGCAACACGTGCATCCGGATGTGGCTACTCACACGTGCACGTATATGTAATGTCTGTCAGCTGCTTTCGCGTAGATGGCAGCGTCGATCGTGGGGCGCGGGCGGTTTGGCGTGCGCACTAGGCGACAGCTACCCCCGGCATTGCTTGGCATCGGTAGGGCTGCATACCAGCCACATCCCACACAGCTCCACACAGCTCCACACGATAGCTTTCTCCCGCCGCACCACGACAACAACGCGGCCAACTGACCGCCTGGCGCTGCACACTCGCCACTCAATATTTCCAGCACCGCGCATTGCTGCCACCGTCACCATGCTGACCCACAGCGCCCTCGCCCGCCTGGCTGCCGCCAACACATCGGCGCGCAACCTCCCCCAGCTCGCCCGCTTCCTCCACCGCACCCTCCTCGCCCGCAATGCCTCCGACCTGCCAGCTGCGCGTGCCCTGACACGTGCCCTCAACTCGGCGATTGAGGCGCGTCGATGCTACGCTACCACGACGAGCGCAACGACACCCACGGCGACTGTGAAGAAGGCAGTCAAGGCCCAGGCAGTCAAAAAACCCGCTCCTCGCAAGACTGCAGCTACGAAGAAAACAAGGGCAGCTGCAAAGAAACCAGCAGCGGCCAAGTCCAAGCCGAAGAAGAAGGCTGCTCCCAAGAAAAAAGTAGTCGTGAAGAAGCGCGTGAAGAAGGTGCTCACGCCCGAAGAGCAGCGGAAGGCGAAGATTGCTGAGCTGCGCAAGCGGGCGCTCAAAGAACCCGTGGGCCACGGGGTCGTATCATCATACGCCGTGTTCGTCAGTGAACACGCCAAGGGCAGCAAGGGCGGCAAGGATCTCGCTGCAACTTCAAAGGAGACTGCAGCCAAATACAAGGAACTTACGCCTGCGGAGCGTGAGGTGAGTCAATGTCTAGTGACAGGAGCTCCGTGAACAACTTGTCTGACCGATGCACAGCACTACAACCACTTGGCTGCCGAACGGACAGCAGCAAGACGTGCCGAGTACAAGGCCTGGATCCAGTCTCATACGCCCGCACAGATTCAGGATGCCAATAAAGCGCGCTCCGCTTTGCGGCGACTTAAAGCTTCGGCCCGCTCAACTAAGCTCGTCGACGACCGTCAAGTCAAGCAACCTCCGGGCGCTTATATCCATTTCTTCACTGAAAGAAAATCCACCCCTGACTTCAGAGGCATTTCTGTTCAAGAGTCTGCCAAACTGATCGGCGCCGAGTGGAAAGCATTGAATGCTGGCGAGAAGAAGGTTAGCTCACAATTACTCGGCAAAATAACCGCGCTTACAACCTCGTAGAAGTATGAAGACCAAGCCGCAGCAAGCAAGGTAGAGTATCAGCGTCAGGTGGCCGCTGCCGCCTGAAAGACAGACGTTATAGATCGGAAGGTGACACTTTTGGGTCAGTAAACAAATCAGTGCGGACGAGATGCCGTATGCAGGCCACATACTGGTGTTACCGTCACTAACGCAGATCGACGTGCGTAATACGATCAACTTCAGCCTTGCGTATTGGGTTCTTGCGGTAAGCATGATCACTTGTTTGGTTTAATCTTCTAAGGGCGGGCTACCGTCTTGCCGACTCGTGTATCATTTGTGTAAAGTATACAAATACAAGTATGTACGCAATCCTTTGCTAGTCTTGCAATCACTGCTTTAAGGTCCAGCGTTGTGCTTCGTTCGATATGCACCCAAAACAGCTAGCGTTGTTCTTATCTCTCCACATGCATGTCCCCAAACCCCAGCACTCTCGACCCTCCACGGCAGCCTTCCAAGCCAACCGTCGGTCCCCTTTTCCGCGGTAGATAAGCGTGCAGTGCGGAGATGGTCAGGCGCGTCACCTGTCAAACCACTGCTAGGGTTTGCGCCTTTAACCTCGCAGTGGCCGCGTTGTGGTGAACTCGCACACTCTTCGCGCTGCGCGATTGCAAGATGGCTTCGGACCATGAACGCACGCCTTTGCTCCAGCCAAGCAGATTGTCTCAGCTGCAGCATGAACAGGACGAGGAGGCGCAGTCGACTATTTCGTCTGCGGTGAGCAAGGAGGAACAAGAATTGGCTGGGAGTACGGTTGGAGAGAGACTGCCGTATAACGATTATACTACTATTGACTGGCTGCATGATTTGGTATATCTTCTTCGCGATTCACCATTCTGTGTGATCGAGGAATTGTGAATTAACAGGACATAGGTCAAGGACTCGTACCGCTTTCGATATATTCAATCCCGGCGAGGTCTTCGCTACAGAGCACTCGCCCTCTTCGACGCGGCGTCTGGCTGGATTGCTGTCGTTTTAATTGGTGGAATGACGGCATGCGTTGCTTTCGTCGTCGATATCGCTGTTGCTACGGTATCAGATTGGAAGCAAGGCTGCTGTAAACGCAACCCATTCCTAAACATCGAACGCTGCTGTGCAGGCAAGGTCGCGGCGGAACTCGGAAATGGGTACTGTGATGAATGGCACGTATGGAGTTCATACTACAACAAGAGCTTCGCAGTCTATGTCGCCCTCGCACTCATCTTCGGAATCATATCCTCCAGCGCTACAATGACAACCCGGAGCGAACTCCCTTCTGCACCAACTCCGAGCAAAGAAGAATCACTGCCGCAGATCAAAGTCAACGGCCTGGCAGACGACACACCCCCTTCAACTCCAACGAAACGAGAGCGTGGGAAGGTCATGTACATGGCCTCTGGCAGCGGCATCCCCGAAATCAAAACCATCCTTTCCGGCTTCAACATCCCGTCCTTCCTCTCCTTCAAAGTCCTCTTCATCAAGGCCTTTGGCGCCATCTTCGCCGTTTCGACGGGCATGTGTCTCGGCAAAGAAGGCCCCTTTGTGCACATCTCGACATGCGTCGGATACCTAGTTGGCATGCTGTTCCCCAAATACCGCACTAACGGCCGGAAAATGCGCGAACTACTCAGCGCCGCATGCTCCAGTGGTCTATCCGTAGCCTTTGGCGCGCCCATCGGCGGCGTCCTCTTTAGCTACGAGGAAATCAGCACATACTTCCCGCGTAAAGTGCTTTGGCGCGCGTTCCTATGCTCGCTCGTGGCCGCCATGGTGCTGAAGGAACTCAACCCAACAGGCACGGGCAAACTCGTGCTCTTCGAGACAAACTACGGCACAGAATACAAACCAATCCACTACCTCGTCTTCATCCTGCTCGGAATCGCAGGCGGCATCTTCGGCGGCGTGTTCTGCAAATTAAACTTCATCTGGGGCAAATGGTTCCGCGCCTTCCCTATCATCAAGAAGAATCCCGTCCTTGAAGTCGCCCTCGTAACGCTGCTCACCGCGCTGATTCAATTCCCCAACCCTTTAACCCACGAGCCGGGAGACGTCACTATCAAGAACCTGCTTATAGATTGCTCACAACCCTCTTCCCGCCCCTCGTACATATGCCACCAAGAGAGCCTCACCACCACGCCAAACTGGCCATACATCACCTCCCTCCTAACCGGCACCCTCTCCAAACTCCTCCTCACAATCCTCACCTTCGGCATCAAAGTCCCCAGCGGCGTCATAATCCCCGCCCTGTCCGCCGGCGCCCTCTTCGGCCGTCTCGTCGCGCAATTCCTGCCCTCCTCCAGCAGTGCCAGCCCGGGCATCTTCGCCATGGTCGGCAGCGCCGCCTTCCTCGCCGGCATCAGTCGCATGAGCATATCGCTCGCCGTCATCATGTTCGAACTCACCGGCCAGCTGTCTTACGTCGTGCCACACATGCTCGCCATCTTGGTTGCGAAATGGGTCGCGGACACGATTAGTGCAGAGGGCGTGTACGACCTCGCGCAAACCGTGCTGGGCCACCCGTTTCTCGACGCCGATGTCGCGCTGCAAATCGCTAGAAGGAAGAAGTTGAACACGAGTGTGTTGGTCCCGCCGAAGCGCACGATGGCCGAGATTACTGTGGAGGTGCCCGCGTGCAATAAAGTCCCCTACGAGGTGCTGAAGCAGAAACTCGAGCAGTTGCATGACAGGGGATTGATGGATGCGGGATTGGTGCTGGTGCAGACTCATCCGCACAATACGGTGCCCATCTTGCAGGGCTATATTGCGCAGACGGAGTTGGAGTTTGGGCTTACGAAACTTATTCCGAGCTCGTTTCCAGCTGATTTACAGGTTAGGGTGCTGGGACATGCGATTGACGATGAGGCAGCGCCTGAAAGTCTGGAGGTAGATTTGACACCCTTCGTGGATCGTACGCCGTTGAGTATTTGTGCGAAAGCGCCATTGGAATATGCGGTTGAAATGTTTTCGAAGCTGGGACTGCGGTATCTTTGCATCACTGAGGAAGGAACGGGGAGGCTGGTGGGAGTGGTCATCAAGAAAAGACTGGTTGGATACCTTGAGCATCTCAGAGAGCATGGCGAAGATGAGTAGTCACTGTTAGTGGTAAGCATGTCTTCACCAGAGCATTGATCGTGGACATTGGTTGGGGAATATTATCAAATCTTTGCATTAACAAGAGTTGCTTTACGCTCGAAGGTACGCCTACTGCTTGTATGATAGCGCTTTATAGCAGCAACAATTGCCTCTGCCATACTCGCTTGCCATCAACACAGTCATATTCATAGCCAATTGCCAACAACCAAGCACAGCGTGGTATTATGGGATCAACAGCCAGTTTACTCCTCAGCCTCGAGAGGAGCCTCCTCGTCGTACTCCTCCTCGCCCTCGGAGATGGAGGCCTCCTGGTACTGCTGGTATTCGGACACCAAGTCGTTCATGTTGGACTCAGCCTCAGTGAACTCCATCTCGTCCATACCCTCACCAGTGTACCAATGCAAGAAAGCCTTGCGCCTGAACATGGCAGTGAACTGGTCACCGATACGCTTGAAGAGCTCCTGGATGGAGGTGGAGTTACCGACGAAGGTGGCGGACATCTTGAGACCACGCGGGGGCACGGAGCAGAGAGCGGTCTGGACGTTGTTGGGGATCCACTCAACGAAGTAGGACGAGTTCTTGTTCTGGACGTTGCGCATCTGGTCTTCGACCTCCTTCATGGAGACCTTTCCGCGGAAGTAAGCGGAGCAGGTCAGGTAGCGACCGTTGCGGAAGTCAGAGGCAGCCATCATGTTCTTGGGGTCGAACATCTGCTGGGTGAGCTCATGGACGGTGACAGCACGGAAAGGAGTGCGCGCCACGGCTGGTCAGAGGGGCGAAACCGACCCATGAAGAAGTGGAGACGGGGGAAAGGGCACCATGTTGACGGCCCAACTTCCATCAGGTCAAGAGTTGAGCTGACCCGGGGAAACGCAGGCAGGGGGTGACACCCGACATGACGGCGTAAACCAGGTGGTTCAGGTCACCGTATGAGGGGTTGTTCAGCTTGAGGGTCCTCATGCAAATGTCGTAGAGAGCCTCGTTGTCGATACAGAAGGTCTCGTCAGAGTTCTCGACCAGCTGGTGGATGGAGAGGGTGGCGTTGTAGGGCTCGACAACGGTGTCGGAGACCTTGGGGGAAGGCACAACGGAGAAGGTGGCCATCATGCGGTCGGGGAACTCCTCGCGGATCTTGGAGATCAAAAGCGTACCCATACCGGCACCAGTACCGCCACCGAGAGAGTGGGTGATCTGGAAACCCTGGAGGCAGTCGCAGCCCTCGGCCTCACGGCGGACGACGTCGAGGACCTGGTCGACCAGCTCGGCACCCTCAGTATAATGACCCTTTGCCCAGTTGTTACCGGCACCAGACTGGCCGAAGACGAAGTTGTCGGGACGGAAGAGCTGTCCGAAGGGGCCAGCGCGGACGGCATCCATCGTACCGGGCTCGAGATCGACGAGGACGGCACGGGGCACGAACTTGTTGCCGGAAGCCTGTCTGCTGTCAGTATGCGCGCGTGCTGCAAATTCGACCACGGGTCCGCACCTCGTTGAAGTAGACGTTCATGCGCTCGAGCTGGAGATCCGAAGTGCCATTGTAGACACCGGAGCCGTCGAGGCCGTGCTCGCCGGAGATGGTCTGCCAGAAGGCGGCACCAATTTGGTTACCCTGCGAGCTGTTAGATTTTCCGTCTCAATGAGCGGCGGAGAGGCGGGCTTACGCATTGACCGGTCTGAAGGTGGACCTATTGCTCGCGAGTGCTGTTAGCAGTTGTTCCTGGTGTTTTGTTGACCCTGAAAACGCGGGGTTGACGCGCGCTGCAGAAATCCTGCGAAGGGGTGTCAATACGTACGATCTCACGCATGTTGGCGGTTGTGGGTGTGTAAAGGTGTTGAGTGGACTGAAGATGGGACGTTTCGCTGGGTTGAGGCTGGTGGTGGTCGCTGGTGTCGAGGAAGAAGATGGAGGAGCGACAAGTCGGTGAGAACGCTTGAGTGGGTCCACTAGCGGCATCCACACTAGTAAATAACAGGCGCGTCCGGGCGGCAACAGGCAGCTACAAATGCACCCCCGCATAATTATCCCTCATGAACACTTGGTGGACTGTGTGGTCTTATGCATTCTCCGTACTTTAGTATCGTCACTACTTGTCATGCCGTGATTTGGTGAAGCTGTCCTATAACCGCATGTGAGGCGCGCCTTCCGTCCCAAAATTAAGCGAGGGGTTCCGAGGCTCGATGTTTACTTCCACTAGTCGTGCCATTGCATCTGTATATAATGCAGCACCGCGAAGCTACCACATGGAACTTATAGTTCCTTCCTTCCTTTTGCTTGATCTCTCGCCGCTGAAGAGCCCTTCCCTTTGATCTCCGGTACAGTCCAAAAGTTTGGCCAATCGAGCTCATACTCATTCTGCTTGTAATTGAGATGATGCCTGAGCCAGATACCCCATACAATATAATAGTATGCTCCAGTACCCGTCATAAGATGCCTGAAGAAAGTTAGCCAGATGTTTGATTAGCTAGATCGATGAACTCACCACCAGCCATGCCCTTCAAGCACAAACCCCCACGGCATACCAATCTCCCTCCGCCATTTGATAAGCTTTGAGCAGTACTCATTGTCGAGATGCCAGATTGCGAAACCGCCCAGGAAGATGCTCAGCCCGAAAGTAATCATCTGCCACATGACTCGAAGCGTTACCAAATCACGCTGATCCTCGCGAGCCTTGACAGCTGCTACTCCACCGTGAGGCCTGGGGTTCGCTGCTTCGCGTTCCTTGGACCGGAATCTGGGCCGGATGTTGACTTCCATGACATAAATGGCGCGGAACAACACGACAGCCGTGAGGAGGGCATAGGCGTTCTGGTGGAAGCTAGGGTCCTGTAGATAGTGGTAGTAGACGGTAATACCGACTGCGATTGACACCAAAGCTATCGCTAAGGTTACTGAGTATCGCTTCGACTTTCCATACGAAAATGTTGCGTAATTCATCAGACATGTTGTGTAGATCATCGATAGCTCATCGACGAGTTGCATTGGGTCTGCAATTGTTAATTGTCTAAGACTTAAGATCTTCAATTGAACAACTTAACCTACATTTGAGTGTCGCATGGAACAGAAAGCTTCCAGTCCCGACAAGGAGATAGCCGATGAAAGCTACGAGGAAGACCGTGTCGTGGCCATATTTCAGACAACTTCGGATTCCCTTGGCAGCCAGGTACATGAACAGTAGATTTGTCAACGTGTTTATGATCTCTGCTGAGTACTGCGTAACAACGTAGTTCTACAACCATTAGCATTTTCCTCCAATAAAATATCATGCGGACTAACCTCTTCACACCAATCCAGAGTCGAAGTAACAGGCGACCATCTTCCATCCTGCTCAGGTGGATAAGGAATCGAGGGGAGCCTCGAAAAGAACGCAGCAGCCATGTTCGCCGAGAGAATTTGACAATCACAGTTTCCGACGTAGTGTAAGACAGACGCAGGCCCAGAAGTGCAAAAGAATTGGCGTGTACCCTTAGCCCGGCACGTTTCGGATCCCAGACTGATGAGTGAACCGTGAGCGAGGATTAGTACGTCATGCTTGAACGATAGGCTGTGGGGAGAAGAATGAGTAAAACAAACACCCGAAGAATGCCAAATATCGAGTAAAGTGATTGAAGTCGCCAAACACGTAGAAAATGTGAAGTGCCAACGCAAAGTCAACTGCGATTGTCATTCCTGTCGCAAAAGAAAGCAGCCAATCACACGTCACGCGCCCGCAGAACCGAGAAAGCTTGATGGACCCTGCAATTCACGCCGCCGCCGCCTTGAACCAGACGCTCCAACATCCCCCGAAACTCACAACTCAAGATGTCGATGAATAACGAGGCCTTGCAGAAGGTATACACTGTCCCTTTCTCAGCTTGGGAGTTGAAATTTAATCCCCACAGGTCTTCCAAGAAATCTCTCAAAAGAAAGCATTCGCCGAACAACAACTCGTCATCGTGCGCCAGCAAAAAGTCGCGCGCACGCGAGAAGGCCGCATGCTGCAATTAACTGCATCCGAAGTATCGTCACTACCGTCTGATACAAAGGTGTATGAGGGCGTTGGGAAAATGTAAGAAGGACCCGTGACACCTGCACCCCACCAAGATATCGTGATTGATGAGATGAGCAGGTTTGTGTGCACGCCGATTCCAGATGTGCAGAACAGGCTCAAGGCGGAGAGTGAGGCATTGACGAAGGAGATGGCCAATCTGGAGAAGAAGGAGGATTATTTGGAGAAGACGTATACAAATAGCAAGAATAGCTTGGAGCAGGTGTTGAAGGGGGCGAGCTGAGCGGTGGGGTTTGGAAAGCGGCAACAGCAGGAACAACGAAATGTGAAACTGATACTGGGAGAAGCTAGAAAGGCTTTCCCTGGGTATATCATGTGGACTCCTGGTGAAGATAGCGGGCTCTACCAGACGGCATGATACGTAGGAATACGCCAAACATTACAAACAAAAGCAGCATAGAATATGTACGTGTGTGAAAATGCACATTGAAGGCTTTTAGTCTTTGCTTGCTACAACACTCTATACGCGAATCACTTCATCCTCATCAACATGCCCTCCACACCCTCAACACATTTCCTAACCTCCTCGGCCGCTCTCGCGACGTACGCTCCATCAACAACTCTATGATCCGCACTCCAGCTAAACACACACTCCTCTTTCTTTACCAGCTCGCCATTCTCGTCAAATGCAGGCACAAGCCTAGCTTTGCCAATACCTACAATACCAACTTGAGGTCCCACAATGACTGGCGCCACGGCTGTACCGCCTATGCTGCCGATATTACTGACTGTGAAGGTCGCGCCTGTCAGGTCGGCAGAGGAAAGTTTGCCATTGCGTGCCAAGTTAGCCAGGCGTGTGATTTCCTGAGCCAGTGAGGCGATGCTATGGTTCTGGACGTTTTTGATGACAGGGACAAGAAGGCCAGAGGGGGAATCCACTGCAACACCAATGTTGTGGCTTCCTTTGAGCACGATCTGGGGTTTGTTGGGGTTGGAGGTGGTGTCCAGATGCGAATTGAGTAGCGGGAATTGTTGGAAGGTGAGGGAGATAGCCTTGATGATGACTGGCAGTGGTGTTATCCGGTCGGTCTTCTCGCGACCAGCATTATACTTCTTCCGCATGGAGGTGAGATTGCTGAAGTCTACAGAGTCTGTGTAGAGGAAGTGTGGTATTGAGAGGGACTTTGTCATCTGCTTGAACATGCCGGACTGGTTTGGTGTCAAAGGCTGGACGCGGTCTTCCATGAGTGGTTGAGGAACAGGTGTTGCAGCCGATAATGTCGCGCCAACTGTCTGCTTCGCTGCTGTCAGCATGCCGTTGTACATCTTCCTTCAGCACGCGGCCTTCCTTTCCTGTGCCTTCTATGTCTTCGATCTTCAGCTTATGTTCCTTGACCATGTGCCGTACAGCAGGTGTCGCAAGAGAAGCATGCTTTCCAAGTATACGCTCTGGTTTCGAATCGTCCTTTGTTGGATTGGGAGGCAGAGGCGATGTTTGTTCTGGCAGTGGTGTATCACCTATCGAGGCCTTTGTATCGTTTCTTTCTACTTCTAACGCCTGCTCTTGTGGGCTTGTTTGCTGAGCAGCGTCCTGCTTCGCTTCCTTCTCCGATGCGCCGTTGAGGAGTGCTTCGTCGGCTGCGGAGATCTCGCTTTGGATGTCGATGTCTACAAGAGGCTGTCAAAGTCAGTTCTTGTTCGATTTGTGGTGAAAACAGAATTCCTTACCTTTCCAACCTTGGCCATATCATCTGGCTCGTAGTACAGCTTCTTGATTACACCATCAAATCGCGATGTGATCTGGTTATGGCTTAGTACATGCCATTTCTATGAGATCATTGCCTGTATACCTCCACAGATGCCTTGTCGGACTGTACTTCGCATATCGGGTCAAATTGTTCGACGCGGGCGCCGGGCTTCACAAACCATTGGATAACTTGACATTCAGTGATACCTGACTACAGCATTAGCTTCCTGTATCATCCATGCGATTCTTGAAAGTATTTACCTTCTCCAATGTCCGCCAGTAAGTATGGCTTGACCACCAGCAGTCTTTGCGAGCCATGGAACGCTCGTCGTTGCCCTTGTATACATATGTTTGCTCGACGCGATACAGGCGTGTGTGTTTTGGTGACGTTGCTTTGGGATAGCAGCCTGGAGGCTTCTCTGCGCGCGAAAGATTTCATGGTGGATTGTACTTTTGGACGATTTTTGCTTGCAAGAGGAACATGATCAAGTAATGTGCCCGTCGTTATGGTTCCGCCTGTGTTGTGTTGTGCCGATGAAACCCGGCCTCGGCTCACCCGCTGATGTTTAGCGTCATCTGGGGAAGCGCTAAGCGATTCCGAGCAAAGCAGAAAGACGGCTTAAGCTCGCTCCTTCTTTTTCCATCTCGTTTGTGATATGCCCTGACTCTTGACACTGCGAGCTTTCATGTACATCTTGTCACCGCTCGGCTTTACTTCGCCCAGACAAAGCCAAGCAATGTAGTATTTTTCGCCATGCAATCCTTTCTCGCCCACGATTTTATTTACGGACAGACACACTGCTCTTTCATACACGTACTGTGTGTCATCAGCTACAAGAACAGGCGGAGAGGGTCTTGCTATCACATACGAGGCCCGGCTCTGTTATATACTGATCCGTTTCGAACAACAACAACATGTTCCCGTCAGCCGAAGTCAATTTACTCCGAATGTGAGAATATATGTTGTTCGAACGATGGTTGATCTCACCCTTCGCTCTGAAAGCTTTGGAGTGCCGTCTCTTGCAAAACACTGGTACAATCTCCACGGACTGGTTCCTCTGCTGAGTGACGGAGATTGATCTTGGACGTATCTTAGTATCAGACCACAAATGCTAAAGTTCCACACCTGGGCTGGGTATGGTGCATGCACTCGCAGAAAGAGACTAGGGAGCACTTTCAAATCTAGGACATGGTTCTGTCAGAGGGATGGCGGTAGTGCGGGCGAAAGCTGTCCATGCCACGGTGGGACGAAGCATTGCTGCATGGATTAGGCAAACATGCTGACTATCGAAAGAACGCGAGGCAAGAGATGGATGGAAATGGAAGTAAGGCTAGCTAAGAGCAATTTTCTGACCATGCATCACGAATAGTTAACCACCAGTGATAATTTGACGTCCCCGGGGATCTCTGCTTTGTGAGCCGTTCTCGAGCAATCTCTCAACAACTATCTGGAGCGCGAACTACCGATTCTCTCGTCTACAAAAGCGTGTCATCTACATACCAAGACATCTGAATACGAAAATCAATGAACACCTACCTTGATGTGGGTTATTTAGATTACCGAAATTGAGATGTGCAAGTACGCGCCAGGGTCTTACCATGCAGGCGGAATAACCGTACGCGCGAACGCAAGTAATCTTCATATACGTTCCCTCAATATACCCGGACAACCGGTCGAACTCCGATGCCAATCAGCAGGAACCGCAGAAAGAGTACATATCTCATCAATGTTGATGAGATGGCTTCGGTATTAGGCCCCTCATCTCATCAGTGCAGTAGCTCAGGAGGTCAGAGATCTGGGTAGAAAAAGCACAACCCTGCCCTTACATTGACGAAAGTGTAGCGCATCGAATTCATCAGCTAACATCAGCCAAACCACAGTTGGCAGCCTTTGAACAATTTTCAGCATGCTCGTCTCGACTTCAGTCCTCCTGTCACTGGTGGTATCTGTCCTAGCCCGACCCCAAGATGGGGCACCAGCAGCTGCAGCCGGGTCCAAAAAGAATGTCTATCTCTCGAGCTGCACCTCTCGTAGTCTCCTCGACAGTATGTGTCATTCTACCAAACGTTCCAAGCCGAAAGCTAACCCCCGCAGCTGACACGGCCTCCGCCGCGGTATACTACGACGGTCCCGCCAGCTCTCGCACATCGCCCAAGGACATTGGCGTAGTGTCTGAGCCCGCACGGAAATGGGAAGGTGTCTCAAGAAGAACTACCTTGGATGGTGGGAGGTTTACGAGCAGCATTGCGGCTGGCGCTGAAAGTCTACCGAAGAGTCAGATAGCTGGCACTGCGACCCTAGGCACTGAATCCTTCGTATGTTTTGTGGATGGATCATCGACATTCAGGTTCAGAGAAGGCCTCCTTGGTCTGCGCGAAACAAACTGCAAGGCAGATTATTGGTGTGCTAGTACCAACGTCGGTCAATAGGTTGCCACTGGGTATGGATTCCGAGAGACGATTTGGTCGGTTCTTGTATTCAATACATTGAGGCTCATGGGACGATGTTTTGTGATTTGTAACCTTCCAAAGTAATGCAAAATATACAAATACATTGCGTAGCAGATACGGATATGTTTTCGATGTTCAAGGCTTTAGCAAAGTGCAGCTGGCCACTCCGTCAGCTTTTAAGAGAGACAAAGTCGTAGACCAGACGGTCCGAGCCCAATGAAATTTATAGCTCTCAATGTTACAGTGGACATCCTGTCAGCATTTCGTAGTCGACGACTTCCAAGGGTCACCCATGGATTGAAAGACACGCTAGTGACTTTGGCCCGGATAAACCTGCAGCCGCGACCCCGCGCATGCATGGATCCTAGGACGCTGCAGCCCACCTTCCGCGCGCAATTCACTCCACTGTCGCGTCCCGCAGCACCCTGACACGATTCCGCGATCAGCAACGTAGCTGCTCTCTTTGCCCCGACCACAACGCTGTACATACACCGGTAAAGCTCTACGTAGAGCAGGCGCGACATGGACGACTTCAATAGCGAGACGGACAGCGACTACACGAGCTACTGGAGGGATTGGGTAGGTACTTCACTTTCGTACCTACGTATACACTAGAGCGCCACTCGCTGTCGCTGGGCTTCTACCATGGCCGTCATCTCGCATCCATACTATGGCAATGTCTTCGTTGCATGGTATGTCTGGCCCAGCCGCTACACGTGCGCGGCTCTGACGCTTGGGCAGCAAGAGTTGTGCATTCGAGGGATACATTGCTTCTGTTTTATGCCGCGATCATGACCTAGCTAGCCCAAAACAGCGGTATCTCGTCATACCGTGGATGCCCGCGACGATTCTCATGGCTGAGCATTGGCCTCCCGACTACGAGCACTGCCTGTCGCCTGTACATGGGCGTGACCACAAGCTTCAAGGATGCAGCTAATTCGAGACCAGTTCATATCTTCGCGAGGGAATGAGTACTTCTGCGAGATTGACGAAGAATACCTCACCGATCGGTTCAACCTGACGGGGCTCAACACGGAGGTCCAGTACTACCAATACGCGCTTGACCTCGTGACGGATGTCTTCGACTTCGATTGCGACGATGAGATGCGGGAAGCGATAGAAAAGTCGGCGCGGCATCTGTATGGCCTGGTACATGCGAGATACATTGTTACTACTAGGGGTCTAGCAAAGATGGTACGTCTTGCCTCGATGCTCCGAGCCGTAGACAATACTAACATGACCTGCACCAGCTCGAGAAGTTCAAGAAATCAGACTTTGGCAAATGCCCCCGCGTCATGTGCGAATCACAACCGCTCCTCCCCATGGGTCAATCTGATGTCCCCAACTCGTCACCCGTCAAACTCTACTGCGCGCGCTGCGAAGATCTCTACAACCCAAAGTCGTCACGACATGCTATAATCGATGGCGCGTACTTTGGCACCTCGTTTCACAACATCCTGTTTCAGGTATACCCAGCGATGCTGCCGCCCAAGTCGCAGAGACGGTTCGAGCCCAGAGTCTTTGGATTCAAAGTACACGCAGCAGCAGCGCTAGCAAGATGGCAGAGCGAGCAGCGAGACGCCATGAAAGACCGACTGAGGGCAGTGAAGATGGAGACTGGATTTGAAGACGAGGACGAAGATCTGGAAGAAGACGAGGAGGACGAGGACATGGTCGAAGAGGGCGTCGAGGGCGCTGTTGTACAAGTATAAACAGGCTATTGGAACATGAGATACCACGATCAGAACATGCCGCAGTGGGGGCTAAGCATAGGCACGGCGTTGAGAGTATACCAGTCGTCAGCAATTCATCACGTTTATATCACTCCTTGGGTTTGCTTGCATGAACGTGTCGTGCTGGAAGCAGGCTGATGTGCGGGGTCAGCGGAACTGTCCAACAGCAAGCGTACACGACACGAAGCAGCTGTCCCATCCAGTCATACTCCAGCAGTGCCGTATCAGTTGATAACCACAACGAATCACAATTCACTGGGCACCAGGGGACAAAGTTGTTCGTCGCAACATTGTTCATAAAGAAGGGTATCTCTCTCATAACTACGTATACGCTCGCGAAAGAGACAAGCGGCAATGAACCAAATCCCATCCATCCATCCACTCTCTTTGAACAACACACTTTCATACACAGACCCCGTATTACAAGATCCGATACTAAATGCTTAAAGACTGAGGAGAATGTGTGCTGGTATCCAAAAAAACAAGCGGCTGAAGGAAGAAAACAAGAAACGCCGCGCAATGCAATGCATGCAAGAGAAAGGCCAAAAAAAAATTCCCAAAAGTTGTTCGTATCCATCGTTTCCTCCAAATCATGTCGTCAAAATAATTCCCCCCCAAAAAACTTCACGCCGTTCACTCAGATCTAAAAAATCTTCTTAAACCAACTTCCCCTCTTCCCCTGCCCGCCATTCCCATCGACCGCCGGTCTTCCATCCCATGTACGCACGGGCACCTCTTCATACGGCGGATTCGCATAAGTCTTGCGGCGCTCCTTCTTCCTCTCAGCGCCGGCGCCAGCGTCTTCGACCGTGCCCTCGTAATGGCTCTTACGGCGCGAATGCTTCCTGTCTTTGTCGTCCTTGCGCTCCTTGTCGCCGCGCTTGCCGCGATTGCGGCCCTGGATGCGCATGCGGATCTCGTCGTCTTGGGAGGGCGTGTCTTCCTCGTCGAGGGCGCCGGGGACGGGGTCGAGCACCGTTTCGGAAATGGGTGGCGGGAGAGGGGGTTCTTCGGTGAGGGATTGGACCCACGAGGAGGTCTTGTCGGGACCTTTGTTGATGTAGGGCATGTTTTGCTCTTCGTCGGCCGTGCGGCGCGAGTTGCGCTTGGTGGTTGAGGGGCGGTGCGCGCCATTGCGCTCGTCGAAGTAGTCGTTGATGGGCTCGCCGTTGGGCTGGGCTGGGTATTCCGAGTTGCGGCGGGCGGCGCGGCGCTCCTCGTGGCGGCGGCGACGTTCGGCATCGTCGTCGAGATGAGAGCGACGGCGTTCGTTGTGAGGTCGAGATGTCTCGCGCGGCTCCTTGTCTTTGCGGCGCGAAGAGCGATGTTCGCGAGTGCCGTCCTCGGCGGGTCGGCGCGACTTGCGCTTCTCTTCCTTTTCTGCCATGCGACGCAGTTCCTCTTCGGCCAGCTTGTTGCGACGCTCGAGCTCAGCCCTCTGCCGGGCCTTCTTCTCTGCGAGTGTGTCTGCCTCGGTATCGCGCGTCTTTTCGCGGCGGCGCTCAGCCTTGGCCTCAACTTCCTCAAGCTCAGCTCGTCGAGACTCCTTCTCCTGCTCATGTCTGGCCCGGCGCGCTGCTCGGCGGGCTTCGCGCTCAGCATCGACCTCCCCACTGCCATTGGCGCCAGTCATCATCGGCTCTGGCTCACCATCGGGTACGCGCGTGGACTTGCGCACGCTACGGCGCTCATGTCGCAATCGCTTTGCTTCATCTTCAGTCATGCCACCGCGGGTGGTAGACTGCTTGCGACGTCTGCGGTCGTCCTCGGTCTCGTAAGCGTTGCGCCGGGCGCGACGGTCGTCTTCGGGTGCAGCACCCTTCTTGCGACCGAGACCAAACATATTCTTGAAGCCGCTCACAGCAGCAGCAGTGCCTGCGACACCAGCGAGGGTAGCCATTGCGTCGGAGTTGCCACGTTCGCGGCGAGGGCGTTCTCGTTCTCGCTCTCGTTCGCGGTGGCGGGGACGTTCAGCCTCAGCTGGGGCAGGATCCACTTCCATGCGTTCGATAACAACCGGATCGTCGGCGCTTGGCGGTGCCGTCAAGGGTTCTGCCGGCTGCACCGAGTCGCGCTTTGATTTTCGGCGCGATGGTTCAGGTCGTGACGTTGGTGCAGGAGACTCATCGTCGAGCAGATCCAGGTCATCGTCGATGGGATACGGGTCTGGAACGGCTGCGCAATGGGTTAGCACGCTGATATTGCTCACGCCAGCACCAGCCAATCGCGGGCTGGCCTGGCCGAACGAGGGGATCTTACCTCGACTCTTGCCCTTCTCCCTGGTGCTTGTCCTGCGCGACGCTGATTTCATGCCCATGACCCTGGCGGCTTTCGAAGAGGCCTTCCTCTCTGTGTCGGTGTGCGGTGGAGACATCATGGCTGCGTCCTGGTCAACAGAAGGCCGGCGCGAGTGCGCTTTGGGTGTAGCGGAGGTTCTATGCGATTTGGACCGAGAAGGTGGGGGCGCAACCCCAAATAGTCCAAAGCCAGACGCAGTGCGAACCGACTTTGCGCGGGACGGGTTTTTCGACATCTTGTCAGAACCAGACGATCTTGAGATGACGTCCTTGTCCCTGGTAGACGTAGTGCGTACCGACTTTGTGCGAACCATGCCTGGGTTGGGACCAGTCACAGCGCTGGCAGACTCGTCACCCGACTTGGTGCGAGTGCCAGACTTCTTCGCTGGTGCACCACCGCCCCAGAAACCCCATGACCCTGATCCGCCGCCGCGATTGACCTTGGCGCGCTCTTTCTTTGGTGAGATGGATTTGGGGACCGGCACAGGCTCAGGAGGGGGCGTTGGAGGTCGTGCGGCGTCTTCATCGGCGTCCTCTGGTGCAGGCTCATCGAAGTCCATCAAGTCGCGCTCTCCTGAAGCATCTACAAACTCAGCATCTGACTCAGGCGCTGGAGGCGGCGGAGGTGGAGGTGGAGCCTCTTCGACAATGGGCTCTTCCCTGTGTCTACTGCTCTTCTTAGACTTTTTGAGCCTCCGCCTTTCTTTCTCAGTCAGAACTGGCTCTGGTTCTGGTTCTGGTTCCGGTTCCGGTACCACTTCTGGTTCTGCTTCAGCTTCAGGTTCTCCCTCTGCCTCTGCTTCTGCTTCCGCTTCAGGCTCTGCCTCTGCTTCAGGCTCTGCTTCGGGTTCGGGTTCAGGATCTGCTTCAGGCTCAGGTGGAGGCGGCGGAGCTTCTTCGATAATGGGCTCTGTCTTGTGTCTGCTACTCTTCTTAGACTTCTTGAGCTTTCTGAGTTCCTTCTCCGTCATGACAGGCTCAGGCTCAGGCGGAGGCGGAGGTGGGGCGTCTTCAAAGTAGTCTGTCCTCTTACTGCTCTTCTTGGATTTCTTGAGCTTCCTAATTTCCTTCTCAGTCAGAACAGGCTCCGGTGCAGGTTCAGGTTCAGCTTCCGGTTCAGCTTCCGGTTCAGCTTCCGGTTCTGGATCAGGTGATGCGTCGACAAATTCGGGTTCGGCCTCCTCCAAGTTGATCAAATCCGCATCTTCGTCGGGGAATCCGCCTGGTACAGGCGATCGCCTCGCGATAGACTCATCAGGCTCCGGATCGGGCGGGGGGATCTCGAGTGGAGGAGCGTCTTCAAGAACCTTATGCCTCTTAGACTTTTTGTCCTTCTTGGACGACTCCTTGTCTTTCTTGGAGGACTTCTTCTTCGGTGCCTCATCGATAATCTCAACGATATCATCCGGAGATGGCTCAGGTTCTGGGGCAGGTTCTTCGACGATCGGTTCGGGCTCTGGCTCCTTGTGTTTGTCTCTCTTGCTTGACTTTGACTTCTTAGATCCCTTGACGCGAATGGGGAGTTCTTCGACAGGAGGCTCTGGGACTTCGGGCACCTCTTCCGGAACCTCTTCCGGAACCTCTTCTGGAACCTCTTCAGGTTCTGGTTCTGGTTCAGGTTCTGGTTCAGCGACGGGCTCTTCTTCAACGACCTCAGGCTCGACTTTCTTCGTCTTGCGCAGCGAGATGCCCCAAGCACTTCCCCACCCGTTGCCGCCTGACTCCTCCTTCTTGGGCTCTGTCTTCTTGATATCCTTCTTGATGCTGTCTCCCCAACTGCCGAACGGTGTTTCATCCTTGGGTTCACTCCTGAGCTCTTCGCCGAGCTCTGCTAACAGCTCATCTTCGGGTATATCTTTGACCAAGTCGAACAGGGCCGCGTCGGGATCGTCGTTCGCGGGTTCGGGTGGCGGAGGCGGAGGTTCTTCTTCGACAACAACACCCCTTTTCTTCTTCTTTTTCTTCTCTTTTGACGAAACGGGTGCTGCCGCTGCGGCTTCTGCCTCTGCTGCAATGCGAGCTGCCTCGGCCTCTTCTTCCGCGATGCGCGCGGCCTCAGCTTCTTCCTCCGCAATCCGTGTTGCCTCAGCCTCTTCTTCTGCAATTCGCGCAGCTTCCGCCTCAGCCTCTTCAGCTTCCTTCGCCTCTTGAGCGCGTTTCTCTTCCTCCTCGCGTGCCTTCTTCTCCTTGGCTTCACGCTCGCGCTTTTGCTTCGAGGTCTCCTTCTTCTTGGTGAGACCGAAAAGACCCCATCCAGAGCTCTTTGATGCAGCCTCTTCTTCCTCCTTCTCTTTCCTCTTGCGCTCTTCTTCTTCTGCGGCGAGTCTAGCGGCCTCGGCCTCAGCCTCTTCTGCTGCGATGCGAGCTGCTTCGGCTTCTTCAGCGATCCGCGCGGCCTCAGCTTCTTCTTCCGCAACGCGTGCTGCCTCGGCCTCTTCTTCCGCAATTCGCGCAGCTTCCGCAGCCTCTTCAGCTGCAATCCTATCAGCCTCTTCCTGTGCGAGGCGCTCCTTCTCCTCCTGTTCTTCCTTCTCCCTCTTCTCACGAGCTTTGCGATCCTTGGTGCTCTCCTTTTTCTTTGAAGAGCCCCAGATGCTGGCCGCCCATCCCGTGCTCTTTGACGCCTCTTCCTCCTCTTTCTTCTTCCGCTCCTCTTCCTCTGCCGCGAGACGAGCTGTTTCTGCTTCTTCCTCGGCGATGCGAGCTGCTTCTGCTTCTGCTTCTGCTGCCTCGGCCTCGATCTTGGGCCTGTTCAGCGGCAGCAGCCTCTTCGGCTTCTCGTGCAAGACGCTCCTCTTCTGCCTTTCTCTGCAGCCTCCTTCTTTTCTTGCTCCTCGCGTTCTTTCCTCTCGCGCCTTTCACGGACCCTCTTCTCAGTCGGTGTTTCTGCCTTAGGAGGCTTCTCGACCGTCTTTTCCTTCTTGGCAGACTTCAAAGACACACCAAAGACGCTTCCGAACTTGGACTCTTTCTTTTCCTTCTTCTCTTCCACTGGGGGAGGATCGTCAAGAGAAATGAGGTCTTCTACCATGTCATTTTTCGGCGCAGATTCTTTACTTGTTGTCTTGGTGAGCGGCTCCTCTATGACTTCACCCTTCTTTTTCTTCTTCTTCGTAACAGGTGCAAGCCCTCGAGGAATCCACAGGTCATCATCGTTGGGAGCCTCCTCTGGCGGCGCTTCGATCTCTTTGGGGGGTGGGGCTTCTGGCTCTGCCTCAGGAGGCGGCGATGCCAAGTCTGCAATGAGGCCTTTCTTGCTCTTTTTGCTTTTCTTCCCGATGTTGAATGCAGCGCTTCCCCATGGGTCGTCTTCGTCAGGCTTCTGAACAGGTGTCGTAGTGTCTTCGATGACTTCGACTGGAGCGCCCTTCTTCGGATCCTTCTTCTTGTTACCCCATGATGGCATGCCCCATTCGTCTTCGTCCTCCGCTTTCGGCTCTTCGACGGCATCGGGTTCTTGAGCAGCAGCTTCGATTTGTAACGGTTCTGGCGGCGGTGGCGGCGGTTCAAGTTCGGCGCCTTTACCCTTCTTCTTCTTCTTGCCGCCGCCCCATATCGAACTGAATCCCCAATCACCGCCTTCTTCTGCTGCATCCTCTTTCGCAGGCTCAGGTTCAGGTACCGCTTCGGGTTCGGGTTCGGGTTCGACGATGGGCTCTTCTTCCTTGGGCGGATCTGGAACGACAGCGGCTGCGCCCTTCTTACCTTTCTTCTTCTTCACTGGAGCAGCGGCTGCACCCCAATCACCCCAATCTTCTACAGGTTTCTCTTCCGTAGGAGGACTAGGTTCAGGCTCGACTACCGGCTCAGGTTCTGGGGGAGGCGGGGGCGGAGGTGCAGGGTCCTCCTCAACGGCGCCCTTCTTCTTTTTCTTCTTCTTGCTAGTCGTAGGTGCAACCTCGGCGGCGGCGACAGCGGCAGCAGCAGCCTCTTCCTCGAGTCTCTTCTTTTCGGCCTCTTCCTCCTCTAAACGTAGACGTTCTGCCTCCGCCTCCGCCTCTTGCGCCGCAAGCTCAGCTGCAGCATCCTCTTCCTCTTTCCGCTTGGCGTCTTCTTCTGCCTTGGCTGCAGCATCTTCTTCCGCTTTCGCTGCCGCCTCTTTGGCCTCTTTCTTCATCTTGTCCTGGAGCTTCTTCTTTTGCGACTTGCTGAGTCCAGCAAACGGGTCGACCGCCGGCTCTTCTTTGGCCGGCTCGGGTTCAGGTTCAGGTTCAGGTTCAGGCTCAGGCTCAGGTTCAGGTTCAGGTATGACTTCCGGCTCTGGAGGGGGTTCCTCGACCTTGGGCTCTTCTTTGCCCTTCTTTTTCTTCTTCTTCGTTGACGTCGATGCAAATCCCCACGGGTCGTCCTCCTTCACAGGCTCTGGTTCCGGGACTGGTTCAGGTTCCGCGGGCGGTTCGGGATCTGGTGGAGGAGGTGGTGCTTCTTCGACGGCGCCTTTCTTCTTTTTCTTCTTGTCCTTTGACGAAGCGCCAAAGGAGAAAGCCCACGGGTCATCCTCGTCCTTCTTCTCAGGTTCAGGTGGTGAAGGCTCTGGTTCTGCCACTGGCTCCGGAACGGGTTCCTCGATCAGTGCTCCCTTCTTACCCTTCTTTTTCGATTTCGTCGTAGTGATGCCTCCCCAGCCATCGTCCTCTGGTGGTGGTGCCGCCTGCGAACCGCCCTTGAACGCATCGAAATCGAAGTCGAAGCCCGAAGAGTCCTTCTTTTTCTTATCCGCAGAATCCCAAGGGTTGTCACCTCCACCGTCCCCGCCTTTGGAGTCGCCAAATCCCCAGCCACCAGCTGACTTGGTCGATTCACCCCATCCAGAAGACCAGTTATCCAACCCGCCGAGTCCAGATCCCGACTTATCCTTGGAGTCGCCGAAATTCATGTCGATCTTTGGCGCACCGTCATCTAGGTTGACATCGTCCAGTTTGATATCGTCGAATGAAGTCGCTGGCTCTGCTGGGGCTGGCGGAGGAGGTGGTGGTGTCGGCTCCGCCTACGGTATGGTTAGCGCCCTCAATGGTGTCATTACGTATGCGAGATTACAAACCTTCCCCTTTTTGCCCTTCTTCTTCTTCCCCGTTGTTGTCGCTGCAAAGCTTCCCCAGTCGTCATTATTAGCGGCTGGTTCCGCCGCAGCAGCAGCGGCTTCTTCCTCTTCCTTCTTCTTGCGCTCGGCCTCTTCTTCCGCCTCTTTTGCTAGTCGTGCTTCCTCCTCCTCCTTGGCTATCCGCTCTTCCTCCTCTTTCTTGGCGCGCTCCTCTTCCTCCTCCTCCTCTTTCTTGCTCTTCTTTCCTCCTTTCTTGTCGTCGCCACCATCGCCGCCCGCACCATCTGCGGGAGCATCGCCTCCGCCACCGTCTCCACCTCCAGCCGCGCCCTCGTTCTTATCGCCATCATCGAGCGCATTCGAAATATTGTTTTTCTTAGCTGCAGCTTTCTTCTTTTTCGCATGCGATCTGACTCCTTCTTCACTGAAGCCAAAGTCGATGTCCACGTACAGCGACTTCTCGTCGAAAAATAGAGATGAACTAGGTGATGTGTCGCGGCTGAGCCGCAGGCAATTAGGGACGTTGGAGCATATAGACGCATTTAGTGACGAAAAAGGCGTGTACTCGGGCGATTGTACAAAGGCTAGCGCATCGGTACGCGTGTAGTCTGGCGGTAAGTCTGCGACGGAATCATCGTAGGAAGGTGGTGGGGACCCAAAACTCCGGGAAGCCTCATTCCACAGGTCCGGAGACGGATTAGACGGCGGAGGGCGGACTGCGGGCAGCCGGTTCGCGAGGTGGAGTTGCTGCGTAGTGTTAGATACCAAATCATGCTGAATACTGCCATAAACGGTCTTGGGTTCTGAAGTTTGGCAGCGGCGCGGGAAACGTTGCGACCAAAATGTCGGGAACCACCAGAACAAAGAAGTGTCGTCATACCGAGAATGCGCTTCCTCTGTCCGCTTTCTTCTCTCCGATGCTGCGACGTCCCAGCCGATCCAGCGCATGGATAACGTCGTCCAGCATGTTGGCCACGGGCTCGTCGTTGTCGGACTCCCATGCCGTCACACTCCCCGAAATATATCCACTTGCCTCCCAGGCGCTCGTATACTGCGATTCCAGCTCTTTCCTGCTCCAGCGCTGTTCAGCCGATGCAGTCCTCGAGGGCGGCCGGGTCCTTCGTCTCGCCGATGGCGCGGCGTGGCGAGAGCTGGCGGAGGACATTGTGCGGGTCTCTTGAGACGCGCAAACAGAAGGAGCACGGCGTCGGACGGCACATGAGCGCGCGTGCGAGACCGCAGGGCAGGCGCGGCGATTGCAGAGCGGGAGCAACAAGACAGGAGGGCAAATGGCGTGTAGCGCGGCGTGACGTGCAGTGTTGTCTCTGCTGCAGGGCTCGTCGAAAAGCGAAGCGTCGTGGTACACGAGGGTGGAAGGAGTAGTATGGCAGCGCAGATCAGGTTACACCAAATAATGCACTTTGTTCTTTTTCTCCGACGTCTTCACAGATTGGCGCCCTGGATCTCGCAGGACAGGCAAGTCAGATGTGCAGGTGCGTGCAGCCAAATCTGCGAGGATCAGTGGTCACAAGCCTCTCCAGGGCTCCCCAACGTCGATTGGCGTCGCGGAAACGTTATCGGCGTCTGATTGCCTTCCTCCTCTAGCCTCTTCCAGTCCCCAAATCGTTTCATCCACGCTCGTCACACTGCCGCTCGGGCCAGAGTCCAAAATTGAGGGGAAAGCCAGGCGGTCGAGGGGCAAAATATACCCGGCGCAGTCTGGGGGGGTGAGTAAGGCGGGAACTGTGCAGGGTACGAATGAAGTCCGGACGGCAATGTTTGGCAAGCTGTCAACAACAAGCAAGATGCAGGGCAAGGACAATAGTGCGGGCCGAGCGAGGAAAAGAGGAAAATTTTAGGTTAGGTAGGTTTGGTCACTTGCATGCGCGAGCGTAGCAAGCTGCGGCGCGTGTGGTGGGAGAAACAGCGCCTCGAGATGAAGAGAAGCATAGCTCTCCCGGCGCCCACTTCGTCTTTTGCCTAGCCCTGCCAGCCAACACCTCCAGCCACGCACATATCATATGTCTCAACTCGTAAACTCCACACGTCCTAAACCGAGTGTGGGTGTTGGGGTGGGCTTCATGTCTACACCGCCAGTCCTAATAGGCCAATCGTGGCGCGAGCTACCCCATCGCCGGAGATGGGGCGGCACGTCTAATGCACGTCTTCCTTTGGTACATGGACAACGCACACCAGTTCAGATTCTGCGCCGTAGCAATACAAGCGGATGACGCTGTAGTGGGGTCGCTGACAGCTTGTCAACCACATGTAGAGTCGCCTTGCAGTGCCCGAGGAGGGGTAGCATGTTGCGAACGACTCCACTCTTGCGACTTCACCTTGCCTCGTGCTTCTAGTTCGTGTCTAGATCGATGCATCTCGGGAACGTTAAGGCCCAATCTTAGCTGTGAGATAGGGCTGCTGTCAGTTTGTCAATTGAGTCTAGGAGCCGGAGATGCGTGGTGTTGCAGTACTTCACATTCACAACGCATACCACATTTGATCAGTCCCAACATAAGCAGTAAATATGAGGCTACTATCATTCCATTCGAGACGCATTGGCGTCCTGTCTGAAAGTAAAACATATGTGCAACCCTACATCCACCAAAACCGGGATCAACAACACCACCGGGTATCAAAATAAGCAGCCAGATTCTATATTCATGAAGATCCCATCCCAGGCAAGTCGCGTGTACAAAGGAAACAGATTCGCCGAAGCGAAAAGAGAGACCAAGTTTGTGAGTATCTGTAAGGGCATAAGAAGAAGTATTAACATAAGCATATATGGCCGTATACAGACGGCATGCTGAAGGAAAAACGCGCTGAACGCTACAGCCGTTTAGACATTACCATTTAAGTGTGTGAAACTTTCGAAATGCAAGAAAATCAAGAGCAATAGTTTGGAAACGCTTTAGAATGAATCATCGTCCTCGGTCTCTCCATCAAGTGCTCTTCTTGCGTCGTCAAGACGACGCCGCCACGCTTTGCGGTCGTATTGCTCGCTGTACGTGTGCTGCAGGTTCGAGCAGACTTGCTGGAAGCTCGATGCGAGGCTATAAATGAGCTGCTTCTCCTCCTCGCTCAGTGCGAGGCGTGGCTCCTCGCGGCCGGGAGAAGTCGATTCGGTAAGGATGGAGAAGATCTTGGACACTTGAAGGCCGCTTGCGAGGTCAGCTGGCGAAGCAGATCCTCGGGCGATTGACGTTTGCGGCGGGGAGAAGCCAGGACTACGGCGCATGTTGATGGCAGAGTCGGAACGAAGCGACATGTGGCTGTTGGAGGTAGCTGGTCGTGATGATGCCCTGGGTTGCTGCTGTGCGAGAATCTGCTCGGAGAATTGGTCCATCTGTTCGTTCTCCTCTTCATCGTCGGACTGATTCTCCGCGGCCGTGGCAAAGGATGCGACTGTCGAAATCGAGTCTGAGCTTTGCGAGCGGCCATGAAGAGACAGCCGCTTCTCGGCATCACTGGTTTCATCATCTTCCTGGACCTGGACGGCGGTGACCGGTCTTGTAGTTTCTGTCGAACTTTGGGACCCTACGCTGGAACGACGGCCTTCGATACTGTACGTGCCCATGGCGCTGTGGAGAAAGAAGTGCTCGTAATCGAACGCATCCACGCGGTCTTCGTGGCGCTCTGTGGCAGCCATCTCGTAGACTGCATCCTCGTAAACGCTCTCACCGCTGGGCTCAAGATCTTCCTCGTCTATCGACTCGAACTCTCCTTGTTGTGCTTCGTCAAAGTCCTTCTCGTCGTCGTACGACTCCAGATCATCGAAGTCGTCTGCATCGTTGTAGTAAGACGACCCTGAGTGTCCGTTGCCCTGGCCGCTGTGCCCCTCGGTCTCGTGATTGACCATCTTCTCTCCTTCTCTTTGAGACAACGTAGTCTCCGGAGTGTGTGACCTGCGTTGACCCTCTTCGAACAAGGCCTGGCGCGTCAGAGATTCTGTTTGAATGCCCAGTCCCGCATTTGCTGAGACAGGTGCTCCTCCAGCATTGTATGTATCCGAACCAGAGTACCACTCTTGCGCATTCGTGAAGGGACTCGAGCGGAGGCTTTGCATACTTCGTCGCCGCAATTGGTCTTCTTGTGCCCTCAGCTTCAGGCTTGAGATTCGGCCTTTCAGGTCGTTCATCTGGTCGCGCAGTCCGCTTGCTGCTGAGGCTGATCGGTGTACTCTCTTCTCCTCGTCATCGTCGTCTTCTTGCAGTGTTTCCAGAAGAGGCGGGGATCTCGAGTTTCGCGATGTAGTTCGAACAGGATACTGCGGCTCAGCGCGAACTGGCACATCACGTGGATTGCGCATTACTTCAAAGCTACGCGATTCCTTGATCGGGAAGCGCCCCTGGCCAAAACCTTCAGGCGACCATGGACCGCTGTTATGACCAAACGCGCTCGAAGCTCGCTTGTTCGATGCGCTGCGCGTCAGATATGAGGGCGAGGAGAAGGGCAGCGGGACGGATGTCTCGCTCAGACCACGTGAATGGTTCGGGCTCGATTGCGTAAGAGTAGACGATCGGAAAGAGGACACACGTGGTGGGATCGGGCCAAGTCCGGCATATAATCTGCGGTCTCGCTCGCGTGTAGTATTGACGTGGTGCGACAAGTCAGAGGAGCTTCGCGAGAAGGTTGGAGATACTACGAGCGACTCTCGAGCACCTCGGAGGTTTCCTTCCATGACCTGGAACAGTCAGCACCATCCAATAGTTCAAGTTAAGGTTTCGCTTACATTGAGTCGCTTCTTTGCATTGGCCAGAATGATTTCGGCGCGTCTGCTCAGGGCTGCAGACGAATATGGGTCGTCGCTCTCGTCGCTCCCAGAGCTGTGTTGGCCGAGCCATCTGTCGCCGTCCATGTCGTCGCCGTGCTTCTCGTCGCCGGGGAAATGGTCGCGCTTCTCCTGCTCCTCCAAGCCCAAGCCACTGTCATCAAAGGCGTCGTGGCTGTCGAACCCCGGCCAATTCTCAAAGTCCTCGCTCAGCATGCTCGATGCAACGCTTGCCCTGCGCTGGTCCTGGGGTGTCCAATCCTTCGGCGAAGGGCTGCTCAAGCCATTTTGAATGGTGGGAGATGAGGCCAAAAGGTTATCACGGGAAGGCGCGCGTCTAGCAGGCGTATTAGAGTCGCCCATGTTCCGCAGCGTCGAGCGGGACGACTGCGACGACAGCGCTGGCGATTGGGATTGTTGCGATGTACGACGGCGGCGCTGTGGTGCCAACGCTAATTTGACGTGACTCGAGTTGGTGTGTGTATACAAGACTGGTGGAGATGGGGGCCGTTCCTTAAGCAGTTCGAGAGATACAGCGCGTGCATGTCCTTCAGGAAGTATCATGCCCGCGTCGCTGAGGGTGGGAGACCGCGGTCCTGACTGGCCATTTTGCGCGGGACGGGCTGCTGCTGCCACGGCCATGGTTGTGTCCTTGGTAAGCTATGCTAGCCTGCGGGGCCAAGAGGGCATATCCAGGGGAGTCGCAAGAAGAAAGCAGCACCTGTATCACGGGTTTCCCAGTCGTAGATTGTTTCGGAGAGAGTGACTGGATTCAAAGAACGAGAGACATCGGCCACGCCCGCGCCTTTCGAGCTTCGACATGTTCAGGTTGGTTAAGATTTCTGGACGGTTCGGGCACTGGCCAACGGCGACCGTGTGATGGCTTGAAAGGGGACGCTAAATGCCCCGAAGATGGATCCGCCCCGGTAAATTGGCTGGCACTTTGCACGGTCCGGCCAACGTTATTCGACGAGTCTTCAGCTGCATCTCGCGTGCAATTCGCCTGCTGCAAGGGCTTCGGAAATGGGTCCTGAGCATCCCTGTCGCGCGTGTGCCTGAACCTTATGGTTTGAGGCAATGCATGCGTATGCGTGTAACAACCGAAGAACTCCTGATCCAGAAATGCTCGTAGACCGGCCTTGACGTCGCACGGCTCCCACCAATCTTTGAGAATGAAGCTGAAGTGTTTCATTATTTGCGCATACGGGGGCCCGGCCGCCTACTAGCCAGCTGAGCTAAGACATGGCACTGAGATCACTGCTTGCGCCAGGCACGCGTGCACGGCGACAACGACATGGACGCGGGTCGCCTTGCTTGTTGCATGCTATAATTCAGACATAATAGTGGCATGGAATATGCTCGATGGCTGACGCAACACACGGCACGATATGAGGGGACGTTCATGCATTGAAATGATCACACTCTGAGGCTTTGATACAGGACTGCCTGTGGCTGTTCTACAGCCCTATCCATGTCCCTACATGCAAATATGCGTAGTTCGGCATTTATTACCAACTCTGATTGCTGATGCATATGCGCCGCCCTGATGCGCCGTGCAAATGCAGATTCCAACGCGCTCGCTATGCAATAAGAATGTAAACAAAACTATACAAAGTCCTCGTCGTCGTCCCAGCCCAACGAGGCATATATAGAGCGCTCTTCGTCCTGGACCGGCTTCAAAGTTACGGCTGGTTGGGCCTCACTGACAGGTGTGCTAAAAGACTTAATGGGTGTTGCAGCGACCGTCGTGTGCCGAAAATTAGCGGAAGTAGGAGGCGAGCTTCCGACTGCCTTGACTGGTGATTCAAAAACATGCTCTGCCGATCTGTTTGCTGGAGCCACGTGTGACTTGGAAGGTGTTGCGAAGATCGTTCTCCGAGCTGCCCCTGACTCGAAGACCTTCATGGTCGGCGCCTTTGACGGTGTCTCGGCTACATTGTGGAGCGCTAGGTTTCGGGCCGTGGCGCTACGGTGCACCGTTCCGGGAACCATGGGTTGCTGGCGAGAACCGGACGACGGGTTAAAGAAGTCGCTTGATGGAGGCGCCGCAGATGTGGAGGTTCGAGCAAATGGGTTGCTGATGCGATGGTGATAACCTGGTGTCTGGCCCACCATGTCTTTTGTTCTGCGGCCGATTCTTGGAGTCGCAGACACCTGGACTTCCTTCACCACCTTTCGAACAGGATTCAACTGCTTTCTAGATCTGCTGAATGGACCGAGGCTGCGGCGCTCGACTTCTTCTACGTAGCCGCCGGCAGCTAGCCCCCGGTTGGGCTTCTTCAGAGCTGTTATAGCGTCCTTCAGCTCCTCTTCTACGCGCTGTTTCTGTTTCAACTTCGCGGTGACGGCTGCCGAAGGTGTTGTGAGATCGAGCTCACGCCCTACGAGATGCCGGTACTGCGACATCGATCGCCGAGTATCTCTAGAAGGACTGCGCTGGAACGGAATGGTTGATAGCGGTGCCTCACTTCCTTCGCGCTTAACGCCCTTGATGAGAGCAGAATCAGTGGCGGATCGACTCAAGGATGGCGTGGCGCGAGACGTTGACCTGCGCATGGTTTCTGTCGCTACTCTGGCTAATGACCGCCTAGACTTCTTCAAGTCCGGCTCTTTCGGTTCCCCAGACGCACGTGATGTGGTCGGAGGCTTCATTGCCTTTCGCTTTGGTGGAGAGGTGTGCGCTGGCCCACCCAACTTCTTATTGATCATAAGCGCCTGCTCGGGAAGGCGATTCATGTAGAAGGGAATGATAACTTCGATGCAGAAATCGCGTAGGCGGTCACTTGCACCGCCTCTACCGAGTCCTTCCGCATCATCATATTGCTGGGTGATTTTCGCGTCGAAGTCGAGGATGCCTGCTTCTTCCGTGGCGTGCCAGATGCACAGCCTGTCGAGCAACAAGTCCAGCTGCAGGCCTATATCGTCAAGCTTCCTTTTACGCTTCTTCGGTTTCGCCTGAGAGTCTTCCAGGGCTTGGGTTTCGTCCACAGGAAGGTCGTCCTCGGGTGGCGGTTTGTACGTTGAGAGAGCTTCGAGCGCAATGACTTCGAGCATGAGTGTCAACTGCGCCAATGTCTCGCGAACTCGCAATTCGCCTATTCGTCTCTTGATACGCTGATCAATCGTCTCTTCGCCGGTAGGCATGTTTGAGTGCCACCACTTCTTAATCATAGCCTCCTCATGTGGGTATACGCCTTCTCGACTGAGCTTCAGCTTCTTCTTGGTCTTCTTGGGCTTGCTAGCCGCCACGGTAGGCTCATCGTCTGAGAAGCTTCCAGGCGGGAGTGCTCTGATGACTGCAGGCAATTTCTCATAGTATTTCTTTTCACTCGCCTTTGGAGTCAGAAGCATCGACCTCAAAAAGGTCACCAGTTCGTGCGTAGGAGGCGCACCCTCGTCGGGTGATGTGAAAGCGGTACGAATCCGGGCGATAGGTCCCTTCGAGAAGTATGCCAGCGAAGTCTTGGACATATAGATTGCATCCAAGTACTGTTGTACGATTGACTCGAGTTGCTCCTGAGGGGACGGTGCTGCGAACTGCACTTCTGGAACATCGGCCGGGATTGAGTCCGACAGAATGTGCTCATGGTCTGCCGGGCTATCGAACCGTTGCGAGATCTTCTCCTTCTCTGGTTGTGGAGCCTGTGTCTTACGCATCATGGTCATCCTTGCTCTCTTTACAGGCCGCTCTGCAGACGGGGCCTCCGCTGCCGCATGCTGCCACCACTCTCCAGTGTTGGGTGTGCTTTGCTCAGGTCGAGGTAATACGGGGTAACTCTGCAGACCCGAAGGATCCCATAGCTCAGACACGTCCTTCTCTTTCAGCCAACTCGCAAGTCGACATATGCTGTATACTCGTGTTTGTACACGCTCTATAGCATACAAGGTCCTCTTCGTGTCGTAACGTGCTATGAGGACCTTGGGGGCGTCCTTTTCTGATCCATATTCACTCTCCAACACGTCGATGTGGGCGGAGAAGAGCGAGTTGGCGGCGAAACTCTCATCGGCCGTCGTATCGAGGAATGTCAGAGGCAGCTGTGAGCGTCCGATTATGCGGACAGGCTTGAAGCTGGCGGGCTTATCGGAGGAAGATCCGGTGTACGGCTTGATTTCGAAGGGTTTGGTGAAGGTTCCCAGGCCACATATGGCATCCCTCTTGCGCTTCGATGGCAGCTGTGGCTTCGCTTCGTCGCGTTTGGTGGTTACTCCGAGAAGTTTGATAGGGTTGCTAGATACGGAGTGAAGCATTGTTTTCGTCTGCAATGCGTACGTGGACATCGGATATGCTCATGGCGGGTTTGAGTATTCGGCGGGGTGCGTTCTTGTTAGACATCTCCTGCTGGAGTCGACGCGTTGAGCAAAACGCGTAGGCTCGTGCACAACTCCGCGCTAATGCGTCATTGCAGGGATCGACCGACCCGCGGACCCCACATCGAGATCACTCAAGCAGCCGCAACACACATCTTACTCCAGGATAAGGGGGGGATAGCAACACCGCTGTCAGAGTGTGATATGCTCTCCTCATCCCTCGGCGGGCTATTCCGGTCGCTTCGGGTGTACCCCTCAACAAATCTCTCTTTGTATGCCGGCAGATCTTCGTACGCACACGCACTAACCTTGTAAACCTTAATGGCTCCGGGTTCCTGCTGCGGTAAACACGATGAAGAGCCGATCAGTCCGGGTAAATATTGCTAACGACTGTATACCTCACGTCATTGACTGCAAACGTTGTTCAATGAAATATACGTTGCTTTCGTGCCTGTAGCCACGTAATCACGCTAGCACCCTCTCTTTCCCTTCAACTCACTATCAAGATGTGGCGCCACCTATTCGTACCTAGTATTTTGTTCCTTCACTGTTCAGCGGACGCTTACTTTGACACACCATCTGGCGGCTTTCGACCCTTCGGGCCTGGCTACAACTATGGATCCTATCCCCAAGACTTCTCCATTGTGGGACCACCGCTTGAAGCAATACACGACAGTCAATCGCCTTCTACTGGTCTAGCCGTGGACGCGAACCACAGCCTCTACCTCACATACCCTCGCAACGCTGGTCAGACGCCTAGTAACGTCGTCATCTGCACTTCATTCAATGATGAAAAGCCCTGGCCGACTGCGGAGATACAAAATTGCACCACAGGCCAGGACCCTAGCACGTGCTTCATCAACGTTCAGAATGTCGTCCGCGATGACAAGGGTCGTCTTTGGGTCGTGGACAATGGCATTGCTGCCGGCGCACCTGCAGGATCTGATGCCGTCTATGGTGGTGCAAAACTCATGAGCTTCAACGAGACTACGGCGGAGCACATCAAGACGTACAAGATACCTAAAGACCTCCTTGCACATGAAATGAACATGAATGACATGAAAGTCAACACGACCCTTGGCGGAAGAGGTGGCTATGCTTTCATCACAGATGCTAGTACGAACAGCTCGCTCGTAGCGATTGACCTCGAAAATGGCAGTGGAGTGCGCAGGTTGTTCAACACTAGCGTTGTGAGAGCGGATGAGAAGTACGTTGGATCATATGATGGAGAATTAATGTACAGATGGAATGGGACACAGAAAAGCTATCTTACTACAGCCGCAGATGGTATAACTTTGGGTATGTAGGCTGTGTTTTAACTAAGCTGCATTGCTAACACGAACAAAGCATCGGGCAACTTTTACTGGGGCGTTCTCGCATCGCGCCGCTTCTATTACATTTCCCAAGAAACACTCGTCAACACCAACTTGACGGATGCGCAAGTCCTCGCAGCTGTCCAGAACCCTGGTCAAGTCGGCTCAGAGCAAGCTGGTTTCACATCCGACGACCGTGGTCGCGTTTATGTTGCAGCCAGCGAACAAAACGCCATTTACTACGTCGACACACTCAAGAGCGAGCAGAACATGACTGTCAATGGTAACGCGCCTGGAGGCACCGGGCTCATTCCAGCAGAAGACTATGTCGTGAAGACGCTTGTGAGGAATGCCATGATCCAGCATGCAGACTCGATGGCGATTCTGGACGGGTGGTTGTACTTCAACACGAACCAGCTGACTCTGGGCCCGCAATTTCAATACAACAATGTTGACAAGCGCAGAGGGCCGTTTCGAAGCTTTAAAGTTTGGATTGGCAGAGGACAAGCTGTAGGATAATCATCACCGATGTCGGAAAATGAGCATGTATACGGTACCTGGCCGATGACCAGACAAGACGCCTAATTCAATGACGCATAAAACTCTCTAGTAAATGGGGTATCTCGCAAACCAATAAAGCATCATATCAAAAACGCTGCTCACATCTCATACTCCCATCCCGCAGCCGCATACATCAACTCCTCCACCTCCTCATCCTCGTCCTCGTCCTCAATCTCCAGCGGCTCCCCCTGGGTACCCTTTCCCCCACCCTGTCCCAACGCCTCCCACTCCTTCGCCAGTGCCTTCCTTACGTACTCCCTCCTCCCCTCCTCCGTCTGCATACTCTTCGCCGCCTTCTCCAGCGCCGCAGAGCTCATCGACGGCGCGCGACTCCAGCCGCGATTCGGGGAGTAATGCAGGCCCATGTGGTTGACGATGCGATCGTGCGCCGCGGGCCTGCGACGCATACTCTTGTCCGCCTTCGCACCGAGGCGGGCTTTTATGTGTGCTTCGCGCGCTCGGACGTCGGCTTCAAGCAGCATGATTGCGGGACTTCCCATCACAGTATAGAGCCCAGATATAAGGGGAGGTAGCTCGGGGTGCAGGGCGTTGGGGGTGAAGAGGTCGAGTTTGGAGAGGGAGTGGGCTTTGTGGGCTTGTGTCATTGTCTGTATATATGATTAGCTTGCATGCCTTTCTCTATCCTACGATACTGTCGAATGGGTAACGTATGCGAAGAAGGGGTGCAGCTCCTTACCATCTTGGGAAAATACTGCTTATCACACATGCGACAGCACGTCAAACTGCCGTACAGAATCGCGCGGCGCATGCTCTTGCGCTTGCAAAACTGACACGTCTCGCCGAGCCACCTGCGCCGGCAGCTAAACGCCCTACTCCGCGGCGGCGTGAAGTTGGCATATTTCTTGAGTCGGTTGCGGCAGTATTCTTCCACGACGGTGTGTAGGTGCTTGTTCGTGAGGGCGAGGGCGTTGAGCGGGTGTGGAGCTGTGGGAAGCCGGCTTTGCGTAAGGGCGTTGTAGGAGAGGATTTCGAGGAGGATTTCTAGCGGGAGGTCGACGAGACGCGGCATGGTTGTGGTGCTGGTGGTGGATGTGTGGGGGCGGAGGTGAGGTCAGCGGAAGGCGTGGGGTGGAGATTGTGGGGAAGACGCGACGCGCGACAAGGGAGAGCTGCGGCGCAGTGGACTTTAACTTTTCACTCGATGCGACATAACAAGTCAACGCGCAGAAGGTCACGGGCTGGCGGTTACCTTCACTTGCTTCGTGGCGTGTAGAGGCTCACGAACAACGCGAAAGCATGCGCACGTTGATGGACCTTGGGGAAGGTGTATAATTCACGCAGCTTGCTGTTTGAACTATCGGCCCTACTTGATCTTGCTACAAAGCCCAAGCTCTCAAACCACAAAGGCACCCCCAAACATGTTTAAACATCAAGAATACCCTGCTCTTGCAGGCCCACAAGAATTGTCTTGGTCTCCATGTCGAGCTGGACATCAGACATCCATCCCGCTCCATCCCAGATATCCCAACTACTCTTTCCGAGCCAATAACTCCAACCTTGTTTGTCCCATAGACTGTCTTCCATCTGCCACCTGTGTACCCGCTTCATTATAATCCCGAAGTTGTGTTGTGAGGCGTTGCGCGCATCTTGCTTTTTGCGGAGCTGCTGCAACTCTGCTTCGCGCTGTGCGGTCTCTTTGGGGTGAAGACAGCGTGGTACGTGTTTGAACTTCTTGGGCGGAGCGATGGCGGAGTCTCTGCGAGCGGGGCTTTTACTTGTCTTCTCTTGGCTGGCCTCATTCTCCATGATCTGTTTGCTCGTAAATGTGTCGCTCCTGTATCCCTTCTTAGCTTTAAAAGCATACGCAGCCCTCACCGGCGCGTCCCTTGCCCAAGCATCCCTCAGCCCCTCAATCTCCACCTCATACTCCCGCATCTGTCCCAAAATCTTCGGCAACACATCCTCTTCCACACGCGCCTTGCTCATCTTCACAGCATCAAATGCCTCGGTGGTGACCTGAAGATCGCGTTCCAGCGTCCGCACCTTCTCATGCAAAGGCTTGAGGTCGAAATTCGCCGGATCGTTGAGTTTCTCATGGTACTCCTTCATGCATACCATCATGTCCTTCCGCTGCTGCTCGTAGGCGAGTACGAAACCCTCGGATTCTTTCTCAGCACGGGATTTGATCGATTTGAATTCGGCTTCCCAGCGCTGAGCGCGTTCCCTCAGTGTCTTGGTTTGTTCTTGCAGTCTTGCGTTCTTGTCCTGACTGGTGTAGAGATCAGTTTGGAGCTCTCTGTTCTTTTCCCCTAGGTCGGGTTGGTACATTGCCTCTGCCTTAACTTTCCAGTCTGCGAGTCTGCACTCTACTTGCTCCCTCTTCTTCTGCTCTTTTTCCATCAGTGCCTTCCAGTATTTTTCTGACTGTTCTAGCGCCTGTATATCTTTCTGTGCTGTCGCGAGCTCCTCGTTCCTAACATCGAGGTCAGTCGATGCAGCTTGCAATTTTTCCTCCATGAAGATGGTGAAGCGGGCGATGTGCATATGCAAATCCGTGGCCTCTGGGCTGGAGTAAGGCTTCCATCTCAAATCCCTCAAAGTCTTCGTCTTAGGAGCGTCGCCTGCGTTGGTCTTTTTCAGTGCGTTTGCGAGATACTCCACATCGTCCCGCAATCTTGTGAGCTTCTCACTAGACGTACTGGTACTCGCTTTGGCTTCGTCCAGTTCATCATCTTTAGTTCTGACGTCTTGGTTCAGGTTCTTGACAGCCTTCCTGAGAGCACCTATCTCCGCCAAAGCTGCTTCTTCTTGCTCGATCGCAGCATTTGTGGCAACAATCTCTGTGTCGGCCAGATAGTCTTCCAACTTCTGATTTCGTTGCTGTAATTTAATGATAGCGTTTTCCAGCTTTTGATTACGCCGTTGCAGTTCGTAAATGTTTTTTATCTCAACAGACTGAACCTCGGACTTTGGTAGGTCTTGTTCCTTCTGCTTCGGATTTTGCTGTTTGGTCGACTCATGTGCCTCCACCTCGCCCTGGATGACAACCGGAAGTCCAGACTCCTCCTCATTACTACTCACCGCATCCTCGATATTGACCCCATTCGCGTCTTGTAATTCAGCTTCCAAAGGCCCATCACGTTGTCCCTTCAGCCTGTCCTCTTCAACACCACGCTCGAACTCAGCGATTTCATCCATCAGCTCCTCGTCTTGCATCTTACGTTCTATTTCTTCAGTCCGAGGATCTTTTGCGCTCGTGCTCTGTGACAACGGCGCCTCTTTGCATTCTCGAGACTCTGGCTGCTCATCGGGACGAGATGGTTGAGCATTCTGGTCGTTCACGCCTCCATTTCGTGCTCCGGGTTCAGGCAAAGGGGTTTCTAGCTGCTTTCCCTTACCCTTCTGTCTTCGAGTAGGAACACTTGGAGTAGCATTCGCAGAACCGACACCCTCTCTCCGATTAGCAGCGGAAGTCGTCCTCGCAGTTTTTTTTTTTGGAGTGCTAAGCCCTCTATCTGCCTGCTTCTCCTTCGATGCTTTTGTCTTTAGAGCGAATGATGATGACGTTTGTTCATCATCGATCTGTTTCCCTGTTGATGATTGTGTGCCGCGAGCATAAGCGGGCGTGTTGGGTGCTGAGTAAGTTGGCGGCTTTATGGATGTTGTTGATCGTTCTGCGGTCGAAGGGTCGTCATGGTCTTCGGCTTTGCTTCTGGGTGTGGACTTGACTGGAAACCTGGTAGAAGACTTTTGCTGCTTGCGCTCATCGTCCGCCATGTTTTTAAAATGTACAGTGTGTATTCGAAAGAGGTGTAACAGGTTCTAGCTCTCATCATCTCACGCGTCTTCACCCAATGCCCACTTACAATATGTACCATGGCCATCATCCCTTCTACCCTAACAACCACCCATTGTCCCAGACTCTCCTCCATTGTCCTCGATTACCTTCTCTTTGTCTCTGCATCACCAGGGCTTTGTACCCCGTCATTCATGGGTATAAAAGTCCTTTTAGCATTGTCACTGTCAGGTCTCACTCTAGCTCTAGACCATCGCGACTCAAAGCCCGATTCCAAATTTTCTCATCTTCCCCACCTTCACTAAGGCGCGATCGACGCCCCGCCAGCATACACCCGATGATATTTTGTCATCATCTCCCCCGCCTCACAGCTATCCCACAGACACGCTCCTCCCGCTCTCATGTGGACCTACTGTTTCAACTACGAGAATAGCCTCAAGGGATGGTCCTGTAGCTTTCGGGTTGTATCCTCGATGTGGAAAGCCATCGGTCAGAACGGCGAGCTTCATCGCGTGGGACGCCGCTCATGTCATGTCGTCCCGAATTAGAGGATCAGGGTGATACAGACATCTGGAGCTAGTCACATGCGGACGATCTGCAATCCGCCGCTTTTGGGCAGTGGTCCGTGAGGGAGCTGGGTGAGGCTCGGCAAGTGGAGGCGATTATCGAGACGTTAGAAGCCGATTGAGCTTGTCGATCGTGATAGTACAGTGAAGAAATTGTCAGCATCCAACATGCTTTTGGAGATAATGATTCTTGAAGGATAGAGATTAAGATTATCCGTAGCATGAACCCTATCGATAACGCATGATTGTGTGTGGTTGACTGGATGAATAGCGACATGAACAGGCTGTTTTGGAGGTGCGCTCACATGGATGCATGACGTTGGGGGTTGTACCTACTCCTGTATCGTGTGTTGAACAGGACAGATCTGCTGACGCTTGGCTGTCACAACAGACGAAGAGTGCAAGTATGTCCCAGTGTACTGGGAAGGTGAGCCGTGAGAAGCCGGGCCCGAAGATCTCGTGATCGTCCAGGAGGTACATGGCTGATCGTGCTTTGGGGTCGACTATAACTTAGTATACATCAGATCATACTTGCATTGCTGATTGAGATCATCGGGTTCCGCGGATCTTGTCCCCGCTGTCTCGGGGACGGCAAAGTCAATAGGTTCGCCCCGGGGCCGTTGGACTATCACGTCTCCACGACGCTCCGACGTAGCGTACCAGACATGACTTGACACTGACCCGATCAAGAGTATCTCACTGTTGAGACGCAAAGGCATGAGACTCTGCCGGTTCACTTAATACGTAAATGGATTATCTTCATCGTACATACCAACGATGTACTGGATTTCCGTGACACCCCACGGTGGTCAGATTTTGGGTTACAGACCTCGAGCTTGAATACTGTGGATACACAAGCTAGAGACGGTACTTCCGTGCCACGCGCGTGAGCCATGGTTGTCATGATGGCGTTGTGGGGTATTCGCTAGATTCCAAGCCTGCTACTGGTCTGCCATGGATTTTGGCGTCCGCGGACTGAAGTATGAGGACATGTGTCACACATGATATCCAGCCTTGTGGGTCTCACTGTGGATCGATCTCACTATGCATCTCTTTGTGGAGCCTTGAGCTGGGGATGACGATTAGCGCAAGACGCGGATGTGTTTCAACCGGTCGATGTAGACGAAGACCAGTCCAGGGCTCGACGCGTAACTGTAGTAAACGACGCAATTATTCTCGGAGCTCAAGTTCGCGTAGAATAACCGTAGCGTGAACCAGAGTCGCGAAGCGGAGGAATTGCCTGTCCGAGCAACCATAGATATCACCATGTAGCGTTGACGGCGCAATACCAGGCCCCTACTCCTCAGCTGCGTGACTATGAGTTGACATCAGCAAAGTGGAGTGTCGCGATGTGCAAGCAATAGCGTCCTATAGTCCTAGAAATGCCTTCCTGTCAAGGTGCAGTCCCTGATGAATTTCGCAAAGGCAACGCGGTTATGTTGACTTGTTTGCTCTGGGCCTGCGGCGTCCGGTCAGAACGTGCATCTCCAAACCCCACAATCCAAACAAGCCCCTGATTCAGAACCTCAACAACGACGCCGTGGATACAATTTGCATGCTTTGCTCGCTTAGCGAAGCCAATCAGTCGATAACGAGGTGTGTTTGGTGGTACAAATCCAAAAAGGCGTGTGTAAGGGCGATGGCGTGCATTCCGCAGGCCAGTTCCGAGCAGGGAAACCCCCCAGCCGCATGTCGACACGATCGTCCGGAACCATCCGAATTTCGGATGCATGCAACATGCAGGAGAGATACCTTGACGTCTGCATCTATTGGTAGGAAGACGGTACCAGTGGCTAGTGTACCAGGCGGGCTGGCCGAGCTGATCGGGACCCACCTGACGAGCACATCAGTAGTCGGCGTGGTAGGCAAGGTCTAGCGATTGGCTGCCAAACTGATGACTCCGCGGAGCTCCAGCGTAGCCGGGTAGTTGGGTCGATGGACAGCGTAGGTCCTTTGTGTCCAGAATCTGCTTTGCTGAAGCAGCATGTAGAAGTCGCAGAGTTTGATGAAACTTCACAAAATTGCCAACACGGGGGCCTTGCATGAAACCGACGCATGTTGACCGTTCATAAAATGGTTAACCATGGAGGTGGGCCTGCTGTCAGGATACAAACATGAATGCTACTGCAGCCATCCGCCATGTTCACGGCGCTCGGACCATGCGACATGTTTTAAGAGAGAATAGCTCCATGGCGTTGCCTACTCCACTAAATAGACAGATGGCGACCAAGTAGCACCCTGGCAAATGATCATTGAGGAAGGGGCAGGTAGCCCTACAGGTTCTTGGTGTAGGAATGCGGACATTTGACTGGTGCAACTCGTTCACCAAGGGCTGCGGCAACGGCTGGGAGAACCATGGAACTCAAGGCTTACAACACTGTACAGTAGGCGCGCATGACTACTGCAAGCCACAAGGTAGCCTTGTCTGGCAGGGTCTGCGATTCCAGTATGTGTAAGGGTGCTTGGCGCGGAGCCCTGGGCCACTTCTCGTGGTGGAGGGGCTGAGCGCCGTTTTCAACTGCAAGGCACGGTCGACGATGGTATTTTCAACTCCGGGCCGGTGAACGGACCAGTAGGCGAAGTCACCTATCATCGATACACAATCGATTGCTAGTGGGGACTTGCTCGTCCAAAAGCAGCGAGAAGTTCCTATCGCGGAATGGTCGCGAAGCCATCACCAATCCGGCTGTCTCTTTGTCCGGGTTCAGACGAGCAAGTGAATTACACTGTACGTGAGCAGTCGAATTCGAGGCCAAGTAGTCGGTACAAATATCTTCTCTGGACTGACCTTCAAACAAAGAATCGCCTTCCGTCACTTGCATCCAGAAACTGCTCAAGCTGCTCGTCTACGACAAAGAAACGAGCCGATACACCATAACTCAGACGATCCAGAAGATCCGACTAGTAGATCTGTGTCGCATAGTCATCCAAATCAATTGCCAACGTGCCAAAGCATTGGAGCCGGTGAAAAACGGGTAGCTGCAACAGGTTCGTTCCCTGAACACTTTGCGAACTGTTATGCATCGACGCAATGAAGCAAACACACCAGCGCAAAGACTTAGCCTATCCCGTTACTGACTTACATTTAGTTCCATATCTGAACTAAGACATTCTCGTTGGGAAGGCTTCTGGAATTCTGTCGGAACAGTAACACTCGTCACTCTCAGCAGTGAAGCATTGGACGCTTAGCATCAGTTCTGTTCGCAAGCAGTTATCGCCACCGAAAATCGCTCCAGCGTTAGTACCGTTACTTACTGGTATTGATATCGCCATACGTTTCGGCACAAGCTCAGGACCTGCAATCCGCTAGCACTATTCACTTCGCATTGTTGGCGACTTCCATCATTCCAGTCGGTGTGGGCCTGCTCCTGCTCTCAGTCTTTACTTCGTCATGAGAGGCGAAACGCTCATCCAACAACATCCCCCCACCCCGCCAAGTACTGGTGCGGAGTACCAGGTGGGCCTGCAACATATTGCGCATTACAACACAGCGCGTGGCTTCGCCTATGCGTCTCCCAGATCGATAGCGCACGAAGGGATCCCTTCGCATGGGTCACATGTGGTAAGCCATCCTGGGGAGGGACACGGTCTCGGTCTTCAATATGTGAGAACATTGTCGATACCACATCGAAATGCAATGCTGATGAACATTCAGGATGGTTATGGTCCTGCCGGTGAATACTATCACGATAGACAGTATGGTGGGTTGCCAGTGAGTTCACCTTTAGTGCACGCCTTCATCCATGCAGCAGCTGACGTATCATAGAACGAGCAGCCACTATTCTCGCCACCAACGCCCAGGTCCACAGCTGATGATGATGTCGAGCGAAGAACGACGCGAAATGGGCGAGCAGTTGCAGCATCCAGTTCGCCACGACGAAAAGAAGCAAGTCCACGACCAAAGGCCACACCAAAGGCAAAAAAGCCGAAGGCTTCGAAGGGCGAGAAGGCAGCGACCCCTAAACTGAATGCGCCTCTGAGCATATTGACGGCAGGACTACTCCACATTCCTGTCAAGAACATGGAAGAGTGGGTCAACAGGTCGGCTGACACCAGGAGAGACGAAGCAGAGAAGCGGAACGGGTACATCACTCGGCCCATGAACTCGTTCATGCTGTACCGATCCGCGTACGCAGAGAGGGCCAAGTCCTGGTGCGCGCAGAACAACCACCAGATCGTGTCGTCCGTGGCAGGCGAGAGCTGGCCATTGGAACCCGCTGGCATCCGTGACTTGTACAACGAGTATGCGAAGATTGAGAGGATCAACCACCAGAACGCACACCCGACATACAAGTTCTCTCCAAGCAAAGCGGCGGCTCCACCCAAGAAGAGGAAGGGTGAATGGTCCGACGATGAAGAGCCGAGCGATCTCGACGATGCTGAGTGGGCGCCTGGTAGCGGCAGGACTCGTAACAGGCAAGCAAGGAGGATTGAACGGTCCCTTAGCTACCCCTCGAACGGCATGAACCCGGAATTCTTCGACCAGCGCTTTGGGCCCAATGGCCATGGAGTCAACAAGTCCTCGTGGGAGATTACGAACGAGGGAAGGCCGTTGCCGATGCCGATGCACCACGACATGTACAACCAGTATTACCAGACTGCTGCGTACCCTGCCATGATGGGCGCAAATTATCAGGAAGACATGCGCATGCGAAGAGTTGGTATTCCAGCCCCTCAGCCACAATTCTCGTCAGACCATGCCCTGTTAGGACTTCCTGGAGGCAACTCGGGCGACCTAATGCAGCAAACGCACTCGCACGTTGGCAGGCCCTTCGAAGATGGCCAATTGGATCCGATGCTGCTGGCTTATGATGGCAGCCACTCCGACTTCGATCCAAACGCGCTCCAACACGGCTACCGAAACGGCCATGGCATCATGCTCGACGCAAGGCTGGAGCAGCATGATATCGATAGCCTTCTGGAGATCTCACCAACGCGCAACGACTATCATTCTGGCCCGTGGCAGTCCGACCCAACCATGGTCTCACTTGAGCAGGAGTCTGAGTTCGACAAGTGGATGGGTGAGCAACAGTAGTGCACGAGTAAAAGAATTTCTTCCTGTTGCTGTTATTATTGTTGTTATCGTAGATTTGTTTCCTTTTTTTGTACGCGACTATTATACTCATAACAATCGCTCAACGCGATAAGCATGCATGCTTATGGAGTTCTGGAAGCTGGAGATACCCGTTGCCATGACGCGTTGGGTTACATGCAAGGCGTTGGTCGGATCGGAAGCTCTTGAGCTTGTATCGCATTACAGGCGTTCCCATGTACTTGTAGGCTACTGTTTCAATGTAAAGACAACCACTGTCCTTCAATCTTGTCGCGCTTTAATCAACTCGTATGCTTGTGACAAGCTGCAACTGAAGATATGCCTAGACAGCATCGAAGTGACATGCCAAGACCCATCGTGGGACTGGTGGACACGACCTGAGCATCGGCAAGCTACATTGCGCGGGAGGATTCGCAAGCCTGGGCCAATAACCGGGAAGGAATCAAAGTGCGCTCTCAAGAACCGCGAGCGGCGCACCCGAACTCGGGTGTAGACTGGGATGATTGGGTGTTGTGAAGATGTTATCTTGTAAGGGATCTCTGGAAGGAGGAAGAGATGTAGTCGGACTCGGCGAGGGCATGGACCACTTATTTCGCTACGCCACTCGCACCTGCCTTCGCGACGCGAACGCGCCTACCCATCCATGTCATGGTGGGGGGGGTCTAACAAACAAACAGGCCTTTTCCGCTTTATGCTCCAGACCTTTACAACGTGCGAGTGACTGTACTATCACAAAGGCTGCCGAATACAAAGATAGTACTCATATACATAAAGTCACGGAAACGTCCAAAATGTACGGCGAAACCGCCAACAAGCTCGTCCAAAATGCCAAACGCACCCAGGCCCTCCCGCACCTCCCGCCATACGCTTCGGACCTATCACGCACCATCGTTCGGGAAGTCCGTGACCTCGACCGTGATGTCAGCGCCATACTCGCCCCATACGGCAGCTCCTTCAACCCATCGGCCGACCCGTCCACCGCATGCGCACTCCTCGTGAACCACCTGTGCATGCGCCGCAATAAGCGCTGCCTGCTCGCCTATCACAAAGTGCGCACCGAAAAGCTGGAGGGATACTGCTGGGAAGGCATCGACATCCTTGAGCAGACAGGCAGCGGCAAAGAAGGCGAGGGCGGCATGGCAGGCAAAAAGGAAGAAAGCAGTCTGAGCCCCGAAGAGGAGGAGTACGTGCGGCAATACAGCGACTTGTTGGCGGCGTACAAGGGCCAATGGACAGACATCGATTTGACAGGGAGTTTGGAGCCACCGAGAGATCTCTTCATTGACGTCCGCGTGCTCAAGGACGCGGGCGAGATTCAGACTGAGTACGGGTACGTTGGCCATTTGTCAGGGTTTCGTTCAAGCACAGCCGTGGAGACTGACCTATTCTTAGGTCCATCACTTTGACGAAGAATAGCCAGTTCTACGTGCGTCATGGCGATGTGGAACGTCTGATCGCACAGGGATATCTTCAGCGACTGAGTTAACGGGATCGATGAGTCGTTGAGAAGTAAGGACTGAAAAGCAAAGCACTCAATCCCGCTGCAGCAATGTGCGTTGCACTCATGTGTCACAACACTTGCAACTATGTGCGGAATCGCCAGCACAACCACTTTCCGTATGCGACGGAACGCTTGGGAGTTATCGCTGCGCCATGTCAAGGTAGAAGAGCCTCAAGATGTTCACAAAGCTGGGACAGTTCCGGCATGATATGTGAGAGGCGCATATGTCTTCGGGGCCTATCATTAGAGCTACAGTCTCGACATTGCACACAAGATTCCCGTCTGTCTAAAGTGTTCTGTTGGACGTGCAGGGACGCGGTGTGGTCTTTTGGCCTGGGATCTGCGCTCTAATGCGCGTGTTGGAACGTCAAGGGATCTCCCCACGCGGATTGAGGGCTGTGTGTACATTCTACAAGCTACCGCCGGGAAGGCTGGGTTATTGGAGCTCTGGAAAGGACACCATCAGGAATGCTAAGAATAGGTCTCGAAAACACACACTACTCAACCAGTGGCTATACATGCAAAGTCAGCTGGGTACGATTCAGTTTACATGAATTATTGTTCTAGAAAGGTCACGCATGTGCATTGAGGGACATGAGTACTATTACGACTTCATTCATTCTTTAGCTTTTCTTCAAGCTCTCATATTCATCCCCACTGGCCATTCTGCATGCATTCCGTGCGTAATCTTGTGATCGTCCGCCAGATGCAACATGTTGAACATGGTGATCCGGCTTCTGTGCACGTCGAGTGCCGACAATGCGCAACAACCAGGAAAAGTATTGTACCTAAAAAGAGGTTATGCTGGTCAGAGAATTTCTTCAATGGGGAAGAGAATGACTTACAATGAAAGGCATGCGGAGCCGTTTTTTGAAGACCGTTGATGCCCATACCTCCAAGTCCATACTCCAAGTCGAAAGACTGAAAACCCCAGAACTCCAAGATTTTGTTTGTCGAAGTGAGTCACATTAAATTTATGACAAGGGAGGGGAAATGGGGGAGACACAAGGTGACTAGTCTTGGCCGAAGTTAGTTTTATGCATACCTCGACTTATGACATGACGCTGTAGCGGCCTGTAGGGCCACGAGTTGAAGCAGCCTCCTCTGCAGCAACAGTGGCATCTGTCAGGAGACGAGTGAGCTCCAACATCGCCTGAGTGACAACACCTTCGGTATCGCCTTCGACGAGAATGTATAGCTTGGGCAAATCCGTTTCTGTAGAGTTTTTAGTGTGCACTTGAGTTGAAAAGCCTATGTCATACATACCTCCTGGTTCTTTGCCTGGCCCATAAAAGTTGCCCTTTGTGGTAATGGACACACCGGTCGCATCCAAAATCTTGGCGACGTTGGTGCGATTGGTAACTGCCCATCGCGCCTTCTGGGGAAAGTCGTTGATCTCGAGGGTGGAATGGTAGAGGCCAGCATCCGGACCCTTGTTGTCGATTGGCTGGCCGGCGTGAACGGTGCCCTTCCTACTCAAATTGCCATCGATCTTCCTCGCAGCCGCCATGGCTCGCTCTTTAGCAGTCGTTGGCTTGCCAGTTTCAGCGCGCTCAGTCTTGTTGACGACTATCTTGCCTAACAACAGCTTCTTCCAGGCTGGCTCATCTTGAACCGGCTCGGCAGCAGCGTCTCCATTCGTAGATTTAGCGACACCCGGACCGGACGCCTCTGGCTTCTTGAGTTTGGGGAGGTCGGGTTCGTCGTCGCTAGCGTCATCATCGCCAAGCTTGAGTGCACGCTTCTCGCGTTTCTTGTCCAAAGCACGCGACGCATCGAGCTCGTCGAGACCCTTGCCTTTGAAACCAACATTATAGTACTTCTCGGTACCCGACTTCACTTTCTCATGGAAAGCGTTAGCCATAGCTTGTAGATCATCAGGTACTTCTGCTCCGCTTTCCTTAAGAGCTTTGACAATGTGAACAGCAAAACGCTCCTGACCAGGGTTCTCGATTAGCGTAACAGCAAGGCCCTTGTTGCCAGCACGGCCAGTACGACCACACCGGTGCACATAGTCTTCCAAATGTGTTGGGCAATCAAAGTTATACACCAAGGCTAGGCCGGGTACATCGAGACCGCGAGCTGCCACTGATGTGGCGATCAAAATGTTAAGTAGACCTTGCTTGAACTCGTTGATAGCCTCGTTGCGATCGGTTTGATCTTTTGCTCCATGAATTGTGTTGACGGCAAAATACTTAGCCTTGAACAGCTTAGAGAGAAGATCCTCAGCTGTCTCCTGACGCTCGGTGAAGATAAGGACCTGGGCATTCTCATCGTCGCTGAAGGTCTGGCCAAGGTGATGAAGTAGCTTGGCAATTTTCTTCTCATACGAAGGCGGTACGATAGTGATGTGCTGGGTAATTTCAGGTGCAACCTTGCTACGACCGCCAATAATCACTTCTGCTGGCTTGTCAAGAGCCTTCCTCGCAAGAGCAGCCATGGTCTTGGGGAATGTGGCTGAGAAGAGGATGGTCTGGCGATCAGGGCGGATACTGGCAAGAATTTTCATGACCTGAGGTTCGAAACCCATATCGAACATGCGATCAGCTTCATCAAGAACGACGTAAGTAATGCGCCTAAAGCTGAGCACTCGACCGGAGTTGCTCTGCAACAAATCGATAAGACGGCCAGCAGTCGCACACAGAATGTGGATGCCGCCTCGCTTGATCATAGCAATCTGATCGGAAATAGGTTGACCTCCGTAGGCACACTTGATAGTGATGCCTGACGCGTTGAGGAAAGGTTTCAGCTCATTCACGATCTGCAGAGAGAGTTCTCGAGTGGGAGCCAAGATCAGGCCGATGGGTCCATCAGCAGGCTTCAGTGGACGCTGATCGAGCACATGGCGAATCATTGGAATACCGAAAGCAAGCGTCTTGCCAGATCCAGTTTTGGCAACTCCGATAAGGTCACGACCTGATTCAGCAATAGGGATAGCCTGAGCTTGGATAGCAGTGGGCCTCGCGTACCCAACACGAGTGAAGACATCCATGGTTTGCTGAAGCAGCCCCATCTGGGCCCACTTCGTGACTGGACGAGGCACGTCGTCGGGCTTGACTTTAATGCCATCGAGCTCGTGGCGAAGATCTGCAACGTCTTCGGCAGACATCTGAGTGATCTCGGCAGGCTCAGTGTAGAAGTCTTTGCGGAATGGCTCGTACTCAACTTTCTCATGATTGATCGTAGGCACCTCTTTCTTCTTCTTCTTGGCAGCACGAAGAGCAAGAAGGTCCTCGCCTTCGACAGCGGTCTGCTCAGGTTCGAGGTCGTCGTTGAACATAGTCTCGCCTTGCGGGGCGGCCCGGCTTGGCTGTTGAGGCACAGAAAGATCGGCCATGAAAGCGTCAAGGGGGTCGACGTCATCTTCCTCGGCGCCTGCGTTATCGTCAACGTCCATCTGGTCGCCAGTGTTGTCGGCAGTAGGAACTTCTTCCATGTTGGTGTCTTTGTCTGCAGCTTGGTCATGCGAAAGTTCAGCCCGACGTGACTGGAGTTTGGCTTGTAATTGCGCGTTCGTCTCGTCATCATCAGTGCCGATATCGCTCATCGCAGCATCATCCTCGACACCTGCTGTGGTCTCAGGTTCATCGTGTGTTGCAAAGACTGGTAGAGCTTGAAGCTTGCGCTTGCCAGTATCGATCTCGTCATCGAGAAGAGCCTTCGAGGAGATGTCCTCCTCGGCCGTAGACTTTGTCTTGAGGCCGAAGCTGCCTATGTTGCCATTGGCCTTGGTGGTGGCGGCGGCGGCGGCGCCATCTGTCTGTGTGAGCTGGTTTGAACACTTGTAGTCAATGTGATGGTACTTACTGGCGGCTGCAATGGCCACTGGCTTTCCGGCTGGCTTGGCAATGAGTGGGCGGGCTGCGGCAGACTCGTCAAGCTTGAAGCTGGACTTCTCCGGCTGCTTCTGCTTCACTTTCTCAGTAGCGGGCTTGGGTACCTTGCTCTTAGCGACAGTGGGTTTGGCCTCCCTCGGTGGAGGCGTGGCAGCAACTGCTGGGGTCGAAGGCACACTGCCGGCTGGCGAGGCTCCTGAGCCGGGTGTGCCTGCCTTCTCTTGGGCAAGACGCTCAGCTTCTTTGCGCTTCTTCCACTCAAGAAGCTTAGCAGCTCGCTCTGCAAGCTTGTCCTCCTTTTGCTTCTCGGGATTAACCCTCTCTTCACGTGTGGCAGCGCCTACACGATCATACTTGTCCGGGGCCGGTGTGGCTGAAGCACGTCCCGAGCCTGGCCGACGTGGCGGGGAACTTCGACGCCTGTCCCTATCATCGCGACGGTCGTCCCGGCGGTCGTCCCGGCGGTCGTCTCGGCGGTAACGATCATCTCGGCGGTTCTGTGACCTCTCGCGACGGGGTGGTGAACGTGAGCGGCGGCGGTCTCGGCGGTCGTCTCGACGGTCATCGCGGCGGTCGTCTCGGCGGTCGTCACGTCTATCTCGAGCACGGTCACGGTCGTCACGACCTCTGCCACCGCCGTAGCGATCTCCGTAGCGATCTCGCGAGCGATCTCGGCGGCCTGGAGACCTCGAGCGGGCACGGCGGGGCGGAGAGTATCGTCCACGGTCGCGGTCGAACCTTGAACTATCAGCGTGGCGCGTCGCCATGTCGACTCGCGGTGCGTTACTGGCTGATACAGTGCAGTAGAAACGGTTCCTCGAAATCGCAGTTCGGTGCGGCGACTAGGCGGTAGTCGCGTGGTTGTCGCAGTTGAAGTGACGGAGGTGGAAGGAGTTTGTAGCTTGCATAGTCGGGGTGGATCGCGCTAGCGCTAGCGCGATGGCCGTGCATCGAAATCTTGGCCAAAAATTTTGGGAAGCTGCACCTCGGGGTGAATTTAACTTTTCCACAAAATACTGTCAAAATGTCTGTTAATTCGCGCAAGAGGAAGGTAGCGACAAAGGCTGCGCCTGTACAGAGCAGCTCGGATGAAGAACTGGCGGATGGTCTGCTCGATGGCATCTTGTCGCATTCGGAAGACGAGTCGGAAGACGACCAGGATGCAGAGGATACCGATGCGAGCAGTGTGATCGAGGGGTTATCGGACGAGGATTTTGAAGACGAAGAAGATTCAGGCGACGAGGCCGAAGAGATTCGCAAGCAGATGCGAAATCTCAACACCTCCGGAGGCTCACAGCAGCGCAAGACAAGACAGCCAGCGCATGAAAGACTAGACGACGGCGCAGATGGCGAGTTGGAAGGAGAAGAAGACGAGAGCTTAAAACCAAACTACACTGTCACGACCGATGCGCATGGTCAGGTCCGTTACCTGTACAAAGAAATCGACCCCGTCTACGAGTCCGACGATTCCGATGCTGAGGCGACCAACACGATTGGAAACATTCCTCTGACATACTACGACGAATACCCACACATTGGCTATGATATCAATGGAAAGAAGATCATGCGACCTGCGAAGGGCGAGGCCCTCGATGCGCTCCTGGACAGCATCGACATACCCAAGGGATGGACTGGCCTGACGGATCCTCAGACAGGCAAACCATTGAATCTGTCAGAGGAAGAGCTAGACGTACTGAAGAGGTTGACTAGAAATGAAGTTGTAGAAGATGGCTATGACCCCTATCCCGAGATGGTGGCATACTTTTCTGGAAAGCAGGAGATCATGCCCTTGAGCGCTGCGCCAGAGCCGAAACGACGATTCATTCCTTCCAAGCACGAAGCCAAGCGCGTCATGAAGATTGTGAAGGCGATCAGAGAAGGCCGCATTAAGCCGTATAAGGCGCCGGAGGAGCGGGAAGAAGATGAGCAGATTTCGTATGATGTTTGGGCAGATGAAAAGCCTCGTCCTGAGCACTCGATGCACATACCTGCCCCCAAGCTACCTCCACCAGGGTACGAGGCGAGCTACCATCCACCGCCGGAGTATTTACCAGACAAGGCCGAGGAAGAAGCATGGCTGCAAGCGGACGAGGAGGATCGCGAGAAGGACTTCCTGCCCAAAAACTACGAAGCATTGCGCAAAGTTCCCGGGTACGAGACGTTTGTCAAAGAGCGTTTCGAGCGCAGTCTGGATCTATACCTGGCACCTCGAGTGCGCAGGAACAGGCTCAATATCGATCCCGAATCCTTATTACCAAAGCTACCTGATCCCGAAGATCTTAAACCGTTCCCAACCACCTGCGCAGCAATCTTTAGAGGCCAGGAAGGCCGTGTTCGTTGTGTCTCTGTTGATCCACAGGGTATATTCGTTGCCAGTGGAGGCGATGATGGATATGTGCGCATATGGGAGCTTCTGACCGGCCGACAAGTATGGAATGCGAAATTGTCAGACGAGGAAGCCGTCGATGCTGTACAATGGAGACCTACCAAAGATGCTTCAGTCCTGGCTGCTGCCTCCGGAGAGCACGTCTACCTGATTGTTCCCTTTACGCTTTTGTCTCCCGACGTCGAACAATCTAGTCGCGATGTACTGGACGCAGGTTGGGGTTACGCAACTTCGAAACCCTCCACGGCAGCCAATGGCGAAGCCCCGAAGCAATCACCCGGGAAGTGGAGTCGCCCTGGTAGCCGCATGGAGAATAAGGGAATACTGGTCCAGATTGAAGTTCGTTCCGCCGTCAAGATCATCAACTGGCATAGGCGAGGAGACTACTTCGCCACAGTTTCTCCTCGGGGACAAAGTACTGCAGTAGCCATACACACAGTCTCGAAGCACCTGACTCAACTCCCATTCCGTCGCCTCAAGGGAATCGCTCAGACCGCGCAATTCCACCCTTCCAAAGCCATTTTCTTCGTTGCCACGCGCAATACTATCCGCAGCTACGATCTCGCGAAGCAAGAGCTTGTCAAGATCCTGCAACCTGGTGCCAAGTGGATCTCATCCATCGACGTCCACCCCGGCGGAGACAACATCATCGTAGGCACTTACGATAAGCGACTCCTGTGGCACGACTTGGATCTCTCAAACAAGCCTTACAAGACTCTGCGGTTCCACAAGGAAGCCATCCGAGCTGTCAAGTTTCACCAAGGAGGTCTGCCACTCTTTGCGGATGCTAGCGACGACGGTAGCTTGCAAATCTTCCACGGCAAGGTCGTGGACGATCTCATGGAAAATGCTACTATTGTGCCATTGAAGGTGCTTCGGGGTCACAAGGTCAAGAGCAGGTTGGGTGTGATGGATCTGGACTGGCATCCCAGGGAGCCGTGGTGTGTTAGTGCTGGAGCTGACGGGACGCTGAGACTGTGGAACTAGATGGACATGATACCAAAGTAGCATTGAAAGGCGTCACGGGGTTGCAAAAATGCATTGTCAACTACATCTTCTTGTTTTCGCTGTACGTAGGTAGTACTAAGCAATGAGCCGATATTGTCGATCCAGGACCCTGTACAGCGTTCCGCTGCAACGCCCTCGGCTACCAAACAACTCATGTATTGCACCTTCCGTCATCTCACACGACCCTACGGATATTGCGCAAAGTGTCATCTGTCCGAGGTTCACATGTCAGCGGCTAAATGGTGCTCGACGAGACTTTTGGGCCGCGTACCATCGGAAACATGCAGCACGTGCTCGCATGCGACGTCCCCAGCGAACGGCGTTGTGCGCAACGCCCTCGACTTTTGGTCCACCCGTTCTTGTCGATGCGCGCCCACGCAGCGCTCGAGCCAACGCAATAGTCGGCACGCCTTCGTCAGAGCGATCTTATTCGAGGCGCCATGGCCGCTTTGATCTGCGACGGTACTGCTGCAGCCAATCACGGTGCCAAATCCCCCCATGCACTCGTTCGAACCGCAGTCCCCAGGGCTGCTACACAAGAGCCCACGCGACACCCCCAACAGTGATAATCATGCCGAGACAGTGCCCTGATACCGGTAGTCTCTTTAACCCCTCAACTCCAGTCTGCTTCTTTGAGCAGACGCTGGATACCGACGAGCTCGTCCCATGAACATCACGGCTGCCCGATCAATCATGCCGAAACCCAGCTTTCCGCCGACGCCAGCAGCAAGCCTCGACATCACAGGCGACAGCAGCGCAAATGCCCCTCGGTTGGAGAACGGCTTCACACTCCCTCCTGCGGCTTTGGGTGGTGGTAGAGGCAGTGTAGCTAGCTCGTCCGGACCGTCTGAAAATGCCTCAGATTCCTCCTACCGACCTATCTCGCCATCGTCCCCGGTCGCGAGCTCCAAACCTAGCCATGCGCGGAAACGCTCCAGTACCACTGCCCAACAGGGTAGTGTCGTCACCAAAGACGATTACTCTCTCCCCCCTCCACCAACAAGGTCTCGCAAGATCATCCAGATGAAGCCGAAAGATCAAGAACCGGCCAAGCCGGCACAGTCGCAGAACACCAAAAGTCAAGCGCCCGCAAGCACAACAAGTGGCACCAAAAGGAAACAGGCGAGCAATACCAATGCCGCCGGGCGCAAGATCGCCAGGAAGACGGCGCATAGCTTGATCGAGCGGAGGCGGAGGTCGAAGATGAATGAGGAGTTTGGGGTACTCAAGGACATGATTCCGGCCTGCCGGGGCCAAGAGATGCACAAGCTGGCTATACTTCAGGTACGCCCACCCACTTCCAGTGTCAGATGGCAACATGTGCTCACTTCACCAGGCCTCGATTGAATACATGCGATACTTGGAGCAATGCATCTCAGACTTGAAGTCTGCGCACTCCCGTCGTGATTCGCCCTCGTCTGTCGTATCAGTTCCACCTCCACTCCGGCGCATACAAGACGACGACGAGGCAGACGAAGACGACGACGAGGATGAAGAAATGGAAGACGCAACATCCCCAACGCACGTCGCCAGTGCCGTTCAAAAGTCGGTGTATACCTTCGTGAACCCCTCACCATCGCCAGTCATATATCCCTCAGACCGAAGTGTGTATAGCAGTCACTCCACAACAACTTCCCCGGCAATTCTTCCCCGCGATAGCGGCCACGGGCACTACTCGGCGAGCACACAGTCCTCGGACCCACATCGCTACTCCCTGACCTCATCGACGATCCGCTCCACTGTAACTTCACCCTCGATTCAAGCCTCGCCAGCTTTCAGTGCCCACACCCCGTCTGCTACACTATTCAGTAATCCTTTTGGGAACGGACCTCCGAGTACTGGTCCGCTCGCGGCTCCTGGGTCGTCTCACGGTGCAGCCCCGTTCTCGCTCACATCGCCAGCACTGAAGCCTCAAGCCGATCGCGAGGACCACGAGGCGACGGAAGCCTTGCTGATGTTGAACACAGACCGCAGAAGCTGGAGTGGAGCTCGAGGCATGAGTGTCAAGGACATGCTCAGTGGATAAGAAGCCGCGTCTTGGAGCTATACGCGACTATTTTTGTTCAGAAGTCAGTGCTCGGATCCCTCATGTTTCCGGGGCTTAAAAGGATGGTCTCTTCGTGGTCTCTTAGACGCGTGCGATTGTTATAGATGCGTGGTTATGATTTTATCGGAAAAGCATATGCTTTTCTCTAGCATCATGTGGGCACGACACGGGGCAAGGGAGGGAAATTGATTTACTGCAGAGGCGCTGGAGGTCATCTGCTATACTTTGCTGTCCCTGGCCGGATTATGAGATTTTGCTTTTGTGGCCATTGTCCATTGTGCTTTTGTTCTCAAAGGAAGGATTAATGTAGTACGGAAATGCAATGTTTTAGCCACCTGCTCATGGTAGGACAAAGTCTCGATCATCATCACTAGTGTTGATCCTATCGCTGTTATAGTAGGTAGCTGTCTTACCGTGGGGACCCGGGAGCCGGTGACCGAGAAGGACCGATAGTGACTAAATACATATATACCAACCTCACCTCAACGTTGCCCTCGTGAACATCATGCACAATAGCAGTGTGTTCAAACTGCGTGACTCCGCCTACGTTATGCAGCATGCTGGTGTCAGCAACGCCAATCAACCACGTGGACCAAGGCCACCCAAGGTTTGCCCCTTGGCACGGAAGATTTCCTTTGACAACTTAAAGTCAACTTCAGTCTGTCACTTCTGTCACATTGTTTCTCCACCTTTACAATACCCTTTGATAGATGAGGGTACTCAGTCGGGCGATGCACCAGCTGTACGATGACGCACAAGATGTGGTACTAGATTCCACTTAGCACGTATATCCCCTACGAGTACCTGCCGGACTTTCATGAAAGCCGCCTCAGCAAGGCAAACAGAGCATATTCATCGGGACCCCGTTTCATTATCGTCTGTAAGAGTGGGATTACGGAATCATGGTGGCTACTGAGCTGCGCAGCACAGTCAGAGATCACAATCGCTCTGCATTCCTGGAACATATCGGAGGATAACAGCCTCCGACGGGACTCGAAAGGTGTTGCTTTCCGAGCCCAGGCTCGTCAATGTGGGCCATTCCTAACGCTCTTTGGGTGCCTCGTCGGCTCTTGGCGAAAGAAGAGTCATGCTCTCGCAGGGCTGAGACGGCGTCGGATTCAAACTTCGCACCGAGCAACAATGTCCTTTACATTTCTGCACATGCAAGTGCCGCAAGCCACCTACGAAGTAGGCAAATGATCCTGAGCTTCCTCGGCAGCGCTGCACCAGGTTGCTCAAGCTTTCAGCTGCAAAAGATGCACGAATGGTCGCAGTCTAAAAGCCGACCCCGCGCAACCCATCTCGCTCTCTTGCTAACGCCGTGCACCGAGCATCCACACGCTGAACGCGGCCTAGCGCAGCGGAGATAGTGATTGTCCTGTCTTTTCAGCATTTGCGACACGGCCATGTGGAACGCGGGCTAACCTGAAGCTGTATGTGAGCTCCTCTAATAAACTCTGCGTCGTCCTGCTTCGCTCTTCAACAAGTCAAGCTGGTGTCGCATCTTCGCCTGCTACCCTCAATAGCGGCTACGCGTGATCTGCGCCATCGAACATATCGCCACACTTCAACAGTGCTGCGTGGGCCTTGATAATACCTGACATAACGACGAAATCGTTTGCGACCAGCACATAACATAGGATCCATTCGCAATGTCCGCCATACACGAGAGCGACCGGCGCTCGAGGAGCAGCTCGAGGACCAGAATCCAGGATCTAGAAATGGGTGAAGCGAGACCAGAGAAAGAGGAGGAAGTCGTTGAAGAAATGGTGCGTCTACACATCAAACTGTCATAGCCCGTCGTCTAACATTCAGGAGCCAAAACAAGCAGACCAAGACACCGGCGCAGATCTAGAAAAGCATTTGTCGAGGAAAAGTACACGAAAAGACCAACTAGCACCAGAGAAATACCCCTTGACCGATCTTGACAACAACCTCATCGGCTGGGACTCACAAGATGATCCAACAAACCCGCGCAACTTCCCCGACCGGCGCAAATGGACTATTCTCGGCATGGTCGCCGCCATCACATTCCTCAGCCCCCTCGCCTCATCCATCTTCGCGCCAGGCATCCCATTCGTCAACGCAGACTTTAACAACACATCCCAAATCCTAGGATCGTTCGCCGTCAGTGTGTACGTTCTTGGATTCGCGATCGGCCCGCTTATTCTGAGCCCGCTGTCGGAGATCTATGGGCGACGCATAGTCCTGAATGTATGCAATGTTTTTTTCTGCGCATTTACGCTGGGCTGTGCGCTTGCACCCAATCTAGAAGGGCTTATCACTATGCGGTTTCTCGCTGGGTTTGCGGGTTCGGCTTGTCTCACGTTGGGTACGGGGGTCATTGCGGACCTGTTTGTGCCTGCGCAGCGTGGCAAAGCCGTTGCCGTATACTCGATGGGAATCTTATTTGGACCCATCCTGGGCCCCCTATGTGGTGGCTTTATCGCGCAGCGAGCCGGATGGCGATGGGACATGTGGGTTGTGCTCATCGTCGGATGCATCGTCACGATTGGCCTTCTCATTTTCAACACCGAAACTTACCATCCGGTCCTCCTGGAACAGAAGCTGAAGAAGCTTCGCAACGAGCTTAGCCGACCGGACCTTCAGAACATCATGACATACAAAGAGGGCGTGCCTGCACGTACCCCGGTCGATGTTCTCAAGCACGGCATCACCCGGCCCCCTGAAGATGCTGACAAAATCACCCATCGTCCTGCTCTGTTCGCTCTACATGTCCTTCCTATTCGGCCTCCTGTTCCTGCTCTTCACCACGATTACCTCAGTCTTCATCTCGACATATGGCTGGCAGGCTGAAATGACTGGGCTTGCTTACCTGGGAATTGGTATCGGTAACTTCATGGGTATTATATTTGTTGCGAAGACGTCAGATGCGACTATCATTCGTCTAGCGAAGAGGAATAAGGGCGTGTATGAGCCTGAGATGCGCTTGCCGCTTTGCGTCTTCTTCGGTATGCTGATACCGATATCGTTCTTCATGTAAGAGGATTGCTATGCTTGGATATCCTCAAATCACTAACGTGTCTGCAGCTATGGTTGGACTTCGAACTTTAAAGTACATTGGAGTAAGCATTTCCAACCCCAACTGTCAAACTACGCTAATCTTCCCAGTCGTACCCATTATCTCCCTCGTCCCCTTCGGCGTCGGCCTCATGGGCATCTTCGCCCCCCTCCAAACCTACATGATCGACTGTTTCCCGCAATTCGCCGCATCCGCCATCGCAGGAATGACCGCGCTGCGCTGTCTCTTTGGCGCTCTGCTTCCCCTCGCCGGACCGAAAATGTACGAGTCCCTAGGACTTGGGTGGGGAAACAGCATGTTGGGCTTCCTGGCTATTGCTTTCATTCCCGTGCCGGCGCTGCTGTTTAAGTATGGCAAGACGATTCGTCAGCGGTGGCCTATTAATGTGTAGGTGGTGGAGGAGAGAGAGAGAGGAACATGAATTTGAGAGGAGTATTCACGATACCCAGACTAAGCACGGGTACATGGTGCTGATTTGTAGAGATATTGTAATACTATAACGACTAGCATAGACAGCAAGTGTAAAATTCCAGTTGTTCAAAAGTTTTCAAATGCCATCCATAAATTTGCAGAGCTGTGTTCGATTTCCTAGCAATACATCACATACCAATCACTCATCACCATCCCCATCAAAAGCTAGACACACCCAACGACCATCCCCAGAAATCTTACCTTCCACCACACCTACCTAATCCGCCTCCAAGCCACCCATTTCTCCCACGCACTCTCCTCCTCCTCCTCTAACCTATCCTCCGCACATTCGCAACACAACTTTGTCTCCTCAGCAACTTCTGCGTGCCCATTTGCGCACTCGACAGTCATGCCCGATGGGCCGAGGATAGCTAGACCGTGCCCGCAATTTATCAGGCGCGAGGTGAGCGTCTGTTGGCAGGCTTTGCAGCGGGTGATGAGGAAGTGGCACATTTGTTTGGGTTGGGGTGTGGATGGTGAGCAGGGGGGAAGGGGGATGGAGTGGTTTTGTAGGTGGCAAGGGAGACGGGGAGGTGGAGGTGGAGTGAGAACATCATAGGTGTATGAAGCTGGAGGGTGAATATGTGGTGAGATGTGAAGTGGACGTATACGTGTATTTGTACATGTCATGGAGGTCGTGTCGAAACAAGTCAATTGCCACACCCTTGTGACTTGGCCGTGTCTATGTATTCGAGCCCTCCGCGAATCTGACAAGTGTTGACTGCCACTTTTCGAAGTGAGGATGTTCCACATGCGAATTGGCGTGATGCCATGAGAGGACTTTATGCAGCGGTCTCTGACGGCGTGGCGTTGATGACCTATGCGAAAAAAAAAAGTTTCCAAACCTTTAGCCATTTTTCATGATCCTCAAATCTTTCTGTACTCTACCGCGGCTCAAAGGACATGGTCGTGCCTGCTTCTGTTCGGCGATCGTTCCGATATTGAAAGTTTCTTAGATTGGGTGCTTAGTAGAAGTCTCGGAATACTCTTCGAGGAACCAACATAGCCTAAAAGGCAAAAAAGAATACGCAGTCACAGCAAGTATCCTCTGTTTTCCTAGAACAGCAGAAACCTATTAACAAGACGCGCTATCCAGTCTTTATTAGCATTATGTAGCCACCTAAATATCTTGTCATGTTCCCAAGCTGCCTTGGGAATGTCGGCGTCTTCTCCTTGATCATAGTCTCCCGCAAGTAAGACCAGCTCGGTGCCAAAATAGACGCGCACAAGCAATTTTGCTGCCCATTGGGCACCTATTTCTTTGATCATCTTGCGCCGCATTGCGCTCGGGGCCGGGCCATCTTAGTGTGAACGTCCGATCGTTCGAAACAATGGCACGAGCGCAAGGAATGGCGAATGCTCAAGTCAGTGCTCGTTTCGTAGCGAGGGTGTCTAGACCTCGTGATCGTGGTATTATTGACGACCTAGTTCTTATCAATACCTATATGAGCGAAGTTTTTCTGAGTCGTGCCGATTGACCGCAGCTTCAGTCGGGTGTAGTCGTCTCGAGGACGTATAGCATCATTATGGCGCTGCAGATTATCGACAATTCCGTCAGGTATGTCCGACGGTTGAAATTGTTAAGATGACACGATCGTGTTCGTTTGATGAAGCAAGTTGAAAGGCCATGAGAGGAAGAGACTGTTTGCGACTAGGCTCCGAAAGGGGCAAGGCGCGGCCCGCTTGGCGGCTTCCATCCGCGCTGGTGAGGCTTACATGGCTCCACATCCTCACATCACTGCCAGCTGCATCGGCATAGATGACTCTGTATAGCAAGGCCGCAATCGAGGGTCATTGCTAGATCCCCTTGTCCTACACATAGCGACTTAGTTGATCATAATACAAAGTGATTCCTCGTCCATTCCCTGTGCAAACCATGTCTCGCCGGCAACATCACAGCTGCAACCAGCATCTACAAACTCAATACTGTTCGAGCTCCGCACGTTCTCGGAACGGTTCTTATCCCAACACTGTAAAATTCTCCTGATGGTTGAACTAACGGGTCCTGGTTCGGTAGGCGCGGCTCGAGATGTCTCGCAGTCCCAGCGAGCAGGAAACCTTGTGCTAGTACGTCAGATTGATGCAGCACAGAAGAAACATTTTGATCACCAACCAGTCGCATGTGGCACTCGTAAAAGAAACTCAGCTTACGTTTGATACTGGCTGAGCAAGTAAAAGAGCTTCGTATCGTTATGTCGATCCCTTAGTCCTTGATCAGGCACTCTTTGCCCAAAGGCGCTTCCTCGGACATGTGATTTGCGGAAGGTCCCGGGCTGCGCCCGGTAAGGAGATGCTTTGTTGTCACAAGTTTGCAGCTCTACGATGAACCACTTCGCTCCAGACAAACAATTCATCGGCAAACAGGATTCTTCATCGGTTCAATGATCAAATGGTGGCCTAACTTGGTCTTCACAAATGCCTGCGCCAGCGTCTTTATTCACTTTCGGGTAAAGAGCTCGGGGCTGTAGCGTTATGTCTATGCTCTTACACCGCGTGACCCCTGCTGCTTTTACTTGCGTCGTGTCGAGACCGCTTCTCCAAACGGCTGGACACCGGAAACACTAGCACGTTCCGCAGCCAATGAGGACAGTATCAGCAATGACTGAAGACGGTGTAGAGACGATCGACGTCCATCCGCTTTAATGCCCACTTCCCCACGCACTCAGGAGAACGCGAAGAAGTTTACTTTAATGCTCCTACAGTCTCCCCGCCCGGCCGCTTGACCAGCCTCACCCCATCTGCCGGCGACTGGAGAACATCCTTCCTTTCTTTTGTTCATAGCATCTGCATGGCGGGTGTAACGGATGAGCAAAGGAAATCATGGCCAACGCCCAACTATGACACGCCCGAGAATCACGATGGGCTGATTATCGGAATCACCGTACCGTTGCTTGCTCTAGCCATCATCTGTAAGTTACTTGCTCATGCAGATCATAGCCCTAGCTCAACTTCAAGCATTCGACTGTAACAAGCGACCTTGAGTAGACGACTTGACTGTTGATAGCCATGTAAAAGTCTACCACCACGCTTCTGCAACTGCTGACGATGCTACTGTTTAGTTCTAGCAGCACGGTTCTATGGCAGAGGTCTACTGCGCATGATTCCTTGGGGCGGATGATTGGATCATGCTTCTTGCTACGGTATGTACGATCCAGTTTATTGAACAGGCCGCTAATATGACATAGCTCTTAAGCAATTCCAGTAATCAGTATTCCCGATGATAGGTATCAAATTCGGCTTGGGACTGCACATATGGGATCAGAAGCCTGAGTGGTATACGCCTTATTGGAAGGTATGTATGGTCATAACTAAAGCCCGCAGCGCGTATTGCTAAAAGTACTAACACATCTTAGATGGGCTATGCCGCAGACTTGCTCTTCCCAGCAGCATGTTCTTTGACCAAGATATCCCTGTGTGTAACGTACCTTCGACTGTTCCCTGGTAACACTAGCAAGGTGTTCTGCTACGTCCTGGGGACATTTGTCGTATTGTTCTCTCTTGCAAGCTTCTTCCTGTCATTGTTTCAATGCCGGCCGATCAGAGGATATTGGGACCCCAGCATTACGCAGCAGTGTATCAACATGCGGGCTGCGCTTGTCGCTATCGCTGCGCTCAACTCTCTCAGCGACTTTTTAATCTACCTGTATGTAAGGAAACAAACAGTCCTGCACGTGAGCTGACACTTCGCAGATACCCTGCAAAGCCACTTTGGAGTCTACACCTACCTATCAAGCAACGACTGGGACTCATTTGCCTCTTCTCGATAGGATTATTCGTCTGTATTGCAGGCGTTCTGAGGATGTACTATCTCGAGAAGTTTTTCACCTCTTTCGATCCTCGCTGTAAGCCACCTGTTCAGGCTGTCTTATCGAACGCGCTAACTTGATGATAAAGGGAACGGCGTTCCAGTCTGGCTCTGCATGGTACTCGAGATGAACATCGGCATCATCTGCGCTTGTCTTTCAGGCGTAAAGCCCGTCCTCGCAACCTTGCTCCCAATTCTCTTTGGTACATCCTACAGAACACGAAGTGGCAATACACGGCCAAAATGTGGCAACCAGAGCAGGAAGACAACACGGAATGACTCGTTCACATTCGACACGCTTCCCTACGCACACGGCAAACACAACGCTCACAACAGGAACCAATCACACGCATGCTCGATCGAAGCGATCATCGCTGGAGACGACGGGGGAAGGCGAAATTTCGCGTGGGCGAGCGCAAATGGGAATACGGAGGCCAATATTGATATTCCATCGAATGCGATCGGGGTCAGTCAAGAGGTGTCTGTCGAGGAAGAAGACGTGGTTACCATGGCACCTGGAGGCGAGGGGCAGAAGCAGTTGTCGGATGCGGGTAGCGAGGAATGGATTATGGACGCTGGGCCCACGCAATGCAAAGTATAACACCCGGGTTGTTCGAGGTTGTAACTACCGACCCACAAAAAAGACTTCACGATCTTGCCTGACGTCATTTGCGTCGAAAAAACCAAACGAAGACACAGAGTTGAGTGACCTCACAGCCCTCAATTTACACAGATTGAAACACGGCCACACGTTCACTCCCCGGATGACATTCCGAATCGCGGAGCCGCGTGGCTCAGTGGTGTCCAGAACGGGCGAAGTTGGCACGTCGCATGGTCCCAAAGTGTAACGATGACGTAGCGTTGCGCCCTGATCCGCCAGGAACACCTATTCTTTCAGCGCGCGAGCTTTACCTTGACCTTTACTTTATATCTCTCCTCTTCCTGTACCTTAACTCGACAATTCTGCCTCACAAGCATATACGAAACGTCAATTGAACTACCTGAATCCCTCTCATCATGGATGTATGTTGCGCCCTTTGTGGGAGATGCGTGCTGAGATGCTGACGGTTGCTGCGCAGGTCTACTACTTCTACAGCTATGGCACTGCTGCTTGGCTCGGTACGTTCTCTGTTTCCTACTCTGCAAGTCTGTATAACTAATAGAATCATAGCAACTCAAGCTGCGCCCTTGATCGCGTCGCCAACGATGATCGTCGCTCTGCTTAGCCCTGAAGTGCGCGAGGCATCAAGTACGTACCGACCACACAACCTCACGCACGCGAAAGTCTAATGCAAAAACCCAGCTCTCGAAGTCTACTTCTCCCGCACCCTAGGCTTCACCCTGCTTACCCTCGGCGCCCTAACCGTGCTTCTCACCGGCTCTGTCCCACTCTCTAGTCGTCTCTCCGAAGGTACTTTCCCTCTCCCCCAACTTCATCCAAATATCTCACTAACCCTCCCCACCCAGGCGCAACAACATCCAACACAGACCCCAAAGCCCCCTACGCCCTCCCCACGCTCACTATCACGGCAATTTTCCACGCCATTTACGCCTTCTACTGCTACGCGATGTGGACGGAGACGGGGGTGCTGTCGTTCAGCCTGGGCACGCTGGGCTCGACGTTCCTGGCTGCAATTGCGTTTTGGTGTATTTTGTTCGCGAGTAGCAATGGAAGGATTAGTCGCAAGACGGGCGCGGATAAGCGGACGAGTGGGTTTCCGTTCAAGAATACGGAGGCAGAGAAGAGGAAGGGGAGGTAGATGCCCTGCTAAAGTGGCTGTACGCTCTTGGCCTAGCACGGTTGAACTGGAAGCAGTTGGTGCGGCTGGGAGATGTGTGTGCATGGAGTCGCTACTCGGAGCATGAGAAGAAAAAAATCGGAGCATGTCATTGGAGCAAGCGTGTACAACATTAGCCTGGAATGAATTGAAATGAACTGAATTGATAATCAAGTGGTATCTTTTTTTCCCTGAAACCCTAGTATTACAAGCTGGCACTTCCTGCTCCCAGAGCATCAACAGCCATGCGCAAGAACACTAGTACGTACCTGCGCATCACCGCAATGCAGGTTTCGGGCCATCGAACCATTCCCAGCAATCATACCGCAAGAGATCCTCCACATACTCGAACCTGTACATTCTCTCTCTGCGTCTTGCGAGCCCATGCATTCTGTGCCACTCTTTGAGTCGGCGAGTCTTCCTCGTCGCATAATGGTAACTCCGTGCATGCAACCAACTTTGCTGCGCAGGTTCTAGTGATGCGATCCCAGGGATCGGATGTGGCTCTGTTTGTCCTGGAATGGAGTATGTAAGAGGCGCGACTATGATGTGAGGATATATGGCTGTATGGACGGGAATCGGCGGTGGGGCTACAGGCTCAGGACGAGGGAGTATGGGCGCAAGATCTGGAGCGGGAGGAGGCGAGTCCCAATCTATTCGCTGCTGCATGTGTCTGCACAGAAAGCGGTGATACTGCTGATGGATAGTTGCACCCCAGTGGAGGAGACACGGGTCGAAGCAAGAAAGTATGATGCGGACGAGCTAACTAAGCTGCGCTCGTCTCGCGCCGAATGTCTGAAGGCGGTGGGCGCGGGTGCTGGCGTGCGCGCTCCATGACTTGCTGGGGGTCGCGCCACCAGGGTAGCTTGCCGTCCTTTGGCTTGATGGGAAGTGCTCGGGCAGGCGCGACGTCTTGCTCGACTGCATCCATGCCCTCGTAGTCTTCTGGCTCTCCGCGTTCCACGCGTTGCCGGCGCTCGGTGGCTACTTGTGCTTCCATGAGGTTCTCGACCAGCAGCTCCTTGGCCTCCCACTCTTCTTTGCGCACCTTTTCCAGAGCATCTGCTTCGGCACGGAGTTGTTCGCTTTCTTGCTGCGCCCACTGGAGTTGCCGCCGTAGCAGCTGGAAGAGCTCTGGTGCGGGTAGAGATAGCTCTCGTTCTGTAAAGACAATGTCAGGCGGGAACTGCACCATGGTTGGTGCTCCCGGGGCCGCGAGATCCTGTATGTAGGTGACGTTGTTGTGCGCATAGTCGACGTCTGAAGCCGGTGGTATGGGTGCGCTGTTCGTCGGGTGTGAGTGTGATGCTGGCGAGGCTGGCGCGGAGCCCTTCTCGGGCTTTTTCTCATTGGCATTAAGAATGAGCCGGATGCGCTGCTTGTTGTTGGAGGGATTCGAGGAGTGGTGCTTCGGGACGGGGTCTGAGGGGCGCAGAGCTTCCGTCTCGTGTACAGTGCGCATGTGCTTCGCAAGAGCGTCTGAGCGGGTAAAGGAGCGGTCGCATTCTGGGATGTGTTAGTTTAGTCATAGAACATGTCGCGCCGAGGAGACGTACCAGGCAGTGTGCAGTAGAAGGGCTTCTCTCTCGTATGACTGCGCATGTGTGCTCTCAGCGCATAGCCGCTGGCATGTGGGATCCCTTTCCGCGTGCAGTCGCTCCATTCGCAGCTGTACTTCTTCTGGCGCGTGCCGATGTGGTCGTCGTGTAGATGCTCGACCAGGTTGTCCATGTTCTCCAGATCGCCGGCCTCACAGCCCTCCCATTTGCACACGGTCACCTGATCTTGGCCAAACTCGTCGAGATCTTGCGACATGCCCGGGTGGTGGTTTGGCGATGCTGGCACGGAGCCGTCGGTGTCTTCACTGAGCGGATCATCGTCGTCCAGTGGTGGGACGGTGATGGGAGGTGGCGGCGACGAGGGCGCGCGCTGGTTAAGACGCAGGCGCTTGCTTGGGCGTGCTGCATCTTGATCTGGTGTCGGCTCCATGTCGCTGCGCTGTCGGCCCTTGACGTCTTCGGGGAAGTCGTCAGAGGCGTAGTCTGAGAGGTCTGAGCCGGGTGATTCCATGACGGCCGCAGTTATGTGAGTCTGGGAGATGTGAAGGCGAGAGAGTCTTATTCAGGCCGACGCCAGGGAATTGTGCGAGTTGTCCTGAGTGGTTGAGGTCTGGCGCGGTGCGCGTCCACGGCTCGGACGTGGTAGCGAGCACGGACTTCCCAGCTTCCCAGCTTCCCAGCTTCCCAGCACTTTAGCTCCCGTTGCACTTTTTTTGGTTCCCTGTTGCATTCTCCCATTCTTCTCGACACCAACCATCACCGAGAATTCATTGCAACGAATACTCCCAAGCATGCATTGCCACGCCTCGCACCTCGTGAGACCAGCCTTTTTCACGCCATAAGGCTTATTCACAATGACCGTAAGCATACTCTCTGTCACGCCCTCATTTTTCATGATGATTTCAATGGTTCTGCAATACATAGGGTTTTGCCTCACAGCAACTCCGCATGCAGATTAGCCTATACACTACATTTTATCTGACTTTGACTGTTTCGTACATTGCACGATTGCAACTACTTCCGCACTGGCGCACACGCTGACCACGGAACTTTTACAGATATCGCACCTCCCACCTACACAGTCAAAGAGCTCTCCATCATCGCTGGGTACCTGCCTCCTGTGGGCGGGAACTTATCCACCAGCTCCTGTAGCACTCTGAAGTCCGCCTCGCTCAGTTTCGCAGGCTTCGAGTTCTCTTTGACTCTCTCCGACGTCGTAGCACCCGGAATCGGGATGATCGTTGGCATACCCGGCTTGCCGCTCTGATACAAGACCCAGCCGATCGCGATCTGAGCTGAGGTGACGCCCTTTTGCTTCGCCAGCTCGGCGACTGAATCGGCTAGCTTGAGGTTCTCGTCAAACACATCGGGCTGGAAGCGCGGGAAATGGCGGAGCATCGAGTCGGGCTCGAGGTCGTCGAACTTCTTGTACTTTCCAGTCTGATCTGTGTTAGTTTGACCCTGCATGCTGAGAATACTGTGCTTACCAGAAAGCCGCGTCCCATGGGCGAGTACGCGATGATGGGAATCCCAAGCTCTGCGCACGTCGAAGCCACGCCGTTCTCCAGAATCTCGGTTGAGTACATTGAGAACTCCATCTCCACCGCTGCGATAGGATGCACCGCATGTGCCTTGCGGATACTCTGCGCACTGACCTCGCTCAGACTGATGCCGCCGAGCTTTCCTGCCTTGACATACTCGGCGATAAAGCTGACGGTGTCTTCAATGGGCACATCGAGATCGACGCGCGCGCATTCGAAGAGGTCGAGAAACTTCTTGCCGTCCAGCAGGCGCAGTGTCTCATTGATGCTCCGCTGTATGTTCTCCTTGCTGCCACTGATCCTCATCTCCCCGGGCACCATGCCGCCCTTGATGGAAAGGACCACTTTGTCAGCATCTTCAGGATACTTGGTGAAGTACTCGTTGAGCAAATGTCCCGAGTTGCGCTCAGGCGTCCCATAGAACTCGCCGCCGTTCCAGTTGTTAGAGCCGTGCTCGAGCGCGGTCTTCATAGCTTCGATGCTCTGCGACGCGGGTGGTGGGCTCTGCCGCCATGTCATTCCTGTGATGCTCTATTAGCACAACGCACTCCTATTCATGCTGTGTAGAAATCTCATACCCATAAGGCCGAAGCCCACCTCACCGACTTCCTTTCCAGCTAGTTTCGGCATATTCGTTGGTATTTTGGTGCGATTGAACAAAGTAGAGTTTTGTGGTTGTGAAGCTTCAAAGCGTTGGTGGGGTAGCTAGCAAACGTAAAGCACTGGATGATATCATTCTTCCGCCGTGCCTCACCCTCTCTTTATACTGTGATGCTCTCGACCCCGGACTTAATTCGTCCACTATTCGCTTCCCTTGAGCCCATCCTGCGTCAACAATCGCCTGATCATATCGGATTACGCCCCCAGTTCGAGGTGTTAATTGTGTAAAGTCCGTCGGGGTTTTGGAGGACTTTCACCGATGGACTAAAGATGGAGGAGACATGGGCTGTCCGGACGCACGATCTGAATTGAGTACAGGACGGAGAGTGAGTATGCACCTGAGTGGAGTAGATAGCCAACTCATATGGCCGCCTAAAAGTAATTGCAACACTCCACGGCTTCAGATGCAATACGAACTTCGGTAGACCCCTCAAAGCTGACAAGGTACACTTGAGAGCTACCCAAGGAGCCTTCCCACATGCACCGCTACAACTCCTTTTTCCTACCATTTCCCTCCGGCCCATCTAGATCTCTCAGAACAGCTTTGACAGGCCAAACAAATCCCTCTTCAATCCTACCCGTCTTCCCTTCCTCCATCGTAACAAGGTACTCAACAAGCGCCATGCCAACATAAGCGCCAATCCCCGTGAAAATATGCCACCAACCATGCAGCTCGAACAAAAAGCCCCAAGGTAACCCAATGTAGCGCTTAAACATCGTGACGTAAATGCAAAGATGGAAGTCGATGTTCCACAGGAAGTATCCGAAAAGGCCAGACGCTATTTCTTTTATCAGCACACATCACATCACATCTCAACTCCACCAATCCCATAGGAGGGAAACATACATATCCCAAACGTCGCCATCTTGCCCAACTTCTTCCTACTCTCCTCGCTCTTCACCCTCGCTTTAATCAACGCCCTCGTCCTCCTCGAAATCAAGAACACGTAAATCGCAAACACTATCTCGTGCACGTAGATCTCGTCCGCCCATACGTGATACACAGACACCGGGATCAGCGTGCCGAGCACGTAGGCCGTGTACTTGGTGCGCTGGGCGGGCGTCGCGTCGACGCAGAGGAGTTGGTGCAGCAGCGTGCCGACGGCCAGGAACATGGAGAGGTCATCGCCCATTTGGGTGTGGAATTTCAGGGTTGCGTGGAATAAGGCGGAGAGCAGGCCGACGCCGATGAGGCCCCAGTAGGGGAAGGTGAGGGGGGAGAGGAGGGAGGTGTTGTTTGCGCGGCAGGTGCGGAGGAGGCCACGGGTGCCGTAGATAACTTGGGAACAGATCAGTTCTTACTTTGTTATTTTTCCTCTTTGGATTACGGTTGCGAACCATATGTGATGTTGGTCAGGGTGTTGATGAATTCTCCAATGTAGGGCGTGATTATGTAGTCCTGGGCTTTGGTCAGCCATTGACGTCTAAACTTGGACTGCTCATGATCTTACCTCTTCACAAAAGCTTGTACAGGTTAGCTAGGATCCTGACTGCATATATAGATACGAACACCGTAGACAATCTGAACTCACTTGTGATTGGACGTCGTTGGTCCCCATACGCCTACCCTAGGGCTGTGTGGGGGCACACCGTGGGCTGGGGGGTATGGCCAGCGTAATTGCATCTTGGCTGTGGCAGTGCTGCAAGACAAGGAAAAAGAGAGAAGATTGGTGACTCTCGAAAGTTGGCAATGGACGCGTGTAAATCAGGTTGTGTAGCTAGCGGAGCTTTTACCGTCTGTGCTGCACGCGGCACGCTAGATAGGCGGAGAAGATTACCGGGATGATGCACAGCGAAGGAAAACAGATGCGAGTAGGATGTGAAAGCTTTACAATTGGTTTTAAAAACATGTTCTATCCTGTGTCTCGGAGACCTTGGCATTGGTCTACACGGAGAATTGTGGCTTGAAGCATGCGTCTCTGAATGGGCAGTACAGTTGCGTAGTGTCTTGCATGTGAACAACAACCCATCAGCAAAAAGAATACTACAGCACCGGACATCCCACAGCGCAATACAAGTGCAAAAAAAGGGGTCTTGCCGCGACTCGAACGCGGGGCCTCTCGCAAGCTGTGCTTGGGGTTTAACCCTAAGCGAGAATCATACCACTAGCTGATGAATTATTAGATGGGCTCGAAAGCAAAGTAATTGAGTTGAACTTACACCACAAGACCGAGCTAGATGCTTTTGATGAATAATTTGGCAATTGCATCAGACATATTGTTGGCAAAAAGATGACTCAAAGCTGTCTAAACACCCTGGAAACTTGACAAAAAAGCCTCTCACTTGCCTGTAATACGTTGTCCTGTAGTTTCGATTCGCTATGTGGGCGTTGAGCCAGACTGGGGCTAGCGGCGTGGAGAGCGGCCGAAGACGGGTCGAAAGCAACGCAACGCAACGTCTCAACGATCCTCAGCAGGACCGGCGTATGTACAAATGCCCTACACCCAAGAACATTGTAGGTGGTGAGGATATCAGAAACGAAGTCGCGAGCAGATCTACTGATGTTCTCAAGATGTCAAACATGGCAAGCGACAACGCCGTCATGACGCACGAGACTCCTGCCGCAGCCCGATCACCGCTGCGATCACAATATCTACATTTACATGGCACACTCAGACACCAACCCTCAAGTTGTAGATTTGATTGAGGCTCTGCGAACTCCCAGCATTTGGCAAAGTCTAACAGAAACGAGTTCGGATCTGCGAAAGATAGTCCCCTTCCACGTGGAGGGCCGACCCGCAGGCCAGGTCGTGGTGGAAGAGGTGCAGTCTAAACGTCTTCAAGACAGATGAGCGCGAATTATAGCGGACGATGTTTCGGCGCTCTATTCACCGAATGCATCTGCTGATTCCCCACCACAGTCTCCACTCAGTGACGTCAAATCGTGATCGACTTATGTTAGCTAATGAAGTTGCTTGCCGAGACAAATGCCTGGCTTGATCATTACCTGGACCCGCTCATCAACTCTCAGGTGTCCGTTGATACATAGTTATCAGCATCGACGTAGTACATCAAGAGCAGAAAAGTGTTGCATCAGACATATGTTAGAGTTTGAAGGGTGGTCGTGGAATCGCAAATCTTGGCCTTCGGTCACTCTTTTGCCTACGTCAACCACAGCAACGTCACATGTAAAGTACGATGGTGGCCAGCACGGCCACTTCTTGGTACCATCGGACCTTGGAGACCTCCAGATCGCCAAATTAAACTTGCGATCGGACAACAAGCCGTTGATTTAGAGTCTTGGTGCAGGCGCCACCTACCTCGCCAAAGACGGGTGAGGAGGCCTACACGATCCTTGCCCTTGACCAGCTCCACCTCCATGTCCCCAGACCGTTTTCTCCACCAATAAAGTCTTGGGTTCCCCACGACTCCAAGCATGCAAAGACGGAAAAAGAGACGAACGCTAGCTGCCGTCGGTTCTGTTCCTTTTATCCTGGCATCGGTGCTGCACATGCGCGGCGGAGTATTTTCTTCAGCAGGAAATGATTGCCTATGAGCACATGGGCGACGGGGTATACGAGGCCTCCTTGAGTGGTTTATAAACAAGCGCGTACCCCAGAAACGTGCTGCTGCATGCCTGGTCGCAACGTCTGCATTTGACCTCGAGCTGTGAGCGCTCACGTTTTTCATCATGTTCGAGAAGTTCCCAAAGATCTATAATGTCTACTTTCTGGCAATCGTTGCCACCATGGGTGGTATGCTGTTCGGTTTCGACATTTCCTCGATGAGTGCGATTATTGGGACGGATCAATACATGTGAGTTGCTTCGTTGAACTTCCGCCTATGAACGCGCATGTTGATCGTGTTCAGCAACTACTTCGACAACCCCTCTGGTGTCGTACAAGGCGCAATTGGTTCTTCTCTTGCTGCTGGCTCGGTTGTTGGCTCAATAATGGCGGGTCCAATTTCCGACAAGTTTGGTCGTCGCGATGCGCTCTTATTCTCTTGCATATTCTGGCTCGCTGGAACGGCGCTTCAAGTTGCTTGCAATGGCAGAGGTATGCTCATTGCGGGACGTGTACTCAACGGTATCACTGTTGGCATCACGTCTTCTCAAGTCCCCGTATATCTTGCGGAAATTTCCAAGCACTCGCAGCGTGGTGCTATCATCATCATTCAGCAGTTGGCTATTGAGTGGGGTATTCTCATCATGTAAGTCACGTAGCTACACATTCAGAGCTTATGTTCTGACGCGCATGTAGGTACTTCGTTGGCTATGGATGCTCTTATATCGGCGACGCGAACTCCACTGCCTCTTTCAGAACAGCCTGGGGTGTTCAATTCGTACCCTGCGTATTTTTCATGATTGGCCTTCCTTTCCTTCCGGAAAGCCCACGTTGGCTCGCAAAGGTTGACCGCACTGAGGAAGCCCTCCGCATTCTCGCGGAAATCCAGGCGAACGGCGATATCACAAACGAGTACGTCGTCGCCGAATATGAGGAGATCATCACAGTCCTGACCGCTGAGCGTCTCGCACCCAAGAGCTGGAGGAAGTTTGTATATAATGGCATGTGGCGTCGAACACTTGCTGGTTTCTCTGTCCAGGCATGGCAGCAGCTTTCTGGTGCGAATGTCATGGTACGTGCTCGTATTTGAGTTTCATTTGCAAGATGTACTAACTCCGGACTCATATAGACCTACTACATCGTCTACATCTTCTGTAAGATTTCATCATTGCAAATATGCGATATCTCAGCTAATAAAACCCTTCAGACATGGCCAATCTCGAGGGCGAAATCAACCTCATCGCATCAGGCGTCCAATACGCTCTATTCATCATCTTCTCGTCAATCATGTTTTTCTTCGTCGACAAGATCGGGAGACGAACATTGCTTGTCTGGGGTGCAATCACTATGGCCTTCTGCCACTTCGTCGTTGGCGGTATTCTCGGGTCCAACTACACATATGTGCCTGGTAAGTTCTCACCTGATGAAGATTTGTATGTGTATTGACAAGTATTATAGAGGGTGTTGCGGGCAATGCCAATGTCGTGATGCGAGTCACTGGACCGCCTGCTCATACAGTCATTGCGTTTTCATATCTTCTGATCATCATCTATGCGCTTACTCTCGCGCCGATCTGTTGGGTGTACGCGGCCGAAGTATGGTCTCTTGAGACCCGCGCGACAGGCATGGGTATCGCAGCCATTGGGTCAGTACCGGCTCCTCATCCCTCAAGACCTTCAAAGTGCAAGAGCTAATACATCGCAGTAACTGGGTTTTCAACTTCGCAATCGGTCTATTCATTCCACCAGCCTTCCTCAATATCCGCTGGCGCCTCTTCATCGTCTTCGGCGCACTCTGTCTCGGCGGCGCTATTCAATTCTGGTTCACATACCCAGAAACCTGCGGCAAGACTATCGAGGAAATTGAAGTGCTGTTCAGCAATGGTGGACCGCCGGCATGGAAGACGAAGAAGGGTGATTCGCGCCTGCACGATGAGATGGCGGCGGTTTCGAATGCGAAAGCTAAGGAGGAGGCAAGGGCTAGTATTGAGAAGGTTGTAAAGGGTGATACGGGTTTGCACCAGGAGGTTAAACCTGAGACTGCATGAAGGCAAGATTGGAGTAAGGGGAGGTTGGGGATTGAATGAGGTGGGGTGTGGTCAGATTAGATACCCTTGAGTGCAATGGAGAAATTGCTTTTGTGTCTGCATCACCTCTATATGCGTCCCAGTTCGCGAATCAAAATATGTGGAAGGTGATGGAACAAGGTCTAGGCTTGATTGGTCCGCAATTCCCAACCAGTCATCCCCACCTCAAGCTTACCTATCCTTGTAATTAGAATTCATCTAATGATGCCAACTTGTGATAACGCTCAATTTCCCTCTACATAAACACCTTAAAGACCTTGTAGAAGGGTTTCCAAAGCGTGTCTTATGGTCCGGCACATCTTGTGGTTGCTTACCATAATCTCACACTCCGATAAACTCTTCGGATTGGGGAACACTACTAAATACGCATTGAAGATCATGCCAGCTTCAGTGGAAGACCATTCTGTGACGACATCGAAGGTGCTGCTGGCCGATTGATTCGCTTCATGGTGAGCTCGAGCTTGAGCTGAGTTCATTGTGTAACGTTATCAGCTATCGCTGCTTGGTTTTTCGAGAATTAACGTACAAATGATACTCGTCTTTAGCCTATCCTCTAGCTCAGGCTCTTCCAGACGCACATTTGTGAGAGCCTGGTGGCTTGCATTGTGTTTCTGGATTTTGTTCTTTCAATTGGCGAAGTGTTGGATTGGTATATTTCGTTAGCAAAAGCTTGTGAGATCACGCGAAAGGGAAGACCGCAGATACTTCAGCAGTAGATTGCTTCGCACCACGAGTTTTGATGCTTCGCTTGCGTACTTTCCACACTCACACCTCACTCACACCTTCACCAAGCTTATCGGCCACTACCTCAAGACGCTATGACTATTGGCACTCATGTCTAAGACAGTGTTTCGATTTAACGTTGCTACCTAATGCCAGGCTTCTTCACCGAGACATTGCGTCATCACAATAACAAAGACGCGTCAAGGTGAACACGACTTTGAGGCCCCAGCGCGTGACGACGTCAAAACAACATCCCCACTGACTGTCCCCATTGTAACACAACAAGTACGATCTCAAGACAACGACCACTCAACCACCATGTTAACCGAACCTGGTGTAACAGACGGTATGCAGCGAGCCAAACACACCCACTATGATCGTTTAAAGGACTATATCCTCGGTTAGTCTGATTCTCACCATTTCATCATATTTGTGTTAAAATTCCTGCGCAGATCAACTTCCTGTCGCGTACGGCCGACACAACAGCTCCAATGTTCTTAAAGGCTTCTCGATCCAGGCCCTAAAACAAGGCAAAAACTTCGCCGTCACTGCTATCGCCATACTAGAGCCTCCCGCATCGCTCGGTATCGACTTCGAAGTGCTACTGGAGGATAATTTCATCATGAAAACAAGCGAGATCAGTGCTCTTGATGCCATGCAGCAGCTACTTGAAGAGGTCAATGAGAAGATTGACCAGGAAAGGACAGGTAAGCCTGAGATCGATCGCGATAGGCGATGAGTTATCTAACACTTAAAAGATCCTTACGGCGTTAAGGAACAGGCCAATCCGTTTTCCATCTGGTAGATCTACCACGTGGGTAGATGGGTGTCGTTGACGGTGTCATCTTGTCGGCGAACAAAGACCAGACAGCGCAGGCAGGTGATAATGGACACTATACAACTGCCAGCGCGCTTCACATACGCATTCATCTATTAGCCAAGTTCGGAGATTCAGGCCTCAGCATTCTAGGGTGCTAATTATGAATCCTTTCAGAATCATGCAATATTTAAAGCAATCGGTTTGCAGCGTGATCACGGGCAGAAATGCGCAATGATACAAATAAAGCCGGTGAATATATTGTGTACTAAAAATGAAATAGGAAATCGCTGGCATAGTAGCAGAATGTTGATCGACTGAGGGAAGTGAAACCAGCTTGAAGCGTGTACCCAATGACCGCCTGAAACAACAAACGCCAGAATGAGACATGTGAAGCTTTTACCAATCCAAGTGCTCAAATACCAGAGTCAGTCTGCTCATATGGCTTATTCGGGTTACCAGCGACCCAGTACTGGTCCCACTCATCGCACCCATTCTTCAAACCGCTTCTGTCGCCAAGACTGCCTCCTTGCAGGTCGCTATATCGCTCTCCGAATTGCATACTGAGACCTTGGCTAGCGTGCCATGCTAATGTGTTATGTCAGTAAAGGTCGTAATGAGCGTTGTGAGCAAGACATACCGATGTGACAATGAGCGATCCACATTCCAGGGTTGTCTGCAGGGAATGCCATGAGAAGGTAGCCGTTCTTGGGCAATGTAGCTGTATCACGACGAGTCGGGTTGTTGAAGTTCAGACCAGTAGTAGAGCCGTCCCATACGCCAGTACCTGAGCCAAGGATATAGTAATCGTGGCCGTGGAGATGGATGGGATGAGCGAGCTGTACCGTAGCTGTCGACTGGATCCACCACAAGTACCAGGCGTCTTTGTTCTGCATAGAATGCACATTGGAATTTATTCCAAAGTCTTGCGATCCAGCAAGGATAGTTTCCAAAGTGGGATTGTTCCAATCCACGATGTGAGGCGTGCCATCGATCAGCCATCGGAAAAGCTTCGTTGTTGTGTTTTGGCTGGACTTGAGATCAATCTTTCCAGCCTGGCTGACGATGTCAGTGGGCACCTGGTTTGGAACGAAGGGAACGAGGCTGGAGGTCGCCTCGTCTCGGCAAAGAGTGTTCAGGGTGACTGTTGAAGTGCTGGGCGCTGGATCTGCATTTTCAGCGCCGTCATAATGGAGGACAGCTCCGAGCTGAATGCCTTTTGTGAGGATAGAGTTACCACCACACTCTGTGGCTGGCTGCACTCGGAACCAGTAATTCCCAACGGTCTGGTTTGCCTCAATGACAACATCGTAGCGCTGTCCAATCGCGAGCGTAAGCTGATTAGTAGTCCATTTCTTGATGGGTACGAAATCTGCTGTGATGACCGTAAATGGATGTCCGTCCATGGAGACCGTGAAGTAGCTGTCGACAGATGTATTGATGATGCGGATGCGGTATTTCTTGCCCTTGACGACATTCATTTTGGCATAACTACCTTGGTTGGGCCCAGACTTATGAGTTCCGTTCACCAAGATGTTGTCTGGTGCAGGTGGTCCCCTTGTGCTATGTTGCGCCACTTCATTGAGTGTAAGAGCAGGCGTGTAATACCAATCAGTTATCGGCAATGCACCGAGATCCACGTCGTAGTTAGCCGTTGCTGGGCCCTCGATGATCATCGGGCCCACAATACCATCGCCGTACTGAGCTGACCAATGAGAACTATGATTGGGCCTTCGTCAGCGATTGATGTACCACCGTAGAGATGTGATGCATATGAATGGCGATAGCAAGGGGACGACTTACTGATACCAGCTCGTGCCGAACTGCGTCGCTCTAAACTTGTACTGGCGAGTTTTGCCAGGAGCGATTGGGCATTCCGTGACTAAACGCTTTGTCAATATCAGATCTAGTAGCCGCAGTAAATCTCTGCTAACCTCCAGGCACTCCGTCGTGCTGACAAGAGTTCAGTTGCCGAAGGCCGTGCCAGTGAATTCCGGTGCCATTATGTTGGAGATTGTTCTTGACATTAACGACGATAGTGTCGCCCCATTTGGCCCTAATCAAAGGTCCAGGATAGACTCCATTGATCAACATCACTGGTCGTTTACCACCGCTTCCATCAGGATTTGGGATCGTGGTATTAGAAATCTCCAAATCATACTAAAACATTGTTAGTACTGACATGTATAGTTCACGATAGTGCTAAGTTACTGTGACAGTGGTCCCGTCGGGTGGGCTCTTCGCATCGAAGTCGGTAGAGATGCTGTAGCCCTCGCTCCAACATTGCCGAGTTTGTGGCGTGTTCGTGCAAGCGCCGTCTTGTCTTTCCACAAGGACGGGAGCTGGCGGATCGGCTCGCGGAAGTGCAAGAGCGACTGACGCTGCTGCTAGCCAGGAAGTAAATGAATGAAGCAACATGATATAAATTGCAATCTAACGGAACAACGGGAAGACAGAAGTCTGGTAGATATATATTAAAGAAGCTGGCCCGTACCAATAATCAACGGACAGACCCTGGAGCTTATCGTATCAACAACGTGGACAGAACCGGGCGCCAGGTAACGATTTATATTGATTATCACAGGGCTGAGCTGACGGCCTGTGTAATGGTCATCTTCAGCGCTTGCGTTCGACACCGCACGAGACACCAATCCAGGTACGTGCCAACCATCGCATCCTCTGAGCTACACCGACCTCGCCTAGTCTGTATTGAATGTGTGTGTGTGTGTGTGTGTGTAGTCAGATACCCCTGCAGCGCTGGGAAAAAGTGGTCTCCGCTTATTCCAAGACTTTTGCAATACTGGCTTGTCGTCTCTGGCGCAAGATGCACCCCTTTCGCTATCGAATTGGTGTTCACGTGGCGGCAGCGCTGACTACTATTTCCAGACTCAGCGGAAGAGTCAGCTTGGCGAGCCGGGGCCCGGTGGACGATCGAGCTCGAGCTTGTTGGTGGCCTAGGGTTAACACGGCAACAATTTGACACGAAGGTCAGACTCACGTACAAGGTGGCTTAGACCTTTGGCCTCTAGCAGAAGCGTCCTCCTCGACCGACCAGGCCAGATCATGTACATGTCAAGCACGTGCAGCTATCATTCTCCGTCATGATGGCTCGGTAAGAGGCAAACATTGGCCTAGCCTTCGAATGCAGGATCTATTGAATTTGAGACATAAAATGATCCTTGAACGTTACAGCAGGATCTCTAGAGGTTACGCCACCTCGTGTGTGACAGCCCAGTAACTGCGGAAGGGTTCAATATGCGTGCCACCATGGACCCGACTGATGAGCTGGTGGGTCTTTGTATGCAGTCCACTTATGAGTCGGCGACTGTACGGAATAGTGTCTTTCTTTCGAGAAGCTCGGTAATGGGCGGTGTCGATTGACAAGGCGCATCAAAAGTCTAAATATGTCTAATCTGCTATAGGAAAGGCAGACTTACCATGCCTTGTCTTTCTGATGCCAGAAGGAAGTCTCCACCTATGCGGCCCACATGAGAGAACCAATAAAGCTAATAGACAGTGACCTAACGACGCAAGCCACGAGCCTGTCTGTTCGCTGCTTATACCGTTCTGAAGGCAGTTTCTTCGCCTGGGCGATGACAACGTACTGTCTCATACGGCGTGCTCAAGGCCACACGCAGCCTAGAGTAGCCTACGAGTTCCGTCTTTGATATCCCGACGTGTGTAATTGAGCGCGCCTACAGCGTCTCCCTGGCTGCAGGTTAGGGACCCTTTGTGTTCGAGACCGAACCGCTGGGCAATGCAGCCATGATGGGCTGGTGACATGCTGCGGAATCCATGCAAGTCGGCAAGCCCAAGGAAATTCGATACTGGTTCCTGGGACATAAGCGAGAGCTCCACCTCCGGACTACGGCTCGTGATCAACGCGAGTACGAGAACAGAACGTGGTGAAGAAGAAATCGAAGAGTGGATCTCGACGTGACCGAAAGCCTATCTTACGAAGTGCAAGCGACGAACAGGCGAGAGCGAACCAATCACGGCAGTTCTGCGGTGTCAGACAGGCTGCAAGTACATGTATCATATCGACGTTGATAGGAGTGGTGACGTGAGGTTGCCCCTAAAATTGAGCTGGCGGTACCCGCTGGCGCTAGCTAGGTAAGGTTGTGCACAGACGCAGTACAATCCCGACCCGAGTGGCGGCTTGCCTGTGCTCTCTTCATCCTACACCAATAATGCCTATGCAGGACATTTCGCAGCGTCAGATTGTTTCTTACGCCGATGGGGCTTGGTTTCGTAAAGATTGTACGGATGACGCGCTTACTGTACAGCCCGCTGGAAGGCAGTTCAGACTGCCTCAGCTCGATCCCGTGCTCAGTTCGCCAAAGCATAGAGACCTGACAGGTCTATTTGCAGCAACATCTAAGCCGCTTGACTAAAAGTTCACCGCTGGAGCTCGGTTGGAACACGAAAATGATAAGCCACCATCCTTGAGGTATGTACTCAGCAAAGACAACGGCGTTGATACAAGAAGAGCACATCGCCCTTGACGGCTTCGAGGTAGCAAGACCGCTTGTTTTTTACTCTTGTACTCAGCTATGCCGTTCTCCCGTTCTTTCACACTTGCAGCAATTGCAGCACTCCTGTCGTCCGTCATGGCCGACGCGAATGCGATATGTTACTCGTATGGTGTCGATTTTGTTGACGAAGGGAATTACTTCATCAATTCGCAATTATCTGAGCAGTTCAGTTCGGTCTCCTACTTCAAGGGCTGCAATCAAGATGTGGCGGATGTTTTGCTCGTCGAGCCTGAAGGCGTCAACTCTCAAGAGTATCTGTGTGATCAGATGACGACATATCCCAACGACGACTTGAAGACATCGACATGTCCAATCAGGAAGAACCAAATGATTTCAGGACATTGGCGCTTGCTTGTGTTGGGCAACAATGGCGATGAAGGCCAGCCATTCGCATGGCAGAGAGATCTTTATCTGACCGTGGGAACTCCGGTCACAGCCACCTTTACCCCTACTGTTACTTTCAGTATGACTTCAACGCCTGTGGAGACTCAAACAACGACAACTACTTTTACCAATGTCGTCACTACAGGGCCACTCTCAACGGTGACGCTTCCAAGTGGAACCGCGAAGAATACCAAGACAATTACACCTCCACCGACAACAACAACGTCTACAAAGATTATGACAAAGACTTCGCTATCTTTGACCAAGGTCTTCGCTATCACAACCCAAACTGTCACCGCTACTTGTACCACTCCAGGCCTCCCTGGTCATCCTGATAAGCCTTGTCTTTACTCTCCAACACGTCTGCATCCTGCAGCTCTCGCTACCCCTACTACAATCCCCAAATTACATCGTTTTATCCGCAAGGCCGATCGTGCTGTCGACGTTGAATGGGCTCGTGCCCGCATCGAAGCTGCTAAGCAAAGGCGTACCGAGATGGCTCGAGAGGCTGCTGCACCTCTCGAACGCCGTGCACCGGATGCTCCAACCCTGACTGTTACCGCCGATGTACCTGTCAATACAACGACAACTATCCTTGCCCCAGCCACTACCACCACTGAGACTGTTCTTACTTCTGCAACTGTTACTTCAACTTTGCCCCCTGCGACCGTCTTTTCTGGCTTGTTCACCAGCACAATTACGCTTCCGACTCCGACCAAGACTCAGCTCAAGTTGAGCTTCGCTACAACCACCAAAGTCATCACTTTTGGAGCTACTTTCACCAAGCATACCACCGTTACTCCTACGACCTCTGTCAGTGCCTGCAAGAAAGCGGGAGGACATTTCTGGTGAACGTTTCATAGTATTTGTTTTGGATGCTCCTTCAATTGTCTACTTGATATGCGTTTCATGTATCTCAGCGTCTTGCGAAACCCCCTCTCATCGTTCATTCCGCGCTCGACTGTAGATAGGCATGACATAACGATTAACATTATAATGTTTCTGTTCCAATACATGCAGCTGTGCTTGGAACACATTTTCTCAAGTGCACAAAAGGCTACACTGCCTCACACATCATTCAACCCATGCCAATGTGCGATCTTACCTGCATTTGCTTTGCTGTTCAAACATGCTGCGTCTGACACTGGGACCACATCGCGACTACACTACTTATTGATGCGCTCTAAGAATGTTGGTGGGAGAACCACAGCAAGGGTTCCCTGAACCACGCATTTCAAGTCAGCAGTGCAGCATCGAAGTCCAAGTAACCTTGCTGCGCCACAACGAGGCTTCCAAGCACTAGTCTCACCCCTGCCCAGTACCCCTGTCTTGAGCTGTCTTGAGGCTGTCTTACATGCACCACTTCCGCCCCACAAGGACCCTACACACAAGACATTACTGGGTAAAGAACACGAGGCCCGCACTGCAGGATTCCGGGTGGTACGAGCCACGCTGATGCAGTATCGTCAGCTAGAGACGCAAGTGAACCTGGTGTCCAGAGCGATAATTCATGATCTGCGACAGGAAATCAATGGGTCCCCTCAATCGATGTCCGAAGGTGTGACTCGTGTTTTGTGTTACATCAAGACTTCTATTTGACATCGGCAAAGCAGGGCGTAGCGACGTACATTGGAGCGGACTTTCTTTGAAAGTCAGGAAACGGAGTTCGTGAGATTGATGTTCAGCCTTCTTCAATTCTTGATTTTTGAGAGCTCTCCGGTCCTAAAACAGGATGACTTGCGATGATGCGTTTGTCTGGCCCAAAGGTCTGTGCGATGGGCGGACCGTCAGCTTACTGTCTCCCAGATGCCTCGTGCTTGCTCCGTCAATCTTGGACCGGATCGTGAACATAGATGGCTAGGCATATTTTCAGCTTGTCTGATTGAACTCAATCACGGCAATGCATCGCTCGTAGTGACGGGACGCCTAAGAGAGCTACTTGAGGCTATGACTAAGGCTATGCATCTGTCGCTACCAAAAAGTACATGATCGGATGTACACGCACCAGCCTTATCCCAATAAGCACATCCGCAAGTTCGGACTTGTTTGCGTCCGATCATGCAGTTGTGGGAATGGACTTCGGATGAAGTAGCGAAAGGATTCCCCCACTAGCCAACACACACTACTGCACAACGAGAACCGCGGGATAAAATCATTGGACTCCCGCAACCGCGAGACGAGTACACGGGAAAGTTACACGAACACGAGAGATCGTCAATAAAAGCGAAGCTTCTTTGCGCTGAGACTAGAATCCTGACTCGTTAAGGGTGTTTCTGATTTACTGGTTTCTGTTCATACAGTTTTCATAATAACATGACACGAGGGTGTTGGAGATGCCATAATCCATCGGATTTGTTCGTACCACTGTTGCCTTGACACAGTCATCAGCATCAGAGCAACGCCACAACCACATAATGCACGATCCTGGCAATGCGTCGTGCTCCCACGGCATGCGCGATTTCGGTCAACATCCTCAATATCAGACTGCATATTGATCCAGAGACTTGAACGGTAAGATGTAGACGGTGAGATAACTCATCTAAGTGAGCGGCAGTTGATTCAATTGTCCTGAGGGCACTTGAGATCAGCGTGCCTGTGCCCTGATGTCGTGTTCCTCAACTCGAGGTCGTCAGATCGAGCAACGCCCCTAAAGATGCACACCGACATTCGAGAAGGGCGCCTTGATCAAAGTTTTGATGGAGTGCCTGAAGGAGGCGTAGGGTTTCGCGGAGATGAGTTGACGGCAAGTACCATCAGCGGACTTGTTCGTCTCCCGTCACCGATATCGCCGAGTCTTCGCGACTCCAACAAGCGAGACGCGTAAGAAATTCAATAGTCGGACTTCGATTGCTGAAGCAGAGAGACTGAGAGGGACATAATGCTCCACTCCCCACATAAGCAAGGCTTTCAAGGTTTCCATCGCATGCATTCGACTTTAGCCTGTGAAGACCTTCTGTCGCACAAACACAATATGTCTTGCATCTCGATTATGCCCATGTCCGGCGCGTATGTACCTTGGAGCGCCCCTTCTCGCCGCCCTGCTTTTCATGCCCATTTGCAAGGCGTCGCCCACAAGGATAGATGTTGGCCCTGTTTGATTTATGTCGAGTCTTGCATTGGGCTGACTGGCACCACTGTCGTATTCTGGCTACACTGCGCCACCGTTTTCCTGCAGAACTGATTCTCACCCTTCACTGTTGCCTTGTAGAGTGGTCGGTCCTCCGATCAACATGGTGAAGTCCGAACAAGTAGCAGCAGTGTCATGTGCTATCTCAAAAGGAAAGAAGAGGAATCTATTCCTGGACCATGTTGCTGGTATACTGATCCAATCACACGCAATGATACACCGTATTTCGTATCGTCATTGGACTCGTATACGACCCGCAGACCCTGATACATGAGTCGTGCTTGTACATATGCAATTCACCTTTGCCATTGATCGAATTTGGTATCCATGCGGCAACGCTATTCTTGTTTGGGTGTCATGTAGCGCCTACGATATGTTGGTATCCGGATTATGGCTTGTTCTAGCTCTGCGGTTCAAGCCGTCACTGAGTCTATGCAGGGTCGCTGACGCCTGTACAGTGGGTTAGGCCCAGAAATACGAATGCTGGTGGCTGGACCCGAGTACCAAGTATGCACATCGTGTCTCACAAACATTGGCCATGGGTAGACGAGTTACGCTTCGTCTCTGAACGGATGACTCGTCGTGTTGGTACCGACACATTGGTATCAACATGGGTTCGAGCTGGATAGACGGTCCGGAATATCCAAAAGGCTCTTCGATATGCAAGGTGCTGCAGGGCCAGACAAGCTTCCATTCTTACTGTAGTGGGCGTACAGCAGCTTCGACCTAGACACGCTTCGGTATCATGCCCGCTCAAGGTATGAATGTAAGGTGGCATTCGTTCCACGAACGCACCATGGCCAAAACAAGGGTGTCACAGAACGGCTTACCATTCCGTGTTATGTGATCGCACAAAGACAACGGTGGCGACACTGAATACTAGGCCAGACGAGCAGTAGCTGAGAGGAGGGGATTGCGGCCAAGGTTCGATGATTTCGTTCGTCATGTATCCTGATCCTATCGCGTCGTAAGGACCACCTTTCAAGATTCCTCGTCGCCTCCAAGTGCGTTGCTTGCCCACTGATAACTTCCCAAGAATATTGCGCCGCCGACACTGATCCAGCCAATTCTTGGTCCTATACCTGCAAAGAAAGCCCTTGGACCAGAATCTTTCAGTATTGTTGAAAGCATCGTGAACATTGGTTGCTTCTCCTTCGCAAGCATCATCCTCGTCTTGAGTACGTCGAGCGGTGTCGTGAGGCCTGCTGCCACGGCGCCAGCTACGGAGCCGAGCAGCCCTCCTTCCAACCCAGTAACCTGTGATCGTCCTGTTTGACTGCAGCGGTACCGTTTCATGGCTTCCCATAGGGGAAACTGAATGATTGTGAATGGCACTTCACGGATAATGGTGATCGACCAGCCACGGTAGAGCTCCTTCCATACGTGTACCAGCCCGCGAGTCTGCCGCTGATTCAAAATGTGCGTCAACGCTGCCAGAGACGAAGGATGCTGACTTGCTTGTGCACGCTGCTTTACGACTTCTGTAGGTACTCGCACCGCACATGCGGCTACTTCACCCACACTCGCCGCTAGCATGTGAACCAGAGCCTGATTCCCAGGGTCTACGACTTCGTCCTTGTATGGCTTGCCTTCGGCATTGTATTGTATTGAGGTCTGTGGCACCGCGAATGATCGTTTTATCGAGTCATAGGTGACGAAGAAGAGCGCGGCTCCTGGGGCTGATCCAACAATCGCACTTCCTACGCCGCGATATATACCATTGAAGCCTCCAGATGCGGCAAAACCTGTGCTTGACTGCAGTCTTGTCTTGAGTGTGTCGAGGGGATAGAGGGAAAGATCTACGGTCGTGCCGGCCAAGCCACCTGCCTAATATGTGTGAGCATACGGTATTAAATTATGAGACAAAATTGTGTGAAAGAAAAGGAGACAATGTCACCCCAAACGGGGACCCCTCAAAGTGGGATAGAACAGGCGCATTGTGCACGCGACATTTCCGAACTCTTACAAATGACCAGAACACAGATATGTAAAGAGTTAAAGAATAACTTACTATAAGCGACCGCAGATATGGCGACTCAACCCATGCGCTCCCGCGACCCGGCTCGAGGACATGCTGCATAATTGACGTGGAGACGCGATTGTCGGAGCGATGATGTCGTTTTGTACATTTTAGCGTGGCCTGTGCTCAAGCTAGGACTATCCTTCCCAAGGCCGAGCCCGCCATCTCAACACTCACACCTCACCATTTACTGAGAGAGCCAAGGAGGATAGGTCAATAAGTGGCCGTCATGCTGTATGCTCGGCGATGAGCGAAGCGGGGTTGAAAGTGCGGTGTCTGGCGAGTACAAGGATTTCGGGACGGAAATGGCCAGAGGAACAGCAAGGGCTATGGAGACGGGATGAAGACGAAATCGACGGACACTTGGGTAATTCTGAGAAAGTTACCCTATTCGAAGACAATGTACATGCCTTATCACTTAGGGATGTAGGCGAAGCACAAGACGAGGCCGAGGAGAAGAAGCGCAGCTCAATCACGGGATCAGATGCGGCAACGCCAGCCAATCTTGATAGCAACTCTGATTTCAGCGGTGCAGGAGATGTCACTAACAATCTATTGGAAAGTCATGTCGATTCTCGTACGTGCTGCATCCAGGAAGCTCAGCTATCTCCAGATGGAACATGCATCTTCACATCAGACTTCACTCGCTCTTTTTCAGTCTATCCCATAGACACACCCCAATCTGACGATAACACCGGACCGCTCAAACCTTACGCTCACTTCACATCCCCCGATCCCATCTGGTCATTCGCAGCTAGTCCCCTATTCGACGTCAACGACGCCAGCAGCACACACGTGCTCATCAGCCGCCGAGACCGCTATATCACACTACACAACGCCCTCTGGGACATCACCCAACCCCAACCCAACAACACCCAACCTATCAACATCGCCCACCCCATAACATCCTACAAACTCATCAACACCCTCACCGAAGCCATCATCGCGCCCCTCAGCCTCACCTACTCCCACTCCGGTACGCACTTTTTCGCCAGCCACCGTAACGCCATCGCAACCTTCGACCTGGCGTCCCCTTCCTCGCCCATCCATACAATCACCACTATCCCCTCTGCCCGCAGCAAACTCAAAGGCGGTGGCCGCGGCTTCAAAGGCTGGCTATCTAGCCTGACATTATCTCCACCCTCGCCGTTCGCGACCGGCGGCTTGCTAACCGCCGGATCGCGCACACGCTGTATCGGCATCTACGACGCGACCAGCGGCGAGGAAATCACGACATTCAGTCTGCCCGGGACACTGGATGGCAAGAAAGTCAAATCCCGCCATGAAGACATGCAAAGCGTCATGGGCGACGGAGTCTCCTACTTGAAATACTCGCCCTGCGGCACATATCTATACGTTGCCGAAAGACAATCCGACGCCCTGCTCATCTACGACGTGCGGCATTTCAGCCTCGCACTGGGATATTGTAAAGGCAGGAACGCGCTGACGAATCAGAAGTTGGGGTTTGATGTGTGGAATGCCGGGGCGAGTCCGTATGATATCGAGGGCTTGAGTCATGAGGTTTGGGCGGGCGGGGTGGATGGGAAGGTCAGGGTGTGGCGAGATCCGTATCGCAAGGAAGGGGCGGTGGAGGCGGATGAGGTGGTTGTGGTGGGAGAGGGGGATGCGCCGGTTGTGGGGACGATGGTGCATGCGAGTGGGGGTTTGGCGGTCGCGGCGTGTGGGAAGATGGATGTTGGTGGCGATGAAGAGAGGAAGGGGTGGAAGGGTGGAGGAGGGGCTCGACCGAAGTATAAACAGTATGGCAGTGTAGATATCTTGGGGCTGGGTTGATCAGAAGCATTCATTACATCACTTGCTGGTCAGATTCCATCGTGGAGGGACTGACATCATGCAGCTGGACGCGGTAGATGTCGATACATCATTGCATTATGTACAGCTATACAAAAGTACTTAGGCACCATACACCTTAATATGCAGAACTTCTTCCAATGACATTTAAGGACCAAAAGCAGCGTTCCCTTCACCAGCAAGAACGCCTCGAGGTTGACTGTGCCTATCCGCTTCGCTGCTCGCTTTGCCTTCGCTCGCATTACTCGATCCAGGGCCAGAGAGATTACTCGCGTTAGACGATGCACCAGGCTGCATGAAAGGGAGACCAGGGTGAGGTACAGGCGGCTTGATCTCTTTGCGGCCGTTGGCCTTGTAGTAGAGTAGGACGTCGCCACCGCCACGCCAGACGTGAGCTCGGAGAGAGGCCAGGGTCATAGTTGGCGGAATAAGCTTCACACATGTCAGCATCATAGTACCCTTCCAAGTGCTAGTAAGGCGAAAACATACCTGTCCATGACACCACAATTCTAAATACTCCTCAGGCTTCAGTCTGTCCTCTGCCTCCGCCTCCTCTTTGGTTGGCGGCGCCTCGATCCTTTCCGCGACGTACCCCAGAATCTTGCGGGCGCGCAGCATGCGATTTGCGTTGAGGCGGTTGTTGCTGAGTTTCGAATTAGCTTTCGCCGCTTGCTCGAAGGGTATGGAGAAGGGGAGGTACCCGTCGGATGAGATGCTTGGAAGCAGGTTTTGGAAGGGTTCGAGTATGAAGGATACTTTGACTATGTCTTTTGGCGGAAGGGCGTTCTGCAACCGTCATTAGCGAAATACTTTGAAATGGATTTGAGAATAGTATGCCAGATGACTTACGCGTAGTAGCACTTCGGCCAGCCACATTGGTGCTGCTTTCTCGATCAGATCGGCCTGTTGGCCAAGGGAGCCAACTTTGCCTTCGAACAGATCTGCTACTCCACCGGCTTCGGGTCTATCTTCTTGTATCAATATTGTTGTGCTAGCAGGCGGCTTCAGCACTGGTGTTTCATTCGGCAAGCTCGGCGTGATTTGGCTCTCAAGCTTGTTTGCACCTACTGCCAACTGCTCTTCGTAGCCCTGCCGTATCCTCTGTATGACCCCAGAGAAATTGTCCTCAAAAACTTTCTCGTCTGTTTTGTTCGAGCGCGAATCGCTGTCTTCAGCTTTTTCGTCTACTACCGCGGGTTTCGCTGGCTCAACGACGGCGGTTCCTGTACTGAACAACTTCTTGTTGAATCCGAACTTCTTGCCGAACATGCCCTTGCCCTTCTTAGCTGGTGTGTCGGGCTCGGTGGGCGAAGAAACAGTCTCCTCTTTGGCTTCAGCAGCACCTTCGGTTGCAGCAGCAGGCTTTCCGTTCCCGTTAGCATTCCCATTCGTGGCAGAAGTCACCTGGCCGAAGTAGTCAGGCTCAGCTCCGTTCATGGAACTTCTCTGTGTCTGAGTCTTCTCGAGTTGTGAGCCTTCTTCGGTCGTCGGAGTAAGGTATGGGTTATGTTGTGAGTTTCGTCCTGCACTCTGAGGATGTCCCATCGGAGTTGCCAGTCCAATAGCCAGACCTGGAGTATGCGGCACGTGCGCTCCGTTGGCCTTGATTGTAGACACAGACGTCGGCCCTGAAGATGCTTCATTCCAGCCATTGACATTCATCGCAGGTATTGTTATGTTCGTAGGTCGGCCCGGATGGCTTTCCTCCTTCTGAGAAAGCAGACTTGTGCGGAAAGTCTCGTCGCGTTTAATCTCTTCGTCAATGAGGTTTGAGAACAGATATCGTAATATCCACTTGCCAAGGTTTACTACAATCTATTAGACAGAATCTCCCAGTGGAATAATGGGATGTCTTACTTCGATGGTCTTCGCGGAAGTCAATTGGCTCTTCTAATTGCAGCTCATCGGCGTACATTTCAGCGTCAAAGCAGTGGTTCTCTTCCAGCACGCATGTTAGGGTTCCTATCCGAGTGTCGACACCGCACCAGTGTGCTACGCTCTCGCGAGTGTTTACTTCTGGTACAACGTCTTCGAGATGCTTCTTGCCAAAGGACTTGATAGGGGCACACTGCATTCATTAGCAGTATCCATCTCGCTCAAATTTCTGACTTACCTGCAGCAAATCCCACAGCATGACTTCGCCTGCCGTGTCCAACGTGAGCACTCTCCGGCGATCGTTGAGCAAATGGTGCTTGATCAAGCCATTTTGTCCTTCTATCGAGTGGTCGGGCAGGCCCCGTACTGGCGCAAAGATGGCATGATCTGGAGCCGCCAGGACCTCAGCTGGTTTCCGCGAGCTTGCAATTGTAGCAGCCTCGGGGTCCTTCACAGACAACTGTGGGAAGGGCGCAGTGTTCGCCATGCGCAACAATGCCTTGAACGGTATCTTTTCAGTTGTGCTGCCAATCTTCGGGCTCGAAGCGGGAGGAGATGGGTATCGTGATCGCGTGGAGCTCTTCTGCCACTTGTAGGACTCGGGGAGCTCAACTTCGGTGGCTGTTTCGACGTCATTCCACCTGTTGATGCTTGAGCTGGACGTGGCAGTCCAGATGTAGTCTCCGGCAACCGCGAGCTTGTTGACACCCTCGTGTTCCTGACACACTGCTACAGACAGACCTTCATCCATCTCTGCGCAGTTGCGCACATCGCTCTTGGCGACCACGCCAGATCGGTCGGACGAGTAGAAGACGGACAGCTGTGGGCAGTCTGAGAAGAGCGACCACACGCTGTCGTTGTGCATGGTGAGCGTGTACATGCATCTTCCGGCCGTCATGGACCATACCTTCACAGTCTGGTCAGACGAACCGGTCAAGATGGTGTCGCCGTCCTGCGCTATCAGGATGTCCCGCACGTTGTCCGTGTGTCCGACAAACTTGGTGATGCGCTTGCCGGTTCGCGAGTCCCATACTCGCACGATGCTTTCTGGCCCACCGCTGGCGATGATGTTCGGCGTCACAGCCAGGGCGTACACGGAGCCCTTGGCGGTGTTCTCATCCTCGCCCACTGCAATCTGCAGCTTCTTGCCGGCGCCATTGAGATCCCACAGGCTGATCTTGTGATCGAGGCCGCCTGAAGCAACCCAGTTCTCATTTCCGCCTGGCGATGCAACGCGCTTAACGTAGTCGCTATGTAGGCCGATGGTCTGCGGCGGGATTGGGTCGGACGCGGCAGGTCGCCATACCTTTACGGTAATGTCCGAGGAGGCAGAGACGAGTGCCTGGTTGTCCTGGGCGAGCACAATATCATTGACCCAGTGCGTGTGCGCCTGGACCTGGCTGCGGAACTGCGTCGGCGGCGGCTTGTACGTGGTCGAATTGGTGTCGGCGAAGGGGTCGCGCTCTTCGTCGCTCTTGGTGAGGTCGAGGTGGAGGTCCCATGCGCATATGACGCCGTCGCGGCCGCCCGAGTAGCTGGGGTCTGTCAGTCTCCATAGGCCGCGATGCTATAGCGCTTCGGATACGCACAGGATGGAATTCCGCGAGTCGACAGCGAGGCCATTCACTCCGAGTCTGTGTCCCCCGGCCGAGTTCGCAAGCGGCAGCACTGCGCGATGAACACGGTCAGCTTGTGCTCTTCATTACGTCGCAGATGTGCATGCAAGGGCGGCTATGATTTACCGTACGAAATACGCTTCCGCGCTGAGCGACCCATCGATTAAGGTTGCGCCGACATGCGGTGCGGGCAGCAAGGTGTTGGTCTAAGGAAAACAGTTGCTTCAGCTACTGGAGGGAGAGACGGCTGGTGAATGCACCAAGTGACGACCTGCTCGGCCAAGGCCCCTGCCCTGGCTTTCCCCAACACTAGCTACGGCCTGCGGGTCGCTAACGGACGACATTGCGGCGGGGTTCAAGCTCAATTGCGCTGATCAAACGGTCTCTCGTGGCATTGCTTGGCGGACAACTACGTCACGGGCTGTGATAGTTCGCGGGGACTTCAACTCTAAAAGAACCCTTGCCCCAGATGTTTGAGCCTTTCACCGCAACGATCCCAAGAACGTGGAAGTGGATTCGCCACGATGCGAACGACGCAGGCACGCACCTGGACCTGTCTTCCGGGAACAGTTCCGTCTTGGCGCTTACATAACCGGATAAATGGGGATCCTTCTTCACGATCAACCAAGTTTGCTCTTACCGTCAGCCTCAATCTACAGCTCCATCTTGAAGCGCTTCGTAGTCTAAAAACCGAATATTGCCATACCACCTTGTCACTGCAGAAATCTGTTTGTCTTAGGTACATGTGTCGCAGGTTGAGTATCAACAAGTCTGTCTCAGAAGCCAGTCCTGCCTCGATGGAGTAAGCATAGTCATCTAGTATGCTAGGCATCTTGGAAGCATGAAGATGCAAAAACATATGGACATGGTGCGACTCGAACGCACAATCCCTCACGTTCTTCTCAGTGGAAACCCGCTGAGATAGCGCTAGACTACCAGATGCCTGCTAGTCCCCGTGCACTACACGGTTTCAAGGTGTGAGTGCCTTACCATTCGGCCACACGTCCTTCATATGATGTACGCTTCCCGGACTGCATATGATATATTCAAGCTCTATCATGTCACGCTAGAAACTTGGGGCCAGGTACAAATCCAAAAATCATGGATCATGCTGCACTTCAAAGGCCGGATCTCTGTATAACTGGATGCGGTAGAAGAGAGCACACATGGTACGAACAGCGAAGAGAAAGCAAAGATCAAACACATCATCTGAACGCGCTGTGACTCGAACACAGGTCTCTCACCCGTTGGGAAAGGAGGTCGACCCCCTCACACCAGCGAGCCACAGAATCAAGTTGTACCCAACAGGATTCTTCGGACGTCTCCGGGCTGTCCATGCTGTGAGTGTCTTACAACTAGGCCACGCATCCTGCATTTTTTTATGAGGAAGTGCGGCAATTCTCTTACTAATACCAGCATATTGGTGGAGGTCAAGGTCCACACCATAGCGATATGCTCCGGCAAAAAAAAAAGAAAGAAGGCAGCGATGGTAAGCTGTGCAATCATCATATATCAAAAATCACCAAAGACGTGACAAAACAAATAGAGCAAAAATATTGGATGTGGCACGAATCGAACGTGCACCTCTCACTTCACCCTGCTAGCCTCGTGGCATGCAGTCCTACCTGCTCTCGTGGTGCACCACTGGCCGGGTTAGGAACCGCTCCGCGGTGGACGTGTAGTGTGAGCGTCTTGACCATTCGAACACGCATCCTGGGCTGATGTATACTGGGATGGTGGGTTAGGCGATATACATAATCTACGGCGAGGGAAGGAAAGAAAAGAAATACTAGGGTACGAGAGATAATGTCCTCCTGCGAACAACAGATGCAAACAACAGATACAATCATAGTAAATGGTATTTGCTATTCGATTCGAGTCTCAAGTGAGCGTCCGTATAAGTATATGTACTGTCAAATGGCTGTATAGCCGGGGTATCACGATTGTACGAAACTAGGAAAAGAAAAAGCCACTTCTCAACCACACCCTCTTCACTGCCCCACAAAAACATAAAAGGCAAAAGCGAGCACATACAAACACTTACTACAACCAACTCAAACATGCTCACTAGGCTGAACAGGTTTACTCGCAACCCCATCAATCCCCTCCAAACTCTCCCTTCCTTCCCTCTCAACCCCAAACTCCTTCTGCCTCAACTCCCAGCTCCCCACCCGCTCATGGCCCCTCTTACCCTCCGGCACAAAGCTGATACCCGCCGGCATTGCCCCGTTTTTCGCGAGACTGAGGTCTGGATCCGATGCGAGTTTCGCCGAGCCCTTGAAGCCGCCTAATTCGGATTTCTTGTTGCGCGGCACGCGGTGCAAGCGTACGCCACCAAGGAGCATTGCGAGCGCGAAGAGAAGGCCTGCGACTGCGAGAGTGACGATTGCGCCGATGACGCCGCCGATAGCCGGGGTGATGGCATTGTGTCTTTGGCGGATGGGGGGAAGGACGCTGGTGTCGTCTACGCCCCAGCAGAATAGGGCTGGGCTGTTGCATGAGGTGCACCAATCCTGTAGCGTGTCGATCTTGACTCGACTAAACAGGTCTTCAAAGTCCCTCCACTGCATGTCCGTTCTGCTCGGTCCGTTGCCGAAAATTGGGAACGCAGTGAGTTGGTTCGCGTCGAAATTAGTGCCGTTTTGGAAGTAGAATCGAACCCATAGGTCGTCTTTGGTGGTGGGAAATGTGTTGTTTTCGCCGGTGCTGAAGAGTTCGAAGATCAGAGCGGAGGCGAAGGGGGGGATGGAGCGGAAGTAGTTGTCGCGATAATCGGCCATCATTATACTTATGAGGGAGATGAATGACTCTGGTTCGGAGAATAAGAAGGTGAGTGGTGAGGAGATATCATTCGGATCGCCGGGGCCGAGTCTGTCGGCTACTAGCAGTTGGAAAGTGTTCAAGATGCTGGCTGCAAGTGTTTTGCCTCCGATGGCTTGATTGTCCGCATCAATGGCGGGTGAAGAGGTGTTGCCATAACGATACCACGCGTGTTCGTCTGCAAGCGTGCGAACTTCATCGTACACACCAGCAAAAGATGAGTCGTTGGCCAGAGCACGATAAATGCTGCTGTTGTGGTTGTATTGATATTGCAGGTAGTCATTGATCTCGATTGCATTAATGTAGTTGCTAAGAAGCTGGTCAGTATCACACTTTTGGCGTTCTTGAGATATTGCTGTACTCACAGTTGCTCCGGCATCAGATTTCCTTCGAACCAATCGAGGTTTAGCTTGTCGTAGAAGTCATCCGTTGCGGTCTTCGTATTATAAAAATTTGATGTTGTGTAGTACATCATGGCAGCCTGCTGAGCGGTAGGGCAATTCTGGTTCCCAGATACGAAAACAGAGTCGGAGTCAACATGGCTCGATGACTGGATACTCGCATACTGATATCCACCAAGCGGGAAATCAATAGCGCTACCGTTAGAGAGCAGACCGGTAGAACTTCCTGTGCCATTGCTATTGGCAATGTTGCGCGGAGGATAAAGACCCTGCATGAAAGCCTGTGCCGAAGAGATCACATGCTGCTGAGATGACGTTTGAACCGAGATCTGGTCGTTGTTCAACGCATCGGTGGACATTCCAGAGATATGCTGGACACCCAAGCCATCTGGCGCATTTCCGGTGATGTAGCGAGTCCTGAAGTTTTGGCCAAGTAAAAACATTTGCTGCGCACCCAATGCAGTGAGAACAGGATTTCCTCGTCGAATAGTAGGAGTGCGCTCTCCAGTACGGACCAAGGCGAAAGCCGCGTGGGGATGATAGACATCATTGTCAGTTTCTTGGGCGCTGGCAAGCCAAGCAGAAGCCAGGCTTGCGACGACAAGTTTGAACATAATATTATGATATTATATGACGACCCCAATACCACAGGTACGGTATGTGAGAGAGCTGGTGCGAGGACAACCGGCAGCAAGGCTGAGCTCCGTAACACCGCGGGCGCATAGCAGGATACTTATCTTCTCGGTCTATTGCATGCAGCTACCCATGCTCACGAGGCCGGTGACAGACTAAGAGGCTTATCTGAAAGCATCAAAGAGGTGTAGTGGCCCCGGATTGACTTGTTACTCGTGAGCTCATACCCAAGGAGCGGGGGTATAGCATGGGCATCAGCTTGCAGCTCGAGCTAACGACATCCTAGCGGGGTAGCTGCAGCCGACGTGCTTGCGACATCATGGCTGGCGCTTGTGTATACAAGATTGCCTGAATTGCGGAGTTGCGTGAGCAAATGTTGGTGGTTGCACACCATTGGAATTTGGAATAAAGACTTCGCATTCCTCGATACCGCATCCCATTGCGGTTGATGCGCGCAACCACGATGCATCCTGAATGGCAAGCGCACCACATGCCATTCTCTTGTCGATGACCATTATCTGAAGTGAGGAGGCTGGTAGTGGGGGTAAGCAGCCGTGCCGCCGAGTCCGTTTCTCCCTTGCTAACGACGGGCGAGCCACGCTATGTTCAGTCTAGGTCTTACTCTCGGGTGCCGATGTCACTCTACCACGGTATGACCGGTGAGGATAATACGTCATAAGGCTATTCGTCTTCAGGAACCGTAGTTGCGCATCACTCGGAAGCGTGCAGATGATGCCTTCGGTACGCCCTGTGCCTGCATGCTTGTGCGAGAAAGGCAGAGGAAGCTTCGTGCTCCATAGCTAGGCCCGGGAATATGTTTTTCGTTATGATGTATACATTCAGGCCAAAGTTTAAGGCAAGCAACTCATGCAGCGCTTAGTTTAAGTAGGAGGTATCTAGGCGTAGGTAAGCCAAGTAGTGTACGAACAACCTTCACTACTCTAGCCGCAGCACATCCGTTACATCCGGTTGATGAAATCAGTAGGAGAAATGAAGTAAGCCGACCGATCCCACGTCCAAATGTACGTCATCGAAATTGGTATCTGCAGCGATCTTATGGACTTTCCTACAGGTTCGAAGCACAGCTCATTTAGGAAAAAACTCTACTCAATCAGTAGCTTGCCGATCAAGTCGAATACATGGCAGAAGACTCAGTGCCTACAACTACTTTTAAGCATGATGTGCATGTGCGGAGGGACCAGGCTGGCCGCGGCGCTGCACATTGAGCGTGTCGCGCGATGAACTCAAGTTCGACGAGTGATATGGCACATTCACGCATCACGACCAAGGAACGTTGAAGTGCTTGTTCATGTGACATTACAATACTATATCTCACCGCTCCACAGCAAAAGCGCATGTTGCTACAGTGCAAGAACTTTGTCTAATCCACCACGCTCAAAACGCCTGTTCAGGTCAAGTATTTGATGACCAGAACCGGATATACCCTTCCTTTGTCCTTTAATCATAATTCAGAACTTACAAGGTAACCTCAACACGACCCTCCGCACCTGGTGCGCCGCCCTGCAGGGAAGGCAGAAGGTAGGTGATGTCGTCCCAAGGATGCCTGTAGAGACCAGTGCGCAGACGCTTCTGGTCGAGGAAATGGGCAATCAAACCAATGGATCGGCCGAGCACGAAGAGACCGTTGAGGACACCCATCTTCAGGTAGTCCTCAGCCTCCTCTTGGGTGAAAGAACCAGAGTTACGGACGAGGTCAACGAAGCAGACAGCAATGCAGCCGTCGACGTTCAGAATCAGGTTGTCCTTCTTCGATGTGGTAACGGACTCAACAGCGAGGGCGTAGTCGAGCAGCTTGGTGCTGGGGAAGTGCTTCTTGACGTACTCCTTGACAAGCTCGACACGGAGATCGGGATTGTTGCGGGACTTGATCCTGTGTCCGATACCGGGGATGAGCTTGTTCTCCTTGCGCATGGTGTCGACGAAGTCACGAGGGCTGAGGCCCTTGTCGAAAGCCTTGCTGAACTCCTCAGCGGCTCCGTCAAGAGCACCACCGAATCGCGAACCGATGGTCAAAAGACCGGAGACCAATGCACTGATGAGATCCTTGCCAGCACGTGTGGTAATGATGGTGTTCATGGCACCCGAGACAGCGGGACCGTGGTCGGCAGTCAACATAAGCACCATCTCGAGGAAACGGCTAGCGTAGTTGGGCAGGCGGCGGCGGAACCAAAGCAGGGACATGACACCTCCGATTCCGATCTCCTCTCGGAAGACGTCGGAGATGGGCATACCAGCGTAAAGCAGCTCTTGGCCACGGTCGTCGGAAATGGTGGAAATGAAAGCAGCAGGCTTACGGATAAGACCAAGCTCTTGCGCCCATGAGTAGTCAATGGGAATCTTGGGAACAACGGGCTCGGGCTTGGGGTTGATGGTGCCGTCCTTGAGGAGCTTCTGGTAGACCTGAGCAAGAGTGCCAGGCATCTCCTCGAAGGTCTCGGGCACGTAGATGCCTGCTTCACGCATAGAGTTGTTCTTGGTCACAGCAGTCTCGAGCTGGGAGTTGGCGAACGAACCAGCGTGGCCGAACTGAACCTCAGTCTTGAGCATACCGGCAACAGTACCGATGGCCCAAGCAACGATAGGCTTGTTGACTTGGCCAGACTTGACAGCCTCAATGACACGGTACTCCTCAACACCACCAACCTCACCGAGCAGGACGATGATCTTGCAGTCGGGGTCGGCTTGGTATCGCAGAACGTGGTCGATGAAGGTGGTACCGGGGTACCTGTCACCACCGATGGCGACACCCTCAAGGACACCGTCTGTGGTGTTGGCAATGATGTTGTTCAGCTCGTTGGACATACCTCCGGACTTGGAGACGTATGAGACGGAGCCGGGTCGGTACAGCTTGGAAGCAACGATGTTGTCCATCATACCTCCGGTGTTGCCGATCTTGAACGCGCCGGGCTTGATACCTCCGACGGTAGCGGGGCCGATAATAGTGACACCCTTCTTTTGGGCGACATGAAGGATTTCACGGGCACGCTAGTAGCTGTCAGCTAAATGTCATGATTTTTGACAGGAGCACGTGGCTGCAGGCCGGCCTCGGACAATTGTTCACATGCTGAAAAATGGCCCGGAGTATTGCTGCAACCGGTCGGGGCTACTTACGCGCTCGGGAACACCCTCGGCAATGATGGCAATCGACTTGATTTGCGGGAACTCGAGGAGCTCCATTGTCGACTGGTATACGGAACGCGACGAGGCGAAGTTGACGACGGTGTCGACATCTGCGTGCTTGGCAATGGCCTTGCCTACGTCCTGGTAGACGGGCAGCAGAGTCTCGCTGGTTCCCCAGTACCTGTGTCGCCATTAGCCGTGTTCCTGCAGATGCTGATCGGGGCTTGGCACGCACATTTTGCTAACGAACTGACCGCCGAATGTGTAGATGATACCGGCGACCGAGGGCTGCTTGCGCTTGCAGATGAAGTCAAAGTCGAGCATGCCCTGTACGGCACGGGGCTGCAGTCCGCTGTAGACACGCTGTCAGAACTCCCCTCTCACAAATGCAGCAGGTGCGGGCTCTTACTAGACGAAGCATCGTGTCTTCGGGTGGAAGAGGGTGTGTGCGGCGGGCGGGCTCATTGGGCGGCTGGGAGCTGCGAAACGACGGATGTTGTCGTTGGCAGACAGGCCATCGGTCGAGGTGGCCGCCTGGCTGGGGGTTTGTGCGGCGGAAGACATGGTGGCCGTGGTGCTTCAGGAGCAGGTGTAGAGCTTCAAGCAAATGTCTCTATGTCTGTAGTGCGGGGTTGCGGTCAGTAGAGCTCGCAATTGCGCAGTGCAGTGCCGGAACGTCTGGCGAGAGGTGCTGGCTGACGTGAGGACTGAGACGGCGTCCGAAAAAAAAGCTGAAGCAGAAGCTGGGCTAGGCGCGCGGACTCGCGGCAGGTGGGATGGATGCTCGCGAGGTAGGAGCGAGGGGTCGACTCACCTTTTGGATGCAATGCCAGACGGAAGGGCAATGCAGAGAACTACGATGGAAAGGGAAGAAGTTGCGAGAGAGACTGTTGGCGACTATTTCCGAAGAATTGGGACTCGAGTGTCTTCTGGCGGTGTTGAGCTGCGCGGTCCCTGCTTTGATCTTGCGTTGTTGGGGAAAGGCCGAGCGCCCCGCTAGGCAGGAACAACCGGGCGGTGAGAGGAGACCCGTGTGTCTTGCGAGCACTCTTTCGCGCTCGGGATGGGGATTCTGGGGGGCTGCGGAGGCTGCAAGCTGGTAGATATCAAGCCGCAATGGGTGTCGTCCACACCAAATACCCGTCGGCCTCGAAATATCGGGTTTCTGTTTGTCCGATGCTGTCGGTCCCCGTCGTCGCTGCTGTACCTGGCTACTCGCAAGCCTTGTCGTGGTTGGCTTAGAGGGGCGCCGAGTTTTTAGTGTGCATATCCCAGACCCTGCGCATCCTCAACGCGATTGAAAAAACGACACCGCCGATTGACGCTCGCCCAGCAGGTATTCGTCTGACCACGCATTCCGCGCCATCAATTCCTCACACTTCTCTTGTTGGCCCGCTCCTGCACCTCAACCAGATATAGGTATGTCCCAGCAACCCCGTGTCGGCTTCAGCTCTTGAACCCGGCTTCCCCTCCTCCACGCCCTCCGAACCCTCTCGTCAGTTCGGACATTCCTCTCCGCTGCCACATTGCCGTGTCACCACCCGGAACTCGCTTCTGTGCCGCCCCGAAGCATTGTCTTGTCTTTGCCGTGCTCACGCGAGCTTCATATCCTGAGAGAGAGCCGCGCTCACCAGCTCTAGCTTGACCCTCCCTCACAATGTCTGCCAAATCCATCCTCGAGGCCGACGGCAAGGCCATCCTCAACTACCACCTCACCCGCGCCCCCGTCATCAAGCCCACGCCTCTGCCCGCCTCTGCCACACACAACCCGCCGCCCAAGCTCGCATCGCTGTACTTCCCAGCGGATGCCGATGTCCGGGGCGTGCTTGACCAGGCCGAGGCCACATACCCGTGGTTGCTGACGCCCGGCGCCAAGTTCGTCGCGAAGCCAGACCAGCTGATCAAGAGGCGAGGCAAGAGCGGTCTCCTTGCGCTGAACAAGGAGTGGGCCGAGGCCAAGGAGTGGATCGCGGAGAGGGCTGGCAAGCCGCAAAAGGTCGAGACGGTCGACGGTGTGCTGAGGCAATTCCTCGTCGAGCCCTTCGTGCCCCATCCCCAAGACACAGAGTACTACATCAACATCAACTCTGTGCGAGAGGTACGTGTATTTCCATCTTTTTCTACTGCGTGCGTGGTTCACGTCTTTTCCGTCCATTTCCCCTCCAGGCGCGTCGGTGCGCGTGCGAAAAACATTTTGCATGTGCCGGGGTTTTGTACAAAAGTGCAAAAGACGGCTCACTAAAGCAGACGGGCGCCTTGTCTGTTTTGTTTGAACGCCGGCCGGACGAAGGGAAACGTGCAGACCCACTTCTGCAAAGCACCTACGTTCCTGCAATACGCACGTCCACTTTCACATGTCAATTCACAACACTTCCTTGCCTGTTGGACGCTCCCAGCCCGCACTTCATTTCCTCTTCATGGTGTTGCGGCTCTTTCTTAATCGCTTTCGGCGATCGCGCCAATCATGCATAGCCCGATCGGATCGCTGACTGTCGCTTAGGGTGATTGGATCCTCTTCACCCACGAGGGTGGTGTTGATGTTGGCGACGTCGATGAGAAAGCTGAGAAGCTCCTCATTCCTGTCGACCTCAAGGAGTACCCATCCAATGAGCAGATCGCTTCCACCCTTTTGAGCAAGGTCCCCAAGGGTGTACACAATGTCCTAGTCGACTTCATCTCGCGGTTATACGCCGTCTACGTTGACTGCCAGTTCACGTGAGTTCACCTTTCACGCCGCAACATTGCACACGCTGATGTACCTCACAGCTACCTCGAGATCAACCCCCTCGTCGTCATCCCCAACGCAGATGCCACCTCGGCAGAGGTTCACTTCCTCGATCTCGCTGCCAAGCTTGACCAGACTGCTGAGTTCGAGTGCGGTGCTAAGTGGGCTATTGCTCGCAGCGCAACTGCTCTCGGCACGCCGCTCGCTCTTGCAAAGGATGCTAAGACTAACATCGATGTTGGTCCACCCATGGAGTTCCCCGCTCCCTTCGGCCGTGAGATGAGCAAGGAGGAGGCCTACATCGCTGAGATGGACGCCAAGACTGGTGCATCGCTCAAGCTTACCATCCTCAACGCCACTGGCCGTGTTTGGACTCTCGTTGCTGGCGGTGGTGCTTCCGTCGTCTACGCCGATGCCATCGCCTCTGCTGGTTTCGCCAGTGAGCTCGCCAACTACGGTGAGTACTCTGGTGCTCCCACCGAGACTCAGACCTTCCACTACGCCCGCACAGTTCCTCGACCTCATGCTCCGCGCTCCTCAGCACGAGGAGGGCAAAGGGTCCTGTTCATCGGCGGGGTGGTATTGGCCAACTTCACCAATGTCGCGTCCACCTTCAAGGGTGTCATCCGCGCATTGAGGGAAGTTGCACCTCTTCTCGTCGAGCACAACGTCCAGATCTGGATCCGTCGTGCCGGTCCCAACTACCAGGAGGGTCTCAAGAACATCAAGAACGTCGGCCAGGAGCTCGGCCTCAACATGCATGTCTTCGGCCCCGAGATGCACGTCTCAGGTATTGTACCTTTGGCGCTCGTTCCCGGCAAGACTACCGACATCAAGGAATTCTCCGGTTAAGCGCACTTCTTTGTATCATAGTTCGCGGGAGTAAGAAAGGGATACAAATTCATGACTTCATGGCTAGACAAAGAGCCATGGTTTTATGGTGAGCCATGGAGCGTTGGTTTGAGCGAATTTGTAACGCTACGTCTATACCTTGCCTTGCAGCTCTGAAATATACAAGGATTTAATACCTCCCAAGATGGCATTAGTGCATCTTCAGTATCAATCCCAAGTGCTGATGCTTGTGGGTACTTTTGTCGTGTGTTGAAGTTCGGTGTGCAGGTCGTGCCTCGCACCTCCCTTCCACAATTACGCTTACTCAGCGCGCCTGCCATAATCACAACAACACAGCACGTACCTACTCGCTCGCTTCCCATCAGAAGCACACAAGAGCATCCAGATGTCGAAATACACAGCCCTCACTATCCCCCTTTCCCCGCCTTGCATCCCATCTGAAGTCTCTTCAGCCCACACCTCCCCTATATATCCACTCCAAACCTCCACCACCCCATCATCAGAACTACTACCTCTCAGACAGTATCATATGCTGCAGGATCTTGGCACGGCCTCACACAGGCGTAGCATTTATTACATTGTCCAATCTTGAAGCAAAGAACCACTTTCATCACAAGTGTGTTTTATTCAAGGGCGTGAGTTCGAATCAGACCGCGTACCTATGCCATTTGCCTTCGGAGAAGGGTGGTGATATGAGGAGTTCTATTTTTTGGCAATTTGTTACAAATGAGAGGATGGGGGTGGGAGGGAGTAGTTGAGGTATTATTCATTGGGGTAGATGGAGTGTGGAGTAAGAAGGGAGTGGCGAGAGGGAGGTAGAATAATTACATACTGTCGTTTAATTACCTACATTTTGCTCGTTGCTAGTACCGTGCCTTCCCATTCATCCTCACCCAAATTCGTCCCATTCTTTAAACACCCACGCTTCTTCCTCGTATTGTCAAGATATACTCACCTCCCCACCATCTCATCATGCATCAGATACCTGGACATGTGGCCCAGTGGTAAGGCATCTACATCTCAAGTCACGGCTCGGGAGCTCCCAAACAACCAGTTGATCTGAAGTTCAGGCCTGGGGTGAGCAAACAATCCCGAGCAGGCCACGTGACGGATTTGTAGGAGACCTGCGTTCGATTCGCAGCATGTTCATTATTATTTTTGCTAGCACGAGATAACTGTGTCGATGAATGAACAGCCGATCATATGTTTGCTACTGTATGTAGATGATGAAAGACAAAGCCAGAAGATTCGTGTGTTTGCTAGCCGCAGCTCAATGAAAGCAAATACAAGTCTTCATGCTGCATATAGCACGAGCGCTAAGCGCAGGTCCTTTCACTTCCTCAGTTGTTAAGAACCATTGACAGAAGGGAACATAGACGGATGGTTGAAACGTCCATGCGTCCGTTTTGTTTCTCCATAATGTCATGGAATGCAGCTGTTGGTATCCAGGACTCATGCCTCTGAGCCCAGAGAGCCTGCGATTGAGCTTCACTGAGCCACTGTCTCCATGCCTTAGTATTTGGTATACAATCTACTGCCCATTCAGAACTCTTCGTAGTATATATAGCTGACCAAAGGCATTGTGCAAAATTATAGTGGTGAGTGATCTGTGGTGGACTGAGGTCGAAATCCATGTGCCATGACAAGCGGGCTGGTAGGATTGCGGCGATCCAATAAAGTAAGTTCAAAGCTGTATACGTGACAGCGAGCGCGGCTTTGATTGTCCATACTGCATTTCCAAACAGTATAATAGAACACACAAGGGTAATACCACCAACAATACCGCTTAAGCCGCGCCCCACAAAGAGCTGACCGTGTACTCAATATGTACCGGATGGAAGTAGAGATAGCGCGCGACTTCCTCATCACATTCCACAACTGTGATGCATCCGTTTTGAGATCTGAGTACAACTGTCTCTTGTGGTAGCATACCATCTTTGAAAGGGGTCTTGCGGCAGAAAATTTGTGGTTTCCAGCGCATTCCAATACACAGTAGAGGTGTAGTAAAGCTCATGACCAGGATACCAGTAAGTGCAACCGCATCTCCAAGCACAAGGGCCCATGCTGCTAGCCCGAGAGACATTGCGCAGCTGAGAATAGCGACCAGGTTTAACGGTGAGATTAGCCTTGGTCGAATTGGGGCCCTCTGATAGTCGCAAGCTTTGGTCCGTCCTATCTTGAGTACACGTGTCGAAAAGGCTGGCTACTCAGACCCGTCGGTGTGCAACATCCGACCAAAGTACTCTAGAGACTCTCTACTGTAGCCCGAATGAATACCCATCACCGGTATCCCATCTTCAGATGCAAGAGTCTTCGGTCGTTGGGCGAGGAGACCTTGAGGAGCGGGCATCAACCGTGGGAGGAAACATGTCCAGGACATGCAGATCTGTTGGCTACAAGCTTGGATATTATGCTCGCCTAAGAAGGCTAGAATGTTGACAACGTCGAGGCTCCAATCATCGCGCTGTCTAGGGAAAGCGATGTCGATCATGCTGAATACTTGCAGTGTTAGGGAGTTTTGCAAAATCCAGAAAGCTTGTCAGTGTTTTCTTGCGAGAGACCACAAAATATGTGCCCATACTCGCTTTTATATTGCAGGGACAGTATCAAGTACTTCAGCCGTACGAGGAGTGCTGTGCATGATTAGGCTCCAGTTACGAAGCCGAGGCTGAGGCTGAGCCTTGAACACTCGTTAGGCTTCCGACATGTCGACAGGAGTAATTAGATATTCCGTAATTTCGAAGGTTGACAATTCAACAATGGCTATGAAACTATGCCAGTGTGAACATTTTCCCTTGAGGTAGTGATGTGGAGGTTGGCGCCTGTTAGTGAGTAAACATTGAGCCCTCGGGAACAAGCTAGATTGTAGACTGAAACGTGAGTCTCGGCCCACCGCCTGGCGGTATGGCAATATTTCTTCAGCGATTTCAACAACGTTCCAACGTGTCGCCGGCGAATCCCGCTTCACAGAAAACAGAATGTGTTACTGTCTGGGTTCGCTCTGGAGTAGACGTACCAGTTACACATGTCTCAAGTGAAAATTCACACTCGATTTGACAGACGAGCGACATGGAAAAAGCGTATCTGGGACAACCTGCGTGTATATTTATCTTCACAACTCGATGCGCGGGTCTGAATGTTGTTCAAGCACGGTGGTGGCTGAGCGTGTCGTATCCGACGTACTCGCTCGGCTCGTCGGCACTGGCCGACGCGGCTTTCTTTCCGCAACCGATCCCTTTCAATTACCTCATAATTTCGGAAAAGCAGAGCTTGCAAGCTTCGGCAAACCCGTAGCATCGCAAACTCGTAATGGTCGTGACTCAGTAACTATGGGTCTGGGGAAGCAAAAATCTGGAGTCAACATCCCCTTGCATTCAAACAACATCTTTGGCTCACGACAAAATGGCCGCCATTGGACCGGACCCGCCGATTGAGGAGTTTAGTCATTTGGAAGAGGAGGAAATCGTTCCAACCAAGCAAGAACAATCTTCGACTTTTGATGTGACGAGAGTCGCGTCCATCGAGCCGCCTCCTAATGGCGGATGGGTTGCATGGTCGCAAGTCCTGGGCGGACATATCATTACCTTCTTCACATGGGGCTTCATTACTTCGTTCGGCATGTTCCAAGCACATTATACGTCCATCGGTCTCTCGACGCCCTCGAATATCTCATGGATCGGCGCACTCACCGTCTTCTTCCTGCTCTCGATTCCTCTCTGGTCGGGGGCAGCGTCGGACACCGGTCATTTCAAGCTTGTTTTACGCATGGGTATCGGACTATGGCTCATTGGCATTTTCATGACAAGCATTTGTAAAGAATATTGGCAGTTTGTGCTTGCGCAAGGGTTTTGCATCGGGCTCGCAAACGGGTGCATGTTTGTGCCGATGGTCTCCGTTATCTCGACGTATTTCGATGCGACGAAGAGGAGTTTTGCGATTAGCATTACGTTGTGCGGGTCGGGTACAGGGGGATTGGTGATCCCGATCATGCTCAATAGGCTGATCAATCGCATCGGGTTCGGTTGGGCGGTAAGAACGTTGGGCTTCATGGCGCTGGTGATGCTGTTGATAGCGGAGCGGCTGCTGAAGAAACGACTCCCGCCCAAGAGTTCGGTGAAGATGCTTGAGCCGAGTGAGCTTAAAGATCCAGTCTTCGATCTCTTTGTGGGTGAACTGGTTCGTCCTTCGATGACATTTTGCTAACCTTTTAAGATTCTCGGCTCGGTGTTTTGCTTCGCAGGCCTCTGGTTCGCCTTCTTCTACGTAAGTACAACCAGGTTCTGGTCTTCGTAATACAACTGATCCTTCTTAGATCAATGCCTTCGCCAGGAAGACCCTGGGTATGACGCTGGAAGAATCGATACCACTCCTCTTGGTGCTGAACGGGGTGGGCATACCAGGGCGACTCCTGCCAGCGTACATAGCTGACCACTACTGCCGGCCATTGACCATCAGTTTGATTGTCAGCTTTGTCACCGCTCTCTTACTCTATTGTTGGGTTGCAATTACCTCGACTGCGGGCATGTATGTCTTTGCGGTGCTTTACGGCTTGTTTGCTGCGGCTTTGCAAGCCATGTTTCCTGCAACACTGGCAGATCTGACCTTGGACAACAAGAAGATCGGAACAAGAATGGGTATGGGGTTTGCTTTATCTAGCTTTGGTTGCCTCATTGGAGGTCCTGGTGGAGGAGCATTGGTCGAGGCTGGCAACGGATCTTACTTGTACGGACAAGTCCTTGCTGGCTCGTGTGGTGTATTGGGATTCATGTGTTTCTTGACCGCAGCGCTGATACATAAGAGGAAGGCGAAGCAGCTCGATGATGTTTAGAAAAGCCTAATAGCACTCCGGCTTTGTCAACACTTTTAGTCCAACAAGGCCATTCGTATGCATCAGTATCTTAACACGATCGGAAAGATCAATGCCAGTTAGAAGCTTGGGTAGGTAGATCGGTAACCTGGAAGGCAGGACGGTCCCACTTCCGCTCATGTTCAATTGGTCCATGTACGCGACTTAGCATACCCCGCTCATACGAGGTACCACACACTCTCATATCACACCCTCGTTGAGCCTAACAAAGCTAGGTGACTTACCCAGTATCACAACGTCGGAAGCAATATATGCCCTCGTTCAGAATACAAGCATAGGCTATCTAGCTCACACTATGCCAGAGCTTGTCGACGATGTTAAATCGATTGTGTTAGACTATGTAAGACCACCAAACCCACGATTCTAACATGGAATTAACGAGCTATGTTTCCATGTTTTGCACCATTCCGACATTCAAGCATTGTGCCTTGTATCTAAGAGTTGGAATCACGTAGCTACTGCAACTCTGTACAACAACATAACCATCGACATCCAGTCGCAGGGGAGTCAACTTGCATGCTTCGAGAAATGCATGTATCAAGGCGCACTTAACAACCTACGATTTGCAAAGAGCTTGACTCTGTATGAGATTGCGTGCTCTCCAGGACTCCGCGCCTCTGATTGGCAAGGCTCCGGCAGAGAGCCTGAGAGGGCGAGACAAGAGGACATATTGCGAGTGTTAAAACTGTTTCCAAATAACAGGCTGTGTTCTCTCCGGTATGTGACCCCTTATCCATGATTATATTATCAGATGCGGCACCACGTGCTACAATCTTTTTCGCGCGCTGTTTTCGAACAGCATTATCATTCCGCTACTAGCTTCCGACTGTAAAACTCGGAGGCATACTAAACACGTCAAAATAATATGTTCAAGCTTATGTGTAACACCACAATTGCTGTTTGAGAGTAACCTGAGTATGATCAGAGCGCGCATGAATCATTGCAACACTTGGTTGCGTTCAGAAGTGGAAAGAAACTATCTGTATCAAGCATTATCTTCCTTACTTCGAGCCATGGTTATCAACCGTGTTATGGCTCCGCTCGCTATTTTGACTGACTTCACTGGTAGATACTCGTCCGTGCTCCCATTCTCTGCGGTTTGCATTGATTACCTGAATCAGTATCAGGTTTCAATCAAGGACATACACGTTGCTGGATGCGATCCACTTGCTCTCATCGGTGGCTCGAGACGAAGTCTCACTGCGTACTTCGGCATGGAAGCAAAGAGTCACATCCTGTTTCGGTTTTTGAGGAGTTTAAAGCCACTTGAGTCCCTTACGATAAGCCTGCCTGGTGGCTGGAACGAGCTTGACAACCACTATTGGGATATTACTCTTGATCCAATGGCCGGAAACCGAGTTTCTACGAAGTCACTCACTTTACCTGGATGTATGCCCCGCAGCTTTGGGGACAAGTTTCAGAGAATGTTTGACTGGTCCATTCTCACCTCTCTAAGTTTTTTTGAGGGAAACTTGTGGCTTGTCAAAGATATAATGGAAAGCCAATACGAAGGCCCCGACCTCCGCAACCTAGTGCACTTCCAGTGCTATACTTTGGATTACATCTTTGAGCAAGACACCCTCATACTGTACGAGTTTTTCAAAATGACTGAGAGCCTCAGACATGTCCTGCTTAGCATAAGCGGACTGACATACCTTCCTGTTGACACACCTGAGCGACTGGATATCGAATACACCACGCGCGGTCATTATTTTGCACTTTGGCCTCTACGAAACCGTCTCCTAACTATGGTTTGGCATGACGCAGGGCAAGAAAGACCTTTGGACAAGAAATCGCTCGATTGCATCTGTCGAAGCTTTGCTTCACTGCAAGAGCTTGGTTTTGCAGCGCCTCAAGCTTTCGATGCCAAAGCAGACAAGGAGTCTATGTGGAACGAAGATCTCTTAGAATATCTAGTAAGTTACAGCTGCCATCCATAACTTGATCTAATATGAGGAGGCACCACTCTCACACGTTAAGACGCTGAGGATGGTGCACTTATACCAGAAGTTCACGGAATCGGAAGATGGGGACGAACGTTTCTGGCCACAACACCAAACTACAGCCAACATCCAAGCCTTTGCGACATTACTATTCCAATGGGCCCATAGCTATTGTCCCCAATTTGAGGTTTTTGTGTGGGGTTTATATGAAGAGGTTAAAGTTGTTAAGGGAGCACAGCCGTGGAAGTCTACTGGAGATGCTTCCAAATTCGTCCCAGAACTTTTCTTTATGAAGAAACTGCTTCACGGTCAAAATGGCGCAATACAAATTACCGCATCATTCACAACACGCAGCCGAGTTCGTGCTGACTTCCCTGAGCTGTTGCTGCCAAAGTCTGATCCAGGCTTCGACGAACTGGCTCGGGCTGCTTTCGGTCACTAGCTCAGTTGAGGCTGTATCACTTCAAGTTATCTCAACACTCTGTGGTATGAACATACAAGGCTGTACGTTGGCGAGGGCGATGCATGGAGAACACTGCCAACGCATCCCGTGCGGCACAGTTGATTTTGGCAATCGCCCATTCCGGTTTCAATGGTGGCGTGCAGATCTTAAAGCGCATATGGCGATGCTGGTCATTGGACTTCACCGATCATGATTGCAATCATGTGGCGCAAGAATACGCGCCTATTCCAGGATTATGTTCAGCTTTTGGAGAGACTTTATATTTTCACGGGCTTTTGAGGGGTTTATATTATGCTATTCAGGCGTTGAATTCGCTCAAGCTGACATAAAATCGTGATACTCGTTCTGTAAAAAACGCTATAAGTCTGAACAGGACGCACACGAATCGTTGCAGCTCCAGGAGTTGCCGTCCGAATTAGGCGCCATGAATAGCGGCGACCCGACGCGGAGGTTTTGGCGAGCGCCGCAAGGGTTAGACTCATCCCGCCTGTCACCACTTCACTTCAACACCAGAACTGTTGGTCCTCAATCTCGCTTCTATGACAGCCACAACTTCGTCACACGCGTCTAAACGCCGCAAAATGTGATCCGCGCTGCGTGCGTACTGACGAGTGCCAAGTCATGTACGACATGGTGCGTCGGAAAGACTCCGCCTGGCCTCCATTCATTCCGCAGCATCGCACTTGCTTCATCATAGGGCTTTTGCTTTCCAGGAGGAGCCACTTTGTAACGATCAGTCGCTTTTCTTGACTGTCTTGAGACTGGTTCAGGCAGACTCGCAGTGAAGAATCAGGTTTTATCAGGCGCACAGCCTCTCCCGTCAAATCACGTCAAATCTCCTCATGTCATCTTACTTAGCGCAGCCAGCGCAGGTGGCTGTGTTGGCCTTAAAACCAAGAACCTGACCCTGGAATCCTTCAACGTAACTCCGCATCAATCGCTTAAGGTACCTCCGCATTCGGCCCATGGCCCAGTCAAAATGGTCCGTTGTAAAAGGACTTGAAGTGAAAGAAAATTCATAGGTAGAGGCAGACTCGTCCTACCTCGCGGTAGCACAAACTGCATGCACATGTTCAGCTGCGCACTGCTTTGGCCACAAGCAGACTTCTTGAACCGCACGCGTAGGAGCGTCCCGCTCCTACTGGTTTGGCGTTGCATAGGGGCTGTATAATGCCATGTCTCGAAGCTCCTCCACGGACCACTACTCCCACAGAGCACAAGCCATGGCCCACAGAAGGCGGCAGCCCAAGCTTTATGGTCGTAGTTCTTGACTGCAATTCGTGTATTCCTTCAGCTTCGGCCGTGCATGCACCAGGGGCCGAGTTCGCAATCTGTGAGTGGACGGGTCTTCCTCCACAACGGCAGGAGTACTCAGCCTCAACAGTCAAGTTCATGGAAGCATGTGCTGGTTGCCTGTTGCTAAATTTGAGCACCACGAGGAGGCTACGTTGGTCTATGCATCACTGACTTCATTTCAGAAAAGGTTATATGATCTGCTCGGCCACGGAATCAACGTTGTGTCCAAGACTTGCCTCATAACATCCGTAGATCGGCTAGACTCTGTGTTTCAGCTTCTTGTGGCTTTACCGCTCTCTCGTATTTAATATCATTGGTCTTCAGCCTTCCGTCCCAGCGAATCTCAAGTACCTATCACACCTACCTGAGCCTGTCTCGACACTACAAGCATCTCACTGCAGCTTCTACCATAAAGATACTACAGTTATGGCTCCCACACCCATAGACGACAATCTTTTACCCAACGACGAGACCAACCTGTTCGCCGACCCTACAGCCGCACCAAAGCCTGAAGCCAGATACTGGACCAAAGCCAACATTGCCTTCACCGTTGTTTTCGCTCTCCTCGCCCTGATCATCTTCGTCATACTCCTCGCCTTCTACCTGCGCCGCCGCTCCCACAAAAAGAAGCACGCGAATCACAAATCCGACAAAGCCGCCCTCCTCCAAGACGAAGACAAAACCAGTATGTTCAGCCGCGACCGCCACAGCAGCGTCACTCTGTACGTCGACGAGGAAAGCGAAGCACGGCGGAAACGAGCAAGCTCAGACACCATATCGCTTATACCACTGCAAATCACCCCGGTGGAAGATGTGTACGATCCAATGGAGACGACGGCTGCGAGCAACGGAAGCGGTGTGAGTGCGATGAGCCGCTTGAGTACGAACACTATGAGCACAATGATGTTGAGCCCAATATCGCCGAATGAGGATGGGGATTTGAGTGTTAGGCCGGGAGGGAGGCCTAGGAGCACGAGTACTGCGAGTCAGAGGGCGAGGTATTATGAGAGTACGCCCTTGGATGTGGAGAGGCAGCCTGTGCCGATTATCGTGACGGAGTCGCATTGAGTGGGGATAGGTGGCATGAAGGATTTGAGACATTGCAGGATCAGGTGTCCATTACTCGCATGCTCTCGCAACAAATGTTTTAAACGTTGCGTTGATCTTTTTTCGTTCTTCGGTGGCTATTCGTTCAGTTCCAGCATTCCCTATACCCACTGTTCATACCTTTTCTCCATCCATGTAGTTGACTGAAAATCACATGTTGGTCCATTGTAAGCGTCTGCTCCACATGACATAAACAATCCCTCACCGCCAATCACCCATTTTGTTTGCCTTTTCCGGTGAACAGCTCAGTGACGTGTCTACCGCCCACTCCGCCCCCAACGCACCCCGCAACAGGAACCAGCAAAACACAATCCAAAGGAATAGGTTCCACATGGCCTGAATCGGGAAAATATTTCGAGGTGCAACTAAGCAATTGCTTACTCAGGGCTGTGCTACATCAAATTTAGGCGCGCGGGGCGCGGGTGAAACATCACGCGGCTAAAGTGAGCGCGGTTTTGGCCCCCAATGTCAGATTTGATGGAGGATGAACAAGTGGGAAGAGAGCGTGTTGGGTGTATCCGATGAAACTGTTGATTATTTGTCAAAATAGAATAGTAGGACAGAGGTCTAGTGACTGGCATGTACCACGATCTCGAATACACATATCGACAAAATATATTAGAGTGAAGTGTTTATTTAGTACAGCGAAAGCCTACTAACAGTTATTCGGACACTGTCTCGAGACGTTCTGCTGCCAATTTCTACACTCTAGCTTTGATAGGTCAGAAACTGCATCAGAGCTTGAAGTTGCCTGATCTCACTTGAGATACTCGCTTTCTACATTCACCTCATTGCCCCCAAACTCAGCTTCGGTTCCCTGCCCTCAAGCACCGCCCCAACCCACCCCTTCGCCCGCTTAACCAGCAGGTCATTCTCGCAGAAGTCAATCGCAATAAGTATATCCCGCTGCTTCTGTTGGCTTTCGTAAACTTCTAACCACCGCGGCTCCACGCGCTGCATCTCCTCGAAGAAAAATTCGCGCAACCGTGTCTTCTGATATGCCTCTATTCTCTCAAGGTACAGCGCATCTGGCGAAGACTCATGGTCCGGAACATCGTTGAGCACTTGTCCTTTGAGTAATTGCGGGATCTGTTTGGCTTGGAAGAGAGGTGCGAATGCAACGCATTCCCAATCTACGATGCTGACAAGTGAGCCGTCAGGGGATACGAGAATGTTGGAAGAGGAAATTTCGCGGTTTGAGAGTATAGTTTGTTCATGGCTTGCGGGCATGAGGTGTGGAGCGATGGTTCGGATACCAGATAGCACGGTTTGAATGTCTTCATAGTGCTCGAGATCGTCTTCATCAGTAAGATCGAGTCTGCTGGCGAAGTGTTGCGCCAGCTGGATACGCGCGTGGATGTAGTCCTGAGTGCTGGTGAAGGGGCCGCGTGAGATGTCGAGTTTGATATTGTCGTTCTTGAAGAAGGGCGGTAGGACCGTTTCGCCGACGACGAAGTTGTGGGCGTCATTTAATGATTCCTTACCGCGTTGCTCGGGATCTGAGAGACGGAGACTGCCGATGCTGAAGAGCTCGATGCGGAAAAGCTGGGCCATGAAGTCTGCAACTTGCATGACGAGCAAGCCTTTCTTGAGCCATGACATCTCTTGCCATACCTCATGAAGTGATTGCGCTTCTACGCGCTCCATCAGGATCCATTCGAAGCCCAGCTCGCTGTGCAAATCGTCGTCATGCGCAAAAACGGTAGGTACTGGGATGTTTGTCTTTTCTCAAATGAAAGCAAGGGTCGCGACTTCGCTCTTCGTCTTGACTCTAGGTGCTACCGGCAAGCTAACGCGAAAGATATAGCGCCCTTGTGTGCACTCAATAGTGTAGAGCTTGTTGAATGCACCTTCGGCAAAAAATGACACATCGGGGACTTCGTTTTCTAGTTTGAGATGTCGCACAGCGAGCGCCTTGATGATTTCGATAGCGGGCTCCGTGGTCCAGATCGGCTCGCAGCTGAAGAGCTCCTCCTCCCACTTTAGTCCGGGTTGCTCAATGTTACGCAAGTTTGACGCCATGACCATGATGATTTGGCGATGTGGTTGAGTTGTGAAATGCTGGTTACGAAGGGGAGGAGCAGAGGGGGCGTGTTGAAGAGGCAAGCGCGGTTATGAGCAAGCGGTGCTGTGAAAACCGACAATATGTCTCCACAATGTCGCATTCACGGGCTGTAGAAGGCAGGCTCCCAATATCGACTCCAGGCAGTCGCTGCCCCGAATTCACAATAACCCTCACGATAACTTAACGCCCTTTTCAAGCGGGTTCACAACAGCTCACTGCACTCTCATCAGCAAGCTCTCAACCTAACTTGAAAGCAGTTACATCTACCTCTCACACCGCCAGGAATCATGGACAAGACACGTAAGGCTATGCTCGCTTTCATCGAAGACATTCCCAATTCCAAGCTCGAGGGCGGCATCGGCGGTTCCACAATCTACACTGACAACCGCAACTTCCGACTGGACAACCATGGTGTAAGTTGCAATTTCCTTTCCAAAACTACCAATACATGCTAACATATCAACCAGACTACTACAGCCAAGGACGGTAAGCCAGCCATGCTCAACATCCAGATGCAGATCAACAACCGCCCCAAGATGACGTCTCCAGCCGATGTTGCTCCTTCCGTGGCTAGGATTGCTATACCTGTTATGGCATCTTGTTCGGCCGAGAAGATCAAGGCGGAACTTGAGAAGAGTCTCATTGAGCATGACGAGAAGACGCGCCAGTACTAGGGGCACTGACTGTACTTAGTAGACATGATTTAGGTGTCCTTCGCACGGTGAAGCACCGCACTCAGCCACTTTCTTCTGAGACAGGCTCCAAGAATGCGCGATGTCGATTTGAGCTTGTTCATGGTTCTTCTTCATCTTCGCCTTTTCCTCTTCAGCATTACATGGCGCCATATACCAGGTCAATTACAATGAACTAAATTACTCACGATCAGCCTAGCGTTTCGTCATGAAGACCAACTCGTCATAACATTGAATGGACGTTATCGTACACAAAATCTGCTGAATACCTTGTCATGTGACTGGTCGCACAGTGCTTGGTCGCCGACATTGCACTGACGTTGTGAAAATCTGCTGACATAGTGACGTCTAATCAGATTCGAAAGACCACGCTCTAGGCTCTACTTTCGCAACTATCTCGGTCGTTTGCGTTGTAGATCTGTGTAGTCTCCGCGGCCTCTCAGAAACACAGTATGCATTGCATTGACCATACCCATGGTGAGTGGTAGGCCGGAGCAAGTAATGTGTGATCTTCCTGGCGTGATGTAGGGACAGCATCCTAGCTGCCTTGCAAACAATGGTGACGTGCTTGGCTTGAGTAAGGCCGGAGTCCAATGGCGCCGATCACTTAGCAAGACCGTATAGTTCTGTTGGTGTTGAGGATAGACGAGATCGTGAACTTTACGTCTAAGTGGGGCTCCATAGGGTACTTTTGCCAAGCCGTCCGCATGAGTGTCGGTGTTGAACAGCAGTTCGGTTGACAAGAACATAAATTGTAGCCCATATTGGTGTCTATGCGAGCGTTTGGCGATGTACGTGTCGACCCCGGGGAGGGCCGGCCAGTTCCAGGGTCTTGGAACGCATGAACGTTCCTGAACAGGCATGCCTTACCTATACCTCCAGCATCCGGTGGTCTACATCAAGAGCACTCGACACCATCTAGGGCCACGGAAGCAATGTGTCAAATCCTGCGACGCTCGCGTGTTCTTGTGTAATATGGTGCATGTTGTGTTGTGTTGCACATTTGAATCATCATGCCAGGAGAAGATAGCCAAAGACGTATGAAGAGGTGCAAGCGGCTGGATATGTTCAGGAAACTCGGGTCAGAGATTCGGCGCTCATCCGTTGCAGTGCACTGTGGACGAGGAAGCGCTACCGACGTGCTGCACCATCAGGCTACGGATGATGTTGTTTCTCAAGGCTGGTGGCAGTACGTTGTGTGCCAAGACGAGTCGAGGCAGAGAGATCGCCGCCAATGAAGAGTGGTTCAGGGAAATCCCTAGCGGAACCCGTTTGATGGTCGCGGGAGACGCGCACAGTGGCTCCCGGTAACTTAGCTCGTCGGTCGGAATCCGGAGAGGCAACGTCCATCGCTGTCGCTACAACCCCGAACAGCTGGTCCGACAAAGTCAAATGAAATTGGCGATAGTTGATCACCGTGTGAGGAAATAGAGGATCCGCGGGGGCATACCGGTAGTATCCATGGCTTGGCACCATGGACATGGTTGGACTGGCACCGTGAAGCACGAGCCGTCGCCAAACCACGGCTGCAGGCTAGGATCAGGCTGGGGACACAACACCACGCCGTAGTCGCGATGGCCTCTGTCGCAGGGCGGAGTTGATGGCATCGGTGGCATCGTCTTGGACCGTCTCAGCCCGTGTCATGCGCTGGGGATGACGGAAGTGGGCGCGCATCGAGAACAGAGAAGGTGCAGCGAAGAAGCGGACTAAACAAGCCATGTGCAGCCGTGCATGTAGACAAGCGCTCGTCGACGTTAGCTGCGTCTGCGGTGTTGCAGTCGCATGAGTAAGGGCGTCTGCAAGTCGTGTGTTGTCTGCACCCAAGTAGCTGCTATACTGCGGGTCTGTATACGTACGTCGGAGGCATGGCAGTGTGCTGGCAGTGTCTCGAAGGCGCACTCAGTGAGAGAGCCGCAATAACGGGGGAGCGCCCCAATGCGACAAGCTGAGACGAGCCTGAAGCCACTCGGACGATAAATTTAGCTGGGAGTCTCATTTCACTCTCCCAGGAGACAGCCAATCAGCGTGGACTGGCCGTCCAATCAGCGTTGCGAGGACAGGGCACCCCAGTCGACACGCGAACGATTAGCCCGCTCTAGCTGCCGACGGCCTCGTTCGCGCAGCTCCCCCCAGTGGAATCTTCCCTTTCACCCTCAAGCCGTCGCAGCTTCCCACCCATTACGCTCTTTTTTTGCTGTTGTGACCGCGCCAGACCTCTTTCCTTTCTTAGACCGTCCTCTTTAACCGATACGGTCCCCCAATTGTAATCACTCTTGCCCCCATCCAGCGCGAATTAGGACCCGTCCAGCTATCGCGAATGGACTCTTGAATCTTCGCGTCTGCTGCTGGCCGTATCGTCCTCGACGACGCTGCCATCCCCGGCCTCGCACCTAATACAGCCTATCGACAAGACATCTGGCACGCATCCGACCGGCTTCCCAATCCACCATGCGCCCATGCCAGAGTACCAACCGTCTTCGCGACCATGAACAGCATGACTGCTGCCAATCCGACCGTCTTCCCCGTCGCCAGAAGCAAAGTCACGCCAAGACGAAGACGGCTGCTTTCCTCACTGTCCTTGCCGCGTCTCTACCCGTATCAATGGCCCAGCAGAACTGCGTCTCCCTGCGTGGTTCAACGACATGTCCAGCATTTAGCGGAGCATCAATCAACACGGCCTTGACCGGCGACTAGTACGTGCTTCTCAACGTACTGTCTTGCCTTGTCGCTAACAGCAGTGCTTCAGCCCCTTCTTATCATTCGTGAACGATGTGCAGTCTTTTGACGACCGCCTACGCAACTACATCGCGACGTCCTATGCGCAAAGACAGTCAGTCTACCCATGACCTAGGCCTGACCAACCACGTGGAGACTAACCTTCTGCAGATATCAGAATATCTTGGGATGCTCGAGCGTCAATTTAACAAACACAACCGCACTCTATGCCCGATACACCACGACCGTCTTGTGCAACGCAATAGTACAGAGTTCCAGACAGTCGTGTGGATCGAGTGGCTCCAACGCGACACCGCTCTGCGCCGGTGCTTGTGTATGTTCTACTACCCTACTCAGTTCCAACTTTTCTGACTCAATATAGGCCGACTTTGCCATCAGTGAACAGGTCATCGTTTCAAGTCCGGAGCTGTGCGGTAGACCCGGAAACAATGCCATCCCCCAGATCCGCTCCGACTTTGCTCGCTGCTCGAACCCTGCCGAGGCGCTTAGCGGAAACTGCATCACTGCGGTACAAAATGAGCCCACTGAATGCGGGTACCAGGGTAACCTGCGCGGACTTTGCATGTTCTGTGCTGACAGTACTATCAACTCGACCGACTCGTGCTGCGTGACAGCTAACGTTGAGAGCCGTTGCGCGAATGTCAATCTCCCAACTACCGTTTCGATGCCGCCCCTGTTCCCGTCAAGCACGTCGTCCAGTGTGCCATCAGCTAGCGGTAGCGCCGGACAAGGAACCTCTCGGTCTGGACTCTCTGGTGGCGCCATAGCAGGCATTGTTCTTGGATCCATTCTCGGTGCTGCCCTGATCCTAGCTGCCGTCATCTTCTGCTGCATCAGGATGAGGAAGAACAAGCCCAACCCGGCCGATAGCATCTTCAACACACCATCACCAACGCGCCAATCTCTCAAGGGACCCCCTCCTCCCATGGCCTATGGAGGTGATGGTCAACGCCCCCCTTCCATTGTACCTGGAGCTCGCGTCCAGCGCATGGCAGCTCTTGAAGGCTCCACTTCATCTGGTGAACCGAGTGAGAGAGGTGTTCTGTCAGCGTTTGGTGGCTCGCAAGTTGGTGCTTACGACTCCCCAGAAACAATCCGGGGCCATCTTGCTGGGGCATTGCCTAGGCGTCAAGGATCTCTGTCGAGCCACTCCGCCCTTGGTTCAAGTACAAACTCGCCTTTGTCTGGCTCTGACCAAGCACGCAACTTCTCTAGTCCGGACGGTGTTGCTTCTGGCCAGTCTGAACAGCTGCAGTTCTTCAAAGATTATTACTCGCAAGATGACATTCATCCCAATGACACAGTTGCAACTCTGTGGGCCTACCAGCCGCGCGCTGGCGACGAGTTTGAACTAGAGCGCGGCGATATGCTCAAGGTTGTCGGTATCTGGGATGACGGTTGGGCAACCGGTGTCAGGATCTCCGAGACGGCTGAGCAGTGGGAAGCACGGAAGTCTGAGCAGCGCGACTCAGGTGTTAGCAACACAACGAGAAGGTCACGTCCAGAAACCGACAGCGAGATCAAAGCATTTCCTCTCGTGTGCGTTTGCTTGCCGCAGCACTGGCGCAAGACGATCGAAGGCGACAGCACAGACACTGGTCGAAGGAGTGGAGGTGATCGACCACCTCCAAGTCCCTAGATTGTTAGCTGTGTTCAATCTATTGACGTTTGCTAGTCATGTCGTCTACTTCAGAGTCGCCGGATACAACACCGCCCCCAAAGCGTATAACGCGCGTCATGTCACGACCTCGATACACGTTGCTAGACCCCAAGAAATCAGGGTCAAGCACGCTGCTCAACTACCCACACAAAAATTAACGCCGCTACGATCATGGCCACGTTTCTTCCAATCGTCGATTTCTTGCATCTGAGACACCCTCAATCCGACTTCTTCGATTTCAGCGGCCCCCAACGTCGACCTCAAACCACGCTCTCACAAAAAAAAGTAATCGAATAATACCACACGAAAGCGAACTCCAACTTCTCACTCGACATAAAAACGGCCGATTCTTTTTCTGCATCGCCTCTTGCTCTGTTCAACTAATACGCTCCTTCGCCGCCTGGTTGCCCGGCCACACGCAACCCACGCTCCTTAACCCACTGATCCTGCCACCACCTCCTGGTATATAATGGCCCGATTGCAGACTTTTGTTCTATACCCCTTGCCGTCTGGGAGCGTGCTACTTAGCGCGCTCGACGACTCGAACCTACTTTTTATTTTCGCTTCCGGTGTGTGTATGTGTGGACGCCGGGCGCAGCGTATGTATATATCACGTGGCTGTGCCGTGCTGTTCAAGGAAATGGGTAATACTGTATCTTGATTATATTTCTATGATATCCTCGTTGTTCAGGGGCTGGGCGGGGCCTGGGTTTGTTGTTCGTTGGGCGTGTTGGCTTGGAGATGAGTGATTGATTGGATTCGAATGGTGGACTTGAACTGGATAGGATAGGACAACAATGGATTTGGATCATTGAAGATGGTTTTTGGAGTTAAACTTGTGATGCATGTGTGTGTGTCGTCGAGAGTTGGTGGCTTGTCGATGAGTACTATTGGTGTTGCCTTGAGGTTCCCACGGCGCAAACGGAGGTTGTTCTCGCGACAATAATGCGTTGTGGTACAGCATGGCGGCCTGAAAGTCTCACATAGCAAACAGCTAACATTCTCTTCCAGTGTTTGGCCTTGTACGCCACTGTTGTTATATCAGGGACATCCTGCACATATAACAAGCATGCTTCTCGCCTTGTCGGAGATTATTTCAGATCATCATACATACCTACCCATATAGCCGCGACGCAAGCGTCTACTAGCATATCGCTACCTCCTTATCATATCAGACCCACACGGCCATGAAACAGATTCCCGAATCCACGCAACACACGCGTTGCCAGTATCCGAGCACGCACGTACACGCATCGAGAATTCGGAAAGTTTATGTCATTATTTTTTTCGTCGGATCACGTATCCTGAAAATCTCCACATACTCATTGCCTCCTAACCACACCTCACTAATTCCATGAAGCTATCCAGCCCCACCCTATGACGCTCTCCCCTTCCTCCTCCCCTTCCCACCCCCCTCGCCCTCCCTCCGATGCCACTCCTCAATCTCGCGCCTCACGCCCTCCCTATATTCCTTGTACCGCTCACTGCCCTCTTCCAGCAGCTCCTTACAATGGCCCGAGCGCCTCAAATGGCGCTTCAGATTCTCCCAGCGACAATCGGGTTTAAACGTGCATCCGGGCTGTGGACAGCGGTAGGGCCGCAGCGTCTGGTGCGTGCGCTCGTGTTTGCTCAGGTTACTCGAGTCCGCGCAGGTGAAGTCGCAGAAGCGGCATTTGTGCGGTTTCTTGCCCTCGTGAAGCGCGGAGATGTGGGTTTGGAGCTGCGTGTGCGTGGTCGTGGTGTAGCCGCAGCGGTCGCACACGTAGGGGCGCTCGCCGGTGTGCGTGCGCTCGTGGTTGTCTTTGGCTTGGTTGGTGGCGAAGGTTTTGCTACACGAAGGGAAACTGCATGCGTAGGGGCGGTAGCCGGCGTGGCCGAGGAGGTGGCGCGAGAGCTTGGAGCGCTGCTTGAAGTCCTTGGAGCAGGCGTCGCAGCCTTCCCATTGGCAGAAGCAGGCCGTGCAGTTGTCAACGTGCGCAGTCTTGGTGTGTTTATGAAGCGCTTCGGGGGAGGGAAAGGAGGCGAGGCAGAGGATGTTCGGGGCGTGTTGCCTGTGGGTGGTTAGTGATCAGATAGGCTGAAAGTATACGCATGACTTTTGGAGTGGAGTCTACGGCGGAAACCGTGGTGTATAGATTCAGGAGTACGTACCACCTGCACACATGCTGCTGCGAGTCTGATGATTCTCCGTGACCATGGGTAGTACTTTCGGTAGTGCTGCGTACAGCTGACGTAGCTGGGAGCAAGTCGTGTTGCACAGCGGCAGCAAGGAAGTCAAGCTTGCTGGCTCCAAGCATATCTCCGCCTTGGAAGGGTGCAGAAGGGTCGACGTACATCCATGAGTTGTCGTTGAAGCCCATCATGGGAGCGTCAAAGTTATTGCCAAATGGAGTTGCCGACACAGGACTGGTAGGATGACTTGACAAGCCAAAGTCCATGAAGTTATTGGCCAGGCCATTTCCTTGTGTCATGGACGAGTTCCACAGATCTAACTGCCCTGGAGATCCTATCGTGCAGTCCCCACACGCTCGTTTTGGGCCATGGCAGCAGGAGTTATCGATGTGACAGTGGTCGCCTGATACTCCCAAGAAGCAATTCGAGAAGTTGGATGGCCCGGGCGACGGTTCGCTCGTAAATGCGCTTTCTAGAGATGTATAGTTGCTGTGCGACAAGACTGGCGTCGGAGCGCTTGATGCTTGGGTCATAGTATCGCTACTGTTCATGAAGCCATGAGTGTTCGAGAAGCAAGGATAGGATTCGAACGATGCAAGACCGTCATTATGCCCATGATGATAGTCCTCCTGGAAGTGACATGGGGCATGATCGTAGCAGTAGACGGTACCGGTGGTAGTTGGTGCTGTATGAGCGAAGTGACATTCGTTGGTCGGCTCGCCCAGAGGGCAAGGCTGCACCTCACACGCCTGACAGAAGCAAGGCTTTTCGGGGCATGACAGCTTTGTGCAATCTGGGTCGACACAGCCATCACCACACTCCTTTTCTTTTGTATCGCAGTGAGGATCAAAGCAGGCGTCTGGCGTGCTGCACTCATCTTCAGCAGGGCAAGGTACCACGCAGTCTTCGGGACACGGAGCATCTAGATTGCATTCCTGACAGAACTTCTCGAAGCAATCATCTGGAAACTGGCAATCTGCGTCGATAGGGTGCGTTTCAGTGTTGAGATTATGATACGCACCCACCTTTTGGGCCGACGCCCTCCGCTTGGCTGGACGTCCGCCACGGGCCTCTGGGCAGGGCTCCGGGCAATGGTTGCAACACAGGATTGATGGATCGATGTGTTCAGAGCCAACATTGTCCTCCTTAGGTTGTGAGCTTGGGCCCGGGTTTGAGCCTGACGCCGCCGATGTCTCCCTCAAACCTTCGGCATCTCGCTTCGTTCCTGCTATCGCAGGCGGAGAAAACATAGGATTAGTCGTAGTCCAGTAGAAATCGTCGTCTCCAAAGGCTGAATCGTGGTCTGCATAGCTGTCAGCCATGTTGATGTGCTGGTGGTGGGATACCGAGGCAGCCCACAATATGGGAAACGTGAGAGGCACAAAGTCTTGCCCTCGGTCAACAAGGTGCTCGACCGGATTTAGTACATGCGTCCCAGCGATGTCAATGTGTAATTTTGTGATGAACGAGGGCCTACATACATCTATGTCATGAAGCTGACAGCACCCCACAGTTTTTGATGCCCTGGAAGCCTTGTACGTGTAGTTTTGTGAGGAGTCCTGAATCTTCAGTGAAGAGTGAATAGCGGGCCATGACGAGGATCCATCTTCGAGGAATAAGCGAGTCCGCGCCTACTCTGATAGGCCATGCCTTCCGCAAGTGTCAAACCTGTCGGTCACGCCTACCTACAAACAAAGCGTACCCCGGATATCTTCATCACTCTGCCCGTTCTTCAGTCGCGGCTAAAACGTCGTTGAAGATAGTCAGGAACTGTCAACCCCACTTGCAGCGTGGCTGACTCGATCGGTATCTGACTTGGGCAGCCGAGACATGCGCCGCGTTTGTCGCAACGTCAGCACCATCACTGCGACATTCGCAGCCACGCCGTGGTTCGATTTGGCTCAGCCATGGCCAATACGAAATTACCCTCAGCGGAAATACAATCACCTTTGTTCTTAGGAGTTTGCTGCGCGGACGAAAGCTGGCTGCCAACATAAATTCCCAAGGACCTGGCCCTTGGCACATCCCACCAAACGGCCCATCGGCAACTGAACCCTGACCACGTCGTTTTCCCCACCACGAGGCTGCGCCCTCTCCGCGTCGTCACCTCCGCCCTTCTCCCATTCGCTTCAGCCACACCAACACCACCACGACCCCAGACTTCCACTCTGACCATCTCCCATCGCATTGTTAGGTGGAAGCAATGGGTAATCTCTGTGGAAAACAGTCAAGCGACAACTTTGAGGGTCAAGGTCGGACCCTAGGTTCTGCGCCCGCGCCGGCTACGAAAGCGTCGATTCCGAGCAATGTTGCGCCGAAGAGGACGGTCGGAGGACCACCACGGACGTTAGGAGAGAGTAATGTCGAGAATGATCCAAAGGCGGCGGCTGCAGCGGCTGCAGAGGTATGTATTCTGTTCTCAACTTCAAGATGCGCGCGAACCAGTTACGATGATGTGCGCATGGGCACGAAGCTTGATGTCAGCCGCATAGCTAGGAGCTTCAGTGCAATATGCCTGTAGCACAAGGAATCCTGTCACGACACCTTCTTTCACAAAGTTACCACCTCACTGGAGCTTGTCGCATTGCAATCGGAACGTATACATACTGACACCACCCCCAGGCCCGCAACAACAAAACCACCTCTGGCGATCTCCAAAAGAAGCTCGACGCGCAAAAACGCCAAACAAACAACCAAACGCTGCAACAAGCCGCAGAAGAGAACCGACGAGCGCGCGAAGCAGATCAAGCGACCGAGACGCGGAATTACAACTGAAGAAGCGCGCGCACGGCAGGACGATGTTGTATATATGATGGAGAGAAGAGTTTAGTGCGTATGCAGCACCGGGAAAGAGAAAGTTTACTTCGCAATTTGGCATGGTGTTTGGGCGTTATAGACGGGAGATCTGCGTCTATGGATCTTCAATACAGTTTGCGGTATCGGACCGTATGCATAACCCGTCAGGTATCATGAATCATAATCTCATCTAATCGTACACCATACATCGTCTCCTGTCTCGTTACACACGTCATCCTCTCTCCATCTAACAGATCCTCTCATGCGGCTCCCTCCACGGCACGCCCAAGACTTCAAAAATCTTCTTCTCACTCCTTCCCTCCACAAGCACACCCTCGTTCAACTTCTCCCCTCGTCGCCCTCTCTCGACATCCTTGTACAGCCCCTTCTGATTTAGTCGCATATTCTTCTTGCGCGCAAGCAACCTTATACTCCTGTTGAAGATGTCGTTGCCAGTGAAGTAGATGAGCGCCGCGCCCATTTCTTCTTCTGGAACAAGAAGCAAATCCATGCGTCGCCAAACTTTCGACGTCTGGAGGCAAGACGCGCCGTGCCATTTGGTACCCGTGGGATCGTTGGAGCGTGAAGTTGCCAGTGAAGCTTTCAGGAAGCCGGCGCTGAATAGCTGAGGAACGAGGGAATCGAAGACGACAGTGCGCAGCATAGATAGTGAGGCGCCGGGACATGTTATGAGCATATCGATATCGCCAGAGTCATTTGCACCGCGGCGATAACTGCCCATTATTGTTGCGCTGAACTCTGGATCGATCTGGGCGAGCGCAGCTTTGACAGCAGCGCCGTGAGCTTCAACTTCAGAGCGCGGGATGCGTGTGTTGAAGTCGTTGTAGTGCTCCAATCCAACTCTGTGACTGTCTGTCAGCTTGGCTTTGGTTTCTAGATCCTCGAGGGTACGGTAGCCGGCTTGGATCCATTTGTTGGCTTGGACGAGACCAGCGCCGTAGACACCGAGAAAGAGGCGCAGGACCGAGTCGAGCGGGTCATCCTTAGTACTGTCTAGTTTGCGGAGACGGTCTGTGAGTACAATTTCTTCGATCTTGTCGGCGAGGCGCTGTCCAATGAAGGGCAAGGCAGCGGCTTGTTTGGACGTGACAATCTTGGTCGTCTGTTTCTTCAGTGTAGTGATACCCTTGCGGTAAGCTATTGTGCGCCATTGATCCTGCATCTTGTCGTAATGCTTGCACATTTCATCCAAGATCTGTATCGTGCGGGCGTTGGGGTTGTCAGAAGAATAGCCATTGCTGCCCGGATCCATACACTGGAAGGTGTTCAGATTCAACCCCTTGCCTCTCAATGCAGAAGCTTTTGAAACGAAGACCGGCGTTTTACGAGACTTTCGATTCGTCTCAGAAGGCTCTTCGTCAGAACCTTCGTCGTCGTCCTCATCTACGGGGGTCGGAGGTGGTGAATCTGCGTCTTCGTCGTCTAGAGGCAGGTGGGCAAGTGCCATTGTCTCTTTGATAGCTTGTGACAAGGCATCGTTGAAACGGTCAGGTGCACTAGGGACATTGCGTATGTGCTCCGCAGGGTCTGAGGAGGGTACAATGAAGCTGTCCTCTACGATATCGCTATCCGATGAGCTCGGAGGTGCTTCTGCTGCTGGCCGCGATGACGGTATACTCTCTTCTGTTGGTGGAGAGTCTGTCTTCTGTGTTCCTTGAGCCGCTATCTGGTGTCTCGAAGATTTGATCTTCAGCGAGACTTGCGAAGGATCTGACGGCTGTGACGGCTCTTCGGCTTGGAAGGACTGACTACGCACAGGCGCGCCTTTGATCGCAAACCTCACAGCATTAGGGTCCAGAAGTGTGCCAAACTCTATGCACTGAGGTACATATGGATCGAATTTGACAAGAGCAAGTCGTCTCTGACGAGAACTTAGCGATGAAAGACAGTGGTGTCAGGGTGAAACTCACAGAGAAGCCAGCCTTGTTAAGGTGCCGCAATAGTTGGCTGTACGTATAGCTTGCATCGTCAAGCATGATGTGGGTGACATCGTCCCTCCACCGGTTCACCCAGGCAGCTCCGAGCTGAATTACCTTGTGGATGCGCGTTCGCCGTGCCATGCTGATATCATCGTTGGGATAGAAGTAGACAATCTTGCCCTTGAGCAGTTGCTTGTGCTCCGGCTCAAGTTTGATATTGCCTGCTGGTTTGACATTCTTCCCGTTCTTCAGCTCTCGAGGTATCGTGCCGATTTGCTTGTAGAAGGGAGTCTGATCTAGGGCTGGCATGTCCGGAAGTGAGGCAACCCGCTTCAGTTTGCTCGTACCTTCAACGGTGGCTGATACACCACTTCGTGGCTTGGTGACGGGGAAACTCTTTGTTAATTCCGCCTCAGGCGCAGTGGAGGACCGGACCAGATTAAGACCTGATTCTCGCGTGACTGTGCGATGCTTTGTAGTATGCGCCTCGAATGCAACTCGTCGCTCTTTGGGCGTTGGCCCGAGGAAACTGCTCCTTGCTTTATCCGAAGTAGGAGGAGGCATTGCTTTTGAGTCTTCCAATGCGCGGTCGACCACGCCAGGGCTATTGTTCGAGAAGTCTCGCTCATCATCAGACAGGTCCAGCAAGGCCTGTGCCTCGAAGTATGCTTCTTTCGATGCGATGTCGTTGTCTGACATCCCGGAGGTTTTCTGTGAGGTGATTACCTTGACCTACAAGTATACGTAGAATATGCTCATGCGTAACGCTAAGGTAAAGTAAGCTCCCTAGGTAAGTCGATCGAGCCAATCGGACGCTGTTGGCGCGGTTAATCAAGATGGTTCAATGACCCAGGGTGAGTATGCGGAACAATTCTCAGGATATCTGATTTCCATTTATACTGCGAGGTTGATGTCTAGACCGGGGCGTTTCGCAGCCAGCAGCTGGTGTGATCAACTTTGTGGTACATCGCCGAGGCAGCAGCGCGTGCAAGAACATCCATGCACGTATCCGTATCCAGTGACGACGCGAAAGCGCGCGAAAGCACGTGCGGCATTACTTGTCTAGCCGCATTAGTACTAGTTTTGACAGCTCACGTATACACCGACAACTTTTTGGGGCATGAGCTCATCCACCACAACACAACATGTTACAGCCTAGGATAGCCGTTCCGCTGCGGCGCACAATTATCGAGACATCGTCAGCATGTTTTCGCCCCAGAACTCGCACTCCGCATCGCACAATCATCAAACGAATATCTACAAGAAGCTTCACCTCCGCACGCTGCTTATACCTGCCTGTACCCGAACCCAAGCCCACCGAAATCGAACCAACACCCGAGCCCAAAGATGAGGATATATTCATACCAAAGCCGCTCGGTCGGCCGATTGGCTTCCGAGAGCCACCACAAGCTGGTGAAAATGTTGGAAATGTGAAAGTCAAGAAAGACTACACAGGCATGACATTCAAAGAGCGCAATCTGGAGAAGCGCAAGGATCTCGTAGAGAGATGGGGCACAAATTACTTCCGCGACTTCAAGAACATTCGCAAGTATCGATCCGGCAAAACGTTCATGGCAAACCCGCGCATCTTCAAGAGCGAGGCGGCATTATATTTCCCGAACCTACACGGCGACACACTGGCACAGAAGGGTGCGGATACAACGGACGTCTTAAAAGGAAAGATATCCGTGGTGAACGTGTATAGCAGTCAGTGGGGAGAGACACAGGCGCAGACGTTTACTGGCAAGAAGACGAACACTGCACTACATCAGTTGTTGGCACAGAGCCCGCACGTCGTCCAGATGGTCGACGTCAACATTGAAGAGAACACCATGAAGGCTTGGATCATTGCATTGTTCCAATGGCGATTACGTAGAATGAAGCCAAAAGAGGATTGGGGTAAATACTTCGTGGTCAAGAGTGGTGTCAGCGAAAAGATACGAGAGACAATTGGTCTCTTGAATGGACGAGTTGGATACGTCTATCTCGTGGATCAAGACTGCAAGATAAGGTGGGCAGGAAGCGGTAATGCGGAGGGAACTGAGATGGACGACATGAACCGAGGTGTCGCAAAATTGATTGCTGAGGCGATCTGAGGCCGCTCTTCAAGATTTGTAGATAGATGATACTTGTACAATAATACCCCGAGGCTTAAACGCCCTACGCAGAACATGCCAACGAAAATCATGAGGATATCCTACCCGCTCAAACTCCTAAATGATAATTGCCCAAGTCGCATAATGCCAGATGTAAATTCAAAGTGTTTCCAAGAGACTCAGTTTCATCTGAACCATAGCAGCATGAGGAAGCAGAAGGCGATGAAGCTTGCTAGAATGATTCCATCCCTTCTCTTCTTGGACCCGATTCGGCCCATGAGGCTGTTGATGCCCGGCACCTGGCTTGCTGCGCCTACGATCCTTCTGTTGATGTTCGCCAGTGTCTCCCGTTGCACGCTAAAGTTCTCTTGCACAGCATAGGCCTGGCTGAGCACTGAGTCTGTAACATTGTGTGTGTTATCAATGCGCCGTCGTTCATCCAGCATGTAGTCTGCTTCCGCCTGAGCTGGGTTCGCGGATCGGTATGCGTTGATGTCTGATCGGACATTGGAAAGCAGATTCGCTCGATTGCGTGCATCGGTTATGGTTGACTTGAGGCGGGCAAGTTCGCGTCGGTGGTCTGCAAGTACTTCACGATGTCTTGCAAGGTTGTTTTGCTTCACTGCGGAAGAGCCATGTGTGGACTCGGAGTCCAGAAGTCGTGATAGTTGACCAACGAGGCCATCTCTCTAACCACCATGTCAGTCGGAGATGCGGCGAGGTAAACATGGCCATGTACCTGTTCGAGCACTTCGTTGAGTCGTGTCTCTACCCGTAGCTCCTCCTCTGATGGTTTCGCGGGTATATTTGGGGTCGCTCCGAACTGTGAATACGTGTGGAATAGTGTCTCTGTCTACCCTCCCTCATCAGTATGCGACACTCAAGGCCGATAACTCCGCCTAGAGGTATACAGGGCACTGACTTGCTGCTCGAGTGTGCGCGCTTGTTGGCGCAGTTGCGCCCATCCGCCTCCTGTTGAAGACATGTCAAAGCTTTGTTGCAAGGAAAAGTGTAGGCAGCAGCAATGCTTCTTGATGTTCTGGCAAGATGCGGTCGCACCTGCCCTGCCCTGGCCGCCGACGTAGGGCAGCCAAGGCGCTAAGCCTCAAAGTCCGGAAGCGAGGCGCCGAGCTGCCGACACACATCGAGCGAATTTACCAACCTCGAAAGTTAACCGCAGACGACACGCGAGACCCCATCCACATCACCCGGACCTACTAACATACAGTCAAGATGGTACGTCGAGACTCTCTTTTGCGATTTTGAATTGGAAGATTTGTCGCGCGGCTTTGCAGGAGCGATCGGTGGAGGGGTCAGACAATTGCTCCTCATTGCTAGTGCTGCCGCCGCAAATCTTGAATTGTACATTAATGATGAGAGTGTATACTGACATGATGCCATAGTCTACCCAGTCCAAAGTCGTACGTTCGCCCTCGATCATACCGTCCGTTTCGCCCGATTGATTACTCACAACCGCTGCAGAAGACCGCCCAGCTGTGGAACAAGTCCAAGGAGGACCTCGCGAGCCAGCTCGCTGACCTCAAGTCGTACGTCGAGGAATCTGGCACACATGAAGGAACCGCATACTGACGGGTTGCAGCGAGTTGATCCAGCTCAGGACTGCCAAGGTCGCCGGAGGCTCCAACACCAAGCTCACCCGCATTCACGACGTCCGCAAGGGTATCGCCAAGGTCCTCACCGTCATCAACGCCAACCAGCGCGCACAGCTTAGGTTGTTCTACAAGGGCAAGAAGTATGTCTAGATGTCCCTCACAAATGGAGTCGCAATGTCTAACAAACTCTAGGTACACTCCCCTCGACCTCCGATCCAAGCAGACCCGCGCCATCCGCCGAAGACTCACCAAGCACGAGGCTTCGCTCGTCACCGAGAAGCAGAAGAAGAAGCAGACACACTTCCCCCAGCGAAAGTACGCCGTCAAGGCATAAATGTGCTTTAGCGGAGGTGTTCTCTCTCTTTCTTTGTCTCACGAAGCATTGCATTGCCGGGGCTTTTCCAGCTAGCGACTCACCAATGTACCCTTAGTCACCATACCAAACGGCGAATGGAGATGGGAGGTGAAGTGGCGGGAACGGACAGGGCGATCTTCTAACGGAAATGGGTTGGCGTCCAAGTCAAGATCAATATGAATCAAAAAGTTCAGACAAGCAAATTTTGGAAGCCTGATGAGACGTGAATGATAATGTTTGAATCTGAACTTGCGTGTAATGCGCATGAGCACGCGAGTCACCCAGGATCAAAACTAGTGGTTGTAACTTGAGATGATACAAGAAGACAAGCTTGACTTTCTGTTCATATAAACTTGTGGGACTTTTTGTTTGCAGCCAAGACACGACTACTAAGTTAACACCTGCATCTAGGATACCAGTCTAGGACCTTGTAGCCCACTCGCTATACATACTCAAGTCCTCCACCCGGACACCTTCCATCTCTTCCCTGATGCCAATGACGCCTACCTTTCCAATCTTGACGCCATCACCCTCATCTTCGACTTTATACGATTTGAGTGATTGCTTGAGTCCAGCAATGACCTCTTCTTTATCCTCTACTAGGAGCACGATTGCATCATACCCACCAGCTCCAGGTACCACACCACCAACAACACCATTCAGCTTGGAGCAGTGATCCAGCAACTTCGTCTGCTGCGGTGGTTCGATCGGCACCTTTGATGCAACGCTCATCTGGCGAATCAGTTTCCTGTTCCCCTCAATGATTTCCCCCAACTTGGCATAGTCCGTTGAACCCGAGTCCGCAGTCGCAAGTCTCGTGAGCTCCGCAGCCAACGCCTCATTTCCCTTTTGCAACTCGCCCCAAATCTGATCCGCCTCTTCTTGATTCTCCCCTCGCCACTTGAGGACCTGCTTCACCATGCCCGGCGTTTCACTGCCACAGTCGACATCGCACATGACCAAGCGTAGACCCTTGGGCATCTTAATAGCCGCCTTGTGGATCTCCGTGTCCCATTTCGGACCCTCGACAAGCTCCTTCAGCGCAGTAGCGAACCCCGGACTTCCTGGCGCTGGCAGGGCGCTCAGCAGACTCGGTGAGAAGCGCTTGTACAGACAAGATCCATAGACGGCACTCGCAATGTCAAATCCACTTCCCACTTTACCCTGTGCCTGGCAATGACTTGCCTGGCTCAAGTTATGCAGGACCCGCAATCCTTCATCAGTACTGACATCCCACTTGTCCTTGGGCAGGTAGAAGCCCAGGACTGCGGCGGTGAAACTGGTTACTAGAGCGGCAGACGATCCGAGACCGGTCTTGTGGGCGTCTTTCAGGCTGACGTTGAAGTCGAGGAAACGGCTAGCGTTGCGCTGGGAGCCGGGGTTGGAGTAGTAGGCCTGGTCGGCGAGGATACGGATGGAGGAGGAAGCGATGCGTTGGTTGGGCTGGAGGGTCCAGATGTAGGTGAGGGCGTAGGTTAGGGCGGTTTCGATGAAGGGGTTTTTGGAGGCGGAGATGGATTGCTGGTGGCCGCTGTGATGCTAGGTTAGATCTTCGATGAAAGACATCCCTCCAGAAGTCATGTCCGTGGGGTTTCGTGGTACGTCTTGGATAATCGACGTAATGAGAGCTGACTTGGGCGATGAAATCTGAAGATGAGGAATGACATTGCAAAGCACAAAGGCCCGTGAAAGTGTAAAAGTATGGTCTGTGAGTGGTCGGTGATGTTTGATATGATTGGATGGTCACACTGTGGCATTGCCGGATTGGGAAAGAAGTGTAAGAGACATAAGGCGTGAGCGAAGAAGCAAGGAAGTGGCGACCGAAAGAGGCATCAAAGTTTGGAGTCGAGACCATTGAGAGCGAATGGAAAGCGATTGACTACTTACACACTCAGCTGTGTCACCGATATGCCTGCATCTTGACCTTGCGACCTGTAGCCATACTCCCAAATAGCTTCATTGAACTGTGGGCTCGTAACCACAATCTCACTGATAGTGACACCAGCCTTCGTCTGAATAGGCTCGACTACGGTATGGATTCGCGCATCTAAGCTGAACACCAAGGCAGTGTACTTTCGGTCGAGCACCAGATATCCGCCGGCGACGAACACCTTTGCCGGACAAGAGGCGGCGTTCGGCTTTAGCGGCGCCTCCATCAGGCTGTAGGAGATCGGAGATTGAGTGGTAGCGAGACTGAAGTGAGTGGATTATTAAGACTGTAGGGATGTCCAGTCGGGCAACAACACGCTTTGGAACGATGGAGGGGTCTTGTGATGATGGTGATGATCTGTGCGAGGGCAGTTCCTCGCGAGTGCGCGATATGGGTCCTGCAGCGATTCAGTGCACCCATGCATGCTGCACCTCTGCCAGCGGCGCATTATCTTAGAGTAGACTTGGTCACAGCAAATCTTCTTGCAACAGCTCTGCGATCTCGATCAGCGAAGAAGCTGCGACGTTCACTTAGGTCACGTGCATGCGCGATAATTGAATTCGATCGCCAGCCACGCTCATTTACCAACGTCGAGCTCGCCGCATCGCACATCACTCCCAGGCCAGTCCTAACGTCGTGAATTTGCCCATCAGGTGCTGCCTTCTATGCCCCTTCAGTACAAGCTCCAGGCGGGGTGCAGCCGTCTTTTTCTCGTCGCGCCGACTGACTCATCGAAGTCGTCGAGGCCGACCATGGTCCGCCCTAGCCAGCTCGGTGACAACAGTCTCGCCGCGCCGACGAGCTAACTAGCAGCGACTCCTATTCGCGCGGAGACGCAGGCATGTTCCCCGGGAGGACACGTTTAGGGGGCGTTTGGCGAGCTGAGCCACAGGATGCGGACGGCTGTCCGACAATTTTTCGCATCCGAATTCCGCGCCCAAGTTAGCGTGTGGTCCCGTCTAACAATTCATGACGACGACGAAGCTCTGCCTGCTCGAACCTTCCCTCTGCCATCCGCTAGCAAATCGCCCTCGAGGCTCATATCTACAATTCAGGCCACAGCGAGCCTTTTCTTCTCCCTCACTTTCAAGTCTTCTGCTACCAGCCATCTCGAGTCACACCGCACAGGAGTACTCGAAGCTTGCACGGCTTCATAACACCTCACTGTCCGAGCATTCCTCACCTCTCAAAGCGCGTTCGTTTGACGGCCATCGTCAAATGAACCTGCAGCATCATCGCGCCTTGAGAATACCCGTACGTACCCTTGCGTGATATTACCCTCACACCTCCACGACGAACCGGCGCACGCGAGTCTTATTGTTGCTGCCTAGGCTCAAAAGTTGTTCGGACAACCACGAATCTGAGGCTTGGCTGCGAGCTCCAATACATTCTTACGTGTCGCGTCTTCTTGAAATCAATTACGCGTTCGAAGGCGAACCATTTCTGACCCAATACAGTCTCACCCTTCCCACTTGAAGGGTTCCTCCATCTCCTAAATGGTCTTCAAGAGCTTCCATCTCGCGCGTCAGAGTCTTGCGAAAGGCTTCACCCACGGTTACGCCCAAAGTGTTGTCGCCGGTGTCCAGACAACCAACCCTCTCGCCTCCCTTCAACATGACCGTTTCCGCAAAGGTCTAAAGAACCAGCATGCACTTGCTTCCACCTCCACGACCGCTGCCATCAAGGCTCTCAATGCCAATGCGCAGGAACACTCAGACTCCGGCCTAGTCGCATACTACACAGCATGGCAGAAGAACCAGCGGAGCGAGGACAAGGACTGGTCGCAGTTCCAGTTCCGCAAGCTCATTGAGTGGGACCCCAAGAGCTCTCCCAAGGTCACTCTCGAAGCAAAGGACAACAACCTCGCTATCGAAGATGTAGCTGAGCCTGTTCCCACCCGCGCTGTCGTCAATCGCGCATATAGCACAAGCCAAGTGGACGACTTTAAGAAGGCCATCGGCAACGAAGAGTCGGAGAAGATTGCACTTGCGCGAGTGGATGAGGCTATTGCGCAAGAGGCGGCAAAGATCAAGGCAGACAATGTGGCGGCGCAGTCGGTGGAAGAGGCGGAATCAGCCATTGAAGAGGACCGGCCAGAGTCACCGGCCACCATTGCCGACACTCTCGTCAACTCCACCACCCTGAGCCGCACCGATTCTACCATCGCGGCCAGCCCCATCGATGTACATGAAATCACCGACGCATACACAACAGAACTTCAGAGGCTTGCTGAGAATCGCAAGTATGCTGAAGTGCCTGCTGTATTCGAGGCGCTGCTCCATTCAGGAGTTCAGCCATCAGTGGCTGCATACAACATCCTTCTCAGCGCCGCAATTCAGCTCCCACGCGCAAAGCACCAGGTCGTACCTAAGGCTCTGGATGTATACTCGGACATGCTCCGTCGACGCGTCGTTCCCGATACCGCCACCTACACTGCCCTTATCGAGCTTCTCTCTGTGCGTTCTCTAGAAGTTGTTTCGTTGAAACAGAGCTTCGAGGAGAAGCGTCTGCGATATGGTGGAATGGAAGAGGAGGGCCGGTTCATGCTCCAGTCAAATGAGACCGACTATGCCATTCTAACCGAAGATGGTTCACTATCTGTCGCTGTCAAGCTCTTCGATGCCGCTGTGAACGTGGAGTCTGGCCGTACCTTTTCCGAGAAGACCTATCGTCTTCTAGTCACTGCCTGTGCTGAGGGCGAGCGCGTAGAGGACATGGTCCGCATCTATTCGCACATGGAGTCGCGCAGCGTAACACCTGCAGCAGACATGTTTGTGCCAATGATCCACGCTTTCGGAAAGTCTGGTGACCTCAGGAGTGCCGTAGAGTGCTACGACGAGTACAAGGCTCTCGCGGTATCTAACGACAATGGAGAGATCCAACTTGCTCGCAAGGACAACGATGTTTACGCCGCTCTCGTCAAGGCCTATACCGTCTGCGATCGCATTGAGGGAGGACAGAAATTCCTTTCCAAGATTGAGAGCGCCCTGGCAACACCACAGGACCTCACTTCTCTTCGTGACATCGTTGGCCTAAAGTCTTTCCTGCCAGAATGGTTGAAGAACGGTTCTTTCCAGGAGGCATTTGTGCACGCCAACGAAGTCCTCAGCCCACAAGCTCGCCATATCGCCATGGCCGCCATCTGCATCAAGGCCGCGGACCGTGATTCTATCGAGATTGCGAGCGAGGCATTCGATGATCTGCCTGCCGAGAGCGATCTGTCTCGCCCAGCAATGGCAATGGGCGCTATGCATATCCGCGCGGGGAACATTGAGGCTGCGGAGCTCTTCTGGAGGATGCTTGAGCTATCGCCTACCAAGCCAGACTTTATTGAGCCTACCGCGATGCATAGCATTGCGCTAATTGGCAGTGGTCACGCCGAGCGCGGACTACGCCAGTGTCGCCAGATGTTCGCACGCATCCGCGACTCCCAATCCGCTATCAACCAGAACAAGATGGAGATCGTCGAACAGATCGACGAGGCTATCGAGGTTATGGGTCACTTCATGATGAAGCGTGGCATCTTCCTTCCGCCGCGGGCCAGCATGGAGCTGATGTGGACGATGATCGAGAATGGTGGCCTAGTCACCCCAGTTGCTCACCACCTACTCACTGGTATGGGACCTGAGGCCATCGCTCTTTTGAGCTTCGAAGACATTACTCTCCTAATGCAAGTCCAATCTGGAATTATCCTCCAGGGTGCGGAAGTCGATCCTGCTCACGCTGCTCGATTTGCCCATTTGCTCGAAGTTATTACTGCGACTGGCGCGCCTGTCAACAAGACCACGTCTAGCCTTGTCGAGAAAGTCCTTGCCACTCTCGATCGTGGTGATCTCCAACACCGATGGTACAGCTACAAGCATCCCGCGCCTGAGCCAATGTACTCACCTGCGACGTTCGGAAACTACCCAGTTCAGGCGCCTATGGCACCTGCAGCGCCCACTTTTGAGGACCAGCACGACCCATACGCTGCCTCAACTGACAACAAGGGATCTGTCGTCATCACCGAACTGCTTGAGAAGACCCATGGTAGATCTGCGTCTCACCTCAACGAGGCCTTGATGAAGTTCAAGAACATGCGACGAGCTGGCCGACACCCCCGCTTCTTCACCTACGCAAAGCTTATTACTGCTGCCGCTAAGGAAGACCGGCTGAACCTGGCTCACGATATCCTCAACCTGGCCAAGCAGGATGTGCCTCTCCTGCCTCAGTACCGCATTGTCCGGTACGGCTGGGTCACTATCCTCGATGCCATGGTCGCTGCATCTCTGACATGCGGCCAGCGTGATCTTGCCGCCCGTTACCATCAGGACTTGCTCGACATGGGTGCAGCACCTACCGCCAACACTTTCGGTCTCTACATCACCACGCTCAAGGAGTCAACCAAGACTTTCGATGAAGCCACCGAGGCTGTCAAGATCTTCCTCCGAGCCAAGGCCGAAGGCGTTGAGCCGTCGTCCTTCCTCTACAACGCTTTGATCGGCAAACTTGGCAAGGCCCGCCGTATTGATGACTGTCTTTTCTACTTCTCGGAAATGCGCAACCTTGGTATTCGTCCCACTTCAGTCACTTATGGTACCATCGTCAACGCGTTGTGCCGGGTCAGCGACGAGAAGTTTGCCGAGGAGCTTTTCGAGGAGATGGAGACCATGCCCAACTACAAGCCTCGTCCTGCACCTTACCACAGCATGATGCAATTCTTCCTGACCACCAAGCGTGACCGTAGCAAGGTTCTCTCTTACTATGAGCGCATGCGTGCGAAGCGCATCGAGCCCACCACCCATACCTACAAGCTTTTGATTGATACCCACGCCACGCTTGAGCCTGTCGATATGGAGGCTGCCGAAAAGGTCCTAGAGCAGGTTCGCAACGCCGGTGCCGTGCCAGAGGCTGTACACTACTCCTCTTTGATCCATGCCAAGGGCTGTGTCCTCCACGACATGGAGGGTGCACGCCGCCTCTTCGACACTGTTCTCGCTGATGCTCGCATTCGCCCACAAGCCTGCCTCTACCAAGCCTTGTTCGAGGCTATGGTTGCCAACCACCAGATTGCCGATACCGAAGCCATCCTCCGCGACATGCGTGCTCGTCACGTTGAGATGACTCCTTACATCGCCAACTCGCTCATCCACGGCTGGGCTCTTACCCACAACATCGAGAAGGCCAAAGCCATCTACGAGTCTGTCCCCGAGACCAAGCGCGAGCCCAGCACCTACGAGGCCATGACCCGCGCCTACATGGCTGTTGAGGACCGCGCTGCAGCTATGACCGTAGTCAACGAGGGTCTTTCCCGCGGCTACCCTGCTGCTGTCGCAGGTAAGATCCTCGAACTTGTCGGTGGTGGACGTGCGCACGGTTCTGAAGTCACTGTTTAATTGCACGTTGACAACTTTCTCTTCTTCTCTGTTCCTTCGGGAGATTTGCACACTACACTTTTTACTTTCGATTGTCCTTTCAGTAACGGCCGAGCAAAAGAATCAGTAAATGCCCCCGCAACTTTCGGACTTGAAACTCCGACAGCACGGCCGGGCTCCATCACATTTTGAGGTTTTACTTGTCGCGTTTCTTTCCAGCGACGGCGTTTGTGTCTAGGTAGATTTCCCTTGCGAGCAAAGATATCCTGCAACAGCGAAGCAGCTGGTTGGTTGGGTTGGCGTAACATGACGGTTGACCTGATTCGAGGTCTCTCTAATGGGCGAGATATGTTTGGCATGGTGTTCCTGTGGCATTGCTTGCGCGGTCGCGTGCTGTACAATATACCCTGGATATACCATCTCCTCTCTAGACGGTTGGTTACGCGGCGGTGAATAGCATCGCAGGTAGATAGTTGCGTATGGAGACACGGTTGTGTGTTGTTGAATCAAACAAATGATACCAATCTTGGTCTTCCTGGTGTCTGTGATGTGCTTGCTTTCTGTTGAGCAGTATGAAGCGTAAGAATGTGGTTCGGGACCATGACTTTCGACCCAGGCTCTGAGCGACGGTGTGCAAAAAGTAAATGTCAGAGCACACCGATGATGATGAAAGAAAGCTACATGCGTAGAAAAGATGTTCTGTGTTCATTGGGTGGGGATAAACTTGAGTATGTATGAAGTGAGTAAACAACAAAAAAGAACCCCAACCAGTACCACCAAAAAAGGTGCAAAAATACCAGTCGATACCCCAGCCCACACTTGCCCCCCAACCCTCGTGGGAGTAATCCAGCGCCGCCGTCCCATGGTGAATACCCGACTGCAGAATTTCTTCCCTCGTCTGGTTGTATTCATTGCTTAGGTCCATCCAGCATCATTAGTTACCTAAATGAGTGGAGTGGACACCACAGGACTCGAACTGGGCTCCTGCAAGGGTAGTGGCAGGGAGGTGAGTGTGGATGACGGTGCACCTTCTGGTGAAGACCCGTTACAGGTAGCAAAAGCGCAAAATTAAACGAAATATAAAGAGAGCAAAAGCCAATCGTAGCTGAATCTCGTGCACTGGGTGAAGTTCTACTCAGTGTGGCTGCTGCTCTACAACTAGGCGAGTGGAGTCGTAGGCGGCAAAGTGGGGCGCATAGATTGGGCCGTTAGCAGCATGGAGCGCCGGCTTAGCTGTAGCTATCACGCTTTCATAAACACGTGCAGGTTGATGCGCCACCTAATGAAGAGCAAATACAAGAATACAGGCGGGAATAAAGTGGATTCCAGAGCTTTATGATGCACGCTGTCATAACCCCCTGGGACAAAATTACTGCGTCATCGATGGGTAAGGTTCGCCTTCCGAGGGCCACCATGACGATAAGTGCTGGAGTACCCCACTAAGTAAAGGAAGTAACGACGTCAAACTTGCATCCATAAGCTTAAAATGTTTGCATCTACAGCTTCTCGATCAATCCGCAACACTCCTACTACACGACTTGCGCAAGTAACTCGACACATACAACCACAATCGCAATCCAGAATGGCGCACAATGGAACTACGTTTAAGCTCAATACTGGAGCTCAGATCCCAGCTATTGGGTTTGGTACCTGGCAGGACAAGGATGCTCAAGAACCGTGCGTGAAATCTAATTGTTAATGAGGTTGAAGTTAATCTTTCGATAGAGCAGTCACAATCGCTTTGAAAGCTGGCTACCGCCATATCGACACAGCGCGCATCTATGGCACCGAGGCCGCCGTCGGCAATGCAATCAAGAAAGCTGGTGTTCCTCGGGAGGAGCTCTTCATCACCACAAAGCTCTGGAATAACTCGCACCACCCCGATGACGTCGAGAAGGCCGTCGAGGCATCTCTCAAAGACCTCGGCATTTCTGAACTTGACCTTCTTTTGATGCACTGGCCGAGTCCCTTCGCACGAGGCGACGAGATGTTCCCCAAAGATGGCGATGGCAAGGTCAAGACGGGCGACACCGACTACGTCGACACATACAAGGCGATGGAGGCGTGTGTAGCTTCAGGCAAGACTAAGGCGATCGGTGTTTCGAACTTCAGCAAAGCGGAATTGGAGCGCCTGATCAAGGAGACTAACATTGTACCAGCTGTACATCAGATTGAGATGCACCCGTATCTCCAGCAGCATTCGTTCGCAGACTTCCACAAGCAGAAGGGCATCCACGTAACCCATTACTCGCCATTCGGCAACCAGAACGAAATCTACGACTCAGGAAAGGGCATGGGTAAGCTGATGGACGACCCAGTCCTGGTCGAGATCGGTAAGAAGCACGGAAAGACCGGAGCGCACGTTGCGCTGGCATGGGGAATCGCAAAGGGACACTCCGTCATTCCCAAATCTAAGACCGAGAGCCGTATTAAGTCGAATCTCGAGGGTGACTTTAAGCTGCCGCAAGAGGATGTAGCGAAGATCGACGCAATTGACAAGAAGTTGCGCTTCAACGACCCGTCCAAGTCGTTCGGATGGAACTTCTATGCCGACTTGGATGGCAAGAAGAACTAGGTGTCGAGCGTTGTTTGGACGCACAAGGTATTGCTAGACAAGCGCATTCCTAGGGTCGTAACATTAGGACGGATGGAATATCGCTGGAAATGATACCTGTAATAACTCGAGTTCGTAGCAGCTTCAATGGTATTCCTAATGCGATATCTAGGCCTAGATGGCTTCACACACTTATCGATGTCTGGAGTTATTGTAAAAGGTTTGTGAAGATCTACAGGCCCCTTGATTTGTTTACTGTTTGATACTTAGTTCAGACTCAATCTCTACTTCCAAAAGAAGTAGAACGTAACTTTGAAGGAAGGAGCTCTGTTTGATGATATAGCGGATCTACAGTAAACCTCGTTTGACCTATTTCTAGTATAAACATTCCATTCTATCAAGCCCTTATCTTCCGGACATCGGCATTCTAAATATAGTGGTCTCCTATTATCGCAGCAAGGCTGGACGCTAGTCAACCTATTATGAGGTTATCTGCATGGCAAATGCGCGGCGACCGAGCTTAGTCTCGTCCTCATTCTTATCGGTAGGCTTATTATTCAAGTGCCACATGGATCATGTGTCATCATGTCCGGTTCAGTCACCAATGTTAGAACTGGAGGAGCAAGCCACCATGCAGGCGCCTAATCCGCCCCCCGAAGGAACTGACAGGAGTTCTGCAGAGATGAAAATTAAGTCAGCGAGTAAAACTGGATATGAAATACAAACAAATCAAGAAGCTATAGCCCAAAGCAAGCTTGTATCTACGATATTTGCTGCCCTTGTCGGTGATGTTTCGCTAATATGTTTTAGAGCTACCCTTGTCAATTCTCGGAGTACGTGCCATGAGGCTGTATGCGGGCGACCTTGGGCTCAGTCATACGAGCAGCTGAGAAATCGATCTCTTTGGCTTGACCAGCCGCTCGCATTTTACATAATGTGACCTGAAGTTTCCGTATGTTTCTCCCTACATGAGTGTACGCTTCTATCGCAATTATGGCCGACACAGGAGCAAAAACCCAGCAACAGAATCAAGAGCAGCGGAATAACAGGTCTGGAGAGGAACTGAATTTGGTCACTTTAGCCGCACCACACCGCCCGGAACAAGAGAAAGACCAGAACGACAAAAATGCTACGGGGCAAGAGCCTACAACTCTCAGATTTCCAAGTTCCAAAAGAAGGGAAGATTACTCCTGTCCTAGCTATCATCTTTCTTGTTGTTTCTTTTTTATGTATTGCTAGTAGCATCGCAATCGTTTATTTCTCCAATGACAGGGCGGTCAACGACTGGATATCCCGTGGCCTAGCGGTCAATCCCTCTGTCCTTCTGGCTGTTACCAACAGCGTTTTAGCGTTCTCGACGAAGCAGGTCTTCATCGCAGGTGTCGCTATCAAGTGGTGGCGTACATACTACAGTGGTACAGATCTGACCAATCTGCACTACATCGCAAACCAAGGAAAAGCAAATGGATGGCACGACATGTTCCAACCATTCAAGAGCTCGCAAGCCCGACATGTCATGACAGTCTTCGTTGCCATCACACTTATGGACCTTTCAGATGGACCTCTCCTTCAGCGATCTCTCAAGTCTGTCATCACGAGACGCGTCCGACCCTATGAGTCTGATATGGCCCTGGTACAGAACATCACCGATGGCTGGGCTGGCACGGTCGACAACGCGTCTCCGGCGAGAATTTTTGCCTCTGGTGATCTCGCAGGAGTCGTAGACAACTGGTATAATAACGTTACGGAATCCTGGTCATCCGAATGTGTTGGAAGTTGCGAAGGCGTTCTCGTAGGCGCTGGAGTGGCGTTCAATTGCAGTGCAGGAGCCCCAACAAAGATCGAATTACTTTCTCCGCAGAACTTCAATGCGACGCTTTTCAGCATTTCCTTTAGCAGGGCTGTCGATGGCATGGGTGCCCCAGTTGTAGAGATGACGCACGAATTTACCCACAACGTGACTGCATCCTGCGAAGCCACAGTCGAGAGGCACTACTGTTCGATCAGAGCTGCTACAGTCGATTACGACGCCATAATCCTTTCAGATTCGATCAGGCTTCATCCGAACCGTGAGCCTAGCCCCTCGTCGGTCTATAAGTCAGCAGGTGATCTGCCTGCCTCCGATGATACTCCTATTGGCCCGCTCTCTGCACTAGACTACTTTGGTTACTACTATCTGCGATCTGTTAGTACATTGTCTTCAGGGACAGGGGACGAGGAGGTTGGCATGGAGACTGTCACGGGGATGCTCGGAGCTGTATTCTCAGAGGCCTCAGAGAGTGGGAATTCGTCCTGCTCATTTCAGTGGCTGAATGCAACCGATTCTATTATACACGACATACACGACGTTATGTTCCGGATCGCCGTGTACAGCTCCACGGGTATGCAAATGCTAGCCGTCCCACGGGTGTTTCGCCACGAATTGTTTGCTGACGCGCGTTAGGTGACGAGAACGGAGATACGAAGACATGGACAGACGCATACGATGAGCTAGCATATCGAGCCGACTTACTATTTTTGTGGCTAGCTGTTGCCATAATGTTCTCAGGCACGTTTGCCGCGACGTCTCTCCTTTGGGGATACTGGAGACTGGACCGACAAGTGACTTTGAGTCCTTTGGAAACTGGCTGCGCACTTGCAGATGTGCTTAAGGCCCCTCCTCCACGGTATCAAGAGTCGAAGATGGCAATTGAAAATTTGCTCGAAGATATAGGGGGTAGGAAAGTGGAGAAACTAGATTAAGGAATAGTCGAACACCTGATCGCAACGATTTAATGCTTTCTTCAATAAAAAGTCGACTTCAATTTCCCTTCCCCCCCTTCCCCCTCCGTGCCACCCACCTCCTTCCTCCCTCAAATGCAATCCGACTCCAACTCCTCTGCACAATCGTGCCCTGCAGCGTTCCCGAGAAAAAGCTAAACGCAAACAGCAGCGCCACACTAACTCCAAACACCACGCCAAAGCACCACCAATAGTTGAATATCTCAAACTCGGTATCTTTGAACTGTATGCTGAAGTACCCCGTCATGAGCGTGACAGGCGTGAAGAGGATCGTGATTTTGGCGAGCAGGAGGGTGACCCATGTGAGTCTCTCTACGCTGAAGGATTCTTTAATGGCGATGAGGTTGAAGTTCATCATAACCAACGAATCCTTCTGCGCAAGACACTCCTCAATCTCGCTGAGCGCATAGAGCAGGATTCGATCTTTGAGCCGCTCGAAGCGCACTTTCGCAGCGGAGCTCAGACTCACGCCGAGCAGACTGTCCGCTTCGGGGATCATCGGGCCGTGGCTGGGATTGACGTTGGGGAGGTCGGAAATGAATGATTCGGTGCCGGACATGATGCGTGAGTTTTTGAGGGATGCGAGGGTGGCCTCTTGTTTTTTCAGGACGCGCTCGATGATCAGCATGTAGCTATGGTACACGCGTTTGAGCACGGCGAGTTGGCAGCCGATGTGGTGGAGTTGGTCGATGTGCGTCAGGTCGGCTTTTATGAGCATTTCTTGACGCTGAGAAGGGTCAGTATGGGGAAGGAAGAAGGATGTGGGGTGACTTACCAAGCGATCCAGTTCGGCGGCGTATCCGTGGTCTCGTTTGGAGATTAGATTAAATGTCGTACCCCAGTCTTCGAAGAGGTAGTAGAATAATAGACCTGGTGCATCTGTGGGACGGTGGGCGGTTTCTTCTTCGCTGTTGCCGACGCGGTGACGAATTGGAAGCTGAATCAGTGCTGTATCTCGCAGTGGGGTTGGCGCTTTCGTCAATTGTCGGAAGACGTTCACAAGGTTTCTTCGCGTTGTATATAACATCTTGAGGTCTTCTGCTCGTAGATCGCCATTGCCGAAAGGATATGGGTCTTCCGATATAGAGATGACTGTCTTGTCTTCGCAGAGGAGAAGCCAATTCCAGACACGCTTACCATGAGGAACATCTCTTCCTCTGTCTGTTTCATCATTATGCTCGTCCTCTGGTGGTTTAGTGCGGACGTTGTGAAGTGAGTTGTAGCCGAGGCAGACGACTACATAAATGTCAGCGCCTCAGTTCTTCACACTCATCGGTCTTTGGCTCACATCTCCTTCCCCAATCGACCGTACTCCAATGCCACACATCATTCACCAGCTGATAATGACTCAAATCCTGCACCATCTCCAGCTGCGTGGAATGCATCAAGTCCGTCATCCCGATACTCTCCTCACTCGCCAGACTCTGCTCCCCCCTCGCAGACTTACCCGAAAACCGCGATCTCAGCGTCGAAGAGCTCTTCTTCCTTCTCAGAGACTGACTCCTTGGCGGACACGGATCGCTCCTCATCATCCCAAGTAATCGTGGCGTAAAATCAAAGTACTGACCCAGAACTTTCAGCAGGTCTTTCTGATTATAAGGCATCCAGATGTTGATCCATCGTGTATGAAGCTGCGGAGGCCGCGGCGAGTGAAGAAGCTTGGAGTAAGACTGAGCATCTAGGTCGAACGCGCAGTAAGCGTCCCCTTCACCAAAGTCGAGGCAGAAATTGCTGCTCTTGGGGTTCCGCGTCTGCCTGTCGAAGAGATCAAAGTTTCGTTCATTGTCGAAGTTGCGGAAGCAGTGCTGAATGGTCTCGTCGCCTAGGTCATTGTAGTAAGCTGGGAGATCTTCTGCAGGCGACGAGGGTCGAAAAGGGCCTGCCATGACGGGTAACACGGCGTTGACGAGGATGAGTGTGGGGAAGCGAGGGCATGGTTTTGACGAGGGTTTGTTCTGAGCGAGGTCCCTGGTGATGGGAGCTCGTGCAGGGTCATTTTTGGTATTGTGTCTTGTGTGGAAGCCTCATGTTAAAGGTCACGCGACGCGACCATGACCCATCCAGGCAGAAGGTCTTGCACGTCCCGAACTCATATTCGATGGCGGATGGCTGTGCAAAGTAAGTGATCAGCGACGCGACCACCGCACAAGTACACACCAAAGAGCTCATAAGATGGACATAATGTGTGGTGTGCGAGCAACTCCGCGGTATTTGTGGTTTGTATGTGGTCGTCTGACTGCAAGCTCGCTAACCTCACTAGAAGCATCATCACATGCTCCAACACACTATACAAATACCATCAAGACCCACGCTCCCAAAAAACTCGGCTAATTTATGCAGAACACCAGTATCTATGATGCAAAATTCCACGTCTCATGATGCACGCTAACTCTCAGCTCCCTCAAATGCGCGAATAAAAGTACAAAAATGCTAAGGGCAACATCCACAGCCCTGGGTATCGCGCAGCCCCCCAACAACGCCACTCATGTAAACCTGTCTCATAGCTCCAAGATCTCCTGTGGAGTCTCCTCTAGTTCGTCCGTCGCGCTGAACACCTGTTTGATCTCGTGCGGGTTCATGGTGCTAACGAAGGCTCTCCTGACGAAGGTGTACCATTCTTTGGATGCCTTGTGGTGTTTCTTCTTGTGGCCCTTCTTTTTCTTGTGTTTCTTGCCTAGTTCTTCAACGTTGTCATCTTGTGAGTCGAGATCATCCCCCAAAGGTGTGTCGTCAATCGCCGTCTCCTTGTCGAACCCGCCCTCGATTTCTTCAACGTCAGCTGCGTTCGATCCAGTCTGTCCAATCTTGCGTGCATATTCAACCCATCGTCTAACCGTGAGGTCTGGAAACTCCCGGTCGTTCTTGGTGTCGTACTCGACCTCATAAAAGAACTCATTCGGATGCGGCTCCGGTCGTGGCTGCTTGCCCTGATGCTTTCTATGCTTGCCCTCTTTCCAGCCACTATTCTCAATCTGCCCGTCTTCCGTGACGTTCAATCCAAAGATCGTCCTTGGCGAATTTCGATTTGGCGAGGCACCATCGGTGTTTTCGACAAAGTCGTTGTTGATATGCGTGAGGTTGGCAAAATATTGGGTGTATCGAGTCCATGTGAAGGTCTGAGGGGAGTAGGCGGGTCCTGGTGGCGCTGATTTTGAGGGGCCATCTGGGACCTTGAATTTGTACTTGCGGGGATGTTTCTTGTGCTTTTTCTTTTTCCTCATTGCAGTCTCAACATCCTGTAAGTACTCATCCTCGTCCTCGTCAAAATGGTCGCCATCGACTAACAGCTTTTGGTGGGACAGTGAAGGGACCGACTTCGGCTTGCTGCCACTGGCAGAAATATCGCTAGCGTCTAGACCAGTAATGTTGTACTCGATGATGCGGAGTGTGGGGAAGTAGTTCGGTACAACGCTGGGCGCAACATGGCTGATACTGTAGCGTTCCGCGAACTTGCCGCCGATCATGTCAAGATACTTTTTCTTGTCGCTTTTATCTTTCTTGCCTTTATTCGATTTCTTGCTGGACTTGGAGGGTGGTGCTGGTAGTTGCGCCCATGCCTCCCTCAGGTCAAGCAAGTAGTCAGACGCCGAAGCGACAGTGACCTCGCCGTCTTCGTACAGCTGAACACCGCCCTCCTCTTCTAGTCTTTCCATCTGGCTACCACTAGCCATCCTGCCTTTCTCGGCGTCTTTGCTGATCTCATCAAAATCTTGCAGCATAAAATGGTCGATGTTCATATGTCCGTACAGGCCACCCACGACCACATCGCGAAACTGGCGCGTCCAGAGTGTGTATTTCTGCCAGCATGTCTCGTCCCAGCTCTCTTTACTATCGACGCGCGCGGGTGGTACGTGGCCCATAATGATCGCCTTCATGCCGCGGTCGCGCAGGATCTGGAGCTGGATGCGCAGCCATTCCATGTGCTCGTAGCCGGGTTCATGCTTGTTCGCGCAGCCGTCGACGGCGGAGTTCGAGGAGAAGAAGAATCTGACATACGAATAAGTAGGGATTCGCCAACAAATTGGACAAATGACCGCTTACATGGTGTTCAAGCTGATCACCGCTAACTTCCCCGGCACCACCTCAACACTAAACCACCCCCCCTGCGAAAACTGATGTCTCTGCTCCTCGGGAATCATCCCCCTCCAAACATCCAGGTACTTTTTCGTCCAGCGATTCGGCCCGGCCAGGAAAATATTGTGCGGCATGATGTCGTTGTTGCCAAACGTCGGCACCACGGGTATCGCCCATTGCTCTACGTCGCCATGCTTGTCTTCGGTTTTCCCAAAGACTTCAGCGAATTTTGCGACCATGTATTCATTCTGCTTGACTACTTGCTTGGGTGTTCGGGGTAATTCTTCGTCGTTGTCGTGCCGCGCGGAGTCGCCCGTCCAGATGACAAAGTCGATGTCGTTCTTGATGTTTTCTTCAATCCATTGGAAGGTCTGGTTGATGAGGGAGTAGGGCGAGTCGCAGCCCGATGTTTCTGCGCCATAGATGCCTGCGGGTCCGCGGTGACGATGGCAAGCTGCGTCGGATGTGGTGCTCGAGTATGTCTTGTAGAAGGGATCGGGGTGGAAGTCTGCATGCCCTGGGTCAATCTTGCTTTCGCATTCAAGCTGATAGGTCCCCGCACTCACCCGTGATATGCAGGAACTTGCCCGTCAACTTGCGGCCCTGGACGCTGGGCTTGCTGTCGTCACTGGGCTGCGCGGTGCGGCTGCTTCCTGCGCTAGGCGGGGCAGCATGGGAGCTTCCCCAAAGAAGCAGCCCGCAGACTAGGCCACCGCGTCGCAACATGGAGAAGCGAGATGGAAGCGCGCAGTCGGTGGAGATGCGCTCGAGACGCGAGTTCGGATGTCCACTGACGGACGGCGGGATCGCAAGTTTCTATATCTCAAAGCTCTGTACCGTGATGGCGCCAGCCAAACAAGCACTGCGCGACAGAAAAGCCACCTGAAGCAACGTGCTCCAGCCATCCTTGCCATTGGACGTCATCCAAGCCGGCCCTTTTCTCACCGTGCGCTTCACACCCACACGTACTCTTACAAGGTCATCTGTCCTGTACAGTGGCAATCACTCGTGTGATGCTGTCGATCTAGTCTCATTAGTTCCCAAGGTATGCATGTCATTTCGTCGCACTTGGGTATGGCCTCTGTTGGACACCTACCATGGTCGACATCTTAGTGGCGCTCTGGTCTTCAAGCCACGGCGGGTCGTGCCAGCGGACCAAGATGCGGGATTTTGACATCTGGACGTCGCGTGACTGTACATCCATACACCGCTCGCCAGGGCTCTAGGGATACTCATGTCAAGGCAAACACGAGGCACATGTTTCAAGCATTGTATTGATTCTTTGTCATTTTGCCGTGTGCCTACTAGAGACGTTCTCAACACACCTTCTCCCTCCTGAAGCCTTGTATAAAAATCAGGCGCATACACTACATGCTTCGTCGCTCGATATCGTCTGCCATTGCCTGGCTGATCATGCGACATGAAAAAACCGGCTCCGTAGAACCACGATCGCCGAAGCCATCTATGCAATAAAGAGACCCATGAATACACACACTGACCGGGACTAATCATGTAAAACTAGTCCAACAGGGCCCGAACACCAACGCTATGCTTTCGCACTCCTGTATGCCGTAGTAAATCAAAATAACTCCTGTATGATGCGATGGTATATGTGATGATGAGTGCTGTATGCCGGGCGGTCTACACACCATTTTTCTGCCCGTTCGTGGGCTGCGCACCTGATGACTGCTTTCCGCTCATCTCGGACTGCAACATCTTTTGATACATGCCCTTGATCGCGGGGACAGTAACACTTGCACGAGGCCAGTAGTTGTTCACAGTAAATGACCTTTATTGTATTAGCTTGGTTCAACGGGGTGTGATTGTTGTGAACTCACCAAAGGCGCTCCTCCAGCTCTTCGTTGTCGCGAGTCTCTGCGCGGATGAAGTTACCAATGGCAATCAGCTCGACCTTGAGAATCTTGACCATGGCTTCCTTCTGAGGATAGTTCTTGGGCGTCGCCTTCTTGAGACGGGTGAGATTGTCGCGTACAGGTCTCAGTCTCCGCTCAATAAAGTCCTCAGGCTTCTTCTCCTTTGGCTTGGGCGTGTTGTCGACGCTGCGGTTCTGATTGAGACTGTGACTGTTAGATCGTGGACGCTCATCAGCCAGACGCGAACGGTCTTCATAAGGCCGAGGGCGGTCGACATCTCCACTGGCCTTGCGCCTGATCTCGGGGGTGCCATTGCGCTCAGAGTGTTGCGGACGGCGATCAATGCTACCACGGTCGTGGCGATGCTCCTTGCGGTGTGCGTCAGAAGGCCTATACTGATCGCTGTGCCTAGACCGATCGTGACTGCTCTTCTCATGTTGCCGGCTGTCGGCTCGATCGTTGTGTCTGCTCTCGTTGTTGCTATGCGTTCGCTGGATGGGTCCTCCATTGTCGCGGGCCATGGACTTGCGTGCCACGCCTGTAGGTGCGGGGCTAGCTGAGACACTTGAGGCCTTGTCTTGCCGGCGTGCCATGGCAAGATTGTGCTTCTTGTTGTTGCGGTGATGATTCTCCATCAGACGTTTCGCATTGGGATCGACGCCCGCTTTGTCTTTGAGGACAGTCAATAAGTAGTTCGCCCTTCGGACTAGATGGACCGCTCCTGGAGACTTCGCATTCTTCTCTTCACCTTTGTTGCGCTCTTCCTTCTTGTCAACGCGGTGCTCCTCAAGGTAGAACTTCTCGGTCAACCCGAGTTCGGGATCGTCGCGAATCGGCACCCATGCGCCGTATCCGTGCCGAAAGATGCCTATGCAGAGCATGCCATCTTCCCGAGCGCCCCATGGACAGGAATAGTTCGCAGGTTTGATCGCATCAGCGATGCGGAAGTTCTTCCAGTCAGAAACCGCACTGACAGCCTCTTTGAGGATTCGCATCTCGATGGGTCGGTCGATAATGGTCTCGGCGTTCAGCTTCTTCACTTGACCAAAGTCGAAAAGAACAGCTTTCTTGTCCTTCTTCGTGATCACTCGGTCGGCTTCCAAACTCTTGAGCCGCATCTGCTCTTGCTTCACAAGCTCCTGGCTCTTGGAGATTACTTGGTTTAGTGTAGCCTTCACCACTTCCATGTCGCGACCAACCAGTTTTGCGGCACGTAACATGTCATCGCCCCGCTCTTCAATAGAACCAAAGCGTTCAAAGGCGCGGACAAGGTTCCGGATCTCCTTGGTGTTCAGCGGACGCTTCGGATCACGCTTGATGTTATCGTCCTCAGACGGCTCGTCATCGTCAACATCAATATCCCTCGACGCCTCCATCGCACGCTTCTTGGCAGCCCGTTGTTCGCGGGCACTTGATGACGCAGCTTTGCGTTTACGAGGAGCGCTTTCTTCGAGCAGCTTCTGGGTCTCTTCCTCATCCCTACGTTGCTGGATTTCGGCCTTGACAACTTCCAGCTCTTCCTTCGGAATGATGTCGTCCCATTCAAGGTCTAGCTTAACGTCGGTATACTCGAAGTTCTTGAGGAACTCTGCGCCACCATCGGAGGTGAGGCCTGCCGCTTGCTCTGTCTTGTGCTCTTCGGCGTTCTCAAGCACGGCATCAATGTCAAGCTCCTCAAGCTTCTTCTGATTGCCAGACTGTTCAAACATCTTCTGGCCTCGACGCTTGAGGATGTTGTTGATGTCGTCTGCAGAATTGGGCTCGGCTGCAGCACGGCTCATCTTGTCGTTGAGCTCCTGCTGTTGACGATCGGTCACACCACGCTGGATCGTGATGAACTCGAGCATGCGCTTGTTGCGGGCGCGCTCGAGAATCTCCTCTTCGATTGTGTCCTTCGACACCAGACGGTAGACACTGACGGGTTTCTGTTGGCCAATACGATGGGCTCGTGCCATGGCTTGAAGATCGGCCTGAGGGTTCCAATCTGAGTCGAAGATAACGACCGTATCAGCAGTCATCAAGTTGATACCGAGACCTCCAGCTCGAGTGGACAGAAGGAAGCAGTAGTCATCGCTGCCAGGGGCGTTGAAGTGATCGATCGCGATCTTACGGTCGCTCGCCGGCACTGTTCCATCGAGGCGCTGGTACGTGTAGTTGCGGAGCTTAAGGTAGTCGGTGAGGATGTCCAGCATGTGGACCATCTGACTGAAGATCAAGACACGATGCCCATCTGCTTTGAGCTTCGTGAGAAGTCGGTCGAGCAGCATCATCTTTCCACTCGTCGTGATAAGCGCCTTGAGCGTCTCATCCTTCGTAGCGTTCTCCTTGAGGAACTTCGCCTCAGCATTGGGAAACAGAAGGGCGTGGTTGCTGGCCTTCTTCAACTCCATAACAATGTTGAGCAGGGATTGCTTATGGCCAGTGCCGCCCTCGTTGAGTGCTTCATAATTCCTCGTGAGGATATTCTTGTAGTACTCCAGCTGGATATCTGACAACTCAACGCGGAGAATCTTCTCGGACTTGGGTGGTAGGTCGTTCTCAACCTTCTCCTTGGTGCGCCGGATCATGTATGGCTGAATTGCCTCACTGAGCTCAGCGAGCTTATAGCTAGCGTCTTCCGAGGCCATATCAACGTTTTCGTCGACAGTGATTTTGCCGGGCATGAGGAAGTCCATCAAAGCAGAGAGCTCGCCTAGAGTATTCTGGATCGGAGTACCTGTGATGAGGAGACGGCTTGGAGCATTGAACTGTAGCAGCCGCTCGTACAGCTGCGACTCTCGGTTCTTCAATCGATGGGCTTCATCAACAGCGAGGAACTGCCACTTGATGCTTGAAAGGAATTGCCAATCCGCCAGGACGTATTCGTAGGTGGTCAACAAGACATTGAACTTGATCTTCCTCGGGTTACCGTCAACCAACAGCTCCTTGTCACGGATCGTGCTTCGAGCGTCTTCCCTGCCGGTGTAGATGACATAGTTGACGTCAGGCGTCCAGTTGTTGAAGGTATCTGCCCAAGCTGGCATCGTTGAGAGCGGGACAACACATATGAAAGGTCCATCCTGCCGGCGATCATGTCGAAGCCAATTCATGAACGACACAGTCTGGACCGTCTTACCAAGACCCATCTCGTCAGCCAGGATGACGTTGGTGCCTCGACACCAGTTATGGGCAAGGAAGTTGACACCTTGAAGTTGGAAAGCTCTCAGCTTCCCGTACTTGATGTAGTCAGGCTGTTCGTCGAGCTTAACAAACTTGCGGCGAGTGTTAAGGTTCGTCTCGCGAAGATCCGATGAGGGGCGGTTGGACGAGCGGTCGAGGAAACGGTCGATTTCGGTCTGCGACAGCCGACTTACAAGGGAGGCAGGTTCCCAAGTACAGAATTCGTACGTCAAGCCCTTCCCTATACATGGTTAGGTAATCCAGAAAGGGGTCCTGAGGTAGTGAAGACTTACATTTGACCAGATACTCAGTCTCGTCTTCACCGTGCTGAGAGTCAATCACGCGCTCAACTACGTGAAAGTCAAGCTGACTTTCGCGCTCTGCTTCTCGGGCGACCATGTGCTGCTCGAACTCCTCGGGCTCTTTCTTCTTGCGCCCGTGATAGTACATTTCGGTCATGATGGGGCCCTTGAAGTAGTTGTCCAGCTTCCGCCAGCCCTTGTGTGAGGCTGCCGTCTGGTAGTCCTCCCATGTCGAGTGGTAGTGTGCTTTGTCTTGCCATTTAATCTAAGGAGTCAGCATCGCCAACAAGTCATGGGATAGCAATGGGGTGCGCTTACCAGATACTTCGAAATCCTT